ACAGTTTGAATTATAACAATCCATATAGTAATAGTTAAGAAACACTACCTCAAAGACATGCTGGAATTGTAGGTTTACGAGGTGCTGTGGGTCACGTAGGGCACACTTCTAGCAAGTACAACAATCATCACCAGACTGCCGCCCGCAACACAATGCTTGTCCTCGGAGTTCAAGCTGGCATGACCATGACTAGCAATGCAATACGGCATTCGGATCGAAGCAAGTCAAGTATGGGGTGAGGATTACCAGCTGCTGGTTGGCGATCAACCCCGACCATCAGCATCAGCCATATGCCTTGCCCATGGAGCGATCACTATACACCTCGGGCGGCAGTGGATCCTGCTTCCGGCATATCAATGAGAGGCACTTTTCAGCTTCTGCTTGCCTGGAAGACCCTATTGCGAAGATGACAAGGCCCGATGGCAGTTCACTGCGCCGCCAAGGCGCAAGAAAGTCGGACGCTGGGCAACATCAGTGCCTTTATATCTGGCGGCATGGACCACTTGCATCTAAAATACGCCCACTGCGTCTGCCCTATTGCCCAAGCTCAAGCCGCAGCCGCGCTGCCCACAGCTCGCGTGCAGCCCTCAAGCTGAGAAATGGAAGCCTGAGGCACCCCGAAATCAAGTCTAGCCTATTGTACAAAGGTACAGCGGCCCAAGTTCCTCGAGCGCTGAATTCCGCGATATCATCCTCCTATGGCTTCGCAACTAGTGTCACTACCCCACAAGATACTGACGAATCCCTGGCGAGGCGTTCATCAAAGGTCTAGATACCAGAGGCCCAGATGTCCAGATACAATGTATGAAAAGGCAGCTTGCCTCAGCAGTTCGTTCGACTGCAAGCAAAATACCAAGACTTGAATCTTGCACAACAATGTCTTCGGAATATCCAACTCGAAAGAGCGCAGACATCGCGAAAGATAATGAGATACCTCTGGAGCGTATCGAGTCCATCGTCAAGACCGGAGAGGTGGAACACCTGCAAGAGGGTTTCAATGTCTGGTCGTTGGGCGCATTGCTGGTGTGCCTCATGGCAACATGGGAAGCCCTTGCGACAGTCGTGGCCTCCGCGTTGAACAATGGCGGACCTCCGTGCCTCTTCTACAACTAGTGAGCATTCGATGGCATAGCAAGTGTCCCACAGCAGGATGCCTGTGCTGATGTGTCCGCCGCCAGCATAATCTCGTTTCTCGGAACGCTCGCTCTTGCAGCATCCATGGCTGAGATGGCTTCGATGTACCCAACAGTGTGTTAAATCTTTTCTTGACCTGAAGCTGATTGCTGACGTCGACCAGGCTGGCGCTCAATACGTGTGGGTGGCCTTGCTAGCACCATCTAAAATTCGACCGCTCTCATCGTGGCTTACCGGATGGATCAATATTGGAGGACAGCTCGCTCTCACAGCCTCGGCCGCGCTCTCAGCAGGTCTGCTCTTCCAAGCGCTGCTCATACTCAACAACCCAAGCTACACACCTCAGCGATGGCACGGAGTCATGTTCTATTGGCTTGTGTTGGCATACTCACTGGTGGTCAATGTGTATGGAGAAAGATTTCTGGCACACAGCAACAACGCAGCAGGTGTCCTGCATCTGTCTGGCTTCGTTGTCGTCGTTATTGTCATGGGATTGATGACAAAGGACATGCATGACGCCTCGTATGTCTTCACTGACTTCTCCAACACCAGTGGCTGGAGCAGTGATGGTGTGAGCTGGCTTGTCGGTCTTCTCTCGACCATCTATCCTTTTCTCGGGTAAGTCGCCTTGATCTCGATGTATACCGCACACTCTGATCACTTACAGATACGATGCCGCTGCACATCTTTCCGAAGAACTCCCGCATCCCTCGAAATACGTCCCCATCGCAATGCTAGGCTCTATCGTAGTGAACGGCATTATGGGTCTGGTCTACTGCATCATTATCCTCTTCTGCCTAGGAGACCTGTCAGAACTTCTCACATCACCCACCGGCTTTCCCTTTGTCCAGCTCTACTACAACATCACCTCGAGCCATGTGGGAGCGACGTTCCTGACGCTGATTCACGCCTTCATCGCCCTGGCAGCAAATTCTTCTGGCCTTACATCCACGAGCCGGACGGCATGGGCATTCGCCAGAGACAGAGCCTTTCCCTTTTCACCATTCTTTGCCCACCTAGACAGGAGAAGTGGGCTTCCAGTAAGAATGTGCATTCTTCTTACAATTCTCCAATTCCTTCTTGGACTGGTATACATCGGCAACACCACAGCCTTCAATGCCGTGATCTCCATGGCGGTCCTCGGCATGTATTTGTCATATGTGCTTCCCATTGCATTCATGCTGGTATATGGCCGCAGAGCCGAGACGTCGCATCCGTCAGGATACTTCAGTCTCGGTCGTTGGGGTAAGAAAACGTTCTCGTTGATGTCTCGGTCTTGACTCCTTGGCTAACGCTCTCCAGGCTCGACTGTCAACATTATCGCCTTGCTATGGGGATCCGTTGCCATGTTGTTCAGCATGTTTCCCAGCGTGCAACCAGTCAACGCGCAGAATATGAATTATGCTTCTCTTGTGCTTGGCGGCTGGACGATGCTGGGGGCTATCTACTACTACTTCTTTCAACGGCAGACGTTTCAAGGGCCGATCGAGTTTCGTTGAGAAGGAGCTCAGACAGCTGTTGTTCCACAGACAACAAAGTAGCTTTTTATTGGTTGGTTCTCTCGCCCCTGATACGAAATAGTTGATGTTTTGACACATGTTTCTCACGTGCCAGCAAATTCTCCACATAACTGCCTCTTTCTTGTTGTCTCAACACACCACTAGCTACGGCAAATCTTCATTTCTTCTTCCAGTTCGGATCAGCGGTCAAATTGACCCTGCTCAGAAATCCTTGGTCGACCAATTCCATCACAGTACTCGGCATCAAAAATTGCACGCCCAGCCCTTGCTGCTCGAACCACGTCGCAATTGGCCCGCCTTGGACTGACAAGCTGCGGCTAACTATGTACACGTGATAGTTGTATGGATACTCGGCACCAGGATCCGCTGCCAGATTCGTCGGCGGCAGAGATCTTTGAGCATAAGGCGTGCCAGCAGGACTCATGTATTTGCCATACTCGCTCCCGAAACGATCTAGGAAGGTTCCGACGGGGAGAGTGAAGTCTGACATGGCTGGTTCGCCCATTGCTGTGAGTTGGTAGCCGTCGAAGGCGGGATAGACGTAGGAGCCTGAAGGGTCGGTCCAGCGTGCGAGGAATTCGCCTGGACAGAGGCCGCCGAAGCGGTGGTAGGTGCTGTCTGAGCCGGCGATTCCGGAGAGTGGGAGACCTGTGGGGATTGTGACAGGTCCGAGACGGCGGTCGCCGCAGACGAAGAGAGAGCGCTCGCTGGATCCTTTGGTGCCGGAGCAGTAATCGCTGCATCGGGACATCGTCAGGTCAGGCTGGAGGGTATGGGTCAGTCGATGCTTGAGGCACTTCAGTGAGAAGACAACTTACATCTCTCGCCTCCTCAGAGGGCTCTGCTTGTGGCGCAGCTTTTGCTGCCATGGCCAGCACGATCGTGGTCAAGATCCTTGACAGAGACATTGAGACTTTCTACTATAGATCGTCGATTGTAGTGATTTTCGAGGGTCGTAGCCCGATGTACGATCGGGAGCACAGTATTGTATATATGTCGAGGTCTGCAGCAATTCAGAGGGTCACGAAGGCCATGGCGGAGCGTTGCGGTGTCACCGAGCGGTATTGAGATCTGCGGGAAGCCGTGGGTTGACACCCTGCATCCGGGCCACAAAGACTGTGCTCAGCCAGATCTTCCTGAGACAACTCTTGGTATGGAGGCACTGCATGGGACGGCGAGTACTGAGATGTCCTCAAAGCGTAGTGCTTGTGTCTGAGACGGGGATACCGCGCCCAAGTAACCTCTCATCGTTGCTCAACGCATGAGCAGCACATGCTGTGCCCTTGGTGCGTACTCACTTGATCAGTCGCAACGTGTGGCAGCAGTGACCAGCCCGGAACGGCAATGCCCAGGTACGGTGCAGCATTAACTGGGGCTGCCAGATGTACATGCAGCGAGGTTGCTGTTCACGGTGTAGTCTCAGGTGCGGCGAAGCGGAGTGGTCTCGCTGACGAGCACATACACGACAAGGTACGAACCATTTTCGTAGTTGTCGCTGCTTGTTAATGAGCTGATGCTCGTCCAAGCGGGTGTGATGAGGTTGGCGTTGTGTGAGGCTGGAAGTTGAAGTGCCTTCAAAAGCTCCTTGCACGTGATCCCGCTTGCTCCTTCCTCGTCAGTGCATTATCAAATCGTCACTGCCCATTGGCCACTGGCCACTGAGGGCAGACAAGAGCTCCAAACTTCCGACTGTACGACCGACAAACAGCACGACCACGCCGCCATCACCCACCCACAATGTCGTCGCCGCGAGCCCTGACCGCGCTGGCGCGCTCGCGGCCCACCACCTTCCTCCTCAACGCCACCGTCGCGCGCTCGGCGGCATTCTCGACCGGAGCAGCGAGGCAAAGACCAGTGGAAGGACCGCCACCGGCAGGTTTCAGGATACCTACACCAAGGAAATGGAACGAGAACAAGGAGAGCATATGGGACTCGGCGGGCAAGTACTTCCTCCTCACCGAGATGGCGAGAGGAATGTACGTATTGCTTGAGCAGTACTTCCGACCTCCGTAAGTCCTTCACTGCCAATGGGTGCAACGGAACAAGGAATCAAGAGTCAAATACTCATTATCGTCTCACAGATACACGATATACTACCCTTTCGAGAAGGGCCCGATCTCCCCTCGCTTCCGTGGCGAACACGCGCTGAGACGATACCCGACTGGTGAAGAGCGATGTATCGCCTGCAAACTATGCGAAGCCATCTGCCCCGCTCAAGCAATCACCATCGAGGCCGAAGAACGTGAAGACGGCAGCAGGAGGACGACGCGCTATGACATTGACATGACCAAGTGTATCTACTGCGGCTTCTGCCAAGAATCTTGCCCTGTGGATGCGATTGTGGAGAGCCCGAATGCGGAATATGCCACGGAGACGAGGGAGGAGCTGTTGTACAACAAGGAGAAGTTGCTTTCAAACGGAGACAAGTGGGAGCCGGAGTTGGCTGCGGTGGCGAGGGCTGATGCTCCATACAGATAGGAGGAGCCGGCGGATGCGGAATGGGGTCGAGAGCAGTCATGAGCGCGGGCAGAAGTGAAGGCCCAGAGCGATGCCGTATGCAGTTTTCTATGTCGCAAAGTGTTACAAATACTGTATATACACGAAAACCGGCACGAACGTTTTCTCCAATGTGGGCTTGGTCTATCCGTGCTACAAGAAGAGAGAGAGATAACAGGTGTGTGCAGGGCTATTTGCTGTGGACAAGTTCTTCTTGCTGCGAGGTCTAGGCATACGACCAAATCTAATGCGCAAGACAATGTCTAGCGTCATACTGCGGGAGTTTTGGACTTGCACGTAGCCTTCAGGTTTGTACAAGTCTTCCAAAAGGCACACTCTGCAGCAGAACGTGGAGCGTACTCGACACCCAAGAATCAGAAGTGCCTTCTCTTGTGACATCTCGTTCCTCCCTCAGCCATAGTCCGCGCGAGACTGGCTTGCAGATGTTCATCAAGTAAATGCCTTCACGGAACTATGTTGCAACGACCTTGTTGCGCTGCTATTGCCACACCAGTTGCCACCAGAGTCCCAGGCGCGATCGAAAACAGATTGCGAAACAGACTCGACTAACAACAACCGACTAACCTGCTCGTGGAGTACGTTGAACCTGAGGCAAGCCTTTGCTGTGCCACTCCGTCATCCTCAAAGCGATCTTCTGGTCTGTGGAAGTCTTGCAGACGAGTGCCGGGCGTCCAAGCCTTTGCCCAGGAAAGAGTGCAGATTGCGCAACTTGCTCGCGAGCCAGACCATGATCTCAAGACCTGAGACTGAGGGCGTGCAACACGCTCTTCAAGCTGGACCCTCGAGGGCGGAGAGATGAGAGAAGCCTCCGATCCCCACGTCCGTTGACGAAATTGTCGCCTTGTCGTGACCTCGTGGACATGACTTCCTGGCCTTACGGGACCCCTTGGGGCCGTTTAGGCTGGCGGTTTCCTGCATGGTGACTTCGTGACTGCATCGCAGACACAGGGCGATCCACGACGCTGCAGGGACTGAGCTGTTGTCGTGCTGAAGACGGCGCTGGTCGTTCTCAGCATTCTCATCGCTTATAGCAAAGGGTTGTGGAGTGCCAACGGACACGAACTTCATACGGTTGCGAACGGTCCAGGCGCTAGTCTGCAGCTGCCACGCGAGACGGCGCGGCTTGCGCGACCTCGCGTCGGCTCATCTCCTGACAAAGACCCCAACCGAATGTCAACACGCGGAATTTCTCCAGCAACAATGATGATTTTGGAGCGCGTTCCCCAGTGCTTCCCTGCTGTCATGACGTCTGCAATGGCATATCTGCGGCAGCTCTCATACCTGCGCGTATTAATCCATCACGTCTGAAACTGCTGCGACGGCATTTGAGGTGCAAAAACCACCAAACACGGGCCTCGAGATTAGGCGGTATCAAAGTTTACCGGGGTGGGCATTGGAGCGACGCCAGTGGACCAGCACCACGATCCCGATGCTCTACCTTATTACTACCCTTCACCTTGCCCGAGCAGCAGCTGCGCCGCGACTACGCTTCCACCACCTTCGCTGACCACGTTCCCTTTCTGCCCCTCATTGATATCCCACAGCGCCGTCTACACAGCGACAAAACTCACATCCTCTGGTAACCGGAGCTCTTCAGACGAAGTCAACCAGAAGCGAGGACCATCGGTTTCGCAAACCTTCTTCGCTTACACACACGAGAAGTCGTTCGACACGACGATCCCACGGAATCGCAGCGAAGTGCTTGGACATATTAGCTGCTCAGTGCTCTGCGCTTCCATCGCACGAGCATAAACTCAGCACACCAGTCAAAGAGTGGTGGCACACGACACGATTCGCGATCCCGGACGATCTTACTCTCTGCCACGCTCTACTGCACGCGCGTTGGGCGTGTCACCTCGTGTCAGCATTCTATAGTGCAGTTTGAGCTTCTCGAATTTCCCTCGCCAGGACCTTCAGGTTTCTCGTTCTTGCTCTAGGTCTTCTAAAGTCATTGCAATTATATCTACAAGTCGAATCTTCTCCACCATGGGTCTCATCGACAAGATCAGAGCAAAGATGGAGCTCCGACGCCTCGAGCAACGCTATACCAAGAGAGAAAAACGCACCACATTTTACGCCAACGCGCAATACGTGGATGGCGAATACGTGTACAACCAGAACACTGGATCAAGCTCAACTTCTGCCAACAGCTTCGGAAACGATTATGTCCCGGCCAATGGAAAAGGACGAAGATCAACGAGGCTCTTCGCTTAAAGGAACGACTTCACTTGGAAGCGCACCAGCACATTACTACGCGGATCACGGCCGTATCCACACGTCAACAGCACTAAGAATGACCGAGGAGTTTTCTACAGCTGGCGGGTTCAGCAAATAGAGAATAATGCTGAGTTCGCAAGCGCTATGGCCTGACCATCAACAAATTGCAAACAGGACGGATCTGGATGCTATGAAGACATTCACTATTTGAGGTTTCGCTAATCGAATGTATTACTTCGAAGGAAGACGGACAGCAGTCTTTGACCCCTCAGTCGGCACAGTACAAATCTACTCAGGGATCCTCGGACGAGACCTGGCCATGATGGACTGCAAGCGGCAAGCCGCGGATGGAGGTTGCGTTGAAAGAGTAGTAGAGGCACCCACAAGAAGACACGATCATTACATTGTTTTTACTCTGTTAGGAAGAAGGATAGCGATAGCCCGGAGCTAACGGGATCAGCGAGTGCGTCGAGATACCCAATTGTCACACATGCAAGCTCATGTACGATATCAATGTATACAGGAAACGGAACACGAGATTGAAAAAGAGTCAACGCAAATTATTTGCCTCTTCCATTAAGTTTCTTGGATCGTGCTAACGAAGCACAGCACGACCACAGCCTCGTCACAGATACCTTCATCTTTTCACCCCAAACTGAGCCTCTCCAAATCCAAACCCAACTTCTTCGCCGCCTCTTCTCTCTTCTGCTTCCTCAAAGCATCAGCCTCCGCATCAGACGCCAAAACAAAATCGTACTTCAACAATCTAGTTCCCTCTTTCACATCATATTGCTCCGCAATCTGCTTATCCACAATCCCCAAATCCACAATCAATGAATCTTTTACTCCAAACACCGGATCACTCGTCTCATATGGATCCCCTCTCGGGTACAGCGCCGTCACCAACTTATCGTACCCCGGAGCCTCGAGCATAAAATGTACATGTCCGGGACGATTAGGATGTCGATTCAGCAGATCGAGCATTTTCCCTACTGGTCCGTCGTTCGGAATTGGATATGGAACTGGTACGACGGCGACGAAGTAGAAGATTCCTTTCTCGTCGGATCGTAGAACTGCGCGACCATCTGGGTGGTCTCGATTAGGGTTTTGCACATCGTAGAAACCGTATGCGTCGCCTTCCCAGACGTCACATTTTACATCGGGAATTGGCTCCCCTTTGGTGTTCTTTACTGTGCAGAGAACGAAGAGGCGTTCGGCGTCTGGGTCTGAGTGGAGGGTGTAGCCGTTTGATGTTACAGGTGCGTCGGCTGTGTGGAAGGGTCCGAGGACGGTGCCTTCGGTGGCGGTTCCTATGCGTGGGTGGTCGATGGCGTCGATGAGGAGACTCAGGCCGAGGGTGTCAGAGAGGAGGATCATTTCTGCTCGAAGGTCGTCGCTGATTTGTCCGACTGCTGTGAGGAATTGGATCCCTTTCATCCATTCTTCGGAGGTAAGTTGGGTCTCGCGGGCGAAGTCGTGGAGGTGGTGGACGAGGCGTTCGAAGATGAATCTGGTTCGAGGGTCTGAGCAGAGGTTGTTGAGGGCTACGACATTTTCTGTGATATTGTCTGTTGTGAGGTCTTTCATCGGAGGTATTTCTTTGGGGATTGGCCGTAATCTTGAGCTGGCTGGTGCCTTCTTGTCTCCGTTTTGGGCGGCATTGCGAGTGGCGTTGAAGTCTGGATTATCGCTCATTTTGGCAAGTTCGGTGATGGGATGCAGCTTCTATCCTCTCTAGATTCGGGTAGGTGATGGACAGATGCAGGACAAATGAATTTGTTTGCTTACTACGACTGCAATGCCATTGATGATGACCATATCAATTCCTACACCCGCGTCCTCGCACGAGTGCGGGCGTGCATCCTGGAAAGTTCGCAGGGTAAGCTGAGGGGCATCACGGAATTGTGGGGCATCCGCGATTTCGGCAGTTGTATGCAAGATGAACGGCCTCACGGATAATCCTCAAAGGCAGACATATCGATGGAACAAGATCACAAATCGTTCACGGCCCGAACGCTTGATACCATTTGCTCAAACTACCTCCACGTCGTCTCATCCAACACGGGATCCTCACCAACAACATCCGGATGCCCCGCAATCCAGTCCGCAACCTCACAACACCTCGCCAACCAAATCTCTCCAGCATCTCTCTTCTTCACCAAATACTCCACCACCTCCTCAAAAACCCTCACTAGATCCTCCGCATTCGTCAAAAACGGATGAAACAAAAACGACAAATACCCTCCCTCCTCAATCGCCTCATCAACCTGTCGAATATACCACTCCTTCAAAACCTCCGCGCTCTGCACTTCCTCCGGAAGAACCCCCTTGAGAGTCCTCAACTTCGCAAACGTCTCCATATAATAATACGCATCAACTGTACTCCACCGAAACGGCAACACCACAATGCTATCTTTCCCTCCTTCAATCCCCACCCTCGCAGCATGATGTCCCGCAGGACTAATATACCGCAACCCATACTCTCTCAACAACTTCAGCGTCCTTTCTCCATGCACAATCCCCCCCGGAGGTCGAAAACCTTTATAGATATCTTTGATCTCCTCTCCGGGTCCGCCTTTCTGCATAAAACCTTTCAACCCCTCATCTCCGAAACTTCGCGCAATGTTTGCGCGCTCGGCTTCGGGGTCGGTGAGTCTACTCCATGCTTCGTGACGCCATGCGTGCCAACCGATTTCGTGGCCGGCGGAGGCGAGTTGGTCGGAGATAGCGGAGGGGTAGACTGTGAAGTTCCAGGATTCGACAAAGTAGGTGATTTTCACATCGTGCTTCTTCAAGATTGAGAGGAGTTGCGGTAGGACTTGTTTGACGGAATAGTGATTTCCGATGGGTTGATCTTGAGGCCAGAGGTTTCGGTCTAGGTCGGCTGCTTCGCCCATATTGTCGAGAGTGACGACGATGGCGGCTTTGGCTCCTTTGGGCCATTTGGATTTTGTGGCTGACATTGTTGCCTTGGGTCTTGTTGTCTCCTGAAGTCCACTGTTGAAGTTTTTGAGGGACGAGGACAGGGCTGTTCTGGATTTTGTTGTGTGAATGCCGGGGGTATATATATGCACCTAATGCAAGTTTTGGCGTTGCTCCACCTTTTCTGAACTGCCGTCATCGCGGAGCTTCCAGCTTGGGAAAGTAGCTCGTGACTAGCGATACCCATGCTCGCCATGTTCGGAATGTTGCAAACTTCTGGCTGTGGTTGACACTCAGCTTCCAAGTGGATGAGTTGACATGTTAGACTCTTTGGGCGGCGACGGTGGTGCCATGATATGTCACAAGCGTAAGATGAAGGACTAGAACTAGAAGGACAACAACGTGAAAGGTGAGATGTCTGCTTCCATAGCACTACAAGGTTCACTAACGCTATGAACAGACGTCGGACCTAGTTTGCACGATCTGTACATATGGCGATGCGGTTTAGCAGAGGTCGAACGATCAGGGTATGTATGGTGAGACTTAACTTCGAACTGCACATCATCTCATCCCAGCGCATGTGCATTTGTGCCGCATCAGTTCATTTGGTGCTTCGTCTTTGAGGACGTGCACTACGCACCTCATGGGCTCGTCTCTGCATACTGCTTACCAGGCCGGCTTTTGACCTTGTTTGCTCCTTGCCAGTGTCCACATGTTCTCCATTTTGGTCTTCGTCAAGACATCTTTGGCCTCGCCGTCAGTCTCGCAAGCTCTACTGCCCCAGCGCTTGAAGCTTCTAGTCGCTTCTTCTCCCTCCCAGATGAGCTCGCATACGTTTGAGCTAAGATCCTTAAGGTTGCCGTCTTCGTCCAGCGGGTTACACCAATCAGCAGCTTTGCTGCCTTTGCCCCGTGTGCCGTCTGTCACATTTGCGACAGAGCCATCAGTGGCTCCAGTGAACGTGGTTGGCGCACTATCCGGGGGAGGTGCGGTGTTCTCGGTCCATTTAATGCGGTTCAAGACGAGCTTCTTGTAGTTCTTTATGCTGTGCACGCCACCTTCCACAATGACCAGGTTAAGCGTGGGATTCAGAATGACCATGCCAGTAATGCCATTTTGTTTTGCGTTGATGTCAAGCTGATATCGATGTTTCCCGGAGCTGAGGTCATCCACGCGAAAGACAGCAATCTTGATGCCCTTTGCTTCATCTCCAGCTTGCTGTTGCTTCAACTTCTCCGCACGTTGTTGCGGGGTCAGCTTGCGCTCTTCGTTTGCAACCTCGTGGTCGTGAGCTCTTTGAGCAATTTCACGGTTCACACGAGCTTCGACTGCAGTAGGATCCTTCACAGCCTGTTCTCCCAGAACGCGCATCATGTTTGACTTTTTGACTTTTGGTGGAGGTGGCTCAACCAAACCGAGACGAATCTTAGCCTGTTCTTCCTTCATGTCCGCCATTCTTCGCTGCCTCCGCAATTTCTTCTGCTCTTTCGTGGTAAGCATGAGGGGTTTGGGCGCGGGCGCGAACTTGTCCTGTGGCGCGGCGAGTAAGACCGGTCGCTGGATCAGAGCTGTGATAATACTGTCCTCAACTTCGATTTTGTTCCGTCCTTCTTGCTCCCAGTTTTCATAGCTGTTTTGGCCTTCAGGCAGAAGACCTTCATCCCACCACTCCACTTCGGGCGGCTCAGGCACGAGGTATGCTTTATCGGATGCCTCCTCTATTTGCGTCTTCCGCGTCTCTGCAGCAATTCTCCGCTTCATCTCCTCCAGCTTGGCTTGCTGACGGAACGCATTCGCCTGGGCCATATACTTGCCCTTCTCGCTGAACTGAATCTGTCTGCTCTTACGCTCGGCGTATTTGCGTGCGGTTGGCGCAAAAGTCGAGTCCTCCACGCCCTCTTCTTCATCGGGCTGCGCATCGAGATATGGGTTGATTTTAGGCTTTTCTGGTTGACGATTGCCCTTGGTAGTGCTGAATTTGGGTCCCTGCTGTCCGGGCTTGCCTCTATCACCACCAGTATCTCCTAGTAACGAGGGGTGTATTCCTACTCCCAGACCACCTGTTGCACCTCGTCCTTCGTTCCTGGGTGGAGGGGTGGGTATGACAGGAGCGGCTCGCCTGGATGCAGCAATTCCCTCTGCGCGGCGCCTTGCTTCTTGCATCCAGGGTGCAGATTCTTTGGGCTCCTTCTGTGCTGGCGGAGGTGGAGCAGCAGCACCATTCACAGGTGTAGGTTTCTTTGCTGCCATCTTCGCTTTCATGGCAGCAATTTTTGCAGCGACCTCTGCCTTTTTCGCTGCCTGATCGTCCGCTGAAGCAGGAGGTGCCGCCGCTGGTGCCGGTGCTGGAGGTGCACTCGCGCCTCCATTTGGCTTGTTGGCAGCAATTCTTGCTTTCATCGCAGCGATCTTCTCCGCGGTTTCTCTCTTCCTGCGCTCCAGGTCGCTCTCGCCGTCCAATTGCCGGACGGGCAGAGGCGATCCATCGCCCGCACGTTGTCGCTTGACATCGCTGCCCTCGCCGTTGGTCTCGTGTGGTCGCTTGCCCGTCATGATACGAGTGGTGGAAGGACCGAGTGAGTCGTCTGTGAAAGTTGTGGAGCGCGGAGGAGAAGTCGCGATGGTCGTGTGGAGGAGGGCATGCAGACTTCGGTGAAACATTGATCCGACGCCGGTGATGCAGCTCTAGGAAAAAAGTTCGAGGAAGCTATTGCAATCCACTGATCCACCGACGTCTAGATGAGAGCGTCGGACAGGCGCGATGAATCCCTCGCAGCCCGTATCGTCGCAGCTGCGCGCCGTGTCTTTTGGCTACTTGTCGGCTGACGACATTCGCGCGCTGTCGTGTCGCCGCATTACCTCGACCACCACCTTCGACACGCTGCTGAATCCCATTCCTGGCGGCCTGTATACCCCAGAGCTGGGTCCCTTTGGCGATAATGCTTGCGCGACGTGTGGTTTGAAGAGTCCGCAGTGTCCTGGGCACCCGGGACACATCGAATTGCCCGTACCGTGCTACCATCCGACTTTTATCGACCAGGTTCTGAAGCTGCTGCGAGCCTCATGCACGTACTGCGGGAAACTGCGCATGAAGCGCATTCAGATCACCAGATACATTTGCAAGCTGCGTCTGGTCAGACACGGCTTGTTAAGGGAGCTGAAGCAACTGGACGAGATCGAGCACCAGGTTGCTAAGAGTCCGTTGGAAGCGAATGTGGCTTCAGACGACGATGCGTCGGATGGAGACTCTGATACCAAGGCCATCCAAGCGCAGCTAGAGCAATGGACCAACAGGACACTCAAACAGGCGAGGAAGGAGGGCCGAATTTCCGAGCAGAAGAGCGAGGCGGTCAACCAGGAGCGGAGAGTGATCATTGCAGAGTTCATGAACGAAATCACCAAGAGCAAAAAGTGTGGAAGCTGTGGTGGTATTGGGCACAAGTACCGCAAAGACCGTGCCGTCAAGATATTCAAGGCACCTCTCAGTGAGAAAGATGCGATCGCTATGGTGCAGGCTGGTCTCAAAGCAAAAGATCCAATGGTAGAGCTTCGGCGGAAATTGCGGCTGGAGCAAAATCGGAAGCGAAAGCGAGACGAAGATGAAGGCGTGGCAGATATGGACAACTCCTCTGAAGAGGATGGTGACGACGTGAATACGGACGAGTCGGAAGGCGAGCCAGAGATTGTGGGTGGTGTTGTGATGGACGATGCCATGGAAACTCCCGCCAACAAGAAATCGAAAGGCGCTGAGCAGGAGTATTTGAATCCGCAGCGAGTGCACGCGCACATCCAGCAGCTCTTTGACTGCGATGGCGAGGTGCTGAGCCTGGTGTATGGACGTGATCGGAGAAAGGATGGCCCTCTCTCGGCCGATATGTTCTTCGTGAAGGCCATTCTTGTTCCACCGAACCAATACAGACCAGAGGCGAAGACTGACAGCAACTCCATCGCCGAGGCCAACGAGAACAGACATTATCGAGACATTTTGACCGAGTGCGATCAGATCTCAGAAGTGCAGAGGGAGCTGACAGGGCACAAACCAGCAGAGCCAAGATACCGCGAACGCACATACCTGGACCTCGAAACACGGTGGATAGCATTGCAAGAGTGCGTCAACAGTTTGGTCGATAAGAACCTTGCTCCTGTGTCAGGTCGAGCAGCAACACAAGTCCCGGACGGTGTCAAGCAGAAGCTTGAAAAGAAGGAGGGTATGTTCCGAAAGTATATGATGGGCAAGCGTGTCAACTTCGCTGCGCGTACTGTCATCTCTCCCGACCCAAACATCGAAACGAACGAGATTGGCGTACCTCCGGTTTTTGCCGTGAAACTCACATATCCTGAGCCTGTGACACAATACAACATTGAAGAGCTTCAGCTGGCGGTACGGAATGGACCTCACATCTGGCCTGGCGCTGTGGCGATCGAGAGCGAGAATGGGTCAGTCGTAAAACTGGAACGAAAGAACGCCGAAGAACGAACAGCACTGGCAAACTCTCTGCTGGCCCCATCAAGCTCTGTCAACATCCAGGGAATACGGCCGAAAAAAGTGCATAGGCATTTGAACAACGGCGATATTGTCATCATGAATCGTCAACCCACATTGCACAAACCGTCCATGATGTGTCATAGAGCAAGAGTCCTGCCCGGAGAAAAGACTTTGCGAATGCACTATGCCAATTGCAACACCTACAATGCCGATTTTGACGGAGATGAGATGAACATGCACTTCCCACAAAATGAGCTCGCGCGAGCGGAAGCATTGTCGATAGCAGACACGGATCACCAGTACATCTCAGCGACTGCCGGCAACCCACTACGAGGTTTGATTCAAGATCACATTTCCATGTCTGTTTGGCTCTGTAGTCGAGACATGTTCTTCGAAAGAGGCGACTATATGAACTTGCTGTATGCAGCGCTGCGGCCTGAAAACGGGCATTGCGTCAATGGGAGAATGGAGACACTGCCTCCGGCGATCATCAAGCCTAAGCCACTCTGGACTGGAAAACAAGTCATCAGTACCGTTTTGAAGAACCTCACGCCCCACGGTGCTCAAGGCTTGACGCTTAACAGCAAGAGTACAACTAATGAGAGTATGTGGGGACCAGGCGGTAAAGGTGAAGCGGATGTGACCTTCAAAGATGGCGAGCTGATCCAAGGTATCCTGGATAAGAAGCAAATCGGTCCATCATCCGGTGGTTTCGTCAATGCTGTATACGAGGCCTATGGCCACACGATCGCCGGACGATTGCTCAGTGTCCTCGGACGGCTACTGACGAAGCTAGAGCACATGCGGGCGTTCTCTTGCGGTGTTGAGGATGTCATCTTCACCAGGAATGGAGAAGTCAATCGACGCAAGGCGCTGGCTGACGCTGAGACTGTAGGTCTTGCTGTGGCTTCCAAATATGTCACGTTGGATGCGCAGAAGCCGAAGAGCGACGATAAGGAGCTGCGCAGACGACTTGAAGATGTTACGCGCGACGATGCAAAGCTTCACACTCTCGATTCGCTCATGAACGGTGAGACCGCGAAGCTCAGTGGTGAAGTGTCCAAAGCATGCATGCCTGATGGTCTTGCGAAACCCTTCCCGAAAAATCAAATGCAGACCATGACCACTTCTGGCGCTAAAGGATCCAAGGTCAACGCCAATCTCATTTCCTGCAACCTAGGTCAGCAAGTCCTCGAAGGTCGCCGTGTGCCTGTCATGGTTAGCGGCAAGACTCTGCCGTGCTTCAAGCCCTTCGAGACGAGTGTACGCGCGGGAGGCTACATTGTCGATCGCTTCTTGACTGGTATTCGGCCTCAAGAATACTTCTTCCACGCTATGGCTGGTCGAGAAGGTCTGATTGATACAGCAGTCAAGACCTCTCGTTCCGGATACTTGCAGCGATGTCTGATCAAAGGTATGGAGGGACTACGCGTCGAATACGATAGCTCTGTTCGCAATACCGAAGATGGTAGCGTTGTTCAATTCCTGTACGGAGAGGATGGCCTCGACATTGGTAAGGCGAAATACATGAACGACTTCAAGTTCACGGCCGAGAACTACCTGTCTCTCTTCCATTCCATGAACATGGGAGAAGCTTTCGGCACTCTGGTCAGCGATGACGCCAAAGACGCCAACAAGGCAGCCGAGAAGAAATTCCGCAAGACCGGAGATCTTGGAGCGTCCGATCCCGCATTGGCTCTATATCCACCTGCAAGACACATTGGCAGTGTCAGTGAGAAGATTCTCGCCGACTCACGGGAGTGGGTAGACAAGAATGAGATGCGCCTCATAAAAGATAAGAAGAAGAACATCGAGGGCACCGTTTCCAAGAAGAACTTCCAGCACATCCTCGACGTTCGCTACATGAAATCCGTCGTGGAAGCTGGAGAAGCTGTCGGCGTTGTTGCGGGGCAGTCTGTTGGTGAGCCATCGACGCAAATGACATTGAACACTTTCCATTTGGCTGGGCACTCCGCCAAGAACGTCACACTTGGTATTCCGCGTCTACGAGAAATCGTCATGACCGCAGCGACGAAGATCTCGACACCGCAAATGACTTTGCGAATGGGCAATGGCACTTCACTGGAAGAGGCAAAGAAGTTTGCAAAGGGTATTTCCAAGCTCACGTTGGCCGAAATTATCGACAAGGTTACCGTGTCGGAAGCGATCGGCACAGGAGTTGCGTACAGTGAAGCCAAGAAGTACGAGATCCGACTCGACTTCTTCCCCAGCGAGGAGTACAAAAAGGAATATGCCATCACGATTGGCGATGTCGTTCACACTATCGAACGGCATCTTCTGGAATGGCTGCAAGCCAAGGTCAGGAAAGAGCTGAAGAAAGCTGGTGACCTGAGTTCCATCAAGGCGGTCGAAAAGGCCATGGCTGCTGAGGTAGGAGAATCTGCCGGTCCTATCGAACAGGAACGCGCGCAGCCACAGGCCGATCGCCAAGGCGGAGACGACGATTCAGACGGCGAAGGCGACGATGACGCTACGCGCGACAAGGCTAAGAGCAACAAGCAGCAAGGCGGCTACGACGACCAAGAAGATGATGAGGAAGCTGCCATCAGGAATCGCAACGCATCTCCAGAGCCCGAGGATCAAGATGACGATGAAGGCTACCGGTCTTCAAGGTCGTCATCTCCAGATTCCGAGGATGACGCGAAGAGTAACGCCAAACGGTCACGAAAGGTCACGGCGGCAGCTCGCGAAGCACGAATCAAGAGCAACGAGCTGACCTCAGACATCACTCATTTCAACTTCGATGACAAGAACGGCTCCTTCTGCACCTTCACCCTTGAATACGACTCATCCACAGCCAAGATTCTTATGCTTGCGCTTGTGGAACAAGGCTTGCACGAAGCTCCCATTCAGAGCGTCAAGGGCATCAAGAACGCTGCTGTGGATGAATCTTCCGACAAGAAACCCGGCAGCGAGGCGGAGCCGCCAGTGGTTCTCACAAGTGGTGTCAATGTCCGAGCCATGTGGGACTACCAGCACATCTTGAACCCTCATTACATCTACACAAACTCTTGTTTCGACATCTTTGAGAACTACGGAGTGGAAGCTGGACGTGCAGCGATCGTCCGGGAACTGCAGGGCGTTTTCGGTGGTCACGGTATCAGTGTCGATCCGCGACATCTGATGTTGATCGCAGATTACATGACCCGAGGTGGTGGCTATCAAGCTTTCTCGCGAATGGGCTACAGGACCAATGTCAGTCCTTTCATGAAGATGAGTTTCGAGACTACATTGGGTTTCTTGAAGGAGGCTGTTATGAATGGCGATGAAGATGATCTTGAGGGCCCGAGCGCGAAGATTGTGGTGGGCAATATCAATCGTATGGGGACGGGTGGTTGTGATGTTTTCATGCCAGTCAGGAATACTGAGAGGGAGAGCGATGACGAAGATGAAGAGATGCAGGTTAATGGTGCTGTGGAGGAGGTGGAGGAGGATGTGGAAATGGCAGACTAGACTACGTGCGACGAGAGGCTGTTGTTCGGCGGAGTTCTGGACGGCATGGGACTTGCAACTGTACTCGATGCAACGTCATTGAAGAAATCATACAGGACAACTGCAAAACACATCTATGAGACAGCGACAAATCCTTTCTCCGTATCCGTGGCTTATTCGAAGACATTCTATCTTTTGACGTTGAAGTCATAAGTGAGACAACCAATCTGTATCTTGCCTCCGACACCTCCATTGTTGCCTGCACACATCTATTTTAGCCGTCGGTCGCCATCAGCGTCCAGGTGGGGAGAGACTTACAGTTTTTGTAATTGTTGGTCAGTAATGATGCACAGCTTTGATCGCCTGAACCTCCCGCATCCATGCCGTTACCATCATCGCTTTTGCAACCCTCGGTCCAGTAAACGTCGTAGATGTACTCTGGGAACTCTACAGGGTTGTGATGGATGTTTGATTCCGGATCTCCAGATCTGATCGTTCGTCCCTTAGCTTTGGCACAAGCCTCCTCGGCGAAAGCTGCTTGGCTTGCGCCGTCAATATTCCCATGTCCACTGAAAGCTGCGTGGCATTGCTGCGCACCTACAGAAGGGACTGCTGGTGGAGCTGAGGATGGTGGCTTCGGTGGAAGCGCTGAGACCTCATCCTTGCCTCGAATGGTATAAGAGTACTTGCCGCACTGCGGTATCAAAAATTCTCCTTTGGAAGTCATGACATTCTGCTGTCCGCCTTGATGACCGCACGGAGAGTCTGCCAGCGCTGCGAAGGCGTGGAGGCAACTTGCGATTGTTTGTCTGCAGCCGTCCACGTTGGATTCGGGATGCCATTCAAGATCGAAGCTGTACGGTTCATATGCTCTAGGGTTCGGTGGTGGAGTGCGCTTCTCAAGAGCGTGTTGCGTTAGCTTTTGAGACCCATGAGCGTCGACTGTCCAGGATACTGGCGATTTCAGATTCGCCCTGAAGCAGAATTGACCGTAGACATTGGTGTCTGTGCTCGAAAACACATTGAACGGTATGCCACTAATGACGTCCTTATTGCTGCATGTCGCATTTCCAGTCCTTGCTATATCGATGGACGTGGTCTCAGGTCGGATGACACCTGGGCAGCTCGGAATGGGAAACTTTGGCTTCTCGGGTTGATCACCGGTGACAGAAGCTGTGACATCGGTGGCGTCTGAGACATCCTGTAGTTTTTTGCCTCTACTGGGTTTCGGCGCTCGTAAGGGCGCGGCAGTCACGACAGGTTGAGTGGGGTAGCTTTTGGATGGTGTCAGCAGCAGGGACAAATTCCAAGCAGAGGAGACCTTACCTGCCAAATTCTTGCTCGGCCCACTTGGCCATGGCAAACCAAGCATAAGAGTCTGCGTTCCGTTGAGTAAAGAAGCCAGGCTTGCCACGATCATAGTTGGCCAAAGTCTTGGTATACTGTGGCCCGTAGCATGGAATGTTCTTATCTTCTTTCTTGAAACCTTTGTACCGCAAGTCGATTCTCAGATCATCCACGAATGGAACCTTCTTTGGCGAACCCATGAAATAGTCCATGTGAGTCACCTCATGGAACATAACTCGGACCCGGTTTTGATAGGCTTCTAGATCTTGGGGATTCAAGCTCCCTTGCTTTATCTGGGTCTTCACCTCCTCAAGCGATTTGTAGGTGAAGAATTGATTGCAAAAGATAATTGTGGGCCAGTCCCCAGAATCTGAGTTATCAGTATACGCTTCCATTTCACCCCCTTCGTCTTCCGCCGGAGGTTCCCCGCCGATACAATCCTGGGGTGGTTTCGGCTTGTCACGACATATCCCTGCGTCGTCCCCTGCTGGGGAGCATGCGACTCTAATCCATAGGTACTGCCAGCCAAATCCAGGTCTAGGGTAATCTGGAGGCCAAAACCAGCCATCGTACATTTGTTGCGCTGATTGATATATGTGCTGGATTTGATTCTTGATCTCGTCAGATATGGGTGTGGCGCTAGAGTGTCCCCAAATCTCCCGGGCTGCTTGTGAGTTCCAGTCTGTGTTCTGGTACAATCCCTTTTGTTGTGCAAGAGTGTAGAAGTCGTCCCACGCCTCGATGATGGCGAACTGTTCATCTTCCCCACAGCCTCGGAACCCGAATAACCTGGTATTTCGCCAGTTATCCGCCGTATAATTACTGCCATCTAGCTGATGTACCGGTGGGTACGGCGGGAAGGGGTCTTTGCTGAAGTCTGGCGCGTAGTCTAATGGATGAAGCTGGCTCCCAGACGATGCCGAGGATCCTTCGGCCCGACGTGAGCCAGCGTAAAGTTCTGAGTGCTGGTGTAGCTGCCAGGAGCCAGCCGTTATCGGAGTTGCTGATATGACGAGGATGTTGTACGAGATGCAAATGAAAATATGCAAGAGGGTCATGGTCGAATATCGTAGAGTCAGGAGCGATACTTGAGCATTCGGTCTGATAGGACTGTGAGAAGTAGAGCATGATACCATATACCCAGTGCTTTATATGCTCCTTCTTTGGTCAGGTTGCCGCTTCTCACGTCGCTGCATCGGACGCAGAAATGGTCCTGTAACACTCCTTTATGCATAGCCGCGTGTTGGCTTTCACTTGAGCAAATCCAACATATGTATGATCTATTGGCCTTTAGTCTCGGAGATCATCGACTCTACGTACAATCAGCCCTATTTTGCACTGGGCCAACGCAGCACAGTCCAGTCACAGTGCGGATTTATGGAAAGCTGTCCTTGTTGGCTTTTCTGCAACCGCCATAACTTCCGTCATATTTGCCTGCGTTTTATTTCTGAGCCTCATGCTTTGCCGCGGCGAGGTACATCCTCTGTGCCACTGCGGGCGCTTGACTGTGCCGCGTGAGCTATAATTGTGACCTGGGAAAGTGGCGACATCGTATTTGCAGCGTGATATCCGCTGCTGGAACTCGTGGGGCGGATGCAACGATGCAAAGTGACAATTTGAGGCGTGCGTAGGCCATCCTGCAATGAAATGGGTAGCCCGATGGTCACCTTCATGTTGGAAAGGGAAGATGACGTCTCGTACTTTTGCCAAGAAAACTTGGCGCCAGGTCCAATACGGCCGCGGCTACCTCCTACAGGTGTACACTAGGAGACCTCTATGATCGATTATGCTGCCAGTGCTAAAAGTGTAAGCGCGCGCCTACCGCTCCAAAATCTGTCAGCAAAGTGCAAGCTCGGATCATTACGCCCTTTGAGGTCAAGTATGCTGCTGTGTGCACCCAGCTCTATTATATCTCATCTCGCTAAGCTACTTACTTGACCATCATGGAACTCATCAATAAGGCATTCGACATGGTGTCCTCCTCGTGGAGTAGCAACCCAGTTCCTCGATCAACAACCGAAATCACTGCAGGAGTGGAAGAACGCCGGCCACCCGTCATTTCTGGCCCAACACCTCCATACGAACCCTGGACCCGTACCTCGATTGGAGATGAGTTTATCGGCATTCGCGGCTGGCCATCTCGAGGAGGAGTGATTGCTCTTGACGACGCTACTGTCGTTGATTTCGAATTCTTGGACATGAATGCACTGGATCCGCCTCTCAGGCGCGATACAAATCAAACGAGGGAGGACGAGTTCTGCCAACAACTCCTGCTTCTTGGAGCAAAGTGGTATGACAGCGAGGAACGCTACAGATATGTGGGTCAAGTCAAATTTGCGGTTGAGAACGGGCTTGGGAAACGTGAGAATGGAGAAGGCTTATCTCCGCCGACAGAAAGGGAAAGTCGTTGGATATGTGTAGGCTGGCCCAGCACTGGGGGGTTGTGGGTGGCCGAGTTCGAGATGGTATGGGGCTTTGAAGGCGATGATGAAAATTTGCCACCGAGTGAACTAGCGCTTGCTAGGGTCCGCCTGGCAAGAACGATGGATGAGAGATGTTTTCTGCTCAAGACTCTCTATGGCGCGACCTTCTATCAAAAGCTTGAGGATTACAAGGGGCAGGGCTTCTTGAGGGCCTGGGAATGGAAGCGAGGGGGAGAGGTGGGCGATCTTTTAATGCCGAAAGAGACAAGGGAACGCTGGTTCGAATCCAAGGGATCGAGACGCCGTCGTGAGGAGAAGCTTGATGTTTAAACAGTGCTGCCCAAGCGTGCACCGCACGCGGCAAGACTGGTAGTATGGCAGCGTGTTATGACCAATCACAATAAAGCGGCGCTAGTGGATGTACGTTGCTGAACATTTCTCATACGTATCCCAAACGTTTTGGACATTTCTGCAAGTGCTCGATGAACAGAGTGGTGTGAATGAAAGGCAGCAATTCGATCTATCCAATCAAAATGAAGCGGCGCTAGTTGATGTACATTGCCAAACGTTTCCGAAACGTATGAGAAACGTTCTGAACATTGTTGCGCTGCTTGAGGATCAGTCGACATAGATCAAGACGAGATTGAACTGACCAATCATAGTCAAGCGACGCTAGTCGTTGAACGTTGTCAAATGTTTCTAAAACGTTTCCGAAACGTATCGAACATATCAACACTGCTCGAGGGCAGGTGTAGGTCCAAATGAGTAGATACAGGAGCACTTTCCTGTCCAAATTGAGCTACTCAACTCAAGCTCGCAAAGTATCTATACATGAACAGGATTGCCTCAGCCATAAATTTCAACTCTCACAGATCTAGATCGCTGCTCCAAACGTCGTCGTCAACTCCCCATCCTCGATATACACCCCCGAGAAATGCCAGCTCTCCCTCGCAAGACTCGGTCCATCAGCTCCAGGCAACCTCAAAACACCCAAATGCCAATCCGCTCCATCAGAGAACGTATTCGCCGCAACAGGGCCCTTGATCAGCTCCAACGCCCCTTCTCCCGTAGAGTGATAGAATGCAACAGTCTTGGCATCGAAGTCGATTCCATAAGCAACATTGTGCCAAACGCCTGCCTCAAGGGTTGCATTCCACTGAGTCTGTCCATCAACGAGCCAGCGGAGAAGGTTTACTGAGCCGTTGTTCTCTCCGTACTTGAGTTCAGTAAAATGGCTCTCGAAGAAACAAAGTTGGTGTTCTTCGTTTTTGGTTGGAGGGTTCGTTTCGGAGTGAGTAATAGAGAAGTGGTAGAAGACTTTGCCCTTATTGATGGGGGCTTTGGTTGATGGGATGAGTTCGGTTCGCATCATATTCTGGCCGTTCCAGCTTGAGGTTTCATCGATGGAGATTATGATTCCTTGTTCTGAAGATGTGTCTGCTGGGTTTTTGGCGTTTGGGCAGAGAGTGATGTAGTCGGAGACATTTTCGGAACCGTGGATGTAGTATTGATAGGGTCCGACTTGGTTGGACCAGGACCAGGACTCTAGAAATGAGGCGTCTGTGTAGTTGTTGAGACGGCCGTCCCAGAGGATAGTGGCAGATGTTGTTGAGGCGAGAGCAAGCAAGACCTTAAGGGAAGACATGATGAATGAGTGAAGTAAGGTTTGTGTAACGAATGTAGGTGCGGTGCGAAGGCGGTGGGGAGTAGGCGAAGAACATCTAATATACCTTAGCATGCTTGAGCGTGTCGCCAAATGCTTGAGCTGCCAAGTTTGCATATATTGCCATCTCTATGACGGAAGATTCATTTTTATTGTGAGGCAACCTAATGTTCATGCCGTGTGGTACAAGTAGATTGTCGAGTGTTTTGGTGGTGCTTCGGATAAATTGCTGCTGAGACATCGGTACATGAGCTCGTACTCGCTAAGCGCCTTTGGGACGTACCTTTGAAGTTTCGTTGTTCATGGTCAATTGAGCCACTTCTCGACTCATAAAGGCGTGAGACGGCAGGCAAGATCCTTTCAAGGACGTTTGGTTTACGCAGCTGTGAGTTCAACAATCGCTGCTCGTTCGGCGTCTGGACGTGTGCTCGTGCTCGTTCGATTTATTTATCGGTTGCCATACCACTCCTGTCCCAAAGGTAGATACTGTACATGCGTAGCCGCCGTGTCAGCACTAGTAAATGTTCTTTAGTATTGCATCGCTCTAAATGCTACCATTGATCGCTAACCCAACCTCAATGCCACTTACAGCGTACAATCTTTCGGTGATTAGTGGCCGGGGACAACGACCGTGGTCAATTTCATTGTCTGCTCAATTTCTCACTCTTTCGCCTGTAGCGAAGCAAAATTCTCTGCACATCGCATAGTCCCGCATTTACCCATCTATACATTTTCTCTATACTGTTCTGCTAGAAACCAGATCGTGAACAGTCTCATGAATCTCATGACGGGATGCCGAGGATCGCCAGTGCCGTGTATCGCATTGGCGGCTCTCCTTCTTCGTAGTGCAAGCGATCACACTCCCAGGTGATGTTGTTGTACGCGTTCATGACGCAGCCGACCGTGTTGAAGATGAAGAACAGCAAGAAGACCAGCCAATACGGCGTGTCTTTGAAGCTGTCACGTCGCACATATGCCTGGATAAAAGTCGGAAGACAGATTGTCGCTGTCACCTGAAAATTGTCAATACCAGCGAAGTGAAAGAAGACGCGAAATCACTTACGATCATCAGACGCTGAAGTCTCACTGCGAGGTACAGATACTGCTTCCTGTCTTTCAGATTGGCCTCATCTCTGGTCCAACTTGCCCTCTGCACCATGAGCGTCGCCGTTTGCAACCACGCGGTTCCCCACAGCACAAGCCAGATTGTCGCACAGGCAATGAAGGATTTCGCTTCGGTCCTTCGGTAACTGCCCAGCACAGCGGATGCTATGCAGAAACACCAGGAAGGTATTGTGAAGCAATAGAAGAGGACGGATTCTTGTTTTCGGCCCAGTCCCCAGTGCCGGATGGGTTCAAAGTATTTGTGAGCAGCGTGCTCTTCCGCCGTCTCGCCAGGCGCAGGTCCGTATTCATCGGGGTGGTCTCGATGGAACATTTGGGCTTGTTCGACTGTGGTCATATTGGGCAGAGCAGGCAGGACCTGAAGTCCTGGGAGGTAGTGGCCAGTTCCAAGGATATGGTCTCCGGAATGCGCGCTAGATAGGTGTTCGCAGTGGTTCTTGCTGGTACAGTTGGCGTTCTATCGGTCCGTACAGGCGGCCAGCCGCTGTTTTCGCGTGTTCTTCGCTTGGAAGTAGGTAGTTGAATGCGCGCAGGAAGTTGTATCTGCTGATGTTAGGCTGACCCAGCACGGCTGGGGCGCGCGTAATAAGCGATCAGCCGAACGCCGAAAGCGCGCTAGTGTGCTTTCGTGCAGCGTGTGCAGGGATTCCAATGTCCCGCAGCTTTAAAGTTGAATGATGAACATGGGCAGCAAGCAGCGTGAAGGAGGATGTAGAACTCTCACCGACATGTTGTCGAGGCAGGAGCTTCACCATGGGCCAGTCCTCCAGCCAGATCACGCAACAATCACAACAAATCGTGATCGCAAGAACGCCCACGCCAGAACTCAGCGACGTTGATCGAGAAGCAGCACGCGGGCAGCCGAACGAGAGCAACGTGATGGAAACCCTATCCGACCACGACCACACCACGACGATACATTGGAGCCCCATCAATGTGCCGCGACCGAACACTGCAGACGCGCCGCCTCTGTCGCAAACCATTCCGTCATCCCAACCTACATCCTCAGCCCCAGCGAAAGTTCCCAAGAAGCGGGTCAGCCAAAGCTCGCAGCGTCGCCTTCTAAGCCCTCGCGTTGTCAAAGTGGTACCATCGGTGGAAGGTAGCGACGAGGAGGTGCAGCCGCAGCAGAAGAAACGCAAGGCTCTCCCAAAAGCAGCGAGAAGCGAGGAAGACGCCGCGCCAGCACGCTCTGGACAAGTGAAGGCAGATCGGCGCTTCAGTCCACTTCGCCAAAACAAACCGCGCACAACCGCGCGCCGAAGTCCTACACCGTATCATTCGCCAGTACCGCCACCGCCGCAAGTCGTCATTCCTTCGAGTGAGATATTGGAAGCCACGCAGGCGCAGGCGCTGCTCAATCACGTCGAAGAGTTGCAAGGGCAGTTGTCGAGGGCGCAGAGTCAGCTACAATCTCCTGACAAACACAAGCATTCACAGAATGGCCCAGATGCTCTGAGCGCAACTGGGAAGAGCGTGCTAGCAGAGCTGCAGAATAACAATCAGGGAAGCGATTGGTTTTCCAAGATCGACGAGGCTGTTGCTGAAGTGGAAGCGGCACAAAGCAGATCGAAAGACGCGGATCAGGTGCAGTTGGCTGTAGGCCAGATCAGTGAAGCGGAAGAGAGAGGTGCAGCCCCAGATCAGGCTGAGGGACCTGCTTCATCGGGTTCCACAGTGCCATCTACCACTGCAGACCCTGTCCAGGGTCGTTCAATTGTCAGTGAGATGAAGGCTTCCTCCGAAGAAATAGAGGACGACCAAGGCACGCCGGGAACAGAAATCGAGCAGGCTGAGGAAAGTGAAGAAGGACTGGAAGACGACAGTATGGACGACGACGCAGGCGAAGAACAAGCCTGGCCCGAGCCTACCGAGGACCAAGTAACAGAGTATATGCGGCAGCGCAAGCTCACTGCCGATGACCTGGAGACCGAGGAGCCCATTGCGAATCCACAAGGCGAATGGGAGACGCGCGAGAACAAGCGCAGAGCAGCTCGGAATGCATTACGCGAATACATTGTCGAATGCAGCCTGGAACGTGAGCTCTACAAGGGACTGGCAAAGTATGTCATCAACGAGGAAGGCGAGACGTCTGTTGTGTACGCTGCCCGTGGGGAGAAGTTTCCAATCGCAAAACACACGAAATCAGAGAAAAGAGAGGCCAAGGCCAAGAAAGAAGGCATGAAGAGCACTAAGCACTTCTTACACGAGTCAATTGCCCAGCGTGATCTAGAGCTACGCATGATGGCAGAACAAAGGGCTGCCAACAGTGCAGCGCCCCAAGGCGTTGAGCATGTGTCTGTGACTGTCCCAACTGCACAATCGCCGGATTCGGGCAAGGAATCACTGGGCCAACAGGAGCATTCTGAAGACCCTATGGAGATTCAAGCCGAAGACGAAGAGCAAGATCGACCGGAGACCCAAGAAGACGATCACGACCAGCCCGAAGACTCTGTGTCGCTTCAAGAGGACGACGACGATGTGGAAGCTCACAGTGTTGTGGACGCGGCTCAAGAGGATGTCGCGGGAACAGAGGATGGTGATCCTGAGGCTGAAGAAATAGAGGTCAACAAAGCAGCACTCGGGCAGAAGGCGGACGAGGTGCAGGCGGAAGTGATGCACGCTGATGCCGCAAAGGACACCGAAGCTGGAGCGCAGGCCGACTACGACGCGACAGCCCCCGATGCGGTCGACAAGCCTCGGAAGACAACAAGGAGCAAGGGCAAAAAAGCAGCAATCAGTGCCAAAGAACCACCTTCTGCCGTCGTCGACACGTCCACCGCAGCGAAATCTCCAGATCCGGTCGTGAGGAAACAGCGGAAAGTGGCAAGACCACCACGCGTACGCGTCAATCCTGCACTAGCCGTCCCTGCCGTGATCCCCACGCCTCCAACATCTGATCAAGGCGCCCATCTTCTCAACACTGCAACGCAAACGTCGAATGTCGATGAATGGCTCGCCGGTCAAAGTCAAGAACCTCCTGTTCCGCCTGAGGAACTCGAGCAGTCTGTGCCTGACGCCAAGATTTCTCGGAAGCGGAAGCGAAATTCTGGGGAAGCAGACTTCGAGGTGCCACCAAACGAGGTCGCGACTGAAGACTCCGATTCGATGGGCACCGTCAGCAGCGCCGCGGCACAAGAAGCAACGCGTAGCAAAAACAAGCGACGACGTGAGCATGAGGTTATGGCGTCAGGATCGAAACCCAAGAAGCGCAAGTCCAATGACGACGGACCCGAAAAGCCGGCCAAACCCAAACGCCGAGTGACAATGAGCGGCCCCTTTACTCAGGAAGAGAAGGAGCTCGCAGACAAAATCTTCGAAAGCGCCATGCAGAAGGAAGGACTCAGCGAAGCTCAGCTCATGGCGCAGGTGCAGAACTGGAAGACTTGCGGCTGCTTCAAGACTGACATGTTCGCCGCCTTCTCTGATCGCTCAGTGGAGTCCGTTCGCAAGTTTTGCCAGCGTCGTTATCACGGACAACAGCGCGGTCCTTGGACTCCAGAGGACGACGAGGCACTTCGGTCCGCTTATGCGAGGTACCCACTCAAGTGGACAGCCATCAGTGACCTTGTGGGCAGAACTGCGCAGGACTGCAAAGATCGCTGGAGGAACCATTTCGAATTTGCACACAAAGTCTTGGGTCCGTGGACGATCGAGGAAGAAGAGCAACTTCTGGCCGCCGTTGAAGAATGCATCGACGTGATCAAGAATGAGCAGCGAGACGATCGTGCGCTTCTCCGAGATCGCGAACGTCTGGAGGCTTTGATCAATTGGAAAGTGGTTTCCGATAAGCTCGAAGGCAAGCGCACCACGAAGCGGTGTCGTGAAAAGTATCTCAAGTTGCGGGCTTCACAGGCAAAGGCCAAGAACAACGATGTCTCATGGAGCACTACACAACGAGCCCGCGACGACGACAATCCCTCCAAAGTTGCTCAAGCCAAGCGTGCGCTCAAAGAATTTGAAATTGGCGACTACTACGATGTATTCGTCGAGATCCATTCTTCTTTTGATAATCCCCATCAGCACTTCCGTGACGAGAAGAACGTGGTCTGGTCCATCGTGTCCTCTAAGAATATGCACAGCCGATTCAGTCTATTCTCATACGCGAGTCCTTTGCGTAGGGTGGCTCTTGAGCATGCAATCGCAAACTGGCCAACCAACAGCGCAAAAATCAAGCGGAGGCTCGAGAAAGTGGACACTATACCTGCCAAAGCCTTGGTGCTGGCGAGATGGGTTGAAAAACACAATGCAGGAAATCTCGACGCCATCACCCGTACCTTTAGGACGGAATTGATCGGTAAGACGAAAGAGGAGATTGATACTATCAGGAAGTCTCGCAAGGAGAGGTTTGGGCAAGGACCTCGGAAGAACAACGGCAAATCAAGAGACTATGTTACTGAATCGGAAAGTGAAGACGACATGGAGGATGTTGCACGCATACCTGCTGAGGTTCTGGATGACGAGGACGATACTCATGAAAGCGACGACGATGTCAAGGATGATCATCGGGCCCAGGAGGCTGGACACAGTGCCTCGGAGGAAGACGAAGATCCTTCAGAAGTCACGCAGCAGGTGCCTGATACCCAGTTCGAGGACACTGGGTTCGTCACAAGCGACGCAGAAAGCTTGAAAGGCAGCCCCAACATGGCCCCCTCAGCTTTCATGGACAAGCTCAAATCCAGTGGCGGCAGCAGCAAGCGCAAGTCGATCGGCTACGGTAAGAGGGACAGAGTGAAGGCGGAGAAGCGTCGAAGCAAAGCACACTGAAGCATAATGTACTTTTGCGATCCATCACGAACATTGCCGACCTCGCGCTGGATCATGAATGCGCGTGGGTTCATCACGCTAAGACGGCCATTTTTTCGCCTATCGCTGGTCGTAGTCTGGGGAGCCTTACTAACGCGAACATTGTACGGTATTGCTGTATACATATCCGTAGTTCAACTTCGAACATGCCACCGGCGCGATGTGCGATTGACCTGTCCGTATGATTATCACGATCTTGTGTGCCTACGGCTAATTTGTACTCTGAGTGTCGGGAGAGCTGACTGTAGCGCAGGATGTTACCACTGCAGCTGTCTGCACAATCGTTGCTGCTGGCGTGACGACCCTGGCCTTTATCCTTGCAAAAGCACGATCGGTCTGGCTAGGATGAAGCGCGACTCCACTTTCCGGTGATCCGCCTCAGAGCGCCTTCGAGGGTCGTCGCAAATCATTTCAGATGCATTGCGTACGCTGATTAGAGTTGAAGAGCTGGACCTCGGAAGCCTTCGAGCAACTCCGTGCGTGGTTGATTTCTGGCGCGGCGGACACTCCTCCAACATAGAGGACCTCGTCCGCAGATCCGGAGGCTAACGCACCTAAGCGAAGATTGAAAGCTATGACTTGTTGTTGAGGAGAGTGAGCTGAGGCCGGCCTTCAGCATTCCCTTTCACGTCTATCAGAGAACATCGGACAGCACGGCAACCCGAGCATGCAGCAGCCGACAGACCGCATGTAGTCGTCTCCGACTCCTTGGTCTCGAAATCCGTGATGCCGCTGAGATGGGAACAAGCCACTGGCGAAGCAAGCAATATGTGTACGACCAGTAAAGCATGCCGTCCCGCGAACCGGCATCTTCCCTTGACACCTGAACACCGTTACTCTTGACAGCATCATGCATGCAGCGCACTACTTCCACTCCCACCCGATGTGGTAGATGCAATCGACCCAGTGCCGAAGCATCGGTACCCCAGACGTGAACTGATCGTTTCTGTGCTGACGAGTCCATTCGACGAATTGGAATCTGTGGCGTGATCTGGCTTCGCTTGATCAGGCGTCTTGCGTCCGGGACAAATTACGATACCACTCATCAAACAGAACACCTGACGGTACACGACAACGACTCGAAGATCGAAGACGAACCAGTGCTCGAAGCACGCGCGGACTCAATGCGAATATTACCAGTCAGAAGCCTTAACGCAGTGGAGCTGAAGATTCCCGCGCCAGCATGTAGAACGCACCCCTGTCAACCTCCACCGCTCACGAGATTTTGTGCTCCGTGAAGAAAAGAGCGATTTCCCTGCACGGCCAGATCGATCTTTAGCTCCAAACTTCCGCAATCCCCCTTCTGCACGCTGCACATTATACCCGCCACACTGGAGCACGTTGACGGGCGCAGCCAGCGCGCCGACTCGCCACATGGGTGTGTAGATCTTCACCGTCTCCGCTCACATGGTTCTTTGCTGCACGTTGTGGCAGATCTGGTAGAGTGAGCTTGTCGAAATCCCACGCAGGCCCGCTGCGTCTTCTACATGATGCAGGACGCCGGTGTTCAGGATCTTTGTAGATTGCTTGAGTGATGGTTCTGGAATTCGATGACACGCATTCGATTGCGGAAGGGTATATTTGTGTGCGTCGTCTGCTGCTTTGTGGCACGAGTTCTTGCCTTTCGCGCTGAGCAGGTCTTATATCACTATTGCTTTACTTGTTGAACTAATGTGGCTTGATTCTTGAGCAAGGTATTCGATCGGCGTCTTCGTCTGGCATTTGGACTTGCTCCTACTTTCCGTGAGCTCGATTGTTCCTCCATATGGTTGCCGAAATGTCTCTCTCAGGTGGCGGCTTCAAAGACATCGACCTCGAAGAGATTTCCAAATGGCCTACTCCTAACTATGTAAGTAATATGACCCTCCACACTGTTCCAAAACAGACGCTGACCATTGTTCTGACACTCTAGATCAATCCTGTGCGGCGAACATGGATGCCAGCTTTTCTGCTAGTATGGCAAATAGCAGTGACGATCATGCTATCGGGGAGGTTCTACCTAAGGGCAAGAAAGTTGGCTGGAACATTTGGTCTTGACGATGTGCTCGTCTTCCTCGGATACGTGAGTATGCGAGATGGTCAAGATACAACAGATCTTTCTGACCCGCCACTAGTTATTCGCCATCGGCATGACTGTGGCGACTTGGATACTCACAACAGAATATGGCCTCGATAGACATGCTTGGGATAACAAAATCGATTGGGCGGTCCCTGCAGCTTTGGTATGTCACTGAACAACGCCGTGACTATGATGCTCAAGGCTGACCAGAATTCAGACCGGCTGGATAGCTCAAGTCCTCTTCGTAGCAGCAACCGTCTGCACCAAACTCTCGATCCTCCTATTCCACCGCCGCATGATAAAAGAGACGCTCAACCGCCGATGGGTCTGGACACTTCGAGCCGCTTTCATTTTCACCTGCTGCTATGGCGTTGGCGTTTTACTCGCCTACATCTTAGCATGCCGACCAACAGACGCGATATGGAATGCTTTCAGCCCTACCTACAAGAAAGAATATACCTGCATCGCAACTACAAAAGTTGCCGTCTGGGCCGGCGTCCTCAGCGTCATCAGCGATCTCATCGCAGTCGCTGTCCCCTGCTTACTACTCAACCACTACAACCTCGCCATCTCCTTCCGCCAAAAGATCGTTTTGAACTTGACCTTCGCACTCGGATTAGTCGCTACTGGAGCGGGAGTCGCTCGGACATATTACCTCTGGAAAATCCGAACAACAATGGACTCAACCTGGGTCGGACACACTTTCTTCGCATGGTCGATTGTCGAATGTCAATTGGCTATCATGTGCGCTTGTGCACCCTCGCTCCGAGCTTTCTTCCGAAGATACGTTCGCGATACGTTGAAGAGGTCTTTTGGGAGCGGAGTTTCGCATTATGCTACTGGGACGGGAGAGTCTTTTCATAAGAATTCTCAGGCTTTGACGGAGGATCATAATGGAAGGGTGTATCAAGAGTTGAGACCGCTGGAGTCGGGTGTACATGGCGTTCAGTATCCTCCGCCTGTGATACTGGATGAGAGTGCGTATGAGCGGAGAGTGTCAAGAAGGCCCGGGACAGATGATGCGATGCGCTACGATGCGGTGATGAGATCTCGGTCGCCTTCGCCTGTTGTCACGACGCCGGATGAGTTTGAATGCTATGCGAACGAGCGTATGAGCAGACAAGGGCAGATGATGCGAGACAGGCAGTCTCGGACGGAGTCAATAGTGGTCAGGATGGATGTTAATAATGACGGTGATGAGATCAGCAAGGACAACGGTAACAGAAGCGGAAGTGGGCGACAGTACGCGGCAGCGAAACGATGACATGACTGAGTGCAATGAAACAAAAAAGAAATAGTTCAGACGTCGAGGAATGAATAATTTCCACTTCATCTCGTGCATTCATTTCTTCTCTATCACGTGTCGAGCCATGTCGACGCCAGAGTCTATGATTCATCTTTCGTCCCTGGCATTGATCTATCGCATGTTGCGCATAGCTGCAGATGAGGACAAATGCCGTTCCCCGGAGACGCTTGCTTGCCGACCGGAACGGCGGACAGTCGCCTCGGCCACGTTGACGCTGTGTCACACAGGAAGATTTCCTTCGATCCATTGCCATCTCGCGTGAAGAAGAGGCGTCGAGCCACGCGTAGCAAACGCAAGCCATCCTCCCAGACCCATTCTTATGCCAACCACGCCTTCTCCCGCATCGTGCGTCTCTTCCCTAGAAGACCTTATTCATGGCTGCATGTGCCAATTCCACACCCAAAAACGTCGCCGCATTCGCAGGCACCGCTCTCGCCATCGCAGGACCCAACCCAGGGAAGAAAGCCTTCACACCACCTTTCCCATAAATCTCCTTCACGCACGCCGTAATCGTCTGCGCCTTATCCGCACTCTGCAATTTCGACTTGATCGTATCAACAGGAAACACAGCCGTCCACATAGCCACGCCAGCAGCTCCACCAGCAGCCATAATAGCCGTCAAACTCATCTGCCCGGGCTTCCCCGTAACCGGATCCTTAGGCGTCAAATTCTTCTTCAAAATCTCATACGTCGCGAAATATGCCGCCGAACCCGGTCCATCACGAGCGAGAGTCATGACGCTACCGCGGTAAACAGAGCGGATTCCACCTTCTTTGTATAATTGTCTGACGACGTCTCCGCCGCCGCTGTAGCGCGGTTTCTCGCCTGGTTTGAGCTCTTTTTGGCCTTGGATTTGGAGGATGATTTTTACGCGTTCGAAGGGCGCGGTGATGGCTGTCATGGGGATGGCGGAGAAGAAACCTGCGGCGCAGACTTGGCCGACGGAGTATTGGCCATTTTCGACTGTGGAGAAGCGGTCGACGAGTTGTTTTCCTACGCCGTAGGCCCAGAAGTTTACGGCGACTGTGGTGGGGAGGAGAAGTTAGGATATGTGCTTTCAGTTGTCGTGTGGGATGGTTGAAGGTGAGAACAACTTACACATGGGTGTTACACCTACGAGCGGTGCAGAGACACCGGCGTAGAGCCCTCGCACGGGACCTTCTCGTGCAATTGTCTTCCGCACCACGTCCATTGCTCCATTGTAGACGCCCTTCTCAGCTGTCTGTAATCGCACCTTGACCAGATCGAAAGGATGCCCGACAACGACTGCACAGACTCCTCCTACTCCTCCTGCTATCAGGTCTCGCAAGCTCTGGTATGCACGTTTCCCTGTCTCCTCTGCTATTTCCTTGAGCTCTTCCTTCGATGTGGGAACTGCCTGTTTGGCATCTTGGAGAGTCTGTTGTGCCGTGTCTTTGATCTGATCGGCGGACGGGATCCTTTGCTTCAACTCAGCCGCCTTGTCCTTTGCAGACTCCTTGACATTGTCTGCCGTGGAAGAAGTCATACTGGGCTACGCCAGCGAAGTGTCCGGTATCGGGATGCTGCTGTTCGGTCGTCTTCGGTGCTTAGGATGTTCTGCTGCTGAGGAAGAGGCTGGAGGGACAATGGGACGACGGGAACGCTGAGCAGGATCTGAACCTACACACTCGCTTATCAAAGAGGAGGCAGAACGCGCACTCAAGATATTTCTACTTGGTCCGTAGCTAGGCACACGTCGCTGTTGCTAGCCGGATAGCGTGCATTTGCTTGGGAGCTCAACTTTGTGCCGAGGTCAACAAGGTTCACACGTTCCTGGATTGCGACAAAGCCCGTTTCGCCGTGCTTCCGAATCTCGTCCGACTGTTATTGCTATTTGATGCGAGACCTATACTCCACTTCCATCCAAATGACCGGCTCACATGGGCAAAGTGAGCTTGGACACAGCAGCTCAGCTCTGCGAGTTTGTGCTTTTCACATGCGCTCCCGCTCCCTGACGTACGCTTGGCAGAGAGCTACAAAGAGCTCGAACCGGTCTCCGGCACCTTTCATGGACGGCTAGGCATGTGATGGAAGTGGAGCGCTTACAGCCGGATCTCTGCCACGGCACACTCAAGCACGAGATTCGACATTAGCATTGCTGACGTTCCAGTCGTTGTGAAGACCGACAACGAATACTGAAGCTTGTGTTCACAGCGTCCTCATATGAGCTAGACATCGATATATTTACATGCAGGCCGCCTGTGTTGACAGTATGTCCTCATACCCATTACATCTTTCTTTGTGAACAGCCTGCTCTTGTCGTATTAGCCCTGAAGCTCGCGTTCAGGTCGCGCTGTAGTCTGTATCTCATCCCCAAGCTCATCAGTTGGAGTCTGGCCCAGTATGAGCACGTGGTTGGCCTCCGACTCTCTGTGTCTTGCTTGGTACTCCGTGACCTCTCTCGGCACTGAGGATTCGAAGCGTCTTCTTCGCGCAGACACCGCAGGCCTCTTAGTTTTGAGGCTGCATCCTCGCAATCGGTCTCGAGGAGAGAGCCAGAGCTATCGCAGCACCAGTCTGCATTTCGCTCGGCTGGGGGGTCGACGGTTCTCCAGAGTCATCTCTCAGCCCGCATGCCCATTGACACGAGTCGCTTCTACCTTGCGTCCATGGAGTCCTTTACCCACGAAAGTATCCCACCTGGGTCCACCAAGTTCCTCTCGCGCACGACGCTGCAAAACCAACTTCTGCGCAGCCTGTCTCAACATCGTACTCGGCGGCGCATACGTGTCGATGTTCTTATCATATGGCCGGCTCAGATACTCCTCCGTCACCTCTTCCATCATCGTCAAGCTTGCTCCGCCTGGCACAGTGCGCTCTTCTCCGGTCTTGGGATCCGTCCACAGCCCTCGATCCCAAGAGTCCAGCGGCATATTCTCCAGACCGTGCGAGACATTCAAGCGCTTGTACCAAGTGTGTTCGCCTTGTGCGTACTCGCGCATATGCTGGTGTTGGCGTTCACCTTCCGTGTACTTGATCAGAAGATTCTGTAAGACCGCTCGCTTCTCCATGAAATCGTTGACGACTTTCATGCGGCCGAACCAAGAAGGCCAGTTTGTTGCGAAGCCGTCTCGTGCCTGGTTTGGTCGTCCTGTACCGACGCTGAGCATGAGTGCTGGCTGCTTGGCTTTACCTTCGTACAAGGCGTGGAATTCGCTTAAAGCTGCTGCGCTAGGGTTGTTCTCTCGGATGCCACCGTCTTTGAAGTGGACTTCACGCTCGACGCCAATGTCGTCTACTATGGCTTTGACCATTTGGAAGTAGAATGGTGCGGCGGATGTGGCGCGAGTCACTTGCCAGATAGGTATCGCATCCGCTCCTTCGTTGTATCTAGTGATCCAATTCGGTGTGGACTCTCCGTAGAATTGAGGGTACGATCGCAGGAGGTAGGCTTCATTGATGTTCTCGTTGTGGGTGGCCGCTAGGCAGCATGATTGGCAGACACGAGGCTTATCAACATCAAATGGGACAGGCTTGCCCATAGCATCGACTGAATTTAACTCCAAAGGATGAAGGTCATTCCCGTCACAATTCTCGTGCTCGTGGCAACGACTACTCACGATATCTCTCACTGCCTGCTCAAGCGGCTCGTGGTGGTATTTGGTCCTCAGGGGTATCGAGCTGCGTTTCGTGCCGAAAAGGTCGTTGCCAACTTTGCGATACAGCTCGAGGGCTTCGGTTACTGACATGCGTAGTCGCCCGAGGATAGTCGCGATCAGGCCACCCGTCGATGTTCCGTACATGAAATCGAAGTAGTGACATGGAAGAAGCTCTTCCTCTGAAATGGCTTTCTTTGCCGACAGATCACTGGTGAGCTCGTCTTCGGCTATTGCTGTAGCAGCTCTCTGTGGCGCAATTTTGCTCTCGGGAAGATCGACGTCGACGCCGTGGGATTGTGCGGTTTGATAAGAGTCTTTGCTTGACTGATTGTGCGAGCCACGTCGTCCTCGTGCGGCTCCCGACTGCGCTTGTTCGATGTCGTTCATTTCGCGAAAGGATGTCGGGCTGTCGGTGCGCATTTCTGTTGGGCTGTCTGTCCGTATCTTTACTGTCGAGTGTCCATCGTAGTACTGTTCCCATACCCAGATCTCGTGCTGCAGGTATCGTCAGCATCGCTCTCAGGTGACCTGTTGTCCGCTTGACGTGCGGATGCGCTTGGGCACTTGTGGGGAGATGGCCACTTACCATCAGTGCCTTAAGGATGAGCAAGCTGCTGTATCCGCGTATGCCACCCCCATCGCACGTTAATATACAGGGGTCCCATGGATCTCCAACGCCTCGTGCCCATACCCTCCCTGCCTTTTCTGAGTCTCCCGTCTCTTCTCTCCTCGGGACACTCGGTGCTCGCGATGAGCCTCTCGTTTGCGAGCCATTTCCACCTGCAGCCGCCACCGACAGTGATGATGTACTGTGATCCATAGCGGGCGTAGACCGCAGGAAATCCCACGGCTTCAACGGTATCGCATCCACTTTGTCGACGCCACTATGGGCAATGGACCTCTGTTGACAGCTGCGCTACTATTCCAATGGGCTGGGAAAGCTGACGCGAAGCTGGTATTGAATTGACTAAGCGATGGCTGCCTGGCTCTTTCTAGGTGTATGTGTATCGCTGGGATCCGGTGGTCGAGCGAAGGGCGGTGGGCTGTGCTACTTGGGATCGCGGTGGGTTTTGAATATGTTAGCTGAGAGAATGATCGTGTCGAAAGTGACGCGCAGTAGTCTGGCACACAGGTCCGATGGGAAAGTCACATGAAAGTCGAGGTCTCGGAATGTAGGAGGTGCCGGGTGCTTCTTTCAAATAAGGCCGCCCTTCTTGAGTCTTCTGGTCTTGTGATCTGCCTTCTGCACTGTGGGTGTGAGTGAAGTCGTAGCAGTCTGGGATTGCAAATGCTACGCTAGGACGCTATGCAAGACACGAGCGATTTATTGAGACTTTCCTACAGAGGACAAGTCGAGCAAACATGCGCGAGCGAGGACAGAGGTCCCCACAGGCACACTACTCACCTTCAGCCTCGTGACGGCTCCATGGGAGATCTTCCACGACCCGCGCCGTAGGATTCGTTCTATTCTCCGCCCGGTATAGCGGGTGTGGCTCAGGCAGAAAGGGCTGCTGCATGCAGTACAGTAACCCGCATCTGCAGCATGGCGATTCGGCGAAGCAGTGATTTCGCCCAAAGCGAATGCGATTCTCCCAAGCGAGCGGATGCCCGTTTCACAGTGCACTCTCGGTGCAATCAGAAGGCGGCAGGCGGGCTGTGCCTGATCCTCCTGATCCTCCGAGCACAAAGATGTGAGCATTCTTAGCAATGCCGGTGACTCAGGCCTGACCGCCGACCACGGTCAGAGGCGCGGATCGCATCGTCGTAACAGTACTTGGGTACTTCGGACAGTAGGCCATGGGGTGCAATCAGAAGAGGTGATGGTGTCGCACAAAATCATGTGTGAGAAGCGATCGGAAGGTGTGTGGCGCAGCATTCACGGAGTGGCCTGTGCAGTTGCCAAGTCCAAATGACGAAGGCGCGTTCCTCCCCGAACACGACACATCAGGTGCACACGGCAGCGACGTCCGGCCAGTCTCGATCACCAACGCACACCGGCAGTGCCTTGCTGCTTGCCTGACTCTTCGCCTGACGCCGAAAAGCGAGTCGCTACATAGCGCAAGAGGCGCACGCCCGTCTTCTCCATTCTACCACCACTTTCGCAATCTGTCTCAGGCAGTCGGTCTGTTGGCCACAAGACGTCCAGCAAACAACACAAAGACTCTCCTAACCTCGTAGCGCTCGGGTCTTCTTTCGTGACTCACTCTCTCAACTCGTGCCTGGAGGCCGCCAGTAAACAGGTCACGCACACCATCATGGCGACGCAAATAGACACCGGCGCAACGAGAAACGCGACAGGATTGACAGATTCAACGCATAGCAGCACTTCGACTACTGCCTCCCGATACGACTTGGACGAGGAAGATACGAGTCCGATCTTGCTGTACAAGTATCGCGGCGGATTGCAGACCTCGTCGCAAAAGGACTTGTGTGCTTGGTTAGACAGTAAGTAGCGATCGAACAACACTTGATTGGAGCTGAGCAGCCCTTCACATTCTAACACATCCCTCCAGAAGATGAAAACTTCCGCGTCACAAAGAAGGAGATTCCTCGATTATCATCATACGTCGAAGTGAAGCGCCACGATCTCTTCCTACCGAACGAGCAGGTCGAATACCGCAACACACCGAACTACGATTCAAATCTTGCATCAATCAAAATACCTGCGATGGCATATTGGAGTCGCTTGATCTTGGGAGGATATGACAACCTCTATATTGTCTCGCCCGAGACGTCGCCAAATTCAAGTATCGCAGACGATGACAGTCGGAGACCAAGTCCTTCGACAACTTGGGGACAAGACAGCTTGGAGGATGCACGTATTGGTGCACAGGATCACGCGGCGCTGCAATAACCGCTTGCTGGAGGGTTGTTCCTTATGAGCGCATGACTTGATGAATAGCATATTCTATGACAGTAGCTGATATGAACGAGCACGTACACCTTCATGGCTGCGCGAGTGATCGCGCAGTTCAAGGTCTCAATTGTGTTTTCAAGAGAGATGGTAGCTGTGAGGCATACATGTCTCCGTGCCAGCATGGGACCAATACCTGTCGGCTGGGGATATGCCAAAGCAATACTGATAACAGAGTACTGCTATGATCGAGTCAAGCAGAAGAATTGCTCATGTTCATCCTTCTCGGTTTGCTTGTTAACAAGGGACAGCAACATTCCCATGCCACGCGATGTCTCCACATCACATTAGAGCATACACTGTTCGCCTTACGAACCACGATGGCGTGATAGCTCGAACGCATATCGCCGAGGTTACGACGAGAAGACGTTATCAGTATGGATCTCAGCAAGCTCAAGTTCAACATCTTCCAAGAACAGCGAAAAAGTAAAAGAAATTATCATGAAGCAACTATCCGCCTTCGAGCGCGCCGACATTATAGGTCCATACCATGCCCCAGAAGGACTCTATGACTATACCAAGACGCTACCATTCCTCGGAACTGTCAAAAGCAACGTCACGAAACTAATTGCAGGGCAATGGACAGAAATCCTACTAACATATGAAGTCGGGGCTGCTGGCTTAGCAGATGGTGCATGGATCAAAGCGACTTTCAAATTCTACTCTGTAAGTTTGATCACCCGTCATCTCCTCGAACTAAAAGAGCCTTCAGACATCCGGGAAGTATCTAAAACTAAATATCAATAGGACTGGGCCCTCTTCCAAACTTCCGACCGCACAAAACCAAACTACATCTCAGCAGAATACATCCCGCGCGACCTCCACCCCAACCAAACTCCAGCAACAGTCCAATCCCTCAACATCCGCTTCGACCAAAAAGGCCACGAACGCCCATTCCAAAAAGCCATCATAATCGACATCGTCGACGGTTATCTCAACCCCGGAGATAAAATCCTCATTCGCTTAGGCGATAGACGCTATGGAGGAAAAGGGACTCGAGTTCAGACTTTTGTTGAGAGGAAGTTTAGGTGGAGATTTTATATTGATCCTGTGGGGACTTCGAGGTTTGCGCCTATTCGGCCGGATCTTGAGTGGGAGATTGGGGCGGGGGAGATGGAGAAGTTGAGTGTGGGGAGTTCGAGGTTGGTGAGGCCGGGGGTGGGGTTTAAGGTGTTTGTGCATGTGGAGGATGTTTGGGGGAATGTGGTGAGGGATGTGGAGGGGTTGGTGTTTGGGTTGGTTGTGAGGGAAGGGGATGAGGTGGTGTTGAGGCGAAGTTCGAAGGTGCCGGATTCTGGATGGAGCAATGTTGTGTTTGAGGATCTCACGCTGCCTCGTGATGGACGGTATACTATTGAAGCGGAAGCACGGGGAAGTAACGGAGAAGTGCTGCTGAGAAGCACAACTCCCATAACTGCTTCACAGGCGCTGGGCGTACCGAGGATCCTCTTTGGCGATCTCCACGTCCACTCGGACGACACAGTAGGCACAGAAGATTCGACCTACAACTTCACATATGGCCGAGATATCGCTGGCCTCGACGTTCTTGGCTATACCGCCAACGACTTCCAAATTACCAAGCAGAGATGGGAATCGACATTGTCATTGATCAAAACACTTAACAAGCCCGGCTCATTCGTGCTCTTCCCTGGTACAGAATGGTGCGGCAACTCAGCTGCTGGCGGCGATCATAACGTCGTCTTCCTCGCGGATCCCGATACCCATCCACCACAGTTCCCATTCGACAAGCATGGTAACGTAGCACGTTCGTTCGAATGGTCTGAAGACGGACCCGTGGACCTTGTTCCTGGAGCTTGGCCACTCGACGAGGTCTACGCAACATATGCTGCTGACAGCGAAGACCACCTCTTGATCCCTCATGTGGGAGGTCGGCGCTGCAATCTAGCCTGGCATCATCCGAAACTGGAGCGCCTTGTGGAAATCGGAAGCGCTTGGGGACATTTCGAATGGTTGTTACAGGACGCTGTGCGGAGAGGCTGGAAGCTAGGAGTTTGCGCCAATTCGGATGAGCATCGAGGGAGGTGTGGTGGAGGTGTACCTGGTACTGCGGTGTTTGGTACCAAAGGTGGTTTGACGGGTATTCTGGCCTCTTCGTTGGACCGACAGTCGATTGCGGACGCTCTGCGTGCGAGGCACACGTTTGCTACTACGGGGCCGCGGTTGGTGGGACTTGTGACTACGGATGGGGGACAGGTCCAGGGAGATGAGATTGAGGCTTCTGGGAAGGTAAATTTGCACTACGAGTTCTTCGGTATCGAAGGCTTCTCTTCCATCGAAGCGTTTGACGCGACGGGTCGGGTCTGGAAGCGTGACATGTGGCAGGAGTCAGGCAAGGATTGCACCATACTGCGGGTCTCGTGGGGAGGCGCGAGGCTTTACGATCGCTATCGCGAAGCTGTCTGGGACGGACGAATAGATCTCAGCGATGATGTGACGATCAATGGGACGACTGCATTCGGTGGCCTGAGCTACAATCCTGAAGACGAGATCAAACAGGATGGATCGCAGTCAGTCCTTTTCGCCAGCCGAACCAGCGGTGACACCGACGGAGTGCACATGTCCTTCGCGGGAAATCTGCCGAGCTCGGTCACAGTCTCTGGTAGTATCGGCGGATATGTCAAAGTCGGCGATGCGCTTGCTGGCAATCTCCATAAGCCACAGCCAACTTTCAGCATGAACGCCGACGTAGAAAAGCTTCTTCATCCTGGTTGCAAGCGTATTGAAATCAAAGGAGGAGCTGAGCTCTTCGTCTCTGCTGAGCTTGTGCCAGATCTGCAGCTGCCACTTGAAGTGAGCGGTGAAGTTGAGTTCGAGGGCAATGCGGGAGAGGAAAGAGCTGTGTATTTCGTTGCCCGGGAGTGGAGTGGCGACAAGGTTGTCACAAGCCCGGCATTCGTAAGGTACCTATAGAAAAGATGTATTGGTGTGCAGGAGCAGAAACACGTGCGGCGTAACCTCAAGAAGTGAACTGAAGTGAATGAAGGGCCGAAGCGGCCCCGCAGTGAACGTGCAGTCAAGCAAGTAGTGCCTTACCTAGGAGGTACTTCAACGCACAAGCTCGTTTGCGAACTCCGCGACAACATCAGTCAACACATAGACACTTCCAACACCTTCGCGACACGAGCAAAAATCGCCCGCGCACGCCCAAGAGCATTGCCAAAACCTCAACAATCATCTCAACAATCGCCGCACGGCGATATGTCGTTCGCAAATGAGGTCAAAGACTCCACCAAAGCCATCAAGGATTTCGCACACATGCAGCTTAGGTCGCAGTTTCCGTATATGAAGACCGAGGGCATTGAGGAGTTGTTAACGAAGACCACGAAACAGCTCATATCGGGGCTTGAACAAAAGTAAGAGAATATTTTGCACAAACAAGTCCTTCTATGTTGCTAATAGAATGTTTAGGGAGCAGGAAATGCGTGCAGTTCAGTCCCGCACAAGCTTTTTCTCGCTGTCTGCAGAGCTGCGCAATACAATTTACGAGATAGCTTTGAAGGTCGAGGATGGCATCGATGTCTCCCGAAAGATCGTCATCCGTCAGCATACGGGACTGCTCTTCGTGAGTCGACAAGTTTACGAGGAAGCAATCTCAATCTGGTACGCCGTCAACATTTTCAAGTTCGATATTGGTGATCCGTATTACTGGCCGCATTCGCAGATGGAACCCGAAGACAGGAGCCCTGCACCACAAGATGTCAGCAAGTGGCTCAGGAGCATCGGAACCAATGCAGCTTGGATCACGTCCATCTCACTCGAAGTGGACCTTCCCGACCAGAATCCAGCTAAGAACCTCTGGGACCTACTGACCTTCTCTGATCTTGAGTTTACCGGCCTGACTCTGCATCACGCAGTGCTCAAGTCCGCGGACTTACTTGATGGAGATATGGACCCCAAGGTTTTCACAATGGCGTACCGAGGCGAATCAATGTATGATTCAGCCCAGGACTTGTACCAGGCTGCAGACGTAGACGGCAATGAGCTGCTCACAGATGAGCTTTGGAGCAAAATTCTAAGGAACAAGAATTACTACTAAGATGTGCCTCATAGTCGGCAGTGGGCTGAGGGAAAGGTCATTCTCAACCTCAAGTTGCATCTTTGCGGCACATCGAGAGCAGGTATGAAACAGTCTTTGCTTGCACGGCGGGAGCTGGGGTCGCGCTGCATCGAATGAAGTAAATAAGTGAGCTGACGCAGACCCACAGCTTCAGTAGTTCCGCTGTTCTCCAGTGGGCTCACCGTCAGCCAGAACTCTGAGTCCTCCTGGATTTCCAGGCAACGGGCATGACGATGACAAACGGCCATGGCGAACGACGTCCAAGGTGTAAGGCTGGTGGTTCGAAGGCTACCATTGACGACCCAAACACGAGCGAAAAGGCCAATCAGAATGCAAAGGAAGCGGCTCGAGGATACGCGAATACATCGAGGCCGCTGGACTGAGACCCGAATCATGATGAGAAAGTACGAAGACAACAGATAACCATCACGTGCTGTGCAGTGCACAAACAAATTTCATGTCGTGCGTGCCGTCCCTTCTTCCGCATACTCTATCATGCCCGTCTATTCTAAGTTCAGATCAGTGTACCCTCGGTCCTTGACCTCCGTACACCTCTGTCTATAACCTGGTCCGGACCCAGCATATCTCACAATCGTCCTCTTAGTCTTCCCAGGAACATTCCGATTAACACCACTCATCCAAGAATCGACCTCCAGCACCAAACTTCCCTTCGAGCACTCATGCACATGCTCCGTCCACTCCTGCACCTTCTCCTCCTTCGCCTCCGCATACGTAACCCCCTTCTCAAAACAAAACTGGATAAAATCCCCGACCCAATTCACAGCAAATTCAATCGACCTCGGAATATTCCCAAAAGCCTGATGAGGTCCCAGAACAGTATTCATATTCGGAAATCCTTTGATGAACAACCCAAGATAAGTCCTCACTCCATTCTCCCAAGCATCTTGAATCCTCAATCCATCAACTCCTCGGATATCCATACTCGTGAACGGTCCTGTCACAGCATCAAACCCTGTAGCATAAATCAAAACATCAACTTCAATATGCTCTCCAGTCTTCAATTGAATTCCTGTCTCCGTAATCTTTTCAATCGGCTCCTCATTCGCAATATCAACCAGTCTTACTCGTGGATCGTTGTACGCTTCGAAATAATTCGTCTCAAGCGGCAAACGTCTCGTACCCAATCCATGGTTCTTCGGAATTAATTTCTCTGCAATTTTAGGATCGTTTACTCGTTGGCGGATTTTGTCGGCGATCCAAGCACTATAAGCCGCATTGGCTTCACGATCAAAATTGATATCAGCGAAGTTCCCTAGCCATTTTCCAAAGCCGGGTTTGGAGTACAAGTCTTCCCAAATGGCGTGCCGTTCTTCTTCGGGGACTTCGAGAGTTTTGCGGGTGTCAGACATGTGGATAAAGCCGGACCAGGAATTCGAGCAGCGTTCGAAGATCTCGGGGTATTTTCTTCTGTATTCTGCCATTTCTTCGGGGGAGATGGGTTCGTTGCGGAGGGGAGCGGACCAATTTGGTGTACGCTGGAAGACCGTGAGGGATTTGAGGTCGAAGTCGGGTTTTACAATTGTTTGGATGATCTGAATTCCTGTTGCGCCTGTTCCGATGATTCCGACGCGTTTTCCTACTAGTTGTTGGTTTCCGTCTGCTGGCCAGCGGGAGGGATGGAAGGCTGGGCCTTTGAATTGGTCGACGCCTGGGATTAGTGGTAGTGTTGGAGCGCTGACGATACCCATTGCTGTGATGAGGAAGCGAGAGGTGTATGTCAGGCCGTGGCTATCTGTCAAGAGCCATGTTCGACTATCTTGCTGCCAGTGAGCAGACAGCACTTTGGTGCTGAATTGCATGTATTGTCGGAGGTCAAACTTCTCCGTTAAGTACTGTGCATATTTCAGTGTCTCTGGCTGAGGTGCAAAGGTCTCTGTCCAGTTCCACTCGTCCAGTACTTCTTTTGAAAATGAGAAGCCATAGCTGACGCTCTCTGAGTCAAAACGACAACCCGGGTAGCGGTTCCTGAACGAAAGTCAGTTATGTACGAGGAGATACTGCTCCTACACTCACCAGTGCCATGTACCACCTTCGCCCGTGGCTTCGTCCAAAGCTTTAACTTTTAACCCCAGCTGCTGCATTCGATACAGGGTATAGATGCCGCTCAAACCACAACCAATGACGAGCACATCGTACTCTGGCTGTCCTGCTGGCCTTTCAATACTGCCCATTTTGAATACCTTATGACACTTGTATCGTAGGAAGTCGTGAGAAAGCGCCTCTGCTTAGAATCAAGAATGTTGATGCTTACGAGGCACTGAGGCAGGGATGACTGTGTCGTACTAGGGTATCAGAATACAGAAGAGTTTTGTATGCAAACTATCAAGCTAGTTACTCCTCACATCTCCAAGCGATGGCATATGCTTCTCGAACCTCGGGGTTGCAAAGCGAAGTGACTAGCCTATCATCTATTGTTGAAGTGGCCAATTGCCGTGGGTACCTCAAGCTATCGGCCGGTCTTGGGCCCGAGTCCGGCAGCTCCAAAAGGTTAATGCCGCATAATGTGTTGTCGTGTTTTACTTTCGACTAGGGTGCCTGGACAAGGATCATTGCGCTATCTGATCTCGCTGCTGTTGTTGAACATCGAGATCACTGTGCGACGGTGCGAAGATGAGACACAATGCGTAGATCGTTGATGACCAGCGCAGCGCACATTTGGGCACGCTGAACAAGCCTTTCACATCCCTTCGAGTAGACATGCACTACTTGAGTTTGATATCGAAGTGTCAAGACATGACTTATGCCTAGATCGGGACTGAGAAGAGCCGCTGCATGTTCATGAGCTCGAAGCCTTTCATCCTCCGCAGGCCTCGCTTGATGAGTGACAAGAAGAGTATTGTGCGCATGGAGTCCGCAGTATCAGTGAGGAATGATGAGAGTGTCATCAACGTGTTTCAGCAGGCAACTGAGAAATGTCGCAACTAGAGTGTAGCTTGCGAGCCATGACTCAAAAAATGCTTCTCTTGACTGCATGACGTCCAGGACTGCGCAGGGAGGTCTGATGTACTGACCTTGCATCATGAAAAATCGCATATTGTTGCAAGCCATGTGGGCTATGTGCCATGAATCCTGAGTGCTGTTCCGTTCAGCGTCCCAGACCTCTGTCTCGTGGAGCAGAGATACTGGCGGCGACCGGGCTCAATTGGCAGCTAAGCTGCCGGCCGATATGCCACTGATGGTCACTCAGGAAGCTTCGAGACTGGTGCTCGCAGGCCACGCAGGCCAAAGTTTGTAGGCTACAAAATCAGTTCTTGATTCATGGCTGCAGTCCTGGGCAAGTGGGTATTTCTGCCAGAAACTGCTTCCCAAGCAACCAACGTAAGAGCTTCGCGTGGATGTTCTTGTGAGCGACATGCCGTTCCGGACCCCAAAGCTGTTTATTCCAGTGTCATCAGTAGCATATTTCAGCGGATGAGGAGGTGTTGTCGTGTTTTCGGCAGAGGAAAGTTCGACTCGTGGAAACGAAGATGATGGGAGTCGGCATTTCCGTTTTTGTCGCCGCTCAGTGGCATTTCCCGTTCTGTCTCGCCCACATCACTTCCATCACTTCTCCTCATCAACATACATCCTCAGATGACTTCCTGTGTGAACACAGAGCAAATTCATGGTATCCCGCAGCGTCGGAGATAATCAGAAAGATGGTGCAAAGCACTGCTTTTCACCTTCCTCAGTGCTCGGACCGAGCTTACACGTACCAAGCCCGAAATGTCGATAGACTTCGGCCTGCGAGGTCGATAGCTTGCTAGACGCCGTCAGTGAAGCAGTGGAAGCAAAAGCAGCTTAGGTCCAGGTTTTTCTCCTCTAAGTCCTCTCTGAATCACGACATCAAGTCTCGAAATTGTCCCGCATGTCGAGATTTCGGAAAGCCAGAAAACATGTCCTCCTCAGGCTCAGGAAAACAACTGACCCTCTTCATAACAATGAAGATCAAACCCGACAGAATCGAAGAATGGAAAGCAGCTCACAGACCAGTACGATCTCTTCGTCTAAAATTTCTCTCCTTCATGTCAACACTAAACCCTTCTCTAGGTATGGGCCGCGACCGCCGCAGAGCCCGAACAACTTTTCTTCGACCTCTTTGAAGATCCCAATGACCCCGGAACGTTCCGCTTCATCGAAGTTTGGTCCAAGGACCGCGAATGGTTCGAAAAGGAACAATTCACAAAAGACTACTACAAGACGCTGTGGCCCAAGAGCGAACCGACGTGGAGGGAGCCGGTGCAGGTTGAGTATTACGAGCGTTCGGGAGACGGTCTTATGACGTATCGGCAGGGCTTTTTGGATTTGGGGAAGAAAGTGGAGTAGGGCGAAATGCAATAAGGCGTAGAGAGGGCTAATCGCCATGGCGCTGGTATAGTCGAACGAGATCCAATGACTCTAGAGAAGGTCAAATTGCAAGGCGCTCTTCAACAAAATACCCCTTCCATTGCCAAGATTTCGGCCTGCTCCTAATCACCGCAACCCGGATAATCGAGCACGGTGATACTCTCAGAGACCCCTCCTTGTCAACTTTCGAGTTCGCTGGTGCTGTTCCAAGACTCGATTCAGTACGTCTGTTCCTCTACAGCAATGCTTAGTCGAGACCACGAAGGCTTACACCAGCTTCTAGAAGAAAGGTCCGTACACTGACGTGTTCTCGAGATATATCGAACAACTCGGGCTACAAACAGTGAGTGGCATGGACGATGTGCGACGCAATGAAGTCAATTTTTGGATTTCTGAACAAACTTGCAAGCTTTCATCGATGCTTCGTATTGGTCCTGTTCCAACTCAAACAAGAGCTAGCATTGTCGGGCTGTAGCAACGCTGTCTCTTGACAGCGTGATACAAGCTGCTATAGCAGCTTCGCCAATGCCAGCACGTATTGCTGATGCTACTGCTATCGCCGTGAAGCAACGCAACGCTCGCTTAGAGAGTCTTCCTCACAATGTCGCTCAGCTGGAAAAAGCCTCGACTTGTAGCGACGCATCGCATGACGTCGCTCACGTACGCTTCGCAGGAGACTATGCGCTGCCACGATTCATCTTTAGCAACCAGCGAATGCAAGCGTTGCGTCGTTGCTCTGGTGAGGGACTGATAGATTTGGTCTGTGATTTGGCCCTCAGTCTGCGAATACGCCCATGCTGCGACGTCAACAAGTTCTTGTTCGTTCACATCACCGGTGAACCGAAGCTGGAATCTGAGCTCTTCAGCCATGTACGCTGAGAGTGCTGGACACACGTACTATGATGAGCAGTTAGTCACATTCTCATTCATTTGTAAAAACAAAGGGCTTCCTACTTTATCGCCAGCCATGTGGATGCAGACAGCGAGCTTGATGCGCTCTCCGAAGCTTCCCACCAGCTGCTCTCGAATTCTGTGTTGCAAGCCATACAGGAAGAGGAGAAGGCTTTTCACCACCGCAGCGCTCTCTTGTAGGAAGATCATCCTCGTCTTGGATTCTTGGAAATCCCTGGTGCAAGCAGCCCTGAACCAAGACGATGCGGTGCAGACGATACTCCTGTGCACTTTGAACTCAGTGTCTCCGGCACGCACGATGAGGTCGGCAAATTCGCCGTTGTCGAAGAGGCTAGATGTGGTCAATGAGGGTAGTCGATGAATGAAGCGCGTCAAAAGTGCTTACCTTTCCATCATCGTGCTCAGTCCTGTCTTGTCTGCTGCCATATTGAGGGTGTTCGTACAAAGATCTTAAAGAGCGGACAAGGGAAAGCCGCAGTGACTGTTTTAAGCCATCAGCTTGTTGTGTTTGCTGCTTGCCGTCACTTATCCGTGTTTCAGAAGCCAAGCCACATTCCGCTCGTTCCAGAAAGTTCAATCACTTCAACGTGAGAAGTGAAGTCTTCACCTTTCACACCTCCAATCACAAGTCAATCAACCCAGCCCCGTTCTCACTCCCCTTCCACCCCTTCAACAACTCCCCAATCTCCCCCTTCCCTTCCACATCCGCATACTCCGCCGCCGTCTTCCCATCCGCATTTCTCAACCCCAAATCGCACCTCCCCGTCTCCAACAACAACCTCGCAATCTCCACACTCCCCTTCTTAACCGCACAATGCATCGGCGAATACCCATTATCACTCTTCGAATTCACATTCGCCCCCGCCTTCAACATAAGTTTCACACATTCAACCTTCACATTCCAGCACGCAACAATCAACGCCGTATCACCATTCGCTGAAGCAAGTTCAATATTACATTTTTGCGATAACATGAATTCCAAGCATTTCGGATGACCGTTTCCTGCGCAGCGGACGAGAGGCGGTTGAGGAGAATCGGAGGTGGAAGGGACGGGGACGTCTTCGATGTCGATGGGGACGCCGTATTCGAGGAGGAGTTTGACGACGTTAATGTGGCCGAGGCCTGCGGCGAGATGCATAGGTTGGACGTCGACTTTGTTTACTGCGGTGGGATTCGCACCGGCGCGGATGAGGATGCGGGCGTTTTCGGCTTTGTCGACTCGTGCGGAGCGGTGGAGAGGTTGGTCGTTGTCCATGTAGGATGTGACGCTTGCTCCTTTGCTGACCAGGTATTCGACTGTCAAGGTGTTGGAGATCTCGGCGGCGATGTGGAGTGGTGCTTGGTTGTATTGGCCTTTCGCTTCAATGTCTGCTCCGGCTTCGACGAGGATTTTCACGCATGGTAAGTGATGCCAGCGGAGTGAGAGATGGATGGGCCTGTCGCCCTCGTCCGCGCGAGGGTCCAGGACGGCGCCTTTGGAGATTATGTACTTCAGTATTTCAGGTCTGTTGTTGCGGGCTGCCTGATGTATCGCACTCCAGCCGCCGGCTCCTCTGGCTTCTATGTCGGCGCCCTTCTCTATCATGGCTTGCGCGATCGCAAAGTGGCCGAAGGCCACCGCTACGTTCAGAGGCTGGTTGCTTGACTTGTTTATGGCGTCTAGACGAGCACCTCGAGCCAATAATAACTCTGCCGCCGCAGTAGTGCCTTGTTCAGCGGCGACATGTAGTGCGGTCCCACCTTTGCTCTCGAAAGCCTCGATATCTGCGCCTTTGTTGAGCAGCAGATCGATAGTGACCGTCATGCCTTTGAATACAGCTTTGTGAAGAGGTTGATCGCCAGCGTGATTGATGGCATCCAGTTCCGCGCCTCGAGAAATCAGCAGATCGGCAACAGCAGCAGCGTTGAACTCTGCCGCAACGTGCAACGGGCTGTCTCCGTTCTCTGCTTCCGCTGCTATATCGGCTCCTTTGCTCAGCAGTAGCTGTGTCGCTATCACATGCAAGTTCCCAGCCGCATGGTGCAGTGGATGCCAGCCGAGATACCCAACACACTCGAGGTCAGCTCCAGCTGTCAGAAGTGCTTTGATGACCTGCAAATCGCCCTTGATAGCGGCCCGATTCAGCGGCCAGTTCCCATGCTTGTCTTGCACATGTATATTCGCTCCAGCAGTTCGAATAAGGTACAGCGCGACTGGAGTCTTCTGCTCTCTGCATGCGAGATGTAGTGGTACCATCCCATCATTGTCGTTCGTGGTAGCCTCTATGTTTGCACCATACGACACTAGCACTTTGACCACCTCTAGACTGCCGTTGTTTGCAGCCAGATGTAGTGGTTGCAAGCCCTGGGCATTTCGCGCGGATAGATCAGCTCCTTGTGAGCAGAACGACTTGACCTGGTCGACCTTGACATCGCGCACAGCAGCGAACAGCTTCTCACTTAGTGCTTTCTGATCCGGATTCGAAAGATCCGGCGCAGCCTGTGGTGTGGCAACTTCTCGGATCGGCAGTGAAGAGGGCACAGAAGATGGACTCTGAGGTTCTATTTTCTTCTCAGGTTTATGGTGGTCTACCACAACGAAGGAGGCATCCTCCCGGCGTGTCTCGTTATCGTTGACAAGAGTACGAGATCCCGTCGACGCCTGAAAAGAATTAAAGGCTCTCCGATAAGCTGGGCTATCCACGACTTGATCGTCGAACTCAAACAGAGTAACTTCAGCGCCACTGAGAATGCTCGGAACGTACTTCTTGCGGTATGTACGAGATCTTCTCACCATAGTCTCGAGGGCAGCCGTGTTGTCACTCAGGATGCGCCGTACGTTGGTCAAAGAGTCTCTGGGACACGTTGTCAGCAATATTCTCATAATGGTGAAGAGGCCGCATACGCCTGTGTGGCCGATAGCAGCCCAGTGAGTGCTTGATTCAATCCTCGCAGCGTTTGCAGCCTTTCTGTGAGCTCTGCTTCATTCCACAGAAATTTTGCTTTCCCTAGCAGAGTACGCCCGGTCTTCGAGGCGCACCTGCCCACTGTATCGGACAGAGCCACGATGGTAACATCGCAGCTCTCCAGCGCATTGCGCAAATTGTCTCCTAGAGAGGGCACGCCAGCATCGTTATGTGCTGCATCTGTTAGTTTGCTCGAGAATGCCGTCGGATCCGCTTTCACAAGGTGTTCGACCTGGCCGAGCGTCGACGAGATGATGGCGCATTCTGCAGATATTGCGGTCAATGTAGTGTTCGCTCGATTGGCTTTGCCTGCTATGTCGTGGATTGAATTGCTCACGCGGGCAGTCGCGATGGCGAGACTTGACACAGCAACTGCGATGGACAGCGGATCCATAATGTGGCACTACTTTGACACATGAAGGACAAGAGCAGTACTCTCGGATGGTTGGAGGTTGCTAGTCGCTCAGCCCTGCCTTGGCGTGGCCTTGAGGGCGGGTGTGGCGGTAGCTCAGCTGTGCTGTATGCGGTATGAATCTGCAGCTTTAGCACATCGCGAATGCGAGCTCCCGAATTGGTATGTGTGCAGATCGCAGGCATAGGATGTTCATGAATAGCAACTTGTTGCTTGCCCTTGCCACAGAGATGTTTCCGCTGTGTGTATTGATGTGACTTATGCAAGGCTGTCAGCGCAGGCGTCTTGATAGTTTCCAGATCATCAGCCAAAGTCCGACGCAGTCCTCTCAAATATGCAAAGTACTTCACGCGCATGCCAGGCCGGACCTGATGGCCTCTACAGATCATCCGGGTTGAAGCCCTCGACGACCGTTCCTCTCCTCTGCACATGTCCGCCAAACATCTCTTTCGCCCTCCTCTCCTCCTCCGCCTTTCGCGCCTTTGCTTCTTCCTCCTCCTTCGCCCGTCTCTGATCCTCAATCTCCTGCTCCTCTTTACTCAACTTCATCTTCGGATCTTCTCCCCGCTCTACCATCTTTTGAACATCTGCCAGTGCTCCTCTGTTCATGACATATTGGTTCGGCCAAGGCTGGAAGTCCGCGTCGAGGTCCGGGTTCAGCCATGCCAGATCCTGCTCTTGCAATGACTTGTGGCCGACGTTGCCTTCGGCTTTGGTGAAGGCGGGGCCTTGGTCTTCGGCTTGAGGTGTGGAGAGGCCGTTGGAGATTTGAGCATTATTGTCGCCTGTTGTCTCGGCTGCCGTTATAGAGTTGGGGTCCGTAGACTTCGACTGCGCTTGCGCGTCATCTTTGAGCGGTTTGCGGTATGTGGGTGGTACGGTAGTCGGCGCAATGTATTTCGCGTATGTGAGGAGTTCGTGAATGTCGATCTGTGGTTTCCGGTCTTTCGGTCTCGTGTCGATTGCGGGAATTGAGGCGATGTCTTTGCGCGCTTCAGCGAGCAGGCGGAGCGTGGTTTTGATCGTCTCGTCGAGCGACTCGGTCGTCGCACGGAGCTCCTGGATTCGGAGGTAATTCTGCTGATGTCTGACCACTGCGCTCACGATTCAGTATCTTGATGGTATTCATGCTGTAGTGCGAGCCTACAGTCGTCCAAGTTCTGCTTCACAGCTTCTTCTGCCGCAACAAGCTCATCTGCCGCGGCGAGGGAGGGGTTGTAGGCCGCGATGGAGTCGGTGAGCTTCTGTAAGCTAGCGTCTATGCGCTGATAGCTGGCCTGGAATTGTGAAAACATGCTGGCGACGTTGTTGGTAGAGGTAAAAGAAGTCGCGTGTCGTGTGTCGCGACGTGCTCAAAGCCGCAAGGATCCACTTTCACATGCCACATGCGCCAAGCCACTGGTCAATGGCCGTTGAACAGGGCTGCGTATCAATAATGCAGGGGGATTAAATGCACGTGAAAAGTGGATAGTGAACATCTGCTGGTTTATATCTATATTCTAAACAGCTTCGCAGCTCACGCCCCATAGTTCAACGCCTCTTCTGGGCTCAGTAGATTCAGGTACAGTGAAACGAGGTCTTCCGGCTCCTCGAAGAAGTCGAACATCATGATGCCCAGCCTCCTGCCCTTCATGCTGTTGAGAATAGGAATTAGCTGTTGGTTTACCCCTCCATCCGGCGTTAGAGTGCCATTGCCGAGGGCCTGGATTTCAGGAGTGTCAGGAGGCTTGTTACCCGTGTTCGTGCTCGATGCAAAGCCCCAGAACAAACTGTCAGGATGGTAGTCTGAGGCTGCTCGTTGAAGGTGAGCCTCTGTAGCATTCATCTTCATGCTGATGGTAGTCGTGGCTGGCGAGCCAACTTCAGCCATCGGATAGAAATAGTCCTGGATGTATGCCGTTTCCTCTGTAGTCTCGTTGTACACGAGCTCAATGTCCGCGCCGTTGACAGTCCATTTCTTGGGTGAGAAGTGCAATCCTGGAAGAGCACTCTCGTACTGCTTCTGAATGAGGTCAAGATCGAAGCGTTTGAGGAGAGTGATCTTGCCTCTGGCTTTCGCAAGAGTGCCCAGCTCTCCCTTTGCTTGCACGATATATCTCTTCGCGGCGGGAGAGCTTAGAGTTTCATACAGAGACAGTTGTGTCTGCATGTCGTCGCCTCCACCTTCATGCTGAAAGGATAGAAATAGAGCCTCACTGGGATGGAGATCCAGCCAAGCATAGAAGGCGTACATCACGTCTTCCACGGTTGCAGTTTCGGACTGCAGAGCATTGCCATGCCAAAAGACCATTGTCGTCCTCGTCACATCGAATGCGTACCGAAGGTCAAACACACGGATTCCAGCGTTGAGCATTTGTGAAAGCGACCTAGACTGGCATTTGTAATTGGCCGGGTCCACAGCCGAGATATGTGCAAGGTCGTTGACATATTTCAGCGCCTTTTGTGTAGCACGGCTGTAATTCCAAGTGGCAGCATCATGTGCTCCGGGCAAGTTTAGGTGCACAATTCTCGTCTCATCGTGGTACGCTTTCATCCACGTGGCTGTCGCCGGTTCCACGGTGTTGGGTAATAATAGGCTCGAGGCGTGTCCGAAGATGGGCGAGGCATCCTGTAACACTTTGTCCAGTGCCAAAGATGAGAGGTAATGCTCTTCAGGTGCACTGTAGAAGGTAGGAAGCCCGCTCGGTAAGCCCAGGAATGGTCCGGACAGGCGAGCTATGGAGGCGAAAACCAGGAGACCGGCAGCAATGACACTGAAGATCACGCAGATGCGCCATGCCGGAGTGGTGAGCGGTTTGAGCATCGCAGGCCATGTCGCAGGCTCGCGAGCCTATGTCGAAGCATCCATCGCAAGTCAGACGGGTTGATCAGTATCACGCTGCGCTCATCACGAGACCGATGTCGACCACATTGAGTTTGAGCAGAGTCGTCCCTGACAATGGCGCAAGGAGGCGCACCGATCCGATCCGCCCAAACCATGTCTGGTTGAGTAAGACGGTAACTGGTTCCTGGACGGCAATAGCATGCTCAGTCGAGATCAGGAATCAATGTGAAGGTTGAGGGCGATAGGGCTGAGTACAGCGTGGACTTGATGGGAGCACTGGCCGTAGTTCCTGCTCACCAAGAAGAGGTCGTATTTGTGCTGGTGACACAGCACGTGGGAGCGGACTTCGTTCGAACTTGGCTCGGCCAAGCCTCGACACAAGCAGCTGAAGGCCGTTGCACTCGATTCAGAGCTCCGTGCAGATCGCTCTATCACATGCAAAACCTCCGGCGCTTCGTACGCGCGGAGCTGGCGACGAGGGAGAGGAGCTGGACAGCAACGTGCAGACGTGCTCCTGCATGATCACGGACAGGCGAGCAACGGTTCCAACTCACGCCATGTCTTCGGTCCGCTGATGACGACGCATCTGCTCGTATCTGCCAAACACTCCTCGTGCAGCTGATGCTGGACTGACTTTACGCGCTCTCCTCTTCATTGCATGCCCATGACACTGCTTGTATGCACCTGCTTGCTACCCGCGACCTACCAAGTGCACCGTCGTCCGCTTCAATGACCCGCGACGCCTGCTACTCTCTGCACTCGAGCATTGCACGGTAATAGGCCATCATGAGCGTCGCTTCCCTCTGGCCGGCTGCCCGCAGCTTCACCCTGCCTCGAATCGCCATCATCTCCATCCTGCTGGTCGCCGTCATCCTCTTCCGGGATACATGGTTGCCCACGGCCCGCGAATACACGACCGCCTACAAGCAGCCGGCACCTCTTGCTCCACAAGAAGATGGCAAGCCGCTCATCGAGATCGATACGAGCCCGCCTCCCCCACTGCCGCCGGCGAGCAATGCAGATGTGGACTGCAAGTCTTTGCCCGGCGCCGATAGAGTCATGGTAATACTCAAAACTGGAGCTACCGAGCTGTATCAGAAGCTGCCAACCCACTTCGTCACCACTTTCAAGTGCGTGCCCAATTTTATGATCTTCTCCGATCTAAACCAGACCTTCGCCGATGTACAAATCCACGATGCAATTGCTCCAGTCAGCCAGAAGATCCGGGAAGAGCATGAGGACTTCAAGCTGTACAGGGCGATCGAGAAATGGCAGCGGGAGGGCCAGGATATGAGCAAATTACAAGGCGGGAATGGGTGGAATCTGGACAAGTGGAAGTTTCTGCCCATGTTTCATCAAGTCTTTGAGACTGCCGATGACAAGATCGACTGGTTCGTCATGATTGAGGCGGACACGAGCTTGTCGTGGCTGAACTTGCTGCTCTGGCTGCAAAAGATGGATCCCAAGAAGCCATACTATCTGGGCGCGCAGAATGTCATTGGGGACACAACGTTTGCGCATGGAGGAAGTGGTGTCGTCGTTTCTAGGAAAGCGGCCGACACGATCGCAGCAGCACGCCAGAATGCAGGAAAAGAGCGATATGACGAATCGTGGGAACGGGAGACTGCGGTGGCTTGTTGTGGTGACGAGATTCTGGCGAGAGCATTCCTCGCGGTTGAGATCCCGCTCACACCCGCATGGCCGCTCATTCAGGGCGAGACGATAAGCACGATCGACTTCACACATCACCACTGGTGTACACCTGCCATAACATGGCATCACGTCACCCCTATCGAAGTCGACCAGTATTGGCAGTTTCAGCTCGACTGGGCCGAAGAGCACGGTTGGCAGCATGAGTACCTGCACGGCAACATCTTCGACCATTTCGTCGCACAGCACGTCTCCGTAAACCGAACTTCGTGGAACAATCTGTCCAAAGACAAGAAGTTCGTAGCCGCACATCTCGCAGAGAAAGATGACACAGACTTCTACAAGCTCAAAGACTTTCAGCAGAGAGCAGTTGAGTCAGAAGAGTTGTGCGCTGAAGCGTGCATCCGCGAGGGAGATGGCGAATGTATCCAGTGGATGTGGGCGCCTGGTCGATGTCACCTGGGTCGCGACATCCGCTTCGGAAAGAGTGACGAGCGAGAAGAGCAACACTGGAACTGCGGCTGGATACAAGGCCGAATCGAAAAGTTTAGGAAGAGCATGAGTGGTTGCAGTATCAAATGGCAGGGCTGACAGAATCACATCGCTTTGGTGAGACTTATATCATCTTCACAACAACAAGAATATCTTTGCGCAAGCGAGAGGCACATTGCTTAGGCTTTCCAAGTGCTGGGAGCTAGAATCATGTAAATATAGAGGACGTGATGGAATTCATGGAGCACAGCGTTTGGGGAAAAGGTTTTGGCGATCAAAGGTGGCACGTCAGGGATTAGTGCATAGAGTGCGCTACAGCGTGTCAGATGGACGAGGGTCGAAGCACCGCGGTGACGAAACGAGCGGATCATGAACGAGAGCGTCAGCGGGGAACACTTGGGATTGAGTGTTGTCGGAAGAGGAGTCAGGCGAGCTCTTCAGGAATTCCAGGCGATATCACGCACCATCTACACGCATATACATACGGTTGATCTGAAGACAGCGTGCAGTCGTCTTATCCATTACAAGAGATCATGGCCATGCCTTAGACTTGGCCGATCATCAAATCGTACAAACCATACTACTACATCATCACTACGCACACTCTTCTCTCCCCCATCCCCGGAATCGCAACGAGTCTTTTCAATCCGAAGCGATCTTTGCAGCCATAATGCGATGCATCAAGCTCATAGAGGTGCCTCGAATAGAACGTCGACACGCAGCAAACTGGTAAGCCCGGGTCGGAGTTCCAATATTCCAGTCGTACTAATGAGGCAAGGTGTAGTTGAGCATATCGAGCGCTCATTCAGAGCTAGCGATGTTTCTTCAACATTTGTAGTCCATGGCACGCCAACATCCTGCGATGAATCGTGTAGCGAAGCATTCGTGTCGAATGCCGCTGGTGCAGTAGACCTCAATCTTGCGGATAGCAAGCCGAAACCCTCTTCCTCTCTTTCCTCAAAAACTCGACCACATCCTTAAACCCCTCGTAATCATTCTTTTTATCCGACACAGGCCTTCCATTCGCATCCCTCACACACCCGACCCCTTTCCCCAACCTCTTTCCAAAAGGTGCACAAGAATCGAAGTCCACAATTTTGGCATTCCCGCTCGCATCGACGCAGACATTTCCCGGATTGATATCATTATGCGCCAATCCTAGTGAATGCAAATGTTTGAGTCCTGATTGGATCTGCTCCAGTAGAGAATCCTTTTCGTCATCCGAGAGGCCGACAGAAGCATATTCTGCCAAATTGCAATAACACCGTTTGAGGCATAGATGCGTTATACGTTGTGAGTTTTCTTGTAAAACACAGCCGTAGTATTCTACAATACTGGGATGGGGATGTTTTGATAAAAGTTCCAGGATCGCGGCTTCGGAGCGGAGTTGGTCGGCGACGAAAGTTGTACCTGGACGGGTGTCGGAGTAGGTGAATTGGGGCGCTTTGAGGTAGTGGTCTGACATGGAGAAGGCTGGAGCGCGAGTGAAGTCTGGGGGCATGAGGGGGAAGATGTTCGTGTCCGGGACGGGTTCGAGGTATTGGATTACGTCGACGTCGTCCATCTGTGAGATTCGTTGGGGGGATTTTCCGGCGTAGGCGCGGCCGTCGACGAAGGCGGTTATTAGGGTGCATTCGAAGGTGGGTGTGCTGCTGCTGCTGGTGTTGCTGGTGGTATCTTCTTCGGATTCCTCTTCTTCGTTTTCTTCTGGCTCTTCTGATGGTGTCCAGATTTCGCGGAGGGAGAACTGGGAGCCGTCTGCGGTTTCGTAGTCCATGGTGGTAGTGTGGTGTTGTGTCTGATTTCGATGTGGTCTTGTTTCGCGTTTCTGACGTGAAGTAAGTTGAGCGATTGGGTTCTTTCAGTTCAACGGATGGCAGCAACGGTCGGCAAACACAATGGGTGGCCGTTTCCTCTTGATATCATCAGATCAGGAGATCTTCCGTCTGCACACGCAACGCAACGCATGCACGCACGCACTCACTGCATAGCCGTGCCACCTTCCCAAGGAGGAGGTGCTCCACGGCCAAGGATCCTGCAGTGAGGTGGTCATTCGAATTGTCTTATCTAGGTGATGAATGTCTTTGTCGGCATGCCGTGGAACTGCAGACCTGGTAACATCCTGGCCTCCAAGAAGTCCCAGACCACATTCTACGCCATCTATGCCGAGAAACACGCGCATGAAGCCCGAGTTTCATCTCGCTTGTAGGCGCTTTGCTCCATCGACTACTCTATCTGTGCGACACAACGAACCGCACGCCCTTGTCCATTGTACAACATGAAGCTGCCGATCGTTTCGGCCACTACGTAACATACCTGTGCCGAAGAAGTCATGTGTCGAGTTTCAGGAGAGGCTTATATGGCTGGCGGGTTGTGTCCTCCACGCGGGTTTGGCTCTCATGGCAGGCAGCACCGCGGCGGCGCCTTGACATCTTTTCGAACTTCAAGGCTATATAGGCTGAGGAACCTGGCGCCGAGTTCTGTCTGTGAACGAGCGACCGACCTCGTCCGTTAAGCTATGACCTCGATCAGCGCATCACTTACGCCAAAGGACAAGCAGTGTGAACATTTCCGTGCGTGGCTTCCGAAGCCCACTGCAAAGCACGGCCAGAAAGAATCAAGATGATAGAGCATACCAAGATTCGCATTACATCAAAGGTCATTCACACAATAATGCTACGGATCATCGCAAAAATTTCGAAGTACTCCCCGCTTCCCAAACCTGCCGAACCTCGAGGTCGGCGTATATGCAGCCCCGCCCTTTCCGAATAAACGTAAACCAAAAGACCATAAGAGACAAGAACGCCAATGTATCTCTCCAATGCCCTCTCTCCCGAAAGCAAATGTAAGCTCTTTTCCGAGCGTCGTTGTAGAAACCGCCAGCGCCTTCGCTGAATTTTACTCATCATTTCCCCAAGTATTTTTTGCACTCCTTTTCTTTTCGCCTTTTTCCGGCGCATCGCCGACTGATTTCATCCCAAGCGAAGTCAGAACTGAAGTGTTGCAAACCCAATGTCTCTGACCTTCGTGCATCGTCTTCGTCCAGTCGTTGGCGCAGACAATGCCAGTCGCAGCGCAATTAGCACCAGTAAAATGGGAGCAGTTGCATCTCCAGCTTCCAGATTCTGTGCGATAACGATTGGTCAGATTGACCTCAGTCGAAGTTCGAAACATAGCTCCAAATCATACAAAACGCAACGCACGTTCGTTACGCAGCTCAACCTCTGATGTACGCAGTTGCACGTGAAATGCAATTGGTACAATATCTTCCGTGCCAGAGAGGATCGAATTGTTCCAGCGCCGTCTCTCGAGCAGTGCGAACACTGCAGTCAGCGCCGATTAGATATGGCAGAAATTGCATGCGGGTGGGCGAGTAGTACTACTTCGTCGTCCTTCCGCCGCCGATAGCCCCGAAGTTCGCATTCGAGCTGCTCGTCTTGGCTTCGGAGCCGATATCCATGTCGAACAGTTCTTGCTCTTCATCGATTCGCTGGCTGATACTATTGCTGCTGAGGTTGCGATCCATGCTGGCCCGGGCAGAGGTCGACCCATTTGACAAAGTCCTGGACGGCGTTGGAGCCTGTGCTTGAGCGGCGTTGGATGCTGATCTTGCAGCCTCGAGCTTGGTTCTGGCCAATCCTTGGGTAAGCATACTCATGCTCGCTTGCGCATGTCGTCCTGGACTACTGATGCTTGGACTCAGCTCGCCATTCGCGCCGACACCAATGGGATGAGACGTTGGAATAGAGGAATCTCGGAGCGGCGATCCAACGTGACCCAGGCCGTTTTGCATCGCTGCACGAGCGAAGACGCTGTTGTATCGCGAGGGACTCGAGGAGTGTGGGCTGCCCACTTTGCTGTCCGAGGAAGTGCCATGTCCGGAAGGAGTGCGCCGTAACCCGGACGAATCTTCCACATTGCGCGAGACTCTGCGTTGTCGATCCTCTGGAATGAGATCGTGTAGACTGGATGGCAACAACTCCTCCTCTCTGTCGGAATGCCCATCATCATCTCCTTCCCAATCATCAAACGGTGGAGGTGCGAACCCTCCGTAGCTCGTTGCAACCATGCCTCCTCTGGATGCACGTAGACGAGTCGAGTGCAGCGGCCTCTTTGCGAATGACAGCGGTTCATCCGGACCGCTGGGAGGCGACGAACCCATGCTTGCGATCACATTGTCCATGCCTCCATATGCTGAGTTTTGTAATTCCCGCAACGCCAGATTACCCAGCTGTGACTTTCGAGGCAGCGAAGACGGTGGTGAGTCTACGCCGAAGCGAGAGGGCACCGAGGCAGCTAATGCGCCGGAAGGTCCATGGATGGCTGCCCATGAGATACCGTTGCTGTCGAAGCTATTAGGCAGAGGCGCGTCCAGCACAGACAAGCCCTTCTGCTTCGGCGAAGTAGCGAAGTGCTCATTCGCAGGCGGCGAGCCAAATTTCGGTGATGCCGATGTGTAAGTCACGTCAGGATGCTGCATATCGAAGCCATTCTGCGGACCGTAACGATAGTGTTCGAATTCGGGCGGAATCTCCCCTTGTGATCGTTGCTCGAGCCCTTGTGCTTGAAGCGACAAAAGTCCAGGCGGTGGAGGGCCGTACGCGGCGGGCGGTGGCTGCGCGGGGCCGGCGAGATACTGAGGAGGAGGATATCGCTGGTTGACGATCGTGCCGTCTGGTGTGACGTGTAACAGCATGCATTTCCTCCCAAATTTACAACCACCTTTCGCGAAATACTTGCAGGGCGCTGGTCTCGTGGTGGACTCGATGTCGTGTGAGAATGGGCACATCGGCCCCGCTTGGCACTGTCCTTGCAGATAGAACTTGCACGGAACATGCTGAGTATCTGCTGGCCGGTTAGCCAATATCCAGCGCCGACTGTGTATTCCATCTCGACATACTCTTGTTCTTGGGCGGACTGGCGGCCATGCGCTGAGGCATACCGAAACCGCGCTGTCCGCCGCCATTCCCTATCGGTAAGCCATTTCGCTCCGCCTGCATCCTGGCGCGTTGGCTCGGACTGGCGATGACGTCGATCGAACGGCGCGTTCGAGGCTGCGGGCGACGATTCGAGGTCGTGCTCGTGGGGGCAGGCGTGCGCGAGGTGGGTTGGAGGTGTGGTGCGAAGCTGCTCATTTTGAAAGCCGATTTGACTCGTGCTTCACATGCGCATGCGGGGTGTGGTGTGGCGTGGCTGGCGCCGGCCGGCCTCAGTCCCAATCTTCCGCGTCGACCGTTGACCAGTTCGCGAGACAATTCAAAGTCTTGTGCTCGGCGATGCAAAGAGGACCGGAGAATTCGTATTTGTACACGCGCCCTCTGCTACTGATTAGAGGGGGAACGTGGCAGCTGCATGCATCATGATATTATAGCATGCCTATCGCGCCTCAGAATCAATTGACAGCCCGCTCTGACTCGGCGGACAGACCCTTTGCGTGACCGCCAGCGTAGATTTGCTAATCTCGGCGTCGCTTCAAGGCGGCTGAGGACTGACCCTTCAGTGTTTCGGATGCTCTCAACTCCCAGTCTCGACGCGTGAAAGCCTGGACGACATCGAGCAGAGGCAGCGACGGCAGCTGGCCCTACTAATACACATCGGATGCGGTGAGATGTAGTGCTGTCATAGCCACCTGACGAGCTCTCGAAGCTCACAGGGCTATCATCGGACAAATGTCTCAGGTACTCCCTCTCGCACAGAAGGCCCGCGTGGGATGGAGGAGATACTGGAAAGAGGCAGGATGCGCATGGTCAGGTGCCATGTGACCTTGATGGGATAAGGCAGGGCGATAATGATGAGGATAAGCTGACTGATGGAAAGACATCTTCTCCATACACTTGCATATTGTAAAAGGCGGCATGGACATCGGAAGGTGATCAATGGGGTATCCGGTGACTTTGATGAGTTCTGTTCGGCATTGCTGACGCGTGGACGACTCTTTGGTGCGCGCCTGGAGTGACAGAACGATTGCGCACGAAGCCCCTGGCTCCAGGTCTCACAGCAGCAGCATCGACGTGTCACAACGTGACGACCGGGAAACGAGTTCGACCATGCTGGGCGGGCGACATGGCCCTCTCGAGATGCTGATCTGCTTCAGCCTGATGGAAGTGTTCAAGAACAACCAGTGCCTTGGCGTCAGCACAACCAAGCACTCCTCGACTGCATACGCACATCCCGTACAACGATGCAGCAGATTGCGAATGAGCCCGAGCTACTCATCTTCTTCGCGACGTGCGACTTCGCTCTGTGCCGGCGACGTGTTGCCCTTCATGTGCGCACCGTGGCACCGAAGATGGGTCCGGCGATACCATGTGAAATATGAAGTCGCGCTAGGCATTGCACATGCTAGGACTTGTGAGGCGCTGAGATGGCAGCACACTGGAGAAGACATGTAGGTCCACATCAAGTTGACAGGTATATAGATGCCTCAGTCGTGATGCCGTTGCCACAACCCGTTCCTGCCTCGACAAGTCAAGACGTTTGCACTAGCTGCAGGTGAAGCTGGACGCGACTGCACTGCACCTACCGCACTGTCGCGACCGCGTCAACAACAACACGTCCATCTTTGCTTCTCTCCTTACCACCACCTCACGCTCTTTACTGTCTCTTTCGCGGACCGCACTCGTTCATCGCCACTCACCGCAGTCACTCATTCAGACCGGAGGCACTTCCTCGCCATGAAGCCAAAGCTCGTCGCCCTCCTTGCGGCCGCATTTGCGGTCGCTGAAGGCAGGAACTGGAACGCGACAATCGTTGCGAACAGCACTGCTGGGTAAGTACATCTCTTGTTGCCCTGCACTCGACTCCCGCCTCCTCTTGCCTCACGTCTGGATCTCCTGGTCCTCTCGAATCACCCAGGGCACTCGGTCAGACACCGCACCCGTCTCCGTCTCCAGCATGGACAGCATCTCGAATTTTCGTTACACGAGCACACCCTCCCCAAGCATCTTGAACAGCATATGTTCGCCTCCTTTCAATATGGCCAGAGGGAAGAGAGCGCAGAACAAGCGGAAGAGCGCAGCCAAGTCTAGCGAGACATCACAAACCGTGTCACTACAGACGTGGCCGGCAATCAACCTGCAAGACCCTCTGTACGACATTCATGGCCGCAAGGATTCGGTCCTGGAGCAGTTCCCGGAGCAAAGTGTGCAATACGTGCAGACGGCGACGCAAAAACTGGCTGCGAGGGCCGGGACTTGGGCGCAAGCTGTCCACGGAACATTCGCTCTCACAGTACAATGGATCACATCGACCTACTGGTGGAAACGATTTGCACACCGCGGAATAGAGCCGATGATCGTGACCCTCATCTGCTTCACGCTTTGTTTTGGTTCTCTCTGGTTTGTGCTTGATAGCTTACTCAATGCGACTAGGGTGTCTGCCGAATGCTCTGCCAGCACTTCGACAGTCTTCATCCCTTACACGGAAACCATTACCGCCACCGCATACCCTCCAGCGAAATCAGTTGAAGGTGCCGCCATCGTTTCCAGCTCTTCTTCGTCGACATCTTACACCACCGTCTCGACTATCACGACTATCGTGTCTCGCACCACAACCATCACTGTGGAGGAGAGCCCCTCAACTCCACCAGGATTACGTTCGGGAGCGATCACCGTCACTGCTACCGTGTTTACCACGATCCAAGCAGCTCAAGGCTCGACAGCAGCCTCGAGTCTATCTTCTAAAGCCGCTTCGTACACCTTCCAGGTCGTCGGCGGCAGTACAGTGTGGCAGAGCGGGGCATCTCCTTCCAGTGGCGCTTCCCTCAACATAGCCACTTCTTTCGTGACTGTCGTCCCAGTGCCTTTGGCGTCGGCCAGTCCACCACAGATCTCTGCTGCCAGCGAAGATTCTCGAACCAAGCTACTCACAACCTTCACACCACCAGCCTACAGCTCTACGGCCTTTAGTGTCTTGAGCTCGGCATTGACCACCACGTTGACCAGCACCAACTATATCACCCGCTCGTTGTCGAGGGTCTCTCCACCACCGTCTTCTCGCACTGGCTTTACTGGCATCAACAGCGTCGGCTGGAATACCTCCAGCACGCAGACCGCTGCTTCAACAACGGAAGTCGCTAGCACACCGCCGCCGCGCTTCACCAAGTTCACACGCGTGGTCTACTTTGGTCATGACGATATCACAACGTCGACCAGCACCCAGTTAGTGACTGCCACCCTTGGCGAGGTGATCTTGCAGACCATCTCGCCTGCAGTCAACGGCTCCGCATCTACGATGAGCGGTGATCAGCAACCGATTACCATGACCTACACCTTGGGCACCTCCGCTGTCTCGTACAGCACAAGCATTGCATTCCCGACAATGTCGGGACTATCGAGCTCTTCCGCTTCTCGAGCCACCGCCATGAGTATGACGGTGACCCATGGTACTACCGCGGCCACGTCTATCTCTGGCAACACTGGGACGAATCGCGCCACCAGCTCAGCCTCAGATGAATTTCATCAGACTATCGGAGCCGCATCTCGATCAGCTTCCACCACTCTACTTGCGTACACAGCGCACAGCTCCTCCGCAATGTCCACAACCGCTGCTACGGGCGAGAATACAGGCCAGCCAGCCTCCACATCTGCTGCTTCAGCAAGTACGACTTCCATCACGAAGGCTAACAGCACTTCACCGAGCAGCACTGTGATGTCTACTCTTGGATTCTTCTCTGTACTCATATCGTCTGGGAGCACAGCTACAAATCCAGCATCGTCTACATCGACGGGACTTGGCATTTCGGCTACAACGCCCGCTGTCCAAGGATTGACAAGCACCGGGCCCGCTTCGGTGGCCTCCAGCCTGTCTTCTACTGCTACGCCCATCTCGGGTAGCACGCTCTCTTCAACGGATTCCGCTGCCAATCGCGGATCTTTCTCTACCGTCCGTATTTCCGCTGCTACTGCTACTGCTACAGCGTCCACGTGGACGACGACAGCAGTCCCCTCGGCCACCCAATCTGATGCAGTGACGACTGCTCCTGGCTCCTCTACTGGAACTTCCAGCAGCGGAATGGCAACACCATCGAGTGTCTCCAGCAGCACTAGCTTTACCACCAGCACATTTGCAAGCACGTCGTCGCAGCGCTCGCTCAACGCTAGCGCTACCGGCACGATAACCTCGTCAGCTATCAGTCCTGCTTCGACTTGTGGCGAGCAAGGCAACTTCACGATGAACTTCGACGACTTGCCGATGTTCCGTCCTGGTAGTGCTCGACTGATCAAACGCCAGACGACGTCGTGGAACGCCACGAGCTCACCAAACAGTGGCAACGGCACTTCTGACATCACACAACAACCTCCACTCAGCCTTAGGCCATACAAGCACATGCTTTTCAGTGGCGGCTATGTCTATGCACCTCCACCGATCGAGCCCTTCGCCCCAGCCAGTCCACCGAATGTCGCCGTTTTTCTCGCGAATGGCACCGGCCTGAAAGCGGGACCTGCTCCACCAATCTCGAACGATTTAGAGCCTGGGGAGATCGCTGATGGGCCGTATCACGAAGGCAACCCAGCCTTCTTTTTCGACGCTCACAGTGCTGCTTTGGGTTGTGACAGCCAGACTGCGCCTTGCACCATGGAAGTCACAGGCTATACATGGAACAGCACGGTCAAGGACGACGTGCCGACATACTCCAAGAACTTCACTCTGCCAGCGTGCGAGAGCTACCGCAACTGCCAACTGACGACCGTGGAATTCCCCGAGACTTTTCGCAACCTCAGCGGCATACGCATGCGCGCAGTTCGCGGTTCTGAGCCTCGTACATTCTTTGCCGACGACATCAAAGCGCGCTGGGCAGATAGCTCGTGTGATGCAGGCAAGACTCGACAAAACAGTATGTGAGTCAAAAACGCGGTGGGCCGAATAGCAAGTTCAAGCCCAAGAATACAGAGCTTCCGGTAAAGCCGGAGTGCTCAGTCACCGGGTTGACCACATGTCAGAGTAACAAGAGGGCGTAAGCGGTCAAACGTTTTGTGCTGCACGGCCTGACTGTTGAGAAGACGCATTGAATGCAGGTGCGATCTGGCATCGCCTCACACCTCGTAAGTAGTTGATATCATGAAAATTGTTGCCATCTCATCCGTGCGCACTCGCTGCGCGGTGTACTTGATCAAGAATGAGTGCCGCAGGTAGATTGCGATGCTTCCCGTGCAGGACCAACCAGCTCAATCGAATTCGCGATTTTCCCATAGCTCTATGGTACGGTGCGGCCAGACAATCACTATGGGATGCTCCACCCATAAATGTGTGCTTCCACCCTGGCGACACATCTTGCTCTTTCTGCTGCTTTACGGCTATTGCATCATTAGTATATTCATTTGAGCATTACATCGATACTTACACTGCGACAACGAGACGTGATCTCTCCGCGAGCATGGCTCGCGAGAGCAGGCAAATACCGACGGGACGCAATGGCGCTGCAGACCGCTCCGCGCAACGTGCGACAAACGGTCTGCAGAGCGCATCAGTCGCAAGCGACTCGCACAAAGTGAATGGTTATACCACATCAACAGGGGATGCTCAGCTGCCACCAGGTCCGCTATACGACAACCTCCAGCAGTCAGGAGTTGCTGCTGGCAGTCGAGTGCATCCCGAGTCACGGGGGAGCGCGAATCGTCCAAAAGCGAGGGAGTCCACCTTCCCTAGGCTAGCGCGACCGGATCCTTTCGCACCAAAGAGGGAGACCATCACGCGCAACTTTGTCCAGCCACTGATCACGACCAGGCGGCCGGGAGAGTCAAGCGATCCTCCTTCTCCTGGTCCTCGTCGCCGTGCGCCTGCGGACAACGTCACAGAAAGATTTCCGAACTCTACTGTGCGTCGCCCAACAGAGTCGCAAACTCCTATATGGCAGCGCTTGTCGCAACATGGGACAATAGCTTCTTCTGCGAAGGGCAGAGGACAAATTCCTGGGTTTAACGCCGATTTGCAGGCATCGCCTCGCGAGCTGCTCAATGGCGATCTGAATACTCCACGGTCGTCCTTGCTGGGGCCGAGAATCGAGAATGTTGGCGAAGACTTCGACTTGACTATGGAGGGAGCCTCGGGTGGTGATCGGGGGCCAGTGAATGGCGTCAGCAGCATTGACAGGCTGCGCCAGGACTCTGGTGGAGACGTCGAAGGCGCCGCGAGCGCAGACCAGAATTCTCACGATGCAACCGGCCCACAGCTGGAGGGTCCTGCGAACATAAATACGGATGCTCGATCTGAAGAATATGAGATGGAATGGCATGGTGTAGATTGGTGGGAGAATCAAGTGGAGCAGGCTTTTAACCCACCTAGAGTCCAAATGCCAACGCCAGCGCCTGAGGAGACTGCGAGCATTGCGGAGACAGCACCAAGCGTGAATAGAAGGTCTTCGCGGAGAATCGGCACCTCTGCAAGTGCAGAAGACATCCGGACCTTGATCAGTGATGCGGTCAGAACTGCATTCGATCAGCACCAAAATACCACGCCAATACCGTGGTTTACTCCCAGTCTCGACGGAACGTCGTCGTCCCATGCGCCGATGGACCGCGTCAAAAGGCAGCGAACAGACCCTGTTGGACTTAGGTCAAGGACGAAGAGTGTAATTGAGCGACTCCTAGCACCCTTCAAGCTTGGTCGGCTAGCAAAGCCGAGTGAAGTAGCCAAACGTTCTCGAAGAATGAGCACCGGTGGCTTTGGCAAACGACCGGCAATAACACCGGATATGGCCATACCGGGCAGAGAGGTCTTGGGCCGTCCTGTGCTCAGCCACGCCAATAGCTTGCGCCCAGGTCACAATCCAGCCTTGGTGCGGGCCGGTCTTGTCAACGGACAAGGGCAAAGAACGAGACCCCCGAATCCGGTGCGTAGTCGTAGACCATCGTCCCTGTCGGTCATTGGGTCTCCTCTAGAGACATGCGAAGAGGAGGGACTCGAAGAAGGGAGATCTCCAGAGGGTCATATCGAGATGGACGCATATGAGCCGCAGGTCTATGCCAGTCGTGCCGGTTCTGCAGATACGGGTCTCGCTGGCGTTGAGGATGATGTGAGAGTTGCTAGAGCAGAGCAGCTGCGTCAAGCGCATGATGAACTTGAGGCACAGCGTGCAGCGGACATTCGACGGGCTGGATACTCTGGGCGAGGTGACAGAATGCCACGACAAGATCGGGAGCCATCGAGACGCGGAAGGGGTGGTGGCAGAGGACGTGGCAGAGGAACACCGATCAGACGTGGAAGCTGGACGTGAGGTGGAAAGGCTTGAGACGCGATGATGATGATATCTGCTGGGCGTCGTCAACGTGAGCTTATCTTTCTGTGATTTACCTGCTTATGAGACTGGATTCAGCGGTTGGCGCGACGTCTCAATTGATACCATGAAAGAGTTTATTTCCAAAGCTGAACATGAAGTCGTGAAGAAGGACGCGACTTGCAGGGGTCTTGTCACTGTTTTGCCGAGGCCAAGCGGAAGAAGCTGATGAGAGATCAACAACGTCACCTTGACAAGTGCCTCCTCATCACGGCTCGCAATAACAACTAGAGTACGTCTTTGTAAAGTGTAAGACACTTTTCCTTCAAACCAAATCATTCTCAATTCCTCCAGCACCGGAATCGAGCACTTCTTCAAACATGCCACTCACAACCCTCCACCTCATCGCATTGGCACCCAACGCCACAATCCCTCAATACCTCCGCGCTCTCAAATCATACTCTCTCAAACCACTCGTCACATCCAAAGTCGTCCGCTGGATCATCAAGCCCGAAAAGCTCTCCACGCATCTTCTCAATACACACTGGGATCTACTCATCATACTACCCGCTTCCTCACAGATTCCAGACACATACCTCGGCGATGACTGGGTCAACCAACACTGGAGCATTACAGCCGGCGTCCCATCCGCAATCCTGAAAGATTTCCCTCAGAAGAACGACAAATTACTTCATCCTCAGCAAGGCGATGTACCCGAACTCACAGGCTCGCTATCGAAGCCCAAAATGGCGAATTCGAGTCAAGGGTTGGAGTTGAATGATGATGTGTTGTCTTGGAGTCAGTCATTTGAATTGGGACAGAATGGTGCTGTGAGCATGATGAATTTGTTGTCGTTCAAGCCAGGACGGGAAGCGCATGAGAGTTATTTGAAGTATGGAAAGGCGTTTGGGGAGAGTATCGGGAAGAAGAGAGGTGGGAATGCGAAGATTGTGGGGAAAGTTGTGCCGGATCAGAAGACGCATGGTGAGGATAGGTATGGATGGGATGAGATTGCTTTGGCACATTATCCGAGTAAGTATCTCTGAATTGGTCTATGATGCTGTGCTTGGTGTAGAAGGCTGACTTGTCGATTTAGGTATCCGCCATTTTACCGATATGCTGGCGAGTGAAGACTACCAGAAGGTGAACCACGAGTCGAGATTGCCGGCGCTGCGGGATACGTGCATTCTGTGCACGACTGAACTGGATCCGGAGCTGAGCACCGAAAAAGCAAGACTCTGAGTAGGCCATGATTTCAAGCTGTAAATGCAGGTCAGCTGTGTTGCATCGTTCGAAGTCGAGTGAGCACTCACGCCCGCCTCCGCATCCTCCCGCTCCCCCTCCGCACCCTCCATCACCGCCTCCGCAGCCCCCATCGCCGCCTCCGGCCCCGCCTGCGTCTCCGCCTGAGAATCCGCCCACGAAATCACCTCCTCCGCCGCCGCTACCAGCTGAGTTTGCGCGGTCAGCATACGCTGTGTTTCAGCAGCAGTAAAGCATGACTTACATGACGACTTTGCTGGGGAGGATCGCAGAGGTCCGCGACGAATCTCAAGGCCTATAATGACAGCCAGTGCCATGGCCTCAGCGAGAGGATCGATGTTGTTGTAGAGCTTCATTTGTGCCACACGCACATGCCCGGCGCTGTCGTTGTCCAAGCTGTGTATGTACGCTGCAGATACTCGACGGCTCGGCTCTGTCATGTCGAGTAGTAGCCAGTGAGCCCACACCCTGTCGGCATGGCCTATGAAGTAGCGAGCTTCGGTCCTGGTCGCAAAGTGTCAGCAGCATGTCATCGAAGGCCCATCTGCATTTATGAAAACCATACCGTTGCCAACGAAACTTTCTGGCTCCAACCTCAAATGCGTAGCTTTCATCCGTTGTACCATATTTCCCAAATGGCTTGATCCTCGGCCAGTATTTCTTGTCGCATACTTCAGGAATTTCCCTGCCTTTCTTGATGACCGTAGTGCCAGGCACAAAAGGGTCGCCTTGCTTCAAACCAAATCTGTCGGAGAAGTGCCCTCCACTTCGGCAGGCAGCCAGGACTTCCTCAATTCGGCCGTCGTTCGACACGCGATGTACGGTAATTACGTCGATTCGATGTTTGGCCCTTGTCAACTTTGAATGATAGCGAAGCGCACCATTTTGTCGAATGTCGTAGGCGCCGGCTAGACCTTGATAGTCCGTGCAGGTGATGTCGTAGGTTCGCTCAGGTTGATAGACAGGTCCTGTGTATGGAGGCTCGGGTACCAGGTGTGACCGCCCAGCTCCCATTGCTGCTTTGCGCTTCTTCTCTCTTTCGTATAGGATGGCTGCGACAAGGAGCGCTAGACCTATTGGAAAAAGAGGGCTCGGGAGTAAGAGAAATAGCATGTTTCGAGGATCTTGAGGATCAGGATGTGAGGGAGGCGGAGCTATTCAGATCCTAGCGGAGAATTGTTGCAGTCAAGTCAAGCAGGTCGTCTCGCACAGTCGAGGTCGGTGCTTCCTCATGGCTCTTATGGCAACGACCAATTCCTGCTTGATGCGCCGACCAAGTTTGGGAGCGGGAAGTCGCGATGGCTTTGCTTGCGTGACGGCCGGCTCTCGCCTGTGGCCAACGCGATCTCGCACCATCCCCATTCACTTGCGTTGGAGCAAGTAAGCTGATGATGGCAACGATATCGGTTCGCCAGCCGAGGTGTCCCAGGTGAGACAGCCCTATAACTGTGAGGGAGCTGCATGGGTTAGCAAATGAACGTCTGCATGATTTAGTCGACATTGAGCACTGCACAGGCCCCAAAGCAGGCAGTGGATGTCACGGAAATGTGCGCCGGGTGGATGATGAGAGCGACTCGCGGCAGAATGTGCCAGAACGCCACGCATCGCCGCCCTTTGACAGAGTGAAGCACTGAGGGGGGAGTGCAAGATACAGCTCATCCTCGAACGAGGACGTCAGAAGGTTTGTTCAGAGATGAATTGCATTTGTCTATGTTTGACTGTACGCAGAAACATCTCTCAGCCGACCACGCTGAAGGTGTGGGTATCACATTGCCGCTCCAGTGCAGGCATCTTTCCTGAACGCCAGGTTTTTCTCTTCCCAGCTTCTCATGCAGAACAAGTCATCCCATCATCCATGCTTTTTCTAGCGTTGATCGTGAAACGCTTATGCGACGAGCTGGACAACACCACCAGCCTCCTTGATCTTGCGCTCGGCGTCCTTGGAGAAGTAACGAGCGCGGACGATGAGTGGGACCTCTGGGATGCGACCCTTTCCGAGGACCTTGCTGTAGCCGAGAGGGAGGAGGTCGAGGACTGGGGCAGTGTCGGACTTGCCGCCAGCAAGAGCCTTCTCGCGCTGCTCTTGTGGGACGAGCGACCAGAGCTGTACGTATATCGTCAGCATGCCGTTCCGCTCTGCGGCATTTGGTTGCAATTCTCACCTTGTCGAGGTTGATCACAGGCTTCCAGAACTGGTTCTGGAGCTTGTGGAAGTATCGCATACCAACCTTACCGAAGTAACTGAGGACAAAATTAGCGGGCGCGCAAATTTCATAATCGCGGGATTCTCTTACCCAGGATGGTATTTATCCATGTTGGTACGGTGGTGGTGCTGACCACCAGCAAGACCACGACCACCTGGGTGCTTTCGGTGCTTGCCGACACGACCGTGACCGGCAGAGACGTGACCGCGGCTGTAGAGGAAGAATTGTCAGTACAGGATGTCTTGATCCATTTCCACATCGCCATTGAAGGTCCGCCGGTTGCGCGTCGATGGCGATGTAGACGGTGGGAGTGCGAACGTACTGCTTGCGGGTCTTGGTGAGACGGGTAGGCATGGCGGCGGTGTTGTGTGATGTCGCTGGGTGCTGTCGTTCAAACACGAAGTTCTGAACTTGAAGTCGAGGCAGGTGCGTGTGGATTTTAGCCAGGCTTGGCGTTAGCTCTGCTATTGGCTCACGCGACAGCGGCAACTAGCGGGTGTCGCTTTTCCATCGCTACATCCGCAATTTTGGTCGAACAGCATCCTCGCTTCTGCTTGACCTTAACTTCTAGCCTGGCTAACCGAGAAGTCTGTCAGGTCGCGCAGTTCTGCCGTGTCATCGTGAAGACAAGGCCAACCTCATTGCAAGAAAACGCTCACTCCGCGTGCCATGGTGTCTCGGAGCACCCTGAGATAGCTGCAGTTGGCTGTGGCGGTGCGTCGGTGTGCTGGCCGCTGGTCGTCCAGCATCGCCTGGCTGCTCACTCCTGGGGTACGGTCCGTTGCCCTAACGGAAGCGTGGAGTATGTCAGCTGCAGCACTTCAGGAGCTCAGTGAAGGCGTGCATTTGTGGTTTTCCAGTCCTTGCACGAGACACAACGTTCACCACGATAGGCACCTGAGAGATGTGACTTCAGAGTCCGAACTGTGCCATATTTGCATGCTAACAGCAGCCTCCGAACGCGCTGAAGCCCATCTAGCCAAGATAGTTCTACGAATTCGATACTAATCAAGCACGCTGCTCTACCTTTTAGCAGGACCACCACTTGCGCCCTTTGCCTCCTCCAGCTGTCGCATCTTCTCCCTTTGACTTCGACTACCACCCAATTTCGGTCCACTGGGCACCGAAGCTGCACCCTTACCGGAAGCGGAAGATTTCTCTACCGCGGTTCTTCTTCTCTTCCGTTCCTGCAAACTGGCCAGAAATTCCGCTTTGAATGCTTCTGCTACAGCTTCATCACGGTCGATGCCGTCGTCTTCTGCAGACGGACCTGGCGTAGATGAAGTCTGATCATACATGGGTACTTGGCTTTCGCCTAGGATTTGCTCGATCATGGCTTCGCGAGCAAGCTCGCTCGGATCTTTCTGTCGAACACGACGAGGCGGTCGATTGGTTGCTCTTCGAGTGTTGAGACGAGGTTGTCGATTACGTGGCCCATCGTCTACCGATGTATTCCTGGCAGTGTCTTGAGATTCGCTCGCGTCTGGATCACGATGATCTTGCTGTGCATTATCACCGACGTCCTCTTGTGTTGTTGGTACTGGCGCCGTTGAGGAACGCAACTCAGCCAGCTTGGAATCTATATATGCCGTCCTGCACTGTTAGCACTGACTCTTCAAAGCATCAGGAGTAGAAGGAGAGATCTCATACAGGTGCTTGTCCTCCACGACCTCCGTCTTTCCTGTGGGCTTCGTGAAACGATCAATCGACGCTGAAACACTCTCGTCTGTCTTCACGGGCACCAGTGCAGTCTCCGCGGCTGACACGTTCTCCGCGGGCTGTACGCCAGCAGAGTTCGAGAATGCAATCCCATGTTTTCGCGCAATAGGACGCCTGACTGCAGGTATCTGACTCGTGAAGTCCATGTCGCTGGGCTCGTATCCTTCAGGGCTTGCTTCGGGTAAATCCTCTGTGTCCGCAGTGTGTCGTTTCCTGATTACTTTTCTTCGCTTGTTCGATTTGAAGAGCACTTCAGGTGGCGCGTCCGAGCCGGGGTCCGCCATTTTGCGTGATCTTCACGACGGTTGCGAACTGCAGAGCTTGCGATGAATTCACACGGTCCCACACTACGGGACGGGTTTTTCGAAAGTGCGTGTAGTCATGTTCTTGTTGGTGATCATAATCTTTGTGCATGGATGGGTGTTGCAGGCGAAGCAGCGCGGAAGTTACGCGCGCCAAGCCATCTTCACTTCCCCATCGCGTGGCGCTCCAGCAACTCTCGGACTTGCTTTCACAACATTCGACATAGAACATTCGTGACTCGGCCCATGTGTAAAGGCTTTGCTCCGTCCAGCATTACCCATCAAGAAGTTGCACAAGTGGATTACCTTCTTGTCGGTACTACGGCGCCTCGGAGGCAAAAAAGCTGATTTCTAATCATACAAAGAGCTTGCGGCCGTGAGCCGCGAAGGCGAACTAGTTATACAGGACAGTGTCGTAAGAACAGGAGTTAAGTATTCGTACGAATTTCCTTTCCTTTTCGAGCCAAAATCGGTATTCATAGCAGGTTGATAGTGCTACCACTTACCTGAACACCCAACGTGGCTTTTCGAGCGACAGTCCGCAGGATGACGAACTACAACATCGACATCGTGAGCGACACCGTATGTCCGTGGTAAGTTGGTCCGACCGAGGAACTTTAACGTAACGTGCGTAGTCTGACAGCGTGCAGGTGCTATGTCGGCAAGAATCGACTGGACCTCGCGATCAAGCAGCACAAGCAGTCGAACCCGAACGATACCTTCTCCACGACATGGCACCCGTTCTACCTCAACCCTGACGCGGCGAAACACGTGGAGAAGCAGGCATTCTACGAGAAGCGGTTCGGCGCCGAAAGGACGAAGATGATGCAAGGCCATCTTGCAAGGTTGGGCAAGGCAGTCTCTATTGACTTCAAGTTCGGCGGCAAGACCGGAAATACTCGCGACAGTCATCGCTTAATCCATTTTGGTCTGACCAAGGGGCAAGAGCAGCAAACAAAAGTGGTCGAGCAACTGTTCAACTGTTATTTCGAGAACGAAGAGGACATAAGCGATCGAGAAGTCTTAATCGCGCGGGGTGTGAAGGCCGGACTACCAGAACAGGAGGTCCGAGACTGGCTAGAATCCGATAAGGGTGGTCATGAGGTCGACAAGGAAGTTGCAAAGGCACAGTCAGGATTCATCAGCGGAGTGCCCAACTTCACAATCAACGGACAGTATGAAGTGCAAGGAGCCGAGGAGCCGGGAGCGTTTTTGCAAATTTTTGACGAAATCAAAGGTCGCGCAGATGGAGCAGGAGTGGTCAGCAACGGCGGCAACACATGCTAGATGCATATGAATGTTGTGACATTCTGATGCTTGTGGGCCGATCACCAGCAGCACTTGTGTGTCGCCGCATATTGTACGACGAAAGCGCGATAGGATATGGCCGGCACTGCGATTTCCAACCAAGGACGCACCAAGTCATCGAGATTGCAAGGAGGATGGAGAATTGTCTTGTTTGGATGAGCGTCTGGATAAATGATTATGGATATTCCGTCGCTTAGAGTTCGGCGATCCGCACGGCACGAGTTTTAGCGTCACGACCTCACATGTGAATCAAATCTTCTTCCTATTGCTCACGATGACAAACTGTGCATGACATCTTGTCGACCCGTGTCGCAAATTGGTGCCATCAACGACCCACGCTGATGGCGCTGTTGAGTTCTATTCGATCCTTGACGCTGGACCTGCCGCCAAGCTGCATCCAGTTCTGCCCGGCAAGACCAGATATTTTCGCGGTAGGCACCTACTTCCTACATCGGAACGAGGATCGAGACTCGTCACAAGAGAATTCTGAAAGTGCTCTACCCACCACAAACTCAAACCCAAGCTCGGCAGAGAATGCAGCAACAGCCATACCGCAGAAGCGCACAGGCAGCCTGATCCTGTACGAGATCTCTCACGATAAAAACATGTAGGTAAGAATAATTGAAGCTTCCGTCATGACTCCATCCGACCCGAACGAGGAGGACTATGACACCTCGAACCCCTGTTGATATTCTGCTTCTGGACAGCACCGAGGTGTTTAGCTTGGCCACGGACTTTGCGATTCTCGACTTGCAGTGGGCACCACATCCCGACAAACTGGTCGGTAGCAACGATCCTCTACTCGCTGTCGCAGGATCCACAGGGTTACTTGCATTCTATCGCCTCAAGACTCGTCCTACCGCTTCTGATACCGCAGCACAACAGCAGAGTCAGACTGAGCTCGTCTTATCATGTGTGAAGCAAGTTACCGATGACACGACTCTGGTGCTGTCACTCACGTGGCATCCCGTCCGGCCGAATGTTCTCGGATTGACTCTATCCGATGGGCGGGTTGTGCTGTGCATGAGTGAGAGCAGAGACGAGCATGCAGATGCTGCTGTTGTGGCCTGCTGGGACCCGAATGCTGTGCTCTCTATGCACGATGTGCACGAGCACGAGCTCGAAGCCTGGATCATGAACTTCACGCCAGAGAATGATGCAAAGGTGCTATCTGGTGGCGATGACATGATGCTGCTGTGCTCGCAGGATATCGCTTCTGCGCAAAGTGATCCCGCCGAAGAGCAAGAGTATGCAATGCAATGGCAAGACCGCAAACTCCATCAAGCGGGAGTCACTGCAATCCTTCCTCTATCCGATACATTAGTCGTAACCGGCAGCTACGATGACCACATCCGCCTGCTATCTCTCCCCGCAGTCGGCAGACGAAAAGTCCTCGCAGAACTCAACCTCGGAGGAGGAGTTTGGCGACTGAAACTCCTCACACCTCCATCTTCGCATGTAGCACAGCCGAGCCACATCGAAAGCGGCGGCGGCATCCACAGCAGCAGCACCAGCACAGCCGATGCCGATCATGCATCAGGCCAACACACATTGACACCACCTATGTCAGCCTTACAGGATCATCAGGATCAGAACCAGACAACAAGGTACGGATTCTTCGCTTCGCTTCGCCTCGCCTCGCTTCCCACTCGCATCATCATCAGCATCATCATCATCACTACCACCACCCAAAATCCTCCCGAATTGACTGCCCTGAAAAAGTAATTCGGGAAGGAGATCAATCCCCGTCGCGTAAACTGCCCTACTCATCCTGAAAGCTCCTGGCCGTGAGGCCAGCAGCTAAGCTTTTCTTGCTCTTCAGTCCCCTAAATGACTCCTTCGCTATTCTCGCACATCTTTCATGCATATGACGCAATCTGACATTGATTTGGGGCGATCCAGTTCCCATTTTGTCCTACTCTGTAGCTGCATGCACGCCGGCACTCGCATAGTCAGGCTGCAGCGTAGCAGCAGAAAAGACGAAGACGATGACTGGACTTTCTCTGTGATAGCCCGGTTCGAAGAGCACAAGTCTATGAATTATGGAAGCGATGTGCAACCCAGAAGCGATGTTGAGAACCCGCTGCAGACGACAACGATCGTCAGCACGAGCTTCTATGACAAGTTATTGTGTTTGTGGCAGATTGATGGGGAGACGTTGAAAGAACCGCAGTAGGAAAAGTTGTGTTGAAGGGCAGAAGATGATTCTAATCTTGTCGGTCCCTTGGCCTTTTGATTGATTCATTAACTTTAGACAGTATCCTAGAGAACAGAGATAACTAGTCAATTCGCGCGAGTCATTGTCGTGAGGCTGCAACACTTCCGGCTCAGCCAGGATTTGCCCACAATACAACAACGTTCTGATGGTTTCTGTGCTTTGCTTGTAACGCTTCATTGTGCTTTGTTGGCGAAGATCGTGGTATTTCCCAATCTCACAGCCCAAAACGCCAAAAAGGACTCCTTGAAAGTCAGATAACTCCCGCCGCTTGCTATGCCGTTTGTGGAAAAAAGGTTGCTCAAAGACAAAAAGCAATGCCAGATAGGACTTTGCGCGTATGTCGGACGTGTGAGGAGACACTACTAGTGGTGTCGCTCAACTCGATAGCCGATCGGAGCTTGAGTCTGTGTGTGCTTGAAGGTTACCTCTGATTTTGTGATAATTCCTTCACGGCTCACCAGGTCCGCTAACCTTGATCTGTGGCATCGGCGGCGGCGGGGTACCATTTTCATTGTTGGCTGCTCGCCGCCATTTGAGGACAGGGATACGTTTATCACCCTACGGAGAGTTAGCAATGTGCATAGTGGAATGGAGAGTGATAGTCTCGCTCACCTTGACTTCTGTAGGCTCCTCGCTGCCGAGGACGAGGACCTGTCCGTCTTCCTCGAAGCGATGGGTTCGGATTTGAATGTCTCCGATCCAACCTGGTAAGCTACAACATTGGAAGGTGTGACGCAGGACCTCTTCGCGACCTCGACCTTCATTCGTGATGTAATACGGACCACAGTAGGCAAAACACCGCTTGCCTGCCTCTGCCCACTGTGGCTCTTCTCCTTCTCCTCGCTTGAAGCTTTGTTGACCGGGTATGAGCATCTGTGCTGCCATGTACCCATCCGGTGTGTACATGATGAAGCCGGTGACGTTCTTCGTCATAGGATATGTTGGTCTTTGGTTAGATGAATTTGGCGTTGGGTATGCAATATATGATTCGAGCTTCCAGGCTCCAATTAGCTTCTGTCGAAGAGGGAGCTCGGGCGGTGGTGTGGGAGTGGGCTCTCGGAAGTATAGTCCTTCGTTCAGATCGTCGTAATTCGTACCAGTGGCATCACTCATTAGGGAGTCTCTTCGTTCGGATGTGGTCGGAGAAGGTGGATTGCTTAGCAAGTATGGCGTTGAATCAATTGCCATCTTGTTGGAGTATACACTACTTGAAGATGGCCTTCGGTATGGCTCCGGACGAAACGGTTTAGGAGGGGACGAAGATCGGAAGCTAAGCTTCTGTGGAGAGACGATGACCTGCGTTGGCGACGAGACTTGACTTTGCACTTCCATCGGACCTCTTGATCTCGACCTCGAGCGAGCCTTCTTGGTTGCCAGGAACTTGGGCACTTGTAGGTACTGGGTCGTGGCGGTAGTAGTGCTCTGCATTGTTATCGTGGGTGCTGTGGCAGCAACAGGGCGAGTGTCTCAAGTCATGTACAGAGAGAGAGAGTCGGGTGGCATGAAGGTCAGTTACAAGGCTGGACATGTGAGAGTCAGTAGTAGCAGCATCGGGTCGAGGTTGGAGGGCAGGGTGGTAGTATGTATGACGGATGACCAGTGCACCGACGATTGTGGACAGCCAGCCCGCACCAGCCAGCTGCTACGCCCGCCAGACAGCCGGCTGGGTCTGACCTCGCGCAGTCTCAGCTCGAGCGGCGGCGGACAAGCCAGCAAGCAGCAGCACACAGAGGCTCGCTCGCACGATGATGATGAGGTCGAGTGCCTGTCGCATGGGTCCTGGTTGCATGCAGATTGCAGCAGTGCCGAGGAGCCGCACTTAGGCACGGGTAGGCCGTCCATCCTGCAAAAGTCCGATGGACACAAATGCTTGGTCCACGGTAGAGGCGCCTGCCAGGTGCATGGCCTTGCTCAATCGGGCCCCGTTGGATCTATTGATTCCTGCACGAGGCTGCCCACGCTGCTGCTGCTGCTGCTGCGGCGCCTCTGCCATCAGCCGGAGCGGGCGTTGCTGAGGAGTGCTGACCTTGCGCGATACGGCGCCTCCGCGAGGGACAGCAGGACCGCATCGCGAATGACTTCATCTCCACCGCGCATCGCACCAACCATGCGCAATGATGCCCACCGCTGGGGACGAGGCGGCGGCGGCCGTGTATCGCTGTCACGCACTGCACATCGGCGCACGTCTGGCAACCACGATATGTCTGAGATGAAAGCGCGGGACAGCAGATGCACATTCCTTGCTGCCTTGGCGTCCGACCGGCATGGAACCAAAATAGCATGCATCCGCTGCCATTATCTGTGCCCTTAACGAGCGCCCGGCTCTGCGAGCAGCCACCGCTCGCGACGGAACCCTGATTTGCTTGTCGCAGACTCTCTCGTGGCTGGCGTGATCTGACTGAGCACGTTCGAGAGCCATGCACCAAACCCTCAACAGCAGCAACAGCAGCAGTGACCGCTGACTGATATCCCAACACCGACCGTCGGTATCAGCAGCTGGAGAGCCGGAGATGGGCCAATGTGGCAGCCGACATCGCAATCAGCATCGCGCCAGCGATAAAGTTGCAATTCTCCATCCGGATGACCTCCACGAAGTATGAACCTTGGAATCAACACCCTTGCTCATCCCTTCGATACCAGATGTCTAGACAGCAGACCAGCAGCCAAGACCCGAACAAGAGTGGATATTCCTGATCAATCTCCTCTGCGGTGTGCAATTCTCGAGCCTTGCGCTGTGCGAATCATCCGAAAGCAATGCCCATGAGCTTATCGTCGGATATTGGTGCCGAGCAAATGAACCCGTCATGGTTACAGCTCTGAGGGCAGGAATGAGATCCGATGTCGTATAGCAGCATGCCATGTCCGGAGTGCGTCACGTGGAGGTCGCTCCGAGGCGCCATCGCCAACAGCAGAAATTGCACAGGAGTGGCAGCAGTAGTGGCAGCAGGAGCGGAAGCAGCAGCGCAAGAGCATTGGACTAATCCAGCCGTGTTTGCAGTCGTTCTGTGGGCTGGGTGACACCGTCGTTGCGTTCACGGCAGGTACAGCCCGTTGAGCTTCCCCTAGCTCTCCCGCCTTGTGCGGGGTGCTATATGAGCACGATCATTTTTTCCGCTGCTCCATAGCTTCTACAACCACATTGTGAAAATTGTGCCGTGACCGAATCACACCACAAAGTATTCTTGCATGATGTGTAGAATAATGCAACAGCTGACTAACATCACAGACGCCAAACCATCACCGGTATGGCCAACCTGCCATCAAAGCCGCCATGAGGGCAATTCTTCGCAACACAAGATCCAGAATGATCAAGGTACCGTCGTTCGATACGATAGAAAGCTTGAGCCGGTGTCTGTGTAGCAAACTGCGACCAAGTCCTCCAACCGCGACGTGAACACAACTGCTTGTGCTTGCGACCGTGGAGAGGACCTGGCACATGACGCTCACAGTCTGAGATTATACGGCAGAACTTGATTATCTGGATAATACCAGCGAAAGAATCATGCTTTCATCGCGACTCCCCTTTCGAGTGGAGGAGCGAGACTGACTTCAGTAGTGAACTACCACCCCCGCCACCTGCACCCAGCAAGATGGCCCCACCAGCAATGAGCTTTGAAGAGCAGCACGCTCCCGTCGTGGACGGCTACCCAAGCAAGCTTGCCACCCTTCCACATGGAGCCGCCATTCCAACTACCAACAAGGTCACGTCCTTGGAGTCCATGGCTGAAGACAACTGGTCCAACTTCACCTTCGCCCCCATCCGCGAATCGCAGGTCTCTCGCGCCATGACGCGTCGCTACTTCGCGGACTTGGACCACTATGCCGAGTCCGATATCGTGATTGTCGGTGCTGGCTCGTGCGGACTTTCGGCAGCCTACTGTCTCGCCAAAGCCCGACCAGATCTCAAGATCGCCATTATCGAAGCTGGTGTCGCTCCCGGAGGTGGAGCCTGGCTTGGCGGACAGCTCTTCAGCGCAATGGTGATGCGCAAGCCCGCCGATGCCTTTCTTCGTGAAGTTGGAGTCCCTTACGAAGAAGAAGGAGAAAACTACGTTGTAGTCAAACACGCTGCCCTCTTCACCAGCACAGTCCTCAGCAAGGTCTTACAATTCAACAACGTCAAACTCTTCAACGCCACCACAGTCGAGGACTTGATCACTCGCAAGGGAGAAGATGGTCAACTCCACATCGCAGGTGTCGTCACCAATTGGACCCTCGTCAGCATGCACCACGACGACCAATCATGCATGGACCCAAACACCATCAACGCCCCTGTCATCATCTCCACTACTGGCCACGACGGACCGTTTGGTGCTTTCTCCGCGAAGCGCCTCGTTTCGATGAAACACGAGAACCTCCCCGCGTTGGGCGGAATGCGTGGCTTGGATATGAATTCCGCTGAAGACGCCATCGTCAAGGGTACTCGTGAGATCGTACCAGGTCTCATCATTGGCGGCATGGAGTTGAGTGAGGTAGATGGCGCCAACCGTATGGGTCCTACTTTCGGTGCGATGGCTTTGAGTGGTGTCAAAGCCGCTGAAGAAGCTCTGAAGGTGTTTGATGTCAGGAGGGAGGAGCGTGCCGACAAGTCATTCAACAGGATCAATGGCAAGCACTGAGGATTTCCTCGAATGCTCTGCCACTGATGTGGAACGGCCTTGGTGGACGATTATTGACATGATATGATGCCGATGAAAGCAACAGATTGAAAACACAAAAGTACAAATCCGGCATCAACCTCCACGCTCGCTTAGATACGTCCAAAAATGCAGCACATGACTTCGCATTGCATTGCTTCCACTCCAAAATTCCACATCCTTCGCTCACCAGACCAGATTCGTTCACGTTCGCATATTATATCGTGGCATGTCGATCATCCCAGATCTTGCGTTTCATCAAACGACACCCACACCCCACTGATCCTCGTTCCTTCACTCCGCCTCAAGCAAGGGACCCCTCGTGTATCCGAAACAATAGCCTGGCGCATCATGAAATGGTTCATCTTGACGACAGCACAACGCAGCGCATCATGAGACGAACGCCACGGACGGCCGAACTGCTCGAGAGAACCGGTTCAGGCACGGGAGCAGTGCATGTCAAAGTGAGACTGTTTCCATGGAACTCAAAGTTCTCATATTGATAACAATATCTACGTAATTTTGTCATTCTTCGTCAATTCTTCTCCTCGTTACGAAGCGAATCTACATCACGCACGCGGCCGTGAAAGCAAAACGAGCTATCTAGAATCGAACAGCCAGCCTCGCAGCACAGGGCTACAGAAGTGCCTCTGGAAGCTGAATGGTCCAGCGAGGAAACAGGTCGCTGGAAGGGTATATCAGAATCGGGAAAAGTGCTCGCCGGCACAACGCAAGCTTCAGTCTCCAGCCAGATCAGTAAGGTGAGTTGACAATCTCATTCCTACTGAGGTAGCTGCCTCGTCCCTTTGGTCTCTTCGGCGTAGCCATGATACTCTCGCGCGTCGGTCTCTGCAGAGCTGCGCGACGAACCATGTCGACTTCGTTGGGAAGCGCGACGACAATGTTCTTGTCGCTGTTGAAGCGGAAGTTATCGGCCTTGACCTCTTCCGCGTAGCGCTTGATGTGGTAAGGGTCCTTTCTGCCGGCGAGCACCTTTTTCATGGACCAAGTGACGATGAAAGGACCAGTTGCCGTGATGATCGTAGTCTCTTCCTTGCCTTCTCCAGTATTGAAGCGAGCTGGAGTGAAAGAAAGCGCGGCACCAGTCTCGTGCTGGAACTGCGCAATGTGCTGAGGAGTGAGTCCAAGACGTCGTGGTTGCGGCTTGTGATCCTTGGAAAATGGTTTCTCGAAGCCGAGTTTGCCAGCATATTTGCTGCCTTCTTTTTGCTCCGCGTCGATGAGGAGCAGATAGGTTCGTGTTGTTGCGAGCACCCATCTGCCGTCGGCGCTCGTATCGATGCCAATGACAGGGTCACCGAGCGCCGGCAGCGCAGTCTTCGCGTTGATGCCCAACCGGTCGAACAGGCGAATATCTCCCTTGTTCGAGGCCACGGCAATGTAGCCTTGCTCGGTGGTCGCTGCAGCGGAAAAGTCGTTCTTGCTCACGTACTGCTTTAGCTCCGAATCCACCAGCTTATTACCGCTCAGTCGAGGGTCAACTCGGTAGAGTGCGTTCTTGGACAGACCAAGGAATGTCTGCTCGCCTGTGGTTTGAGCAAATTTACTCTCGGGCGCGAAGATATTGATCGGGATGTCGTCGGAGACCTTCCACTCATCCACTACTTTGCCGACTTCGAGATCCATTCTGTAGACACTGTTGGGGTCGTCTGGGTTTTGCAGGACCATGTTGCGATCCTGCGCGTGAAGCATGACCTTCGATGGCGCGAATTTCTTGCCCTTGAGATTGGCAACGTTATTGATCGAGGTATTGAATTCAAGCTTGTTGTCCTCAGTGTGCTTGAACACTCCGATCTTGTTGCCTCGCACCACGAAAGATCGGTCCACGTTGGCTCCCACGGCAAGTTGGCTGTTGACATTTCCGTCCTTGTCCACGTTCACAGGTTCGTCCTCGTCCTCATCGGAGTCGAAGTCGGGCTCCGACGTGCCATCTTGAGCATCCTCAAACTCATCCTCCTCGTCATCTTCCTCCGCAGCTTCGCGCTCTCTGGCGTCATCGGCTGGATCCTCGATGACCAGGTCGTTGAATGCGTCCAAAACGTAGTCGTGCTCGGCATCCTTGACTACCTTGCCCCACTTTGCCTGGTTCAGATGTTCCCAAAGTGCTTGCATCAAGCCCTCCTGAAATTTCTCCTCGGTCTCTCGATCCTTGAACTTGAGTAGCCACGAGTATGCCGAGCCATCTTCTGCGTAGTGGTTGAAGATGAAGCTCAAGTACTCAAAGTTGAAGACTGGGTTGATGTCTGGCGTGACCTCTTGCCCTAGCCATTGCTGCTTGTCACCAGTGATCTGCAGCCAGTATGTCCAGTTGCCAGTCTCAGTGACAATAGCTTGGACGCCCTCGTCCTGCAGCCTGAAGGTGCCTGAAGCAAAATCGAACAAGTGCAGCTCCGCCTCTTCATTTGCCAGTGTCTCGGTCGCAGTGGGCACGGATCGTGGGGCAGGTGCTTTGGTCGGCGTTTGCTGCACAGCTTTGGCTGGCGTTGCAGGCTTCTTCGTCGATTCGCGAGCCATGATAGCTTTCGTGGGCGTCTTGCTCGGCGTGGCGTCGCGCAGCTCGTTCAGTGCTTGTGTGCTGGGCGAGAGTATTTGCGAGCCACCGAGTGGGCTTGCTCTGGGACTCGCAGTCGGAACTTCAGGCTCGTCGTCGAATGCAAACTCCTTGAGATCACCTTCGGTGGCGTACTGGTGACCACGGCGGTACTTGCGCTCGAATTGGCACTGGGCTGCAACAATACCGAACGCAGTCACAGTCTCGGGGCGGACGCTCTCGTCGCAGACAAATTCGAACAAGTCGCCCTCGTCTCCAGAAAGGTCTCGCCAGGCAAGAACGATCTCACCGTTGTCCTTGAGGTCTGTGCGGAAGTGAATGTGCTCGTCAAGCAGGAAGATCTTCTCGTCCTTGTTATCGAGCGTTGCAACGGCGCCGTCTTCCCCGCCTTCTTCTTCCAGCAAATCTTCCTCGCCCTCTTCGTATGCGCGTTGGATGACGAGTTGATAGTGGAATTCCTGGCCGGTTCTGCGAATGTAGGCGGCGGCGTCTCTGAAGATGAGCTCCGAATATCCCTTGGGCGATCGCGGGCGGACGATGAAGAGCTGTCCCTGGCTGATGTCCGCTACGTTTTCCTTGTCGCCTTTTCCAAACAAGTAGCCCGTCAGCGACTTAATAGCGAACATGTCGTCATGCGAGTAGCAGCAGCAGCATCACGAGACGGTCGGTCGTTGAAGTAGGAGTGACGAGTAGTGAAAGCGGACTGGAGCTCGTCACGTCTTGTTTTCCAGCGCAAACATGACCCCGCGTCATGAAAGCGCGAACGCCACTTGTGGCTGTTGCCTGGATGCTGCCTCAGGCCGACACAACCCAGTCTCACGTTGATTGCTCCACGCACTTTCATCTTCACCACCTTCAAAGACATTGTCATTTGCTCGAGCCGAGTCTTTGTTTCACCTGAAGCTTTCTGCCACGTGGTTCTGGAATCAAGCCTCTTGCACCACGACCCTCGTAGCTGCAGCGAAGGCGCAAGCCAGCGTCCCTCCGTCTCACAATGTCCGCTCTCCAGCTCGTGCAGCTGTGACTGTTGTCAACACTGCTGATCTGCACGACACAGGCGACCGCTGTGACGTTTCTCACGCATCCGCCATTCGATGGCCGATCAGCGCTGAATTCTCTACTGCGCTTGCCGTTTCTGGCTGATGCACGTCTGTCGTCGTGATATGAGCTGGTCCGGCGGAGAGAGAGCCACCAATCGCCATCGGCGAGTCCGAGCCAGCACGTCCCCCGCCAGAGCCTCCCACCGTGTTTGGCGCAAGCCACCTGCACCTTCTTCAACGCCAGTTCCGCAATCAAGACCACATGACGCCCAAAGCAGCATCGAGCTCCCTCCAGATGCCAATAGGAGCTCAAGCAAATGGCCGTGATGCTCATCAGCGAGCCGGTCCTACGCCGTACGCGAGCCGCCGGTGCGCGCGAGCTGATTCTAGAGTTCATGTGCTAGCCGATGAACTATGCTGCTCATCACTTACATGAAGCCATGAAGCCCATGCACGCGAGCTGTGTTCTCTCCACCACCAGTGTCAGCGTGTACAGTATAGCATTGCCGATCGACAGAGAAGGCCCGACACTCCATGGACGCTACTCTGGTTTTTGTGCGTCGAGCTCGACACGCGTGGTCGGAGTTCAGACAGCCCAATGCTCCAAATGGACAGCAGCCAGGCCATCCTGAAGACCAGCATGGCAATGGCAATCACTGGCGCCCAGATCCCAGTCTGAATAATCCTAACGAGAGAACTGCACTTGAAAACTACAGGCTGCTGGTTGGTAGTATGTGGATAATATATGTAAGCGGCCTGATGGCGCTCAAATACTGACGCGTTACAACAGTCCACCAGGATAAGTCTTTCAGCCCGCCCCATGGCTTCCTGGCGAACAGACGGCCACAGCTCTCCATAGAACACCGCCCCTCGCCCAATCTCGGCATATATAGCACTGTCTGCGATGCGGAGATCAAATCAAAAAGACAATACAAGTCGCAAAGTCGTCTGATCAATGTTTGCTTGGGCTTGCAATTGGTCGTTGCAGCAGCCTTGACTGCGTTAGGAGCTGCTGACGGGAGTAGGGCTGCAGTGAGTAAAGCGGACCTCTTGCTCAGCTGTCTGTCTAATTCGTGATTGCAGGTCACGGTCTTTGGAGCCATTAATACCGTCATTGCAGGATTCCTCACATACCTTAAAGGCTCTGGGCTGCCCAATCGATTGAAGTATTACCAACATGAGTGGGCGAAAGTGAGAGAGTACATCGAACAGCGTGAGAGAGATTTCAGCTTTGGGCTGCTTGGTCACCAGCATGTTCTCGCCGAGGTGGAGACGGTCAGAGAGATGTACGACAACGTCCGAGCCGATATCGCCAACAATACTCCCGAACGATTCGTTGGCAATCCGGCATCGAAGGGCACTCAAAGTGCGTTTGCGGCATCACAACTCCAGCGACCTGCTGCAGTGGCAAGCATGCAGTCCATGGAAAAGCAGTACCTTGACGCATTTGATGAGAAGCAAGCGGAAGCAAATTCTGCAATGAACAAGGCACACGACCAAGCTCAAGGGTTGTTTGGCAAGGCTCGCGGCATTAAAGAGATGCTCGAGAACAAGATCCACGATCTTGGTCAGATGGAGAAAGAGATTGAATCAGATGGCAGAAATATGGTTGCGGAGAAGAAACAAGGCATTGCAGCTCAGGTGGAGCACGCTGTGAAAGAGATCGCACACCTTGGGAAGGAGCTTGAGACAAAGGCGACAGATGTCGCAGTCGACAAGCAACAGCATATCGGCAGTGCGATTGCCAGCTCCACGGATGCCGCTCGAGCCACTGTTGCCCAACAGCAGCAATACGCTACCGATGCTCTCTCGGCCCAACGTGACGCAGCTCGCGGGACCATTGCTCAACAACAGCAGTATGCTTCCGATGCACTCTCGGCGCAACGTGACGCAGCTCGGGGTGCTGTCACAGACACTTCAAACGCCGCCAGCGACTCAATTGCTCGACAACAGCACGAAGCACAAGCAGCTATATCTCGAACGTCTCAAGCTGCTAGCGACGCACTAAATCAGCATCGTGAGAACATGGCAGCGGCAATAGCACCGAGACACGACGGGATTGCACCTGTACCTGCCCCATCCACCAGCAGACTTAGGGAGGAGCACGATGCTTGATCATGGTAGCCTCACGCTCTGCTGAGCAATGCTTTACATTCTTCCACGGATGGCCGGGCTTTCGTTGATCTACGTCTCGTATCTATCTAGCTTGGAGCTGCAACTGAAAGGTCGCTCTGCTACACTGAGCGTTCAGTGAATCTACTGGCCGAAATGGCCACTATTTTGAGCTTGTTACCCTATGAGGGTCTCCCTAAACTGGCACAACGGTCTCATCAAGCTCGTGGCGTCTCTGAATTGATCGGATCCAATGGCGTCACCTTCTTCACGACCTTAGCTGGCGAGCCCATCGCCACACTCCAAGGCGGAATATCTTTCGACACAACCGAGGAAGCTGCGATAGTGCAACCTTCGCCAATCGTCACACCAGGCAGAATCACCACATGTCCGCCAATCCAACAGTCACTGCCAATGACCACCGGCTTCGCATACTCAACATCGTCTCGCCGACTCTGCACTTCTGTCTCGTGCGTAGCGGCAAAAATCGAAACATTCGGTCCAATCATCACTCGGTCACCAATTGTGACTAAACCACAGTCAAGGATCGTGAAATTGAACCCCGAATAGAATCGATCTCCGATGACCGTATTGCAGCCATAGTCGAGATAGAAAGGAGGTTCCAGATATGCTCCTTTGCCTACACGACCGAGCACGGAATGAAGACCTTCATAGCGGTTCTTGGCCAGAGTTTCGGGGGTGTCATCATCACCTGAGGGGAAAGTCGTGTTGTAGTTGTGGCAGAATTTGCGAACTTTGTGTCTTGCTTTGGAGAGTTCGGGTGTGAAAGAATCGTAGCTGAGACAAATTTGTTAGGAAGCGAACGGGTTGTGTGAATTGAGGCGCTGGGACAGATGGAGTCGATAGCGTTGAGAACGTGGGAAGAAGACTCACAGCATTCCAGAAATCATTCGCTCGTATTGCTCACACCAGGGAACATGATTCAATTTCTTCGCTAGGGCGATTTGCGTTTCGTCTTTCTGCTGACTTGCCATGATTTTGCCTTACTGGTTCCACGCGTCGGTCTGTCCTCTGCTTTTGGGAGTTGCTTCTCTAAACAGTAAAAGCCGTTGGTCGTGAATAGTGCGCTAGAAGCACGATTCAAGCTCTTATTCTTTCTTCTTGTTTCAAGAGTCTGTTGGGAAGTAACGGTGCCGGAGAATAGAATAGAACTACTGCACGGGCGTTGGCTTTCTGTCCGGTTCGTTGCTTCGCTGTGCTTCGTTCCTGCACGTTGATATCGTTCGCAGTTTCGTTTCTCAGTAGAGTCAAAGAAAAGAGAAGAAGAGACGCGTGTATGTTCGATTTTCACCGCATCCAACGTCAGTCGCCAAGTGGCATTGAGGACCACGACGCGGCCGCGCTGAGAGCGGCTTCACCTTCCCAAAACGTCACATTTCGCCGATCTGAAGCGGAAGTGCCTATTGCGTCCTGCCGCCATACTCAAACGCAACTGTCATCGCCACAGTGCACATCCCATCATTGTCAACATCATCAACACGATTTGATCGCAGAAGAGGTCAGAACAACAAATTCCAAATCCTATGCCGGCCCTTCACAATCGCCAAGTCTCACTGAAATGACCCTTCAACCACAGCACAGACGACTCATCGCTCCCAGAACGTTGTAAAAGTCAAAAGTGCACAGGACCTATTATTACCACAGACCGTTGCGCGACAATTGCGAAACACAAACGCCATCATGGCCACGCATGGGTACGGCAAGTGTGAAATGAGCTTCAATCTTGTTTCAAACTTCAACTCGTGGAGAACATTCGTCGACTGCATCGATTTGTGATAAGATCTATTTTCGTACAACCAGGCAGGCAGGCAGGCAGCAGAAAGCCAGGAGGTTTGTTAATAAGTAGTTCTAGCCATGCTCGCACCCGCCATTCTGGAAATACTTTTGATGATTGAGATTTTTGAAACTGGTTGTATTAATTCTTTGATGACTGGTCGCCGATTGTCTGGTTCTAGGTCATCTCTATTCTGGATCACCTCTCTATACCCTCGCACGACGTTCTCTATTTTGGGTAAACGCTCACGTTAATCATCTGGACGACGCCTCGAGCAATTGGTAGCTTCATACCCGTCGACCAAATCGAGCAACGGATAAACACGCGATGCGTCGCTCACGAACTCATCAATTGGCGACGCCATATGAAGCTACCCAGCCCCTGGCACGACCGGACGAGTGGCCACCGACTTGTTCTTGTACGACGCCGATTTGTCGCGATCCGCTTAAACGTAAGTCGATCGAGGTGTCCGTTATCGAATGTCGAATGCGGCTGACAAATTGATTGTCCGCAGATCGAATGCAAACAGACCCAGAAAACACCATGGATGTTATGTCGGCTTCGACACTGGTAGCGACTGCTTTATTACTGACGCCCGTGACGACGATCCAAGCCACTTCGATGTCGACAACTCCAGTCAGAACACTCTTAATCCTAGGCGCACAACCGGATGCGATCTCGGAGAGGCCCAAGACGAAGAGATGGTATTCTGGATGGAAGAGGCATAGAGCTGGATCCGTACAGTCGAGAAAGTCGCACAGCTTGGGAGGCTTCTCGATAGAGTCGACCACGAGTAGAGGCAAGGCGTCCGTGGATTCAAGAGGAAAGACTTTGGATTTTCCTGGATGAGACTGCGCCTCGTCATTCCTCCCGGCCGATGCGGTGATACAACGCCGCTCCTTCGCTCCGCCCGCTGGTGCTAACGGTGACCTCGCCTTCCCCCGGGGGTTTATTCTGAAGAAATATGTGGTCGCGAGTCTCAGACGGCCCTTTACGGCGCTGCCATACCTCTTGGCCACGTTCAAGAGCGGAGATGTCCCGCCTTCCTCGGAGAAGGAAGTGCTCTCTTGCAATTGCTTCGGAATGGCGCTACATTGGCTCCGAGCACGACGCTCCGTGCGACGGTGCCCGATGCCATCCATCTCGCACAATCTCAGCAACCCAAAGTCGATCCCACGTGGCTGACCGTTCAGCTTCCCGACTGTGGAGTGATCCAAAATGGAACGGGTGACGTTCCTGGCAGGAATATGATGACCTAATGAGGCCCACGCACCCGAGAGTGCTCTATAGCATCTACGACGTAGTTGAAAAGTAATGATGAATGATATGTCGTTGTATCATCTTTTCGCGGTATCTTCATCTGAAATAGTATCCGAAGAAACGACGATAGCTGGTGCCGCAGGACTGCTAGGCGGAGCCGGCTGTTCTGAATCCACGCGGGGCGCCACTGGAAGGCTGTTCTCCCTGGAATTGCGGAACATAGGCGAAGTCGGGACTTCTAATGTGTCTCGACGTGTTCTTTTCCTTGCGAGGGGATCGGGTGCCCCTGCGACTTGTTCCATTTCTGTCGATGTACGTTCAAGCCCATCTTTTGAATTGCTCATTGTGTTTGAACGTGCTCTGCTGAGTCGAGATATACCGGATCGGACGCTTTCACTGGAGCCTCGGGAGGAGTGCGCGTACTCGTTGTAAGTAGATCTCGTTCGCGACAGCTCGCGGTTTCGCAAAGATTCGCCTGGAATCTCGGGAAAGTTCATGGCACTGCCTCTTCTGAAGTCCGATGTGTCGAAACGATGCCGCTTGGGGTGACTGATATGGTCGCTGAAACTGATTAGGACTTTGGCAATCTGATGCAGAACTCCCTTATCCTCGGGTGCTCCTGACCCAGGATTGAAGTCTTCCATTTCTCGTCGTTCGCGTTCGCGGGTCATTGCTTCTGCGAGAAGGACGTATACTGATCCAAGAACCGCAAGACCTGTACCTGCGATTGGGGCCCACTGTCCTACGTTGGCCAGAGGTTCCGTCTGGTAATCAACTTCCTTGCTAAAAAGGTTGCGCTCGCCAAGAACCAGGATCGTTAGGACTGCGCCGCCGAATATCACCGTTATCGCGTACCTGCGAATCAACTTCACTATGAAGTGTCCACGTACCTCACCCAGCGGCTCTGCGTCTCCGAAAATTCTCTTGTAATTAATCTCGAGGATGTTGAGCCACGTTGAGACGCAAAGAAGGATTGCCGGAAGGCAACATGCTGCGGAGAGCAATGTTGCGGCATTGAAGTTCAGTTTCGTGGGGGCAGGTATGAGGTAGATGTTTTTTGCACTGCCTCCACGCAAAGGAGAGAACGGGCCTTGGTCCTCGTTGCAGATGACGCCACAAGAAGCTTTCTCGTAGGGGAAGAGGTTTGGATTGGATGACAATGGGTTTCCGGCATCGTCCTCCAGGCATCGAAAGCCATTGATCCGGTAGAATTCGACAGTCAAGCTCAACAGTCCGGCAAGGATGAGCATTGCCCATACGAAGATGCTATTCCTTCCTGCTTCGTTATTGTAGGTCCCCGATATTCTGACTGTGACTGGACCAACCAGCGCACCTATAGCGCAGAATTGGAATGCGCCATACACATCCATGTCCACAGCTTCATCGATGTGTTCCGAGACGAGGACAATGGCGTGAATGGCAGCCACAACGGGAAACAGCAATGCTGCGGCCAAACAAGCATTCCTCAGCCATTCCACCTTGCGGGCGAAGATGCATGCCGCTACCAAGACGTAGTACCTGGAGGTGTTAGCAGATATCACATCTGTGGCTTTGTATACTTACAGAACCCGAGAGCCTGGACCGTACTGTCCAGACACTGGCCATGCGCAGATCACATCAATCCCCGCGCCTGCTGCGAGTTGTGGTGATGATGTGTTGGCCGGCAATTCGCTGAACGTTGAAGTAGATTCCAACGCCGGCATATCTGGCGTGCTTCGCCGCAAGTCTTCCAGTGACGGAGATGATCGGCCTGCCTATGGAGGCTCGAGATGCGGGATGGCTGAGGGGGCGGTAGGGACAAGGACGCTGACTGGGACAGCTAAGGACATAGTATGGGGTGGAAGAGGACGATGTTCGGTGGGAGAGAAGAAGTCGGGAGGTGGACGAGTCAAGAATGCCTGGGCAGATGGCAAAGAGTGGTAGGCAATGGCCTTACTCCATGTTTCTGCTGCAGGCCAAGTGCCCCGGTGGAGCCTCTTCACTGCTCACACGAGCACTTGCCTAGGTAAGCGTTGCAGTGCGGCCTGGCGAGGAGGTTTGCCGGGTGTCTTCCGCTGGTCATGTGCGGCGAGCTGGATTACGGCGCCGATCGGCCATTGGTGTCGGCTCAGCGACCGGTCAAGCGTGGAGCGGGAGCTGCACTGCGCCACCGTCTTTGTGCTCTCTGTCGTCAAAGCTTCTCGAAGGATTTTGGAAGCTTCGGAACGAGTCGCGCTGGCCTCGGCTTGGCGCTGTCCATCCCAAAGCAGCGGAGCGCGTGCAGCAGCAGGAGGCGGAGCATTCTGACTTTCTTCACTCACATCGTCAAAACTCGACCCGAGAGGAGGATATACACAGCACTTCTCTGCGAAATGCCTGGACATCAAGGCGGCCACCTTCGAAACCCGACCCTGCGCAGTGCTGGCTGACAAGCTGAGGAGCTGAATGTGCCACCATGGCCACAAGTGACACCACAAACCTCGACACGAGCGAGATTAGGAACTGGCGATCTATTGTCACACTGATCGTGTTCATTGTTACAAGTAAGTGCTACGTTCGGGTAACCCTTGATAATTCAGCACTTTTCTGCAATTTGCTCCCAAGACTTGGTCAGAGTACTGAGCGATCAGTACCCGATCTTGCAAGTGTACGCGCACAGTCACTCCGAGGGAATATGCAGAGGTTGTTCATCAAACTTGAATCTGACAAGGCCATAGATATCATTGTGCTCTTCCCATTCTACGTACCAATATACGTGCCAAGATCATTGTACAATGCGACAATTCGTGCGTTGAAGACTCTCCGCATCCTTTCGAAAAGCGACCGCCATCCCTACGATGACGCCGACACATCGCGTTGGGTCCGACTCCAATTCCATATGGGTATGGTCACGGCGCCTCTGATAGCCGACCTCTTCCTTCTCGCGATTCTGGCTATTGGACGACAGGAAGTTCATGTAAGCAAACTCCTCCCTCGAGACAGAGAATGCCAACGCGCCATGATCTGTAGCCCTGCCAGATACAGTGCTTGAATTCTGGCGTATCGCGCGTTCGAGTCTCACTGACGTTCTCGATAGGATGGAACTGTCGGAGCGGAGAACATCAATCCCATCGATATTATGGTATTCTTCCTCACGCTGGCCTATATCGCTATCTCCATCGATGCATCAGGCCTCATCCGCTGGCTGGCGTTCAAAGTCCTTCAACTTGGCGGAGAGCACGGCCGTCGACTGTTCGTCTACCTCTACTCGTTTTTCTTTCTGCTCACATGCTTTGTTGGAAACGACCCGATTGTTCTGAGTGGAACGAGCTTCTTGGCATATTTTTGCAGGGTCTCAAGCAATATCAAGCATCCTCGAGCATGGATACACATGCAATTCGCCGTGGCAAATATCGGGTCAGCAGTTCTGGTGTCCTCGAATCCCACGAATCTGGTTCTAGCAGGGGCGTTCGAAATCAAATTTTTGCACTACACCGCGAACGTCGTAGTTCCGGTGATAGCAACGGCGATTCTATTGCTACCATTTCTGCTATACATCGTATTTCCATACGAGGCATTGATTCCGTCAAAGATTGAGCTCCACCAGCTACCTGAGGAGGTCAAGCACAAGCCGCCAGTCAACCCTAACATTCCGAACGCGCGTGGGACTACAGAGGATGAAGAGAACGACGACAGTGAGCATGCACAGCAATTATCGCTCGAAGAAATCATGAATCCATTCCTGGACAAAGGTGGAGCTTGGTTCGGCGCGGTCATCATGGCAGCGACTCTGGTCACCATCTTAGCTCTCAACGCATCAAGTCAGAGCGGCCATGAGCACCCAATATTCTGGATCACGCTCCCTGCTGCGTTCATCATGTTTTGCTGGGACTTGACATTTGGCTGGCTCAATAGACATGATACTCGCAAATTGGCACGCGAGGGCAAGGAGCAAATCGAACTCGCCAAGATGCAGAGAGCAACCGCGTCCCCGGCCGCTGGAATCCAGACGCCACTCGATGTGAGCGGAGAGCCTTTGAGCCTCACGAAGTCCCCAGATGAGATCATGGAAGGCAAGAAGACTTCTGACAGCCAAACAGCAAGTGCAACGAGCACGCCCCAGGAAAAAGTTGCAGAGAAGGAGGAGATTGCGGCAACATTCCCGGACTCTATCGAAAACCAACCTGGCCCTGCTAGTCTTCAGTCTCTCGCCGTCGGAGCGTACCATTGGTGCCAGGTCACATTTCCGACTGCGACAACAGTTGCAACACACCTACCTTGGAAACTCGTTCCATTTGCATTCTGCATGTTCGTGTTAGTGCAAGCACTTGTGACGAAAGGGTGAGCGAAACCAGTCAACAGCAAGAAATACGAATGTCCACTAACCGTTCCCTTAGATGGGTGCCCGTCTTTGCACACGGCTGGGACCATTGGGTCAACAAGACAGGCACAGTCGGCGCTATCGGCGGCATGGGCTTCCTCTCCGTGGTCATGTCCAACTTCGCCGGAACGAACATCGGCACTACGATCCTACTTTGTCGCGTTGTCCAGGCTTGGGTACAAATACACCGGAACAATGGCACGATCATCACTCAGCGGACTTTCTGGGCTACTGTATACAGCATGGCGATTGGCGTGAATTATGGCGCGTTCTCGACTGCCTTCTCTGCTTCGCTTGCAGGGCTCCTGTGGCGAGACATCTTGGCGAGGAAGCACATTCGCGTCCGGAGTCTGGATTTTGCGAGAGTCAATCTACCTATCATCGCTGCAACGATGGTTGTGGGGCTGTCAGTATTGATTGGAGAGGTATATATTGTGCGAGACCAGACGCCATATGTGGGCGGAAGAACACCATAGTTTTTGTTTGACTAGCATTCATACGACAGTTACGAAAAGTCCCAGTCTCTTCACAACTAGTCGTCATATTCTAGCATACGGTGATATATTCCTGCTGACCAATGTTTGCTGAACCGCTCCTTGGAAGAGTAAAACAGATGTGTCGTGACGGCCGCCAAGAGAGCGACCCTCGCTGAGGACGTCATTGGTCTGCCTCTTGTTACAAATGGACGTCCCCTCACCTCTCAACAGAGATCGAGCAATCCATTATTCCTACTTTCCAGACAATCGCCCACCCCTCTGATTATCCAACAAACACAGAACAAGAAGAAAGAAACCCTGTCCCGAAGAAAACTTCGCCATAATGACCTCTCAAGTCCAAATCTCCAACCCACCAGACAACCCCTCCTTAGCAGAAACCTACTCCCAAGTCAGCATAGTCCCAATCTCCTCCACCAAACGCCTCATCTCCTTCGCTGGCCAGACCGGAACAGGCAAAGACCAAACCGCAAATGCAAAATTATCTTTCGCAGAGCAAATCCAGCTCGCATTGGAGAAAGTCGACAAATTACTCGCTGCTACGGGCGCGAAGAAGGGGGATATTGTTATGATTAGACCGTGAGTGTGAATTTGTTCTACTTTCGTTTGTGCGAAGCACTGATTTTTGGTAGCTATGTTGTGAAATTGACGAGTCGGAGTGAAGAGGAGATTAAAGCGAAAGATGAAATCTTTCTGAAGTGGTGGAGGAGTACAGAGGGAGAGAACGCTCTTCCGCCGCCGGATTCTTTGTTGGGAGTGGATAGTTTGTGGAGTAAAGAGACGTTGTTTGAGATTGAGGTGCAGTGTGTTTCTGATATTTGATGTTGTTTAGACTGCATTACTTACGACCAAGAGACAAAATTCCGAGCAGGATGCGCTGTCATGTTGTTAGCTACGGCTTCATTCTGTATCCTAGGAAAGCGTCAGAGAGTTGTTCAACGATTCTGCATTGCGAAGAGTAGCCCGTCGACTTCCTGTTGGATAGCTTGAACCCGCTGCTTCTCAATCAGTTGGAGTCGGAACTGCTCTTGCCATCCTTCTGCGCCGGAATCTGTGAGCTGCCATCTGTTGATGATGGGCAAAAGATCTGGAAAGCGGCGCATTACTTCAGGAATATTCCTAATCGTGACGGTGCGGTCTAGGTCAGCTGCTATAGCCTGCCGGTATCTTGTCCACGCTTGTCGCACCTCTTCTGGTGAGCTCTGCAGAGTGTATATCTGGAGCAGAGGCGACAGAATTGAGATGAAGTCCACAAGCATGGGCATCCAAGGTTGCACCTGCCCCTGGTGTGCTGTGACTTGAAGAACGCTGAGTACAGCAGATTGGATCTCGTCCAACTTCTGGCGATCAACACGTCGCAGGATCGCTTCTGGCTGCCCAGGGTCGTTCAACACGCGTCGATCGTTCTCGTCGCGGGTGACTTCGGTCATCAGAATGTCCATGTCGGCATCAGCTTGCTGAATGTCTTGAGTCTCAGGCCAGTCAAGGAAGGGATCGGCCGGTAGCCCATCAGGGTGATTGGGCCAGCGGTCCCACTGTATCGCAGGAGGCATGAACATTGCATTGCCATCGTCAGGGTGAACGGGCCACTCATTGGGGTCACCGCCCAGCGGTATCCCAGCTAGCCCAGGGGGCTCGAACATTGCATTGCCATCGTCCGGGTGATTGTACTTCGGACATGGCTTGCCGACGTCCCAATGCCCTTGACCTTCCATGGCGTGTTCGCCGCAGATGAAGCAGAATTCGCAACCGCATGCTGTCAATTCGCATGTCATATGGTTGCAGCCATCCATCAGTTCACATGGTGTAGCGCATTCTGGGCAGGTTTGGAAATCTTTGCCCCTCTGCAGACCATCCATGGCCGATGTATTCTCCTTCTGCTCTTGGCAGTGATGCTTGTATAAAGCACGTGGATTGAGGCTCGAACTGCATTCAGCACAAGTCAGTGCGCCGCACTTTAGGCATGCCGCAGCTGCAGGCATCTCATCTTTCGATCCGATGAAAGCTCCACAGTGCTCACCATTGCGACCAGCGCAGTAGATTCGGCGGTTGGGGAACACAGCATATTCGTCCATCTTCAGTTTGTACTCTCGAATAAATTCTGGTGTAAAGTTAGCTTTGACGGAATCGAGATTGATCAGATCGCCTTCCCACTTGGGTGCGCAAAACTCGTTCTTGAGATGGTTTTCGAATTGAGGCTTCATGCCCCTGTCGAAACATTCTTTGCACATGCAGTGCCCGAAGATCTCGAGAGTTGATGGCCATTGGCATTCGTCGGTGCAAACAACGCACTCGAAGAGGGTGGGTCCCGAGTCTGACATCGGAGTGTTTGGCGGTGTGTTCGTGATAGGGATGTTGTCCATCTTGAGACGAGGATGGTGTGTTTGGCCGAGATGAGTGAGCTGGGAGATTGAAGTCGAAGATTTGTCTGGCGAGCTGAATGTGCAAAGGGTAGAGAAGTATTTGTATCTGGCAACGAAGACGAGAAGTGAATGCTCGACACGTTACATGCCATTGTTCACTTTGCCTAGCCATCAAGAGCTTTGTGCTTCAGGCCCACATTCTTTGTGTCGATGCCGTTGAACAATAACATTGTCTTTGATCGTAGCGTAATTCCCAGCTGCCATCGAGGCATCCGCCGCAATGCATCTCTGGCGGGGCAATTGGAGAAACTGGAGTCGTGGAAGTAGTGCAGGATATCTTCCTTCAGATCGATGTCCCAGTTCGATCGATTCACAAGGTCGTCAGTCGTTTCGAAAGAGCATTTGCCGAGACAGCATATCTTTGATGACGAAGTGCGCATTTCTGTTCACTACAAGCCAGCCATCAGCGACATGGTTAAGGACTCTTCAACGCCTACATTTGATGCATTTTGTGTAGGTTGAATATACGTCTTGGCTTTCAACCTCAACGCCTGAGCCGAGAGTCGTGAGCTTCGTAGAGGGACCGCGTTGTGGCTGGTTGGTCAAATGTGCAGCCAGGTCATTCTTTGTTCGTTCGGGATCTGTTACTGCTCGTCTGACACTGGTGGCACTCAGTCGAGGCTTTCCGAAGCAGTGAGCGTCTTGTGCACGTCACCGAATGGCAACAGAGACAAGCAATGTAGAAAATGCGTGCAGTAGAAGTCGTTCTGTGGCTCCAAAAACAAATCTCTTTGACTTCCCCACTGTCAAGGTCGCTTCTGCCCCTTTGTTCTTCGCAGAAAAACCTGGTCGTCGATGCTCCGCAAGACGACTTTCGGACGCTGTGGGCCAACTGTGGCCTGCACTATCAGTGCTCTCTTTACAGAGGTCCACTGCATCATGCGATCTGTTGATTCAAAGAAAGAAGTGGCAGCATGATTGATGATCAAGTACGAAAGGCCGAGGAAGGAGAAGGAGAGGTGGCGAAGCTTTGAGTGCCAAGACATCAGAGCGTTGCTGTCTGACTTCACGCGTCTAGAGTCCAGCATCCTCCATCATCACACACACGCCCGTATGCCGAGCATTGCAGACTTTCCGGCGCCCATCGGGAGTCAGAGTCCATCACTGATTCCGAATCAGATTGTGTCACCTGCAGCGGAACGAGTTGTCGTCTTCCCGGAAGTCCGTAAGTCACGATAGTACGTACAGCGGGCATCAAGGAGCGCCTCATGCACGTTCGAGAACCGGCGACGGCACTGGAATTGCCGTGAGATGCCTTAGCCTGCACGAAGTAGGCGGCCACTCCAGCATGTTCACGAATGAAGAGCATATAACTCGGACGCGTACCACAAAGCCCTGGTCTTGGCACGGCATCTTACGCTCCCCTGGTCACTTCTCTCCAGGGTCTGCCGCGACGGGCTCTTCTTCAACACTCTTCTGGGGAGGCTTCTGAAGTATGGCTGCATCACCGGAGCCCTGCTTCATGAAAGTCCGGTTCTCCGGCCGGGTTTGAAGTTCCTCATGGCCGGAAGGACACTACGTCCGCGAGGGAACGAAGCTAGCGATCTCATCATATAAGGTCCTACCTCTCTGTGTCGTTCTTACACATGAGCATATCCCTGTGACTAGGAGTAAGACTGATCATGACCATGTTGAAGCTCGATCTCACCAAATACCCGAAGCTCAATCGGGAGCAACTTGGGCACATACGGCATTTCCATAACCTCGCATCGCAGCTCGATGGAGACTGGAACCACATGGGCAGTCAAGAACCCTTGCAGGAGTTTCTTGATGCATACCGATTCCAGATTGCGACAATGGCATATGCTGCAGGAGCGGCCCATTTCCATCACCAGCCGATACTGCGAAGTCCGTACAAAGCCCTCTTTCGACAATTGATTCATAAGATGCTGAATCGTGCGGTTTGGGGCTACTGGTTCAATACAAGTCTTGGTGGGACTGTCACGGATCCGGACCTCAAAGAGCTCCGCAAACCATGGGCTGACCCTGTCGTGCGAGAAAACATCATGTATGTCAATACAAGGTGGTGATGTGTCTTCTAGCTGACAGCAGTTCAGGTACTCGGGACACCTACTGCTTATGATCAGTATGTATGCGATGCTCTTCGATGACGACGAATACGAGAAACCAGAATCCTTGGTGTTTGACTGGAATCCTCTGTTCTTCGGTCTGGGCCCGGAGCGCTTCAGCTACGACACCACAAGTTTGCAACAAGCCATTCTGCGGGAAATGGAGCGTAACCGATATGTGGGGGTATGCTGTGAGCCGAACATGGTCTTCGTCGTGTGCAATCAATTCCCCATCATCGCTATGCGTTACAACGATGTTCGTCATGGCACACGTGTGACTGAGGAGCTTCTTCCCAAATACTTGGCAGCGTGGGAGCAGAAGGGTATGGTAGGAGCTGGATCTTTGTATCCCGATGCTTGGCTCGAGAAACAAGACACCACAGTGCCAGCACGTGGCCTGGCATTCACAGCATGGGCAAATGCTTTCATGCATGCCTGGAGACCAGAATTCGTGGAAGGCCTCTATGAAGCGCAAGCTTTGGGCTACATCACAAATTTCGACAACGAGCTTCAGTTGAATCCAACAGCAGTCGCAGATGCGTTCAGGACAATGGTGACTGAAGAACAGGTGCCACCGGACAAGAATACTTTGAAAGATGCCAAAGAAAGAGCTAAAGCTGCTCCGGCGTCACCGATCCCCTACACGGCGCCAACACTCGGCTACGTTGCTCAATGGTTGTCCGAGCTCGGGCGACCAGAATTGCACCAGTTGCTCAATTTTGCTGATCAGCACTTACATCCAACGTGGGAAAAGGGAGGCTTGTACTATCCACGCCGCGATGAACAATTTGGTGATGATTCAAGATGGTCTCATATGGATCCTTTCACTGGCAATGCTGCAATTGGATACGCAAGACTGAACGTTCCCAATGGCCAGAAGATTATGTGGGATGAGCCCTGGACTACTCAGACGTTGCAGCAGAGACCTTGTATCGATGGACTTCATTTCGGGCAAGGTGCCGATTTTGTTCGTGCAATTTATGATGAAGTCGAAAGGTTCGCACTATTGACTGTCAAGAGCTGGGATGGCCACAAGCATAAGATCGCTCCGGTCTTCAAAAACCTGGCAGGCGGCACATGGAACGTATACATTGATGGTCATTCTGTGGCGTCTCACGAAGTCCCAGAAGGCGGAGAGATCGCCTTGGAAGTTGAGGTCACAGAAGTGGACATGGATGTCGCGGTCGTTCTTAATGACTCTCACCGCACCGAGACGGATGTGGGATCTGCTTCTCGGCCAAAGCACGGCGAGGCAAATGAAACAAAGTTGTAGCTGCGAGCGCTGAGGAAATTCACGATTCTAAGCAACATGTGGTACGAGACCAATTCATTTCAAATTGATTGCTACTTTTGCGTTACTGTTTCCTGTTCTGGATTCTAGCCCGAGTGTCCATTTATTTTTGACCCATGCCGCCTCGAATCGACTTCATCTCCATGCTCATCCCAGCATTCTCGGAGCTCCCATTTTCGTCATCATTTCTCGTTAGATCAATTTACAAATCTAAGCATAGAAAGCCTGAGTAGCCGCAAAATCGTTATCAATCCTGGTCAAAGCCGCGTTACCAGAGGCCTGCTGCGAAGCCGGAGCCTTAGCAAGCAAAGCCTGACCATACTCATTTGTGTCCTTCCTCAAAGTAGCCAAAGTATCCTGAACACTTCCCTTCAAACCAGCAGAAGTGAACTGGCTGCGCTTGTTCTCAATGCTGGTCAAAGCAGCATCAACAGATGGCTGGAGAGTGTTGTTGATGTAGCTGATGATATCAGCGGCTTCGGAGTCAGAGACTGGAGCCGACGCATTGGCGTTGTCGGTGGCGGTGTTGATGTCGTCTTCGAGCTTGTCGGCGGCGTTTTGTACGGGGATGGCGCCGAAGAGGCCGCCGCTGTAGCGGTCTGCGGCCGATTTGAGGGCGTTGGTGTCGGTGTTGATGAGTTGGAGGTCGGAGCGGATTTGGGCTGCGTCGCGTTTGGTAACGACGAGGGCCGAGGCGGTGGTGATGAGGAAGAGGAGGTTCTTGACAGAGAACATTTTGAAGGTTGGAAATGAAGCTTGTGGGCCTTTTGTGAGAAGTGATGGAAGCCTTGTGTGTTGGTCTGGAAGCGTTTGGTGAAGCTGATTGATGCTCGTTCGTTTGGAGGAGAAGAGGGCTCTTCTTATATTCCTCGACCGCCTCCACTGTTACTATTCTACTGGCATCTGCTTCCATAGACACTTCTCCAAAGTCCATCCCATCTCCGCGGCGGATACATTCTCCTGATCTTCAAACCGAGGCTTCGCATCCAGTATTTCGATGTCTACTGGACGATTGTCAACGCGAAGGCCTACAAGGTAGTATTCCGAGGCAGAACGTGGGTCAGCGTGGCGTTGGCATTGAGAAAAGTTGCTTGGACTATGCTGTCGATCCATTGTCTCGGGAAATGTGCAATCCTCGTGACCATATGGTATGCAAATCCTTCTCTTGTCAGTCTAGCGGGGCCCTGGAGGTGAGGGAAATGGGAGCGATTCGAGCTTGTAGAGGTGATGTTGGAGGGGGGACAGGCATGAACTCTCAGTGAACCTTGATCAAGGAAGTGTAGATCACTGCCATATCACAATATGGCGCAATTGCTACGGTATTCAGCACCGCAGGATGAAGAGCAGCTTCAATATACTTCGGACCATGCTTGGTTTGCTGTTGGTACGCTTGGGAACAATTGTTCGTACGATCGCACATCAGGCACTCTTCTAACCAGTGTACAATCTAGCACGCCACAGTCGTGTTCCCTCGCTGTACAGGCACCGCTCAGTCGTGTGCCTGGGGCACAAAGATTGCCAATTGCTCACACATGGCGAAGGTGGCATATCTACTCCGCTCTCTGGCCAGGCATAGGAGAAGACCCTTGAGCAGATGCTGCATCATTGTTCGATCGCACCTTCTCCGTGAAGCTGAATGCCTGCGAGACAAGAAGAGTGCGCATTGTATACTGCATCGGTACTCGAGCCAAGAAAACAGCTAATATTCATGCTTTCTGTCAATAATGCATGTCGACCATGCGGAAGCTTGAGCTTGGAGCTGTGAGAGCCGGTATGCTTCAAGCGTGTGATGAGATGTCACTTGAACCTAGAAGAAGCTGAAGTGATGTCGATCTGAACAAGGCTCTAACTGTTTGTGGCAACTGAAGTGTGATCACTACCACCTATAGACAGCTATTAGCGAGCTCTGGCGCAGAGAAGTCCGGAAGAGGGTTCGGGACGCTCAGGAACACGGCAAGCAGGATTCTATAGCGTTGCTGACGGCTCTCCGCCATTGCTGCTTGGCATGCTGCTATAACTTGTAGTTTGCGGGGTGGTGAATCTTGTTCTGGTCGCGCGGCTTGCCTCGGCGAAGTATTGGGAAATGGTATGTTCAGCTCAGGAGCTAAGCAGAAAGCCAAGACATGGACAAGTGTGAGTGGCTGGATCGCACAAACCTGGACAGTATGCCTCAGGCATCTAGAACTATCTCATTCCGCAGCTGAATTGCGAGCGCCTGCAACTTCCAAGTTGTAACTTCCCCAGCACATCGGGCGGCCTCCACACTCGAGACTACACCGCTGCAGGCCACACTATACTTGCTGGTCATCGTTACGAGCTTTGGTGAGACGTCGGATACTGCCAATGCCACCATGTGGGCGACATACAGTACCACAGTGCAAGATGTCTAGGTTGGTCATGGGCGTCAGCCCACTCGTTCGAGCGACTTGATGAGCGACGTGCGACGTGGCCCTCGCTGACGGCCAAGGCCGAGACCGCGAATGGCAGGCGATCCATCACCATTGCTGGATCGTATAGAGTCGACGATTTGCCAGGGTATCAAGAAGAAGCATCCTAAGCTCGCAGCCAAGTTGCTTGAATCGACCGGGTGCGCTGGCCCGTGACACCACATCTGCTGCCGTAGTCGTCAATCGGATGCTGCTAAATACGGGCGAACTTTCACTTTAGATGCGCTGACCGGTGATAGCCAACTGCGACGGTCGAATTCTGGTAGATACCAGCCCGTTAGGTTGCCCGTTGCTGGTACGTTGTCCTGCGAGGAGAGAACAACAAGCAGCTTAGGACGAGGCATCGTGAGAGACTGTGGTCGACTGAGGGTAGTGAAGGGTTGGAGGGAGCGATGTGTGCGCTGGGTACGTATTTAGGCTTCTCTATGTCGCTGCTTGGAAGGCACATCCAATTTGAGCTTCTGCGGTGAAGCTGAACGAGGTGGCATGACTGCAAGAGTCATTACAAAGCTGACAGCTGGAGATAGAGAACTCCGGACTTGTATATGTGGAATTACTCGAATGCAAGCTTTAGCAGACTGGATGATGAATCTCGATGTTTTGGACAACTCACAACGGCTCACGTCGTCGTAAGTCCCGGAGCTCACCCTGCTTAGTGCTTACAAATGCACAACAAGTCTTCGGAATCTATGCGAGCAGCGATGAAGAAGTAGAAGCACGTACACAAGACGTATATATCCAGAGCCTCTGCGATTAATATACGCCGACCTCGCATCCAATCCGGACAATACCACCACATTAATCACACCATTCAAACTCTCAAAGGCCGACAACAGCACGATGTCCTTCATCATCAGCGTCCTCTTCCCCAATGACGAGGATGCTCAATACGACATCGAATACTACGTTCAGAAGCACATGCCGAGAATTGCAGAGGAATGGGCCAAGTACGGAGTAACAGGATGGAACGTCCGAGAATTTGCTCCTGGACCCGATGGCTCCAAACCGCCCTATGCATTCGGTTCAGAAACGTTCTGGACAAGCAAAGACAAGCTCAGTGATGCTTTCACGGGGCCGGAAGCTGCGGGAATTATGGAAGATGTGAAGAACTTTAGTAATAAGCAACCCATCTTTCTGTATGGGGACGTGAAGGGCGGGAAGTGAGATTCTGTTAGGAGCGGGAGGAGAGCGACGCCTGGGGCTTTCGATGCAAAGCACGATTTTGGGTGGAGCATTTGGCGTGCTTTTGTATGATGGTCTGGGTAAGGAATGTACAGAAACATGTTGGAGCTGTATCTGTTCTTTACGCAACTGATGCTACCACCACTTGACTAGAGATGCTGGCTTCAGCGACTTGTACGAACAACACCCATATGCTACGATCATTACCACGAAACAAGCCCTATTGAGTGCCACGAAGAGCGGCACATGTTCGATCGTTCCATTATCCCATGAAGAACAGTTTGTGCAACAGCATTGACGGGTTTTCGTTGGCCACTGCATGGACACAGCATTCACCCTCATCTCCAATGCTGTCTTATTGACCTGGAACCGGTCAAGATTCGACAAATCAAGAGCGGCAGAGTAAGCGAATAGCCCTGGTAGCTGTGCCATGTCCCTGCCGATAGTGGGGAACTTGCACCATCGTCATCAGTCGCCAGCAATTCTTCTTCTCGTTGTGAAATAATGTCCTCTCCTGCATCGAAACCTAGTTTGCTGTTAGAAAACAGAAAAACAGCCTCTCATTCGATTTCTGAACAAGACTTGATCCGATCTCAGCAGTCCGAGGCCTCGCCTGCATCGTCTACGATGGTGCAACATAGCCCCGAGCCTGACGCTGACGATGTCTTTGATTCTTTCCAAACGTTGAGCATGGTAGACCACGACGTCAGCAAAGCAGAGCTCCAGAAGTTGAACCAACGAGTACTGAAAGCCTGCATGGACTTTGTGCACAGTGTGCGAGTACTGCAAGCCTCCCTCGCGTGGTATGAAAACGACATTGCCCAGGATACAGCGAGGTTGAGTTATCTCCACAGGAGACTAGAAGAAGTTGCCAGCGCTGTTTCATCATCTGCTACTGCGGTCCGGTTCTGGCAAGATCACCCCTACCGCTATCAGAATGGGCCGACGCTATTCTGGCCTTTGGACGAACATGATGGCTGTGGCGAAATGCCAGAGCCTCCCAAATATTTATTTCGCACGGCCGACGACAGCAGTTCGGGACAAAACAATGTAGACTTCATTGCATCTGCTGCAAGCATTGTCAGCCCTGGCCTCAGCAAAATAGATCTTCTCTCGCCGCGAACAAGAAGCACAGCGGCTCAGCGGCTGCATAATCATCTCAGGAAACAATGTTTTGATGATCAAGACATCACTGATAACTTATCGTCGTGGAGTTCTTCTTTACTCTTTGTGGTCCAATATGCTCTTTGGAGAGCTCGGAAAGGCAGACGGCCCCTCGATCAAGTCATGATCTATGCCGTCGATACAACTGAATTCCCGCGAGGACAATTTGCGAGTGATAAATGGCTGTTGAAGAAATTGGGCGACGACGTTCCCGCTACTTCCTGGGAATGGAGTCTCATGACTTTGAGAGCCAAAGGCTACGACAATGGCGAATACCTCTCCCAAGGAATGGTGGATATCAGGAATCGCTCCTGCGCGATTTCTCTTGCGAATCTGCTTTTTAGTGGCTTGTATGATTTATACCCGGAGTTCAAAGACCAAACCGGAAGTGAGAAATGGACCAAGCGAGTACAAGATCTTCGCTCGGACTGGGCGGCCAGTAATAAGACTACACGGGATGAGATTAGTTCGGCGATGCAGGTGGCGGCAACCTGCTTCGAAGGCTTCAACTATCTCGATATCGCTGTTGTCCTCTTGACCTTCAAGAATCGCAGGCGTTTGAATGATGATGAATCGTCTGGTGAGTGAATTCATCATTTACAACTGAGCCAAGGCGGACTTATGCTGACAGCGTATTATAGAAACTGGATCGTGGGCAGAATATGGGCCAGCCGAAGTGCAACGATTTTACATAGTGATGCAGGAGATTCGGTCTCGAGGCAGTATCGATGACTTAACGTGGTTTGGTATCTCCGCGGCATTGAAAAGCGTCTTTGAATGCGAGGAGTAGGAGCTATATTAGTGGCTGTACAGCACAAAGTTGTGTTTTGAATTTCCGAACGTACTCCATTGGGGGCCTTGAGGAGAAGCTCGGGCACCGCGATCAAAGGCCAGACCTGGTGTCAAGACCGGCAACGAGTGCGAAACTGGTCCTGTGGCGCTTGATGTGGTGTTTTCCAACAGGTTCATTAGTGTGGAAGATGGATTCTCTGGCTCGAGTTCTCGCATGCTGCTTACGATTCGTTGATGGTGGTACATGTGCTCGACCTCGCGTGGCTGAGACGTGGTAGGTAGCACCGAGTCATGTGGCTGTCGCAAGCGATGCAAGGCGTGGTACTGTGATAGCACAAGGTCGACGACTATTGGTCAGCGTGGTCCATGTGACGCGACAGGAGACAAGAAAGTGAGAGAGAAGTGAAAGGTGGGTTAAAACTCGTCTTCTAGTGACGGCATTAAGTACAGGTTCTTTCCGTCGTAGCATATCTTTCTCGTCGTCGAGGTCAATTGGTGGAGGGCCATGCTACGCCTCCAGAAACGCCACCGCCATCAGAAGTCGATAAAAACACCCAACGTAGCCGCCGTGTCCGGCGTTTCATTAAATTGACAAAATGTGCATGTGTCGAATACAATGGTAATTCAAAATGCGCTTGTCGATTGTCATGCGGATCGTCATGACCAGCTGCAAGGGGGGGATTTTCCAGCCAATGTCGATGCCGCTCTATCGTGACTGCCGTTTATACATCACTGCCTCTCAGCTCCGTGCGCACCATCTCACGTTCGAGAGATGCGTTTAGAGAGCGGCAATGAGACCAGCAGCGGCCATGATACCGGCAACACCGAACGAGGCCTTGGAAGCGGCACCGGTGTAAGCTGGAGCAATTGGGCTGGTGCTAGCTGGAGGAACGTAAGCACCAGGAGCAGTTCCAGCTGGTGGCTGGTAAGATGGAGGAGCTGGAGTAGTGTTGTTGGATGGGTAGTGAGGAGCCGGTGGCTGCACTGGTGGCTGCACTGGGCTGTTTGGAGTCTCTGGAGTCTTTGGAGTCTCAGCTGGAGGAGGAGCACTGCGGGAGAAGTCAGTACGATCGAAAATGAAATCGCTAAATACCGCGGCACGGGTGCTGTTTTACCATGTGCTGCAGGCAGTGACGACTGACGTGTAGACGGGCTTGGTCACGGTGCATGGGCAGTTGGTGATGGTCAAGGTGGTGGCCTCGGTGACGGTGTAGGTGACGCCGTTGTGCTCGATCGACGTGGCCGATGGGCAGAAGGTCTCGTAGCTGGTCACGACCTCGGTGGTGTAGCTTGGGCCGTGGGTGGTGGTGGCGTTCTTGGGAGGGCCGTACGATGGAGCGTACGAGGCCGAGACGACGGCAGCGAGGCCGAGAGCTGCGATAGCGAACTGCATCTTGATGGAAATGGTGATTCTTGTTGGTTTCTTGCGCGGGTGGTAGCGAGTGAATGCGGTCGAGACCGGAGTGTGTTTGCCTGCGTAGAAACGAGAGTGGGTGATGGATGCGATGAGGAAGGGAAGGGAAGAGGGGAGGAAATCGATCAAGTACCTGCCGCCGCGCTGCAACACAAATGAGACCAGGAAGGGACGTTGTCAGAGGCGAATGGATCCAATCACTGCGAGTGCCTGCCAATCCCAGCGGAAGTGGTGCAGCGGCTGCCCTTGCAGCATGCGCGGAAGTGGCGTCCAGGCTTGCTGGTGTATGGCCCTGTCCGACGTCCTGTTTGCAGTGTCTAGACCTTGCTCTTGCTCGCGCAACGCTGGAAATCAATATTTTCTCACCGCACCGCCGCTCTGTTCCATGGCCGACAGCAGCATCCACCACCTGCACTGTCCGCCATGCCCACACCACTGCTACCACCGGCGTTGGGAAACTGCGCGCCACAAAGCTTGCCGCGCATCCTCAGCATGTCCACGCGACGTTGAACGCCAAAGTGTCTGCGATCACGCCTCGGGCTGAAGATCGGCAAGCATATCCAGAATCCTCGCCAGGCGTTGTTGCCGCATGAGGAAACTTTGCAACGCGTGGCATGAGTTCGGGAAATGAGATGGCGTCGCTAAGCTCCCTCACAACGTGGAAAGTGGGCGAGAACTTTGTTCAGCGGATCTCCTTGCCCCCAAAGCTTGTGTCACCTTACTTCACTCTCTGGTGCGCCGTGGCAGACACGGTTTGCAGAGTCATCTCAACTATCATCCGCTGGTGACGCAGCACCGTCTGTGGCTTGCGGCGTGGCCGTACGATGTGTCTCGCCCTCCGACATCCGACATGACTTCGAAAACCGATCGCCAAGACCAGCCGGCCAGAGGTCAATCACACTCTCATCAAAGATACGAGCAGGCGAGAGTACCGATACCGCTGAGCATGTCCTCAACTCAAGCGGGCGTGATGGGTGATGGGTTCCTTCAGCCCGTGACATGACTGGAAGTGGAAGTCCAGCACCAGGGCAGTCTCCATGGTTCCTTGGTCAATATATTCCACCCCAGCTCAATATTCCTGGCCGGAACCGGTCTCCACTTTTCTAATCACCACCTGCGGAATGGTTGGTCCCGCAACTCCGTGGATGCCCTTTCTTCACATGTGCCTGTTCCTGCATCTTTGTCTGTGTTGATGAGGCACAAGTCAGCTCTGTTGCCTGATGCTTTCAGTCTGGGCTGACTGCTGACTTGTGAAGAAGGGCAAGGTATTCTTCCAGCAGCTTTGATGCAAGACTCCGTCTCATCTCTTCCACAAAGACACACGACAATCAATATTAAGAACGCTATATGCATGTTAAGAACGTCTGACAGGAGAAAAATTGTGCTATCAAATCGCACATTGCGCATCTGTGCTCGAGTCAGCGGCTATCAATGGCCGGCATTCGTCAGTCTGCTGTGCCTGTCTCTGCTTGTCGGGCACCACGAACATGCCCATTCCTACATGACTGCAAAAATCCACTCCACGGCGTATGCAATGCTTCAACGAGAAAGACGACTGGAAGCTGCCGAACACGTGTAGCTGACTGCCGCAGGCAAGGAACGACCACCACAGATATCCTGAAGACTTCGCATGCATCGTAGCGATCCTTAGCAGCACATGTTGACAATCATGCAATACGACGGTCCTTTGCTTCGCCCGCACGAGGAGAATTTCGTCCAGATCAATAGCACAATGTGCTCGGAGTGGCAACGATGTCCCCTCCAATGCACCGGCGGTCACCCCGCCAACGAACATATCCAGGACTATCCTCGTACCATCGCTACAGACGGAAATTAATACAGTAATTTCCTCCATTCGAATTCCATTGATGATTTGTGAGTGCACGACTGGGGCCTCACAGACATCTGATAATCCCACTCAGCGAAAGTACTTACGTGAAAGTCGGTCGTTGCGTCGGTTTCGCAGAAGCTGCACGCAGATCACGATCGTCGAAATGCCAACGGCAAGCCACTCCGTCGTCGCTGCATACAAGTCATGCTCAACAAACAAGGATACCAGGTCTCTGGCACTCTCTGGCTCATCGTGAGTGGAGCAGATCTGAGAAGTCGCACTGCGCTCCAATTGCACCGCTCTCTTTTCTGGTCATCCGCCATTTATCGTGAACCTTGTTATTCAGCATGTCATCACCACAGTCCTTCTCGGAGTCTCATCCTGTGATCCTTCGACTATTGCGCCAAAAGCACAACTCAAGCTCTGCCCTCCAAGCCGTGTCGAGCTTGAGCAAAGCTTGCGCGTCAATCTTGTTGCTGCTTACAGAACTCATTGCACGTTTCAGATCTTGCTGAGATATGTCAAACTATGGAAAACTTTGACAACCCCGACCCGTTCGTGAAGGACGAATTGGAGCAGCAATCACAAGCTCAGACTGCCGAAGCACCTCGCACCAGTCGGCTGGACTACGCGACCTCACCTTCAGTCACGGCCGACAAATCTGGCGGCAGAAGCACAAGCCGTTCAACCCGTAAATCCAGTAAACGCGCACAAAGTACCACCTCGATCAGCGGTGAACACCCTCATCTTGACAAATTCAAGACCGCTGTCGATGATGTTCAAGCCGGCGTGGTCGACAAAGTCAGAACATTCGGACACAAGCTGCACTTCGACAGCGTCCACGCACATGGCGTCTCTCGCTTCCTTAATCCCACCACGATCCGCATGAAAGTGCGGTACCAGGATGACTCGGATTCTGCTACGCCACAAGAAGAAACGTCTCTGCTCTGGCGCGCCAGAGATAATCGCAAGGGCAGGAATTCTATTGCCGTCCCTCGATTACCAGTCGAGGACGATGGAAACGGGTCCTTTCTGCCATTGCGCTACACTCCTCGCATGAGCTCGAAGATCACCGACATCGCACATAACCTCTATCGCATGGCCACCACTTTCCCCTACTGGGATATGTCTTTCTGGAGTGGCGCGTCCTATACCATCGGCTCTGCGCTCTTCGTTGCAGACGGCGCGCTCGCCTGGGGTCCTGTGGCTTTTGGCGTAGGGTTTGAGACTGCATCTGCGGACAAGCTGGGTGGTCCCTTGTGCTTCTTCATCGGAGCTCTGTTTTACCAAGTTGGAGCTGTGGCGGCCTATCTCGAAGCGGTGAACGACGGGTCATTTCATGGAGCAGCGATGAGGAGATTACTAGACGGGCACGAGGAAGATTCCAAGAAGCTATTAGACGAGAAAGTCAAAGACTTTTTCGGACACGTGAAGCCTCGACGTCCGCATCGAAACCCGGACACGAAGATGCCAGACGCAGATGGTGACGTTGATCCTGAGGCAGGATGGAAGACGAAAGAAGACTGTCTTCGTCGACCCGGGTCGATCTACCCTCAAGGCAAATCTCCTGCTCCTCGACGCGGAGGCGTGGATCTCGGTGGCGATGAAAGTCTTCAAGGCAGTGTATGGTACTCAACCTGGCGGTGGTGGCCGACATGGAAAGCCCTTCGATCACATCACGTCTACGAGATCGGATACTTGGCTTGTGCAATTCAACTTTTCGGTGTCACGCTATATGGTGTCACGGCCGTGGTCATTTTACCCGGAATTCTGACATCTTTGAAACCTTGGCAGGAGTTGGCTGCATTTTGGATCCCGCAGGTCGTGGCTGCTTTGTGCTTTTTGATTGCGAGTTTGATGTTTATGTTGGAGACGCAGGAGAAGTGGTGGAAACCTGAGCCGGGGATTTTGGGCTGGTGGATTGGAGTTTGGTCGACGGCTGGGTCGGTGGGGTTTGAGTTGATTGCTTGTTTTGGGATTAAAGCGCTTGCGAGTGGGGAGGAGGCGCATTGGGCGGAGTATCAAAGTGAGTTGAACAGGCGATTGAGTGAGGCGGATTTTGGGGGTGGAATGTTTGCTGACTTTTGATTCATAGGTGATCTTGCGACTATGTGGGGTTCTGCGTGTTATTTTATTGGGAGCTTTTTGCAGTGGTATGAGGCTTTGAACAAGAATCCGATTGAGGAGTTGTTCAATGAGCCGGGAGAGATGAAGAGTAGTCGGGTGCATCCTATATGAGAGCGCTGAAGGAGGCCGATGCGTGTTTCCGACAGCCATGGGCTTCTTCGACCGAAGTGAAGTGAAGCGCAGAAGAGCGGAAGTACGTCAAAAAAGTGATGGCGGAGCATTGCAGCTTGGTCAGCCTGCGAGCTGCATGGAAGTCACGTCGCGTGCAACGGTGGACGTGGAAGGTGCGTGCCGAACAAAGTCCATATTCCACCTCCCTTCCAGACTGCTCCAACCTCATCACATTCGCATGTCAACAGCGACTTCAGAATGTCGAGACCATTGCTGCCGTCGCTGCCGCCGCCGCCGCCGCCGTTCCAGCGGCGTACGAATGGCTTCCACAACACGACTACTGGGTCAAAACTTCTGCCGGCTACATCGCACACACGTGAGAGCCGAGTTCATGGCCAGGAAATTGGTAACGCAACAACCGACGCGTTTGCGAGCTGGCCTTCGCCACCCACGAAAGACGAGCGCCGCACTCATTCTCGGCCTGCACCTACGCAAAGCCGTCTCCTCCAGATCGTGAAGAGGAGGCGCCGCACAGCCGAAGTCATGTATGTCGCCCACAGGGTCCACAAAGACAAGGCCACCATCGCCGCGCTTCTCGCTCGTGAGGGGGTTGCACTTGCCAGACGAGAGTCACGAGTAAGAACCCGGGAGAACGCCTTAGCCCAGCGCGAGAACGAGCTCTTGATCGCAGAAGATGTGCTCAAACAGAAGTGCACCGGTTCTGTGCTCGTCGAGGGCCAGGCGTCACTGCGACTCAACACGGCTCAAGAGACTGTTATCGAGCACTACCGTTCGCGGATTACGTCGCTCGAAACACAACTGAAAGCAGCAAACGGCGTCGAGGCCGCCGTCCGCCTAGAGTTCGCAGAGCGAATCGGTCGATTGCAAGGCCGCCTCGACGGCCGATCTGAGCAGGTTGAAGATGCGAAGGGGCGTTGCAGAGATACACAGAATGAACTCGTTCACGCTCAGCTGTTGAACAGAGAGCTGCAAGAAAAGCTCGATGCTGCCACTCGCTCGAACAATGAGCTCCAACGTCAGCGTGATAACGCCTACCGCATGGAAAAAGAGAATCAAAGGAACCCCAATCCAATTCGACGCTTCACTCTGGAGCCCGACGCGTATCCTTCTACCATCGGACCTCGGACTTACGAGGCCACTTCGTTAGATGTATCTGACCAACGAACGACTGCCAATGCGGCCGATGCTAGTCTGTCACGACGTGGTTCTTCGCTCTTCCACAGATGAGCGTGGGCGTCACTGCGATGAGTATGAACTTGTCTGTAAGACCTCGGGAGAAGTGAGCGCAGTGGAAAGCTCGTGGTTAGTCCTGAGGTCATCAGGACGAGGAAGACCTGCGGTCCAGCTTCCTCACTGAGAGCTGAGTGGGAGAAATCGCGGAGCATAACGTGGCTGCAAGGTGGTATTGCAGTAAAACGAGTTGGCCAAAACGCTCAACATTCTATTCGCCCGCTTCACTTTACCATTGCCGCCAAGCATTTCCTTGAGCATCAATACGTCGAGAACAACAGTAATGCAATCGATGTTCCTATTCGCGACTTTCGATGCCCTTGCGATGAGTGATACCCGCAGCAGCTAACAACTCGTTCCTGTGAGAGATCAATGCGTGCTCCAGCACGGCGAAAATGTTCCAGTAACGTTCCTTCTCTTTCCTTGTCACAGCTTCACTCAGATGCATAAACCCAGAAACTCGCCACTGTGATCCTCTCAGTCAGCCTAAAACCACCCGACTTCTCAAACAATCTTCCCAACTTGAACGTCCATTCATACAGTTCTCCTAACGTCACGCCTTTCGGATTCCAAATCGTCAAAGTATAACTATACTCTGGCACATCAGGTAAGAAATCCAAATCCACAGCCTCCAAAGGCGGCGATGCAATATGCATATTCTTCCAGGATGCAATTTCTTCTTCTGGCGGGAAGTTCGGATCAAGAAGTCCTCCCATCCCTATCGAAAAATGCAATATATCTCCAGAATCCGTAAGGTTCCATCTCGCTAAAACGCTGGCTTTCCTGTATTGTCTCGGAAGCGGTGGGACTGGGTGGTTGTACATGCCATATGTAAATGCTTGGGGTCGAGGTTCGGCTGCTGGGGTGGCGGGACATAGTTGGAAGTTTTTGGCGCGATAGAGGACTCTGTAGGCGCCGTGGAGGCTTTCGCGGTGGATGGGTTTGATGGGTTTTATGGGTTTGTGGGGAGAGAAGAGGAATAGTTTTTCTTGGATGTGGATAGAGCGGGTTATGAGGGTGTGCCAGGTTTTGGAGACGCGTTGGCTGGTGAGAAGCTGGTTGAAGGGGAGGTGGAGGAGGATGGGTTCGAGGAGTTCGTAGGTTGTTAGGACTTTTTGGGTGGCGGTTATTGTTGGAATTTTTGGTGAAAGTGTTTGGAATGGTCTTGGTGGTGTTGATGGCCAGAGAGAAGTGAAAGACTTGGGTGATGATTCAGGCATATTTCCATCGTTTGACACCTCCAGTATTTATCTTGATGATGGCGGATTGCACTATATTCTCTAGCGCGTGGTGGCGGCTGCCTTGAGTGAGGATGTATCTCGGCGTCGAGGCGCGAAATGCGATCCCGAATGGTGACACACGAGCACAGGCTTCCCCTCTTTCCACCTGCTCATGACCTTGTACACTCACCTTCCTCACGTCCTAGCAGCCGAAAGCTGTAGCACAGCCGTCTCGTATTGGCTGCGATAAGAGTTCGAACAAAGCATGGCTGCATGGGTTTGTAGGTCATCTGCGACGTCATCAAGACACAGAGCTTGCTTGGGATGTTGGCCGCCGGCCCACGGGCAACAGCCCCACTACCAATGCCTTCGCCAACGCGAGGAGAAGAAATGAGTGGGCGTAGGCCCAAGCGGGATGGAATTGCTTATATACTGACATGTGGCCTCTTGCTCTCCATCAAGGTAACTGGATAGCAGTGCAGCAGCGATTGAAGAAAAGAGAAAGCTCGTAAGCAAGTGCAATAAACATGGGCAACAAGAGTATATCTCAAAATTACCTTGTCAACTCTTCATCAACAACACTCACAATCTCTAGGAGTACAATGCTGCATCAGCGTTGACATCGACGCTGTCGCCGGTTGGCTTGGTAGCTATGGCGGCGAAGACTCAACCTCCGACATATCTCGCGGTCTCTTCGCCGGCACCATCGGCGTACGACGTCTCCTCAAGCTCTTCGAGAAATACAACATCACCACAACTTGGTTCATTCCGGGCCACAGTCTTGAGACTTTCCCGGAAGAATGCCGCATGATTGCAGATGCTGGCCATGAAATCGGTCTGCATGGCTACAGTCACGAGAATCCCATTGCCATGACACTCGAGCAGCAGACAGCTGTGATGGATAAGTGTTACAAACTGATTACAGAGTTCCAGGGTAAGCCGCCGAGAGGCATTGTGGCGCCCTGGTGGGAGAGTAGTCAAGAAGGAGCGGAATTGATGTTGAAGTATGGGCTGGAGTATGATCACAGTTTCAGTCACCACGATTGTCAATGCTATTGGTTGCGGACTGGAGATAAGTGGACTCCGATTGATTTCAAGAAACATCCGGAGCATTGGATGAAGGTAAGAGCTTTGAAGCCTGGTGCGGAAAGCGGTGTAGCTGATCTGAATTGTGTGACATAGCCTCTCGAAGGTGGACCGATGACAGGACTTGTCGAAATCCCTGCTTCTTGGTATCTGGACGATCTGCCTCCGATGATGTTCATCAAAAAGGCACCGAATAGTCATGGCTGGGTCAACCCGCGCGATGTCGAAGAGCTGTGGATGGATCAGTTTGACTATTTCTATCGCGAGTACGATGAGTTTGTGTTCCCTGTGACTGTGCATCCTGATGTGTGCGGACATCCTCATGGATTGCTTATGCTTGAAAGGTGAGAAAACACAAGTTGTCATGCTGTTAACAGTCTCTAATGCTTTGAGTAGAATCATCGAGAGAATAAACAAGCACGAGGGTATCGAATGGGTGACGATGGAGAGCATATGCGATGACTTTAAGGCCAAGAGTACTCCACCAAAGGGTGCATTGCTCCCAGCAGAGGTCGGAGCAATTGCAAAGAATCCAAATCTGGAACTGAAGAAGCAGGAATAGTATGAACATTGACCAGATCAAATCGATGTCTGCGAATAGATTGACTGCAGATCTATTCCAAACTTCCAGCAGACTCGAGGTGGGACCATGCTTTCCGGTGCTCACTGTGCAGCTTTTGTTGCACATCCCGCCAGCCTTGGATGTCTGATGCACTTGCCCGAATCCAAATGTCGCGATGCATGGGAGGGCCTCTGGAACTCGAATTTACACTCATGCAGATCGCAATTCGTCGTGCCAGGCGCTCCATTTTCAGCATGCCTCGATTCAGTCATCGTCCGTCAACGTGAAGTCGTATTGCTTGAAAGCCTCTTTGAAAGCGGAAGCGTCCGCATCCTCCTCTGCTTGGCTCTGTGCCACATCGCGCCAGTGGCTTCGCTCCTCAAGGCCCATCAATTTCCCGAGTACTCTTCTCCCAAACTGTAGATCGAATCGGAAAGTCTCGTCGAGAGGCAACACTATTTCCTTCTCGCTTCCTTCCGACCAGATCATAGCTTTGAAGTAGTGACCCTCCTGTGCAGCGGCTTTCTCTCCATCTGTCTTGGCGAATCTCGGATAGTGCTGGTTTTCGGCCTCCACATCGAATGCAGCCTCTATACGGCCGTCTTTGACCATCGCGACGGGTACAGGGAGGAATTGCCAGTGCAAATGCACACCGCCGCCTCTGCTGATCTCCCAGGTCACTGCACCGAGTTCGGCTTCTCCGTCTGCACCAGAGGTAGATTTACTCGAAATCATGTTGTGAAGGGCATCGCGGTACCGACTCATCTCTTTGTGTGTCGCTTCACGAGTTTCTTCGTTCAGCGCCTGGATGGTTGGCGCGTGTTCCACCGGAATTATCAGCATGTGGCAAGGAATGCCAAGCTTTGGAAAGGTCTGCCGGGTTGCCAGAGGGCCTTTGGCGATGGTCATGTACGCATTGTCTCCGATCGAAGTAATCATGTGCACTTCGGCGTTGTTCTTGCCAAGACAGAAGTAGCATTCCTGTGGTTCTTGTCGCTGGTTGCGCTGATGTTGCCGCTTGCCGCGCTTGTACGGTCGGCCCTGATCTCCATCCCAGTCGTTGTATGAGCGTCCTCCGCCGCTGGCGAAGCGGAACCCATTCTGAGCTCCACCATTTGCATCAATAGATTTGCGCTTTCTCGTCTGCACAAAAGGAGTCGCCGTGGTTCCCTCAGGTGGGACCTGCGGAGCAGGCGCTGATGGCTCCAGATTGTATGCAGCGATCCATTTCTCGGCACCCGCGCCGCTTGACTTGACAGTACCAAACGGTGCAACACTAACGAAGCGAGTGATCGGTCGTGGAGGCTCCGCATTATGGAAGAAGGGCTCGCGCTCGAAGAATCGCTGCGAAGTGGAGAAGTGATATCGAGGCTTTAGTGCGCTGACCAAGTCGCCCAAGCCTCGGATTCCGGGCGGTGAGCGTCCTTCGTACTGATTCTTAGACCCGATCCTGATTTCTGCAGGCCAGTCGCTGGTGATCAGGATGTCCACCTCGCCGAACGCAGCAGCTTCGCCGATGTCCTTGTCAGTATACTTGGCAGTGTACTCGTCGGCGTCGTCGGGCAACACATCGGCGTAGTTGCCACCCAGAGTGACGATCTTAAATGCTTCTGACGTCTTGAAGAGAGATTTACGGGCAAGAACACTGAGATTCGGGCAAAGCTCGCCATTGTTGTTTCGTAGTCTCTCAAGGACTGGCGATGGGAGTGCGCGCGTGCTGATCGTGAAATATGTCGTGACAGGAATCTCAATCTGGCCGGCGAGAAGCTTTTCTTGCTCTACTTTCTCCTCCTCAGTGATCGTATCGGGCTCTGCAAAAAGATTGCCGGCGACAATCGCAAAGGCGAAGTTCTGCTTCTTCTGCATGGTGGCGAGTTTCTGTCCGAAGACAGTAGAGAACTTCCCGTTGACATCGCCGATTATGGCACTGCGTATGGTGTTAGCAGTGGCATCGCTGAGTCCGACATGGAGGCCCATGTGGTCGTCCATGTCGATAGGCACATCGAGGCCCTGGTCGAAGGCTGAATTGGCGGAAATCACCATGTCAACGTCCATATTGGCAGCCATAGGAAGTCTTGCTGTGGATGTGGCATGGAACTTACATCTTAGAAGCCATGTTTTATGCTCGACGTGCGATTGTCGTCAGTTGCCGACGCGTGAGGTGAATTCAGTGATGAGCTTGTGAGAGGAAGCTGGAAGCACTCATGTGACGACGGCTGATCTCAATTGAGCATCGACGAACATATGCGATTCCTGCCCATGAGCCCTTTGGAATGCACAAAAGGTCTGGCTATTGGAGGCGGGTGGCTTCTCTCGGTGATGCACATGTGTTACGCGACTTCCTCTCCGCTCGCGATGTCTTTTCATGCTGCTCCCAAAGGGGGAAAGCGCGATGCAAGATAAGCTTTCGGCTAGTTTAAGAAGTCCGCTGGAAGCTCTCGAGAACTTTTGAACTTTTTTGGCGACCGTCTGCAAGACAGCGACATGTAGACAGCATGTCGTCCATGGCTAGAGGACGAGGCGTCAAGGCCAGTAAGGTCGTCAAGCCGAAGAAGGACACGAAACGAACGACGGCACACACCAAAAATTACCGCTTCCAGTCCTTCAACGAGCGCATCGCAACGCTCAAGATCGACCCGATTCGACGGAGGCGACATGTTGAGCAGGAAGAGAAGGAGGTAGAGACTTCGCACACATACTTTGGGGAGGCTCTGTCAGAATGGAGGGATACAAATCTGTCGACAACCTTCAGCGCATTCGCCAAAGATGCCGCCCCGCTATGCGACAACCTGCCCGTGGTCCTGCACAACGAGAACAAGATTGTGGACTTGCTGATGGAATACATTGGAAGAGGCGATGCGCTGGCTATGGACCCGCTGTTCAATTTGCTATGGAACTTGGCCCGAGATCTGGACACCCGCTTCGAGAAGCACTTCCAACGCGCCGTGGCTTCCGTCCTGGCTGTCGCCGCAAAGCACGAAGACCTGGCAGTGATAAACGCCGGTTTTGACTGTTTGGCATGGTTGTTCAAGCATCTCTCGCGATTGCTCGTGCCGGACCTCCGACCTTTGTATGACCTGCTGGCTCCTTATATGGGCAAAGAGAAACAGAAGCCATTCATCGTCCGATACGCCGCTGAAGCGTTCGCGTTCCTGGTGCGAAAAGCAGCCATTGTCTATGAACGGGATTCCAAGCCCCTGACTACCGTCGTAGAACGCATACTGAACGACTGTGCTCAGACGACCACGGAGACTACCGCGGATCTCCATCAGCAAGGTGTCATGGCTGTGCTTAGTGAATCGATTCGAGGCGTTCAGCAAGGGCTCGCCAACGGCGGTGCCGCTATACTGCAGACAACTTTCCCGACGGCTGAGAGGATCATGCAGGATGAATCGGCCAGTGCCGAGCGCATCGTTTGTGGGTTGCTAACCGACTTTATCCACTTCAGCAACCAGGAGGGTTTCAAGCCTGTCTTAGACACGATTGTCTTGCACATACAACAGAGCGTAGGTGCAGCTAGTGCCACTAGCATCCAATTCTGCACTTCCCTGCTTTCCACAGCCGTGTCCGTACGCAAAGGCTCTCGTATCACAGAATGGAAAACTGTTGTGCAAGTCACTGAGGACCTTGCCACCGCAGCTCAGAGGCTACAGGAACAAGACGCAAAGCTCGCACACGCTGTACTCAGTCTATACGCCCTGGTACTGCAGTCGGCGCCCATCGGAGCTGTCCAGAAGATGGTCAAGACGCTAGACATTTTCCGCAACGGCACCTGGGCTCCTTATTTCGCACAATTCTGCGATATGGTGCACAGACTTGGCGCGGATCGTTTCAACGAGATTTTGCTACCATATCTGCGAAATTTTGTTGCTGAGCGAGCTGAACTCAACGACCCCCACCTTCTCTCACTGGTCGTTCGCGTAGGTGGAACGAGGCCGGATCTGAAGCTGAAATGCTCGAGAACTGCCATACAACATATGCTGGCCTGTATCGCAGAAATCAACAGCGTCCAAGCTGATAGCACTCAAGCTCTTGCGCATTCGAATTTGCTACTTCGTGCATTGCCGCATCTTGCGATCGACGACAGCACTGTTGATAGCTTCCGCGAGGCATCACTGAACTTGGTAGAAGCAGTACTTCATGCCGAAGATGCCACTCCACTTGAGACAAAATCGCTCATATACGGCTCCGTCCTGCGCCAATTGCTTGTCATGAGACCTGCAACGACATTTCTCTCTGGCTCATGGCCGGCACTTTGCCAAAGAAGTCCGGAAATGGCACCTCTGCCAGCCTTCTGGACCAATCTGCTGACCTTCATCAAGGAGTACAAGCCGACGGACGTTCAGGGCGAGCATATTCGCGTACTTGAAGATGTGCTTGTGTCTTCTCTGTGTTCGGCGTCGCACTCAATCAGGCAGGATGTTCTGGACATCCTCCAAGAACTGTACAGGTTGCGAGGATTGGAAGAGCCAACGATCCTTGCGACTGCGATCCTCGTGGAGTCGATACCCATCTCCCTAGAAGCCGCCAGGTCAATGTCCATGAACATTCGACGCATTCCACCACAATACACCACCTTGTCCAGCGGCGACGTCATGCAAAGAGCCATCCCAACCTTCCTCTTCGGCTTGCTCCACTTGAATCTTTCCCAGGCGTGGGAGGACGCTAGCGAAGCGCTTGCCGCTATCAGTCAGAACAAGGTCGGAGAAGAAGTTGTCATAAGCCTAGCTCAGAAATGGATCGATGGAAAATCGGATGACGAGCCGCTGCCACAGACACCTCAGCTGATGGACGTCGACACTGACGGCTTCAAAGTCTTTTCGAGCTTCGAATGCCCAAATTTCGCCAAGATGCAAGCAATTTCTAAGCAAGTTTTCGAGGTCCCATACAGCGGTCTGCCTTCCCCCGAAGAACAACTAAGCTTAGACACGCGAAAAATGCCATTGATCTCGCAAAGTGCGCGATCTCAAGCACTGCGGGTCTTGAGCAAGATTCCACAGATCGCAGAGAAACGTTCGCGTTTGCTTGTTCCCACTCTGCTAAGATGGGCAGGATCGGTGCAGGAAGGCGACGATGAAGCATCGGGCTCGGATCGTTGGGCGCGGAAGGACCAGAAGGCCTTGCTGGGAATCTTTGCTCAATTCAACAACCCGAGAGTGCTGTACAAGGCGGAAGCCGTGTTTAGCGCACTACTGGCGCTATGTGGAAACGGTGATCTTGAGATTCAGAAGTCCGCGCTCAAAGCTGTGCTCGCTTGGAAAGACAAGTCGCTCACCCGATATCAAGAACACCTCAATAATCTTCTTGACGAAAACCGGTTCCGTGAAGAGCTGTCGGTCTTTTTGCACGATGCAGCTGAATCTGGGGAAGGCGAGGACGGCATCCGTCCGGAAGATCATGCAACTCTAATGCCAGTTCTTCTGCGCTTGTTGTACGGCCGCGCGGTAGCAGGCGGTAAGGAAGGCCAATCCGGCCGCCGCAAGGCGATATTTGTTGCTTTGTCAAGATTTGGCGAAGATACATTGGGAGCATTTCTCGACATTGCGTGCAAGCCCCTCGCTGGTGAAGAATTTGAGAAGAGCACTGATGAGATCCCGATGCCCAGGACGTCGCTACGTCAGCAACTTGGTCTGGTCAACATGTTGGACGACATGCTGCGAACGCTTGGTGATGGTCTCGAGACATTCGCGCCAAAGCTCGCGCGAGTCATCCTTGCATGTACCATCAGTGCAGCGCACAAGCTGGAACAAGAGAACGGCTCCGATCCGGCCTTGGCCCGCTCCATTCGACAGACTGGCATACAGTGTCTGGTCAAGATTTTTGCCACGATGACAGCTTTTGACACACAACAATATGGTCTCATAGTCACTGAAAAGCTGATCTTGCCTCGCTTGAGCTCGTTTGCAATCGAAACTGCGCAATCCGTGTCAGGTACCTTACGTCTCTTCTCTGCCTGGAGCGAACGCAATGATACTGCTTCCTTGTTCATTGGACCTGGACACGCGATATTGGCGCAGGTGGCAGACCTACTTCAAGGCAAGCACACAAAGAAAGAAGTACAATTATTTGTGCTCCAGCAAGTCTTGGACAACCTTGTTACGATTGACATCGAGCCAACAATTCTGCAGCCTCATGTGTCAAGCTTCGTCAAAGCCATCGGAGCAGTCATTGAGCAGCAGCCGTCCAAGGATGCTCTAGATGCCTGTGTGCACTCTTTCTCACAGCTTGCTGGGCGGATTCAATCAGAGTCTGAAGCTGCGCACGTTACCAGGACATGCACGGAACTTCTCAAGAAACCCAACAGGGAGGTTTCTCCTCCAACCAAGTCTGGTCTGCTGCGGACGATCTTGCCTCTCATCGAGAACTTCGGTGTAGAGAGCAGAGATGATTTGTACGATGCGGTTTGCGTACTGTATTCCCGTCTGTCCCATGCAGAGAGCCGAGTGCTACTTTCTAAGGTCCTCGCTGCACTTGTACGTGATGACCCATCACTGAGTGACATCGCTCATGTTTGCGAAGACATGAATGCCCGGGGAACACGACTGGATGAACCGGATTTCCAGCGGCGCGACAGCGCTTTCAACAAGGTGAAGTCCTCCAGCTCAGATTTCACCATTGAGCAATGGTTACCACTGGTACACAACTTGCTCTTCTACATCCGCGATCCGGAAGACCGCGTGAACCGCACTGATGCTTCGTATGGCCTCCAGCTGTTCGTGTCTGCTGCATCAAAGCACGCCGATCAGCAGCGATGGATGTCGCTGCTCGAACATGCCGTGCTCGCCGGCATCGAGCGTGGTATGCATGAGAAGTCCGAGCTGGTACGGGCCGAGTACTGCCAGGTCCTGAATCACATCATTGGAACATTTCCGGAATGGCAGAAGATCAGTGGTTTACGCCTCCGGGGGCACGAGGATGAGGAGACGTCTTTCTTTCTCAACGTGCTACATATTCAACTCCGGCGCAGGATGGCTGCAGTGCAAGTGCTTGAAAGCGAGGCCGCAAATGTGGGTTCGAATAGTGCCTTTCGCATACTTCTGCCACTCCTAGAACATTTCGTCTTCGACGCGGCTGAGGGAGAGGCTGGACTCAATCTTGCTAATCAGACCAGGAAAGCCATTGGTGCGCTTGGCAAAGCCCTCAATAAAAACAGTTTCCGTTCCACATTCCAGCGGTACATCGGCTATCTCAAGAACAAGGAGAAAGATGATCACGAGACTATCGAGAAGCGAGTCCTCCAGCTTCTTCGTGAGATGGTCGAGGGCATCATCGCCCTGCCTCAAGATCAAAGACCAATCAGCGAAGCTATCATCAGAGAGCAGCTCACTCCCCTGCTGGCATACCTGCAGCAGAAAGATGAGTCTACTGTCGACCGACGCATTTCTATAGCCGTGACGATTGTCAAGCTCATGTCATCTTTGCCGCAAGAGGAATTTGCCTCGCGACTGCCTGGAGTGCTTACGGACATTTGCCACGTTCTACGCAGTAGAAGCCAAGAAGCTCGTGACCAAACGAGAAAGGCCCTTGCACAGATACTGGAGTTCGTCGGGCCTACTTATTTCAGCTTTATCCTGAAGGAGCTCAAGGGATCCTTGAAACGCGGCTATCAATTGCACGTCTTGTCCTTTACTGTGCACTCTCTGCTAGTCGGCAGTCTCGACAGTTTTAAGCCGGGTGATCTCGATGAATGTCTACCACATCTCATGGACGTGATCATGGATGATATCTTTGGCGTTACTGGCCAAGAAAAGGATGCCGAGGAGTACAAGAGTGGAATGAAGGAAGTCAAGAGTAGCAAAAGCTACGACACGATGGAACTTCTCTCGCGAGTGACCCCAGTACGTCAATTAGGAGCTCTGGTACGACCGCTCCATAGCATGCTCTCTGAAATGCTGGACAACAAATCGGTCAAGAAGATCGATGATCTACTCCTACGGCTTCGCAAAGGACTGGACCAGAACCCTGAGGCTGACAGCCGAGACATGCTCAAGTTTTGCTGGGAGATAGTTAGCCAGGTCTATGCTGGAGAGAATGCTCAGACATCGAAACCCGCGATTGATGAGCGCCGCAAGCGTTATGAGATCCAGCCAGAACCGGAGAAGAAGAAACTTGGCCCTAAAGGCGGTACTGCGTCCTACAGGTACAAGCTCATCGCATTTGCGCTCAGTCTGCTCAGAAAGGTAGTCCGGCGCCATGAAGACTTGCAAACACCTGCAAACATGGCAGAATTTTTACCTATGGCAGGAGATGCTCTGATACAAGGCCAAGAAGAAGTCAAGCTTGCCGCAGTCCGGTTTTTGTCAACCATCATGCGCGTTCCCATCAAGCAGCTGGAGGAGGATGCACCTGTCTATGTCAAAGAGGCCGTTGCGATGATCAAAAGCGCTTCCAGCAGTACTACTGATGCTTCTCAAGCAGCGCTTGAGCTCATCACGTCCGTGTTACGCGAGAGACGCTCCGTGCAGATCAAAGAAAAGGATATCGCGCTGCTACTGAAGCGTGTCAAGAACGATGTCGATGAGCCAGATCGTCAGGGCGTCATCTACAAATTCTTACGGGCAATCCTTGGACGAAAGATTGTTATTGCAGAAGTCTACGAAGTCATGGATGAGGTGGGCAAGGCTATGGTTACCAACCCGGATCAGTCGATTAGAGACAGCGCGAGAAGTGCATATTTCACTTTCGTCATGGACTTCCCACAAGGCAAAGATCGATGGGAGAAGCAGACGTCCTTCCTCGTCACGAACCTGAAGTACAAACATGCTGCAGGACGACAAAGCGTGATGACATTCTTGTACTCAATGCTGGACAAGGTCGGCGACGATGTGATACAAGATCGAGCACTCGAGATTTTCTTGACTCTGGTGCCGTTGCTAATTGCTGATCCTGATGCCAAGTGTCGTGATTCGGCCGAGCTGCTCATTGCCAAGATCTTCGAACGAGCAGAAGATGATAAATTGATGGCGCAACTGCTCAGCACCATGGAGACGTGGCTGAGGAAAGATAAGCCACTGCTCAAGGCCGGATCATTGCAGTGCTGGAGAATCCTACTCCAGAACCGTCAGCTATCGCAGAAGCAGCTTGCCGGGTTGCGTAGTAAAGTGGAGGACATCCTCACGGAGCAGGATGGAGAGTTCTCTCAACCGCAAGTGGTCCATGATGCGTTGCAGGTCCTTGCTGTCCTAGTCCAGCGCTTTCCTGAAGTTGGACTCGCAGAGTCTTCTGAAGACGTATGGCAAGCCGTTCATAAGCTCCCGGCCACTGACGATGCACGAGTGCAGACAATGGTTGCTTCGCTCCAAGGGGACTATTTCGCGGACTTTGCAAGCACCAGCTCCAAAACTGCAACAGGCCTTGCTGGTCTGCCTTTGAGAGGCTCTGGAGGTCTCGAGCTCGGCGCAGAGGACATGCGACGCCTTTGTCTTGTCTCTTTGCGAGCGCTACGCGCTGTAGCTCTCAGCACTGAGGACAGTCTCACAGCCCACATTGTGCGCAATCTTGCCGATCTTGGTCGTTTCTTCGCGGCCAACGAGATGCCATGGAACGATCAGGCCGTACTGAGTTCCGAAGCCTCTGAAGATGATGAAGAGCAGGATGAGGATGAACGCGTCTCCGAGCTGGCAATCGCTCATCTGCTCCGCCGGCTGTCGTCAATGCTGATGGCTGATAAATTCTCCATTGTCTCTCGCACAGCTGCCCTGGATACCCTCGCAAAGACTATCAAGCACTTGGGTAGCATCCCTGGCACGAGTCTTCAGCCCATTCTTCGCCCACTTTATGCACTCACGGACCCGACTGTGCCCAAAGCCCCGGGCGACCGGCACCAAAAGTTGCAGGACAACGCTGCAGAGCTTCTGAATTTGATCCAACAGAAGCTTGGTCAGGAGAAGTTCTTGGCTGCGTTGGCCGTCACTCGTAGCGAAGCGAAACTCAGAAGGGAGGAGCGGAGACAGAAGAGAAGAATCGAAGCCGTCACCGAGCCAGAACGATGGCAGAAGAGTAAGCAGAGAAAGTATGAAAGCAAGAAGAGCAGGAAGAAGGAGAAGGGTCACGAGGCGAGAAGCGCAAGAAGAGGCTGGTGAGCGGCTTGAAAGTGTGTACAACATTGCATCTGGACAAATGAGCGGAAAATGCATAGCGCGGGCGTTTGCGGTGAGTCTGTAGAGGTATCGGTGACTTTGAAGACACCATGCAAGCACAGACAATTCCTTTCAGACCGACATACTGCTAATCTAGGTCTAATGTCCCTCTCCGGCTAGCTTGCAACCATTCAGGGACTGCTGGCATACCTTTCTCTTCATCCTTTGACACCACTTCAACCTTTGTCGAAACACTAATTCTGTGATCATCCTTCTCGTCTTTAGAATTTTCTGAAAACAACGAGGACCTGCTCGACGCCCTTGACGCCACGCTGGTCGCCGCTGATACCATCGATTTGAGCTTTCGAAGAACCGGTGCGGACGCTTCGTCGAACACCCTCCCGCATGCGACCAGGCATACCACGAGGAAACCAACTCCGATTTCGACGTACGTCCAGAACAGTATGAGGGATATTGTACCTTCATTGTCGGTGGTTTCGAAGGTTGTGCCGAGCAGAGTTATCGTTGGGCTCATGAGGCCATTTTCGACGACTTGACAGACGATGATCATGCGCAGCAATCCAGCGATTACCGTACTTTGTACACATTAGCTCCGAGCCAGCACAACTCTGGGACTACTTACAAGAGACCGAGGGCAAAGACAAGTGAGGCCTGGACCTTCCGTCTTGCTGTCATTTGCAGGCTGTTGATCTGTTTCATGGTCAGCACGATGGTATTGATCCTGCGAGCGCGAAGAATGCTCACCATAACAAGAGGAATGGCGAAGATCGCCAAGTCGATGACCCAGTTCGTGATCGCGCAGGATGTCAACAACGCAAAGGTATCCATGCAGTAGGTCCTCAGCGCGTAGACTGTGTCCCAGGCAGCCCAGAAGTTCAAGCCACACACTAGAATTGTAAGCAACAAGAAGCCTGGAGAATGGAGCAAGACATACTGAAAATTTCCAGGAATACATATGCCACCATCCACACTGTCACTACTCCAATCATGAGCCAGTTCACGTAGTCAAATTTCGTTTGAGCTCCACGTCCTCGGAATATTCTTCGGGAAAAGAAGAGGAAGGTCAACTTGGTGAAGCCGATGACGAGGACATGGCCAATCCAGTATGCGTATTCGAGCTGTGCAAGGCGAATGAGCGATGAAATTCAACACAGAAACGCACGAGTCCGACCAACCTTTTCGAGCATAAGCTGACGCTCTGGCTTCCCGAACATGAGTTCTTCGAATGTCCTGTATGGCGCATGGCCTCCGACGAATCCCATCTGCGCAGCGATGACCATGCCCACTCCTGCGGCGACCATAAGGATCTTGACACTGCGATCAGCTTCGTTGACTGAGAATGGAGCCCTCTTTGCGCTTGACTCACCGCAGCTGGGACGATGAGAACATCATCAATGTCTAACGATCTCGTATACTTGACTCGCCCATAGATTCGTATCCCAAGAGCGATGAGACCAAGCACGGGAAAGATGATGCCAATAGCCGTGACCGAGGCGAAATTAACATAATGATAACTTCCCATGTTGATCAAATGAGAGACAGCTCATCAGCAACGACTTGGAATACCGAACCCTGTTGGTAAATTGTTGGGTTCCTCAAGAGCTGAGGATTCGTCTGCCTGAGGGTGGACACGAGCGCAAATACGCGCAGCAGCTACGGCTGATGATAATACTGTGACCAGACTAACAACACTCGCAGGAGCACAAACCCGGCACACGCATCTGGTTTGAGCTCTCCGGCACGCGAACAGCACATGAGCATTGCGTGGCAAAAAACCAAGGTACTACATGCGGCGGAAAGCTGAGTAAACCATCCACTCGAAAGCATCGCTAGTCGAAATACTACCTTCTGTGCAGCAATAGTTTGTGGTACGTATTCGCAGCGTAACCGTACTATTCTTATGATCTGCGACCAATGGTACAGATTCGCAGGCCCGGCGACCGAAGCTGACGATCACCTTTGGTAGAGCAGACAAAGTGGAAAAGATCTGCGCAGAAACGTCCCGCATTTCCAACTTTCCGATATGAAAGGCGCCTCGGGTTATTGCCCGATAAGCAGGCGGGTAAAGCAGAAAGAGATCTACGGTTATACACACAGAGTACACGCCACATGTGCGAGTGACACAGGCTGTGATTCGTTTCGGTAGTCGAGAAATATGCATACTTGTGCTTAGCTTTGCATAGCGTAGATCTTCGGATCCTTGGTGGCTTGAGGGGTCCTTGGAAGGAGCCAGGCTTGGTTGTCACTGGAGGAATGAAGGTGGAGCAATGCCCGAAGGATCACAGGTAAGAAGAGGTCTGCCGGCTGCAATATACCACAAGGTTGTACAAGTTGGCGTGCGTCATGCGGAGGGACTGTCAGACGGCCCCCACGGCATTCAGCTCGTGTGCGCAGCTGGACTCTGTGCGAGCTAGTAGGATCGGGTGCCCGTTCGCGTGCGACATCCTCGAACGAGTGTGAGCTGGTCGTGAGAAAGAATGTCGAGAGTGACTGCAACAAACGCGTTGGGCTGCTCACGTTCTAGCAAGAGAGACGGACTTCGTTTTGGCAGGCACCGCCATGGCGTTCAATGAATATGACGAAGAGAAGCCTTTCCTGAGAACGACCGAAGATGGTACCTTACCCAGCAATGAAACGATCAAGAAGAAACCATCATGGACAAGAATCCACTACCTCCTCTTCGTTCTTCATGCGGCATTTCTCGCCGCCAATGTTGGCTTCATGGTATTCAACATGTCAGCAAACCACACATACTCGACAAGCTCGTCAAAAGGAATCTCGAAACGACCAGATGATGTCCAAGAAATTTATTGTGAGTACAATTGGACGACCGATTCGACAGAAAACTAAACCAGACTCTCCTACAGCTCCTGCTCGCAATGTCATAGAGCATGAAATCCGCATCCCAAACGTCGAACCCAAAGGCCCATTCGTCGGCCTACCACGCCCCGAGCTCGATGAAGCCTGGTCAGATCTTCTAAGACCAGCCATGCTCGATATGCCTCCGGCCGAAATGAAGAAGATGAACAAGTCATCAGTAGCAGTGAAAGGCACAGGAGGTTACGTAGGATACTATGCAGTATTCCATCAATTACACTGTCTGGTGAGTAGAACGACAGAGGAATCTCAATGGCAGACGAGCGACTAATGGTAATCAATCGCAGAAACGACTATATCAATGGACACACAAAGAATCGTATCAAGATGTGATCGATGATGGACGGCTGACGGCCGAGCACTACGATCATTGCATTGAAGTCATTCGGTCGGCGTTGATGTGTCAACCAGATTTGACTGTCCATACAGTGCACTTCGACTCGCAAGCTCCACATGGGCTCAAAGGCTACAGTCATCATGAAAGGAAGTGTATCAAGTGGGAGCCATTCAAGGAGTGGGTGGATAAGAAAGCAATACCCGCGCCGTTGCAAGACCACGTACTGGATGAAGCTGAGGAGGGGAGTTTCGGTCCGTAGCAGACAGGTCTCCAAATCTAGTCAACTTCTCTTGGGCATAAGAATCGATGGTTCAGTAATTGGCTCATGGCATTCGAGACTAGTGTTCCGAGTTATGAACCAACACAGTCGTACTGGTACTCCTCGCTTGCATCCACTCCTGCATCTTATCCCAACTCACACATTTCTGTTCCCCAGGTGCCCTATGCTTAATCACATCCTTGCCATCTTCTCCTGGCGTCCAAACGAGCGTGTATAACGAAGTATCCATATGGCACATCACACTCTGACGAAGGAAATTAAGGCAATGATCTGGAACAAAATCCAATGTCAGCTCGAAAATAATGTTCTAGTCATTCGAAATTCAGGTCTTACCGGCATGATGTTGCAAATACTTATAATGCCCGCTCCCAACTTCGACATCAGGATAGAAGTAATCAAAGTACATGAATTGCTTGATCCTCTTCACGCAGTGGATGTTATGCGCCACGCCTAATCCGGCTGCGAAACCTCCGTCTTTGAGAGGTACGGAGTCTTCGCCAAGGATATCGAGTTCTTCTTGGGAGACGCGAATGAGAGTTCCTTCGAGGAGATTGTGCATGGCTTCTTCCCAGGCGGGCGTGGGGTCGCCAACCATGATTTTCTCGTTCCCGGTCATGTTTCGATATTCGTATGAAATGGCTTCATTGGCTGGTGCTGTATTGATTTAGGATTGATTTTGGACGAATCGGTTTTCTGGTCATTGCTTACAGTATGGCTCAGGGATCGTCGTGTCTTGCTGCTTGAAGGCTAGCAAGAATACTAGAAAAAGAGATACGGCGAACAAGACGATGTTGAGGATTGTAGATAGCCATAGCCACATTCGTGGAGGTTGTCTGTAGTTTCGCCGTTGAACATATTGCTGCCACTCGCTGTCTTCCAGCTTCTGCTCTAGAAACGGCCGCTCTTCTTCGCGTTCCATGTTCAGTGCTGGTGCTGGTGCTGAAGCGACTGCTCTGGTCAGTATCGACGCATGTCAGGAAATGTCTCGCGGGCCTGCAGAATGTCACAGCTTCACGTCAGGCCTCCAGCCATGATGGATCAGCTACCTTCACGCCACGCTGCAGGTGCATTCCGCTGGCGTAATCCTGCTGTCAGCCACATGAGCTTGTTCGTACATGCAAAGCAATTGGAAGGATTTGTGTGCCGTGCAGGGTACGTCTTCAGCTCTCGCAGAGCGAATAGCTTTAGTGCTGTGATAGACATACTCGCTTGGCATGAAACTGCCCGGGTCTAGCGCGTTGCAGGAATGATCTGCAGTGAATGATCATCAGCATGTGGGGTTTTCGGTGATCGGGTCATTCGATGATTCTTTGTGCACCACCTCGTGTGCAAGTGCTACACCGGAATTGGCAGCTGTTCATGGCTCGCTGATACACATGCAGTGATCAACCACACTGGCTTCACGAATTCTGAGACGGCTCCCCAGTGCTCCGCGTCTCAATCCGTGAGTCCCGATAGTTGCCTCTCTTTTCCGGCCAACGAAGCAACTAAAGCATGTGATGCGAGTTTGAGGCCGGCTCATACCCTACTACGGACTCACGTACGCCAGTTGCTCGACCCTTTATTAGATACGCGTCAGTTGCCTTGTCAGGCAACGGGTCCGCGAGCTTGCTGCTGTTGTGTCACAATCGATGCAACTTTGAGCAAGGTTTCGTAGCAAGCATTCGTGGCGGTATAGATGTGTGGTCTCGGCGTGTTTTCATATCTTGATCTTTCCCTTTCCATGAGTCGTCGACTTCTTGCACCATCAACCAGAACAAATCCACCGAAGCTAGTAGCCATGAAGTCGTTCATCGTCGCCTTGGCATACATTGCATTGGCATTTGCCGCACCTGTAATCATTGAGCCTCGTAAGCCTGGTTGTCAAATCAGTTCCATGCGCGCTTTGCACTAACGAGTTGAGTTGCAGAAGGTCAAGCGTCGTCGCCGAATGCTGTCTCAAGTCGAGATGAGGCTGTCAAGTCCAGCTTCGATATTGCACACAGGAACAGACAAGCTCGGTCAATAGCAGTGAATAGAAGGGAAGATGATGCGCTCGCTGGCATAGTCTCAGCTCGAGACGGTACAACTGAATTCGGTGAGTGTAGATGCACATGTTGGTGAGTTCGATACTGACTTTCCCAGACGCGGATGCCTTCTACAAGGACAGGCGAAACGATGCAGCACTCGAAGCGCGGGATGGCACGACTGAATTTGGTGAGTGCATAAAACATGACTGATTGAGCGCGATTCTGATATCCCGCAGACGCAGATGCCTGGTACAAGGGCAGGCGAGACGACGACGCACTCGCTGGTATTGTAGTCACGGCTCGGGATGGCACGACTGAATTCGGTGAGTTAGTAGGGCATGTCCCGATGAATGCGATTCTGATCTTCCACAGATGCAGATGCCTTCTACAAGGAGTGATCTTTTCTTCACGCTATGAGTGTTCCATCCATGCCCTCATCTGTAGGATAGGTGTGCGACCCACGCTCGCAAGGATAGAGCAGGTTGTATTGAGGGTCGAAGTGGTGGCTTGGTGGGGCAATTGGACCCTCGTTCGGTAATGTCGATCAATGTCAGCTGCTTTCAGGTCTTCATTGTTCCGGCCGGACACACTGCACTGCGCGATTTGTGAACCGAGCACGTGGATCACACTCTGCTCGCAGCTGCCCGTGCGCCGCTGCGGGTGCATGGTGGCATTGTCGCTGCTGATCTGACCAGGCACCGAGCTGAGGAGGAAGCTGCTCTGCAGGTCCGCGTGTGACGTGACTTGCGCGGCCGTTGGCACGTCTTCCACACCAAATCAGTTATCGCGACATGTGAAGTGAGAATTGTCCTCACCTGCCAACACTCGTTCTCGTTCGGTGCACAAACTCTCGTGGATGTGAGACGTCCGTCAGCATTCTCAGCTTGCAACCAACACCACCTTTGCAAACATGGCTCAGTCTAAAGTCCGGATTGCCATCTCAGGTGGAGGCATGGCAGGCGCCACGCTGATGCACGCTCTGATCAAACACGACCATCTTGACGTCCACATATTCGAGTCTGCCACCGAGTTTCGTGAAGCTGGAATGGCTGTTGGCATGACCCGCAATGCCTTCCAAGCGTTAGAACTCATCGGCCCTTCGGCAAGAGAAGCACTCGAACGGGCAGGTTCTGTGCCGCATTATGGCGCCAGATTGATGCTGGCGCTGGGACCTGGGGCAGGAACGATGATCGACGAAATCGATGCGAGGAAAGAAGGCAAGAGATTGACCAGTATCGTGCATCGCGCTGCATTGCTGAAAGAACTCCTGGCAAGCGTTCCGAGCGAACGAATGCATGCATCCAAGAAGCTGAAGACAGTCGATCGTAGCGGCGATGGACCTCTCGTGCTGCATTTTGGAGATGGCTCCACACATGAGACCGACATCCTCATCGGTGCAGATGGCATTCACAGCTTTGTCAGGAAGATTGTTCTCGGCGAGTCTGATCCAGCAGCAGTGCCTGTGTCTGCCGACATGATGGCAATACCCACGCTGCAGCCGTACGAGAAATTGAAACCTATCCTTGGCGCTGACTACGTGGACACCAAAGACCCTCGGGAGTGGGGTTGGGTTGGCAAGGGGACCTTTATGATGCACAATGTGCTCAATGAAGGCGAACTGATCCAGTTCATTGCGACAGTGAAGATCGACACCGGCGATGCCTGGATGAAGGAAGTAGACGCTCAAGAGTTCAAGGGCTATTTCGAGGGCTGGCCGTCCCATCTACGGAATGCCCTATCAGCTGTTAGTTGGCCTTCTGATGTTGGTCGAAACCATGCTAACTTTGCAACAGGTGATTGGTGACCAGAAAACAGTGCAGTGCTGGTGCACGTGGGAACACGCCCATGCACGAACATACGCGGATGGTCCGATAGCCGTGATGGGTGATGCAGCACATGCAACTACTCCGTGGCAGTCGTCGGGAGGCGGCATGTCCATGGAAGACGCTCTCGTGCTCTCGTCGCTGTTGGGTCGGATAACCACGCCGAAGCAGGCATCAGTAGCACTGCAGGTGTACGATGAAGCACGCCGGCCCCGCACACAGAAGATTGTTGACTCCAGTCGGGAGACGGGTCTGATATTCACGGGAAACGATCCGGAATACACAATGGATCATGCCGGTCTCAAGGGCAGATTGCCACAGCGGTGGGATTTCATCCTGGACTTTGACAACGGCAAAGCACGCGACGAAGCTGTGCGGGAATTGGAGGCGAGGCTGCGGTAACCCTCAAGAATGGCTGCGTGTGTCGTCTGCATCCTGCCCTGCCGATGCATCGTTTTGTAGAAATAGAGGCGATGAACGCGTGTTGAAGACAAGGCACCGCTCCCCAAGCGAGACTAATTCTCTTGGCGTGTCGCTAGCGCGTATGGCTCCTTCTTCACAGAAAGGCACGAAGTTCTTCCTGATCACCTCAGGCCCGATTACAGAATTCCACCCTTGGCGCTCATCGTCTGGATTACTGAGTCCTCGGGAGCAGGGCGAGATTGAGAGGTCTTGATCGGATCGACAGTCGAGTGGACATATCCTCGGATGCGTTGACACTCCATCAATGGAAGAGACATGTTGACTTTGGCCTGGATCTCACGAACGTCCGCATCCGATCGTCTGGATGCGTTGGTTACCCGCTAGATAACCACTCGAAACTGCGGAGACGTCGGACCTCCATAAAGTTCAGTGATCCCAGCAGAGCTTCCTCCCGCTTGAGCAAGGCTTGTTGCCCGTCGCAGACTTGCACGAGAGTTCCACATGGAGATTGCCTTCTCGAACGACGCTGTGTGAATCCGACCCCGGGCACAGGCTGTTCTGCGATACTGCGCGGTCATTATATGGTCGAGAATCCAGTATGCCCAGGATCATAGGCAAGCACGCTCTCGATACTATGCGACGAAATTAAGCTCAGATACTTAAAAAAGCTGGCTCAGGATGCTTGTGCCGACAAAGGAGACAAGGTCATGGAGAATACTGCAGCGGCCTTCCTGGAGAACAGCTTACCGGATGATGGCGGCGGACAATGTCTCCGCCCGACATCACCTCCCAACCACCTGCATTGATGTGCAGCATGAGGCCGGAAACATATGCTCGACACCGGTGATCGCATAGACGCATAGCTGGTCGCGGCACACGACTGAGACGATGCTGTATGGAAGTGCAAGCAAACCCGCGATTGTGGCCTGGACCGTGGTCATGACATCTCTGGCCACGGTCGCGGTAGTTCTCCGCCTTTACGCTCGATTTATCGTCTCGAGAACTGCTGGCCGAGACGATGCCTGCATATTTGGATCAGTGGTGAGCAGTCGTTATTGTTCGAACGTGCCCAAGCAGCGTCGCTGACTCGGAAAAGTCCTTTGCGTGGGCTACGACAGCGACTATGATCGCACAGGTAATGCTTTACCCCTCTCATAAACCAATTCGACACAGCTCTCAGCGAAGAATACGGACCTGACTTGGGAAGTAGGTGAAGACCGGCCTCGGCAGCCACGAATGGACACTAGGACCTCACGAGGCCATGTTGAACCTCAGAGCGGTCAGTGATGCCCAAAGACAGCCCGACCATAGCACTGACAATGCGGACTGCAGTACTGGCTGATGATCATCGTATACAACTGCTCGCTATTCTGCACCAAGTTTTCGATCATGTTCCAGTACCTTCGCATGTTTCCGCAAAGGGGTATCCGCATCGCCACATACACACTCATGGCAATTGTCTCATGCTATGCGATATGGAGAATCATATCAGCTATACTCACCTGCACTCCGCCGGCAGCATTCTGGGACCACTCTATCAAGCACAAAACATGTCAAGACAGACTGGCACTTTCACTTGCGAGTACGTCACTCAACATGATCACCGACATCTTGATCACTGTACTGCCATTGCCATTCCTCAACAAGCTTCAATTGCCTCGGCGCCAGAAGTGGGCCCTGGTCGGAGTCTTTGCGATCGGAGGACTGGTCGTTATTGTGTCTATCTTACGACTGCCATCTCTGTACCACTTGATGTCGTCCAAAGATATCACTTACGAGAATGCTATGGCATGCATCTGGTCATCTATTGAGATGAATACCGGCATCATCTGCTCATGCCTCCCGACCCTCCGCTGTCTCTTCCCTACATGGCTCAAAGGCGCATCGAAATACGGCACGCACTCCAGTTCTGGCCCTTCATTCGTCAAACCCGACGCACCAAACACGTCAGACGGCTGGACGCCCGAAAGTACACATTCGCGGTCGAAGAGTCGCTGTTACACGCATGTTACGAGCCAAAGCGCCAGTTTCAAAACCCATAAAGCAAAGAGGTCCTGGACAGGCCGGCAGGATATGCTACTGGAGAGCTCAGAAGATATTGAGCTGGGGCCGCGCTTGAACAAGTCGAGTTCGGAGGAGCGGCAGGTGAGTGATGGGCATATCCATGTGCAGACGGATATCGAGCAGGAAAGTGTGCTACGAATTGACGACGAGAGTCCTGTGCTGGTTGCGAAAGAGCAGATTACGCAGAATAGAGGTATGGTGTAACATGGTGCTGGTTCCAACCAAAATTTGCTTAGCATTCACTACTGTCTACTTCCGTTGTTCTATCCTTGAATATGCCATTGGAGCAATGCGAGCAAATGCGAGACAATGTATGTGCATTCTGGGTATATCTGTAAAAGTGGTATCATGTCTCACAACTCTCTCACGCCCGCGACCACGCCATCAAGCACAGCGCCGACAAAGAACACGCTGTCCTACAGCTCGTCCTTCTCTGCGCTGCCACCTTTCCCCTTCGCATCTTCCTCCGTCGTCTCCGTAGTTTTCTCTCCCGTCTTCTCCATCCCGCTCGCCTCACCATCCGTGTTCGTCCCCGCACCACCTTTCTTATCATCATCATCAATACTCTGCTTACTGGCCTCTTCACGGGTATTCGTCTCCTCTCCACCCTTCTTCTCATCGCCATCCTTCTCTTCTTCCCCACCAGGCGGAATTTCATCCTCCGGATGCAAACTCACAGCATCCGCCTCCCCCTTCTTGAGCGGCTTCGCATCGCCAACTCTCTCCTCACCCTCATAATCCGGACCAATCTTCACCTTCTCCGCATACTCCAGAATATTACTCACAATATTATCCTGAATAAAATGTCCTTTTCCTCCAGCAACTCGCAGTATCAAATCGTTCAACGAGCTTCTGCCCAAAATATCGACGTGATCTGCGGTGTTGGGTCCACCGCGAGGATTGAAACGATCGGGTTCGTGAGGCATTTCGTATGCGACGACAGGGATGTTGGCGGGGTTGTAGCGTTTGATTTTCCAGCCTTTGTTGCACATGTAGCCTGTGCTGAGGATGTTTACTGTTCCGTCGCCTTCACCCATTACGACGCCGTGGTCAACCAGGCCATCTGGGGTGGTGACTGTAGAGTCTGCGGGCATGAGAGTTAGTCGTAAGCATGTGGATGTGTGCAGGAGAAATTTCAACCTTACCGATCATGACAGCAGTATCATTGTTAGCATCTTGCTCTTCGCGGTAGTAGTAAGCTCTTTCGGTCGGCTTGCCGATACCATAGAAACAGAAGATCTTCATGTCCGGCGCGATGGGAAGGCGAATCTCAAGCGGGTTCATCCATTTGGCTGGCGTGTCCATGTTGGCTTCGACTTCATCCTTGGTGTGTGCAACACCACGACTGTAGCTGCTCTTAATCTGGTCTACATACCACTTTTCAGTATTCTTGAAGAGGTAGTCGATGGCTCCTGGGACAGACATGTTCCCTGGGGTCAAAGTATTGTTAATCTCTCTGAAGTTCAAGAACTTTCCATAAGTGGTAGTCTGGTTCCAAGCATCATCTGGCGCGCCGTTTTCGTCTCCCCAGACTGCTGTCCCGCCGATAGGAAGCATAGAGGAGATACCAGGCATGGCGCGGAAGATCTCGGCGCGTTCTATTCGCGACAGGAACTTCTCGAGGCCATAGACTGCAAAGGCATTCAGCTGAACAGTGTCTCTCATTTCGCCACTTAGCACGGCTGGTACATCCTTGAGGGCACCAAGCATGCAGCCAGAGATGTTGATCCACGACTCAATATGGTCGTTGACCCATGATGGTCCTCCGTTGCCGTATCCCTCTGCCTCTACCCAGCGGAAGAAGTAGAACAGTACCTGCGAGCCCATCGAATGAGACAGCATAACAGCCTTCTTGCCGGACACGTGCTTTGCGATCTCAATGTGATTCTTCAGGCGTGTAAAGTACTGATCTCGAATCTCATAATTGAGATAGCTCATGCGCCAGTCGTACGCAGCCGTGAAAGCATTCGTAGGGTCATATCCAATCGTCGCCAGATTCTCAAGGATCTTGTTCCATATCCAGTATCCTGTAATGAAGAAGTCGGCCGCATCGAAGCCTTGCGCCGCTCTTAGCTTGATGCCGGGCGGATCAAGACCAGTCTTCTTGTCCAGCATAACGTGCCTCTTCCAACTTGCCTTGTCCAGTATCAGCGCTCTCATCATACTCCACGAGCCCCATAGTCTCTTTCTGAAGTATTGTCTTGACGAGTCTTCTGTACCCCAGCTTTCCAAACCTGTCGATATCACACCAGGAACCATAATCACGGGATATTTCGCACGAATGCCCTCATTGCGAGCGTGGAGACCGATTGCGAAGGAGTCGTAATCAATAGCTTGTTTCTCTCGAGACTATATAAAATTACCTTTGTCAACTGATCAGCTCCGGGTCTCGACTTGTGGCAGAAATGGCTTACCTGAATGTCCTGCACATCCCGTATGAGCCCTGTAGGCAATACATCCATTAAGCTGTCCAAGTTCATATCCTCTAGCCCAGCCATCGACACCAACTGATCCAGGGCGCCATCTTTGCTCGCAAAGAAACCCGCTGCCGACAGCCCTCCCAGCAGTCCAAGGCCAAATACCCACGCGTTCCTCCTCTTCTTACCCTTGCTGCTCTTCACGGCCTTCTTCAACTCATCGAATTTCTCGTTCGTCAGCACACGATACGCGCCGGGTCGTTTCAAAGCTTCGTGAGGTGCTGGGGCCGGACTTGAGTCTCGCGACTCTGCAGGTGTGCTGTCGCTGCTTCCGCTGCCGCCAAAGATGCGTCTCCGCAGAGACGTCCACGATTCAGACATGGCAGCGTCTGGCGGAATCTGGCGGAAGAGGAACAAAGAGCGAAAGTTGGCCCACGCGACAACTTTGTGCCTGTCAGCCAAACTTTATTCAAACAAGTACGTCACATGCCCGCCTCAGTAGGCAACCGGGATTGTCCGTTCACCTTCACATGCAAGCAGCCGTTGAAGACTTTCACATGCCAGACAATCGAATCTCATATCGTGGATCTTGGCTTCTCTCAACACTCTTCACATGTCACACAAGCGGCCGAGACTCACATCCGATGCCCGCTTCAAGACCATCCCGACCGAAAACTCAATCTAATGAACAACTCCGCCGAGTCCGAGGCCGATACTGCCAAGACCGAAGCAACCAGCAGCAAGAAGAAGACGACCTCAGACTCAGATTCTGCTGACGAAATTCGCTACATCTGCTACGGCTCCGAGAAAGAATCACCATGGCTTCCCGCCATCAAACAGCTTATCTCCAAAGACCTTTCCGAGCCTTATAGTATTTACGTCTACCGCTACTTTCTCTACCAATGGGGGAAGTTATGCTTCTTAGTATAACCATCTCTGAACAACAGAAGAAGGAACCCTTTTCTGATGAATTTTCCAGGCACTTAATCCCCAAGATGAACTCATCGGAGTCATCGTCTGCAAACTCGAACCCCACCGCGGAGGACCTCTCCGCGGCTACATCGCAATGCTCGCCACGCGAGAAGACCAACGCGGAAAAGGCATAGCAAGTAAACTCGTTCGCATGGCATGCGAAGCTATGATTGAAGAGAATGCAGATGAAGTCAGTCACCTCTTCCCTCCCTCATCCAATTCTCCAGCTTCGCCAATCTAACAAGTCCAAGATCGCCCTCGAAACCGAAACCCACAACCTCCCCTCCCTAAAAATCTACGAAAAACTCGGCTTCATCAGATCGAAACGCCTTCACCGATACTATCTGAACGGCAACACGGCTTATAGGTTGATCTTATATTTGAAGGATGGGATTCCATATCAGCCGACTTTTCCGCCTATGGATTATGGGCCGAATTCTGCGGAGGGGGCGTTGTATGGAAGTGGAGAGGATCCGACGAAGGCTATGTTGGGGAGCGAGGATTTGATTGAGAGGCAGGCGGCGCAGATGAGGATTGAGGAGGGGGGTAGAGGTGGGTGATTTTGTGTTGTTGTGAGGTACTTGGGAGAATTGAGTGAGCTGATCAGAGGTCATGGTTGATTTTGGCGAACAGGCTTTGATGGTGAGATTGACTTTTGAGATCGAGAGGATTTCGACATACAAGTTGCAGCACGGCGTGAAAGCATTGCGGTGGTGGTTTTGGGGAAGCTATTACGATGATCGATACAAACTTTTGCAGCCCAAGATTCTGATCTCCTGGGCTATGTAATGCTGAAACAATGTGCTAACAATTCTTCTATCCTTTTTCCAGCACCTCGTCGAGCACTCGAAGCTGGCAACGAGGGAAACCCATAGAACTCCGTCATCGTGCAAAAGTCTCAGCTGCAACGAGACAGTAATTTGCAGACAAAAGTTTCTTTGCCGCCAGCATAGCAATGTCAGTTGAACAGAACTCTCGAATGAATAGTCAGAAGCGGAAAGTGCCTCTAAACAACGCGACCAGCGGCATCAAACTCGAAGGCGCCGCCAAGATCGGAATGGGCATCGTCCTCGTCCTGTCTGATCATTTGACGGGTCCAGCTCCAATTGGGTTGCGGCGGTGCTAGTCGTGGCCGCGAAGGTCCTGCAGTTGGTGGCTCATCGTCAAGCATCATTGGATCATCTTCCTCCTCCTGATCTTCTTCCTCTTCGCTGGACTCAACGAAGCCTTCTTCGAGCATGAGTTGCTCCTTTCGGCTTTTCAAGAGCTTGCCAACACGTTGCTCTTGGCTCCATGCCATCACTTTGATAGCATCAAGCTCGTCGGTGATGATCCTTGCCGGACACTCCAGGCCAACCATTTTTGCGCGCTTGGTCATGGCGGCGACAGTCTCTGGCTTATGCCGAGCGTTGAACTGGCCCTGGCCGAATCGGACGCCATCAAGAAAGGCCATGCGTACTGTCTGCTCCTGTACCAGGCCTGCCGGAGTGCTGAGATAATTGCGTGCGAACAGGGTCGCGAGGGCGCGCCATTCCTGTTGATCGCGCGGCACGACTTGTAAATGCCATCCTTGGACGATATCGGCAACGATATGAGATATGTGGTCGAGGGGTGAAGTGCGGTCCAAGCCCAAAAATCTTGCAATCTCGGCAATGGCCTTCACTGAGAAGGTGTTGAGTGGTACCTTTTGCCTGATGAAATCGCTCTCCTTTCTGAACAAGGCCGATTTTTCGCTCAGTATGTCAGCCCTCAGAACGTGGTCGATAGCTGGCGAGGTCTTTGACAGGCGGAGGAGATCTTTGACCTTGATTGTATGGACGATGGCCTCCTTGTGGATGGCGCCCCAGACCAGGAACTCATACGTGCCGCAATACCTCTGGGCACCGTTGCTCCAGGGAGCCATCTTCTGCGTCAATTCATCGTGGAAAGGTCTGCGGATGCTATTAGCTAAATGCTTCACACGTCAACCGTGGAACTACTTACCGTGCCCAGAACACGGCTCTCTTATCCAGCTTGCTCGGGTCGATGAGAGTGATCCGGCCGTTCCTAACGCCTTTCCGCATCTCAGAGAGGGCGAGTCTGAGACTCCAGACTAAGCGATTACAAGTGGACACGAAAGGCGTGTCTTTAAGCTTTCTATCCATGCTGTTCCGCGTTAGGTACAGGCCTTAGTACACTTGCTCGGACAAGGCTTACTGATTGAACACATCAGTGAGATCGACATCACTGCTCTTTGGGGGTCTGAAATGGACCACATTGGACTGGAAATATTTGCGTGCGATAAAGCCCTCCTCGGAGTTGTGGGTGGGCTGGTCGGATTCGACCCAGTATCTGGAGAGTGTTAGAATTGCGACTTGTCACAGGGTCGGGCGGAAGTGCTTTACCTGAACAGAAGGCCTGTTGCCGGAGGATGCGCGGCATCTCGTGGAATAGGAACCACTTGTTGTTGAAGACCTTCAAGTCTTCTCTCTGACATACGAGGCTTGGACCCATCGTTCCTCCAATACTCAAATTTCTTGGTCGGAGTCCGCGGCTTCGAAATAGCGCTTTGCTTTCGGAATTTGCGGGACACAGTCGTTGGTGACGGTAGCAGTGCTTGCTGCAATGTTTCCGATCGATTGATCACCGGGACTAGGGCGCTCGTTGTCTTGCTTCTTGCACGCGAGACTGCAAATTCTGGCTGTTGAACAGCAGGCGTGACAGGAGTAGCGAGCTGATGAGCTTCTTGTTCTGGCAGCACGCGGCGCTTCTTCTGCGGAGGAGATGCAACCGACGGAGCGTCGCGCTGAACAGGAGCAGGTCGAGCAACTTTTGAAGGAGGTGTCAACGGGAGTTGTCTAAAGGTCACCTCGACGCTGGTCTCTTCATGGACAGGCGCAGACGAGGCAACGCGGACCATACGAGGAGTCGCCTTGCTGACTTTAGGTTGACCTCCCTTCTGAACAGCTTGACTTCCATTCTGCATAGCTTGACGAATCCTTCCCCTGAGGCCCTCTCTCTGATCAAATTCCTCTTGCGTCGTAGGCTCTGCGCATATGGTCAACCAGCATTTGGCTTTGTCCGGCTTGGTGCGCATGTAGTATTGCGCGTAGAGGACATGCGGTCGAGCTCCACCAACCACGCCACTGGCTGCCAGCTCTTTCGCAAAGACCGTGTTGAATGCATCGGCTCGATTTTGACCAGCCAAATTGAACTCCGTGCTGAGCAGATGGAGCGTGACTTGCATTGGGTAGGTCCACACCATGGACGGAGGCTTGTCGGCACGAGAGGCTGGTTTTTGGCGCGCCATGTTGTGTACTGTGCTTGCGATCGTCTGGTCTTGTGTTGTGTCGTAGATGTGTGAGGTTAGACGTGAGTCTTATACCACGCACCGTGAATTTTGCGTCCTCACATCTGCACCTCCAATCTAAAGCTCCTGCCCGTCACAGTCATCGCAAAGGTAAGGACGCAAAAATAAACTTTCCAGCATACCGATTGCAAGGGGAGCTGGAGGAAGTTAAGCCAACGTCCTTTGACTTCACTTTGCACCTCCATTCTCTGCACGATGAGCACATCGGGGGTATTCGCCAAGTTGCATGTCGTCTCTCAGTCCATGGCAAGGCTTGTGTGCATAGCGTCTGTCTCGTCGAGTACAGCCATGCCAAGAAGTGAAGGTGGTGTCCTTTTGGTACCTTTGTGGCCGCAAGTCAAAAGCTACCCATGTTAGAGAGCTTTACATGGAAGCAGCACCTGAGAGTCAGCGTTCGCTCGACGAGAGAGCTAGACTCACCATTCCTGAATTGCACGAAAGTTGGAATATTTTTGTGGGACACAATCCCAACTGGACATGTGCAATTCGCATCTATTCCTCGCCTCTGCTTCGGCTGTATGGTATCTCAATCATGCTTTATCCTGCAGCAACAGCAGCGTTGCCCTCTATATCATGCCCGTCTCATGTCGAAACCAAATGACATGCACCTACAATGCAATATTGTAACGCCGTGCTCTTCCACATCTCCCAGCTTCTAGTAATCCATCTACCTTGAGCTGACAATGTTCTGCTGTGCGTTCTTGGCCTTGAGTCCCTGTGCGCCATCGACCAACCGTCTCTCGGTGTTCTGGCGAGTGTTGACGAAATCTGGGTAGTTGAGGGTAAGCTCGACAGCGCCGTTGACGATATTGTCAACGGCCTCGACACCGAGCATGAAAGAGTGGTCCTGGTTGCCGACTTCGTATCTCCAGCTGCCGAAGCGTCCGCGAGACCAGATGTCGAGCTTCTCGAGCTTGGGGAGGAGCTGAGTGAGGACACCCTCACGCTCGAGGGATGGGGTTGGGTAACCGTGGTCGAAGCGGCGGTGGTATGTGGAGACGATCTCGTCGTCTGGCTTAAGCATCTCAGTGTTGACAAGACCCTGAATGCAGTCTGCGAGCATGGTCTCCTGGTTCACCGGCTTCTTGCTGGACTCGGAGACCTCCAACATGATGCTCCAGTATGGACCCTCCCTGGCGGATGTGTCGCTTGGCTTGCTGCCATCTCCGAGCTGCAGGGTTGGCAGCTTCTTCGAGGCCTCTGGCTGGTTGTTAGGCGAGTAGTTGGAGAAGATGGTGGCGCGGTAGAATGGGCAGTTGTCCTCTGGGAAGTAGAGCCAGCACTTGTCACCAATGCGCTCTGGACGAGTTCCACGAACACCAACACCGATAACGTGGGTGCTGGAGTAGAACAGGCCCTTGCTCAAGTTCACGAGCTCCTCATTCTTCATGGCCTGAGCGAGGTAGTCGACAGACATGGTGGAAACGAGCTTCTGGTAGTTGACAGTTGTGCCATCGCCGAGCAGCACTCTCTTGTTCTCAGCATCCACGAGCTGGACCTCGCCGTGCTTGCCGAAGAGCTTCTTCTCCTTGGGAATGGTGTCAGCAACCTTGATCCAGATGTTGCCAGTGCCTCCGTGTGCTGGGAAGCGGAATGTGGCGTTTGGACCCCAGTTTCCTGCGGTCTTGTTGAGGATCACGTTGGTGGTGATCAGCTTGAGGTTTGGTGCAGCGACACGCTCACCGAGCCACGAGCATTGCATCTGTCCACATGTCAGTCATTGTTGTACGATCTCTTGCGCTGCCCCAGGGCAGTGTTCCGTCACTCACGTCTGTCGTGGGCACAGCCCACACCTTGTAGTTGTATGGTCTCATGAAGATGTCCGCAATGCCCGAACCCATTGTCCTCAGAATCCACTCATCGAAGTTCTTTGGCTTATCGCGTGCGACTCTTGACTCGACTGTGGCGTCGATCAGGCCCTCCATGGCCTTCACCTGGTCCTCCTTGGGAAGAGCAGACAGGTTGTTCTGGAATGGGTATGCCACCCACACGCCCTTGTAGCGGACATATGAGATACGCTGGTGAGTGTACCAGTCCTCCTCTTTTGGCAGCGCCTCGTTGATGCAGTCGTCGAAGTACTTGTAGTGAGAGAAGATGACGTGGCCGCCGACATCGTAGAGCTAAGTCCGTCAGTGGGTGGTTCGGAGGGAGATGGAGGGGAAACGTACGAAGCCCTCTGGGGTGACATCTGTGGAGGCAAGACCGCCAGCAGTCTCGTTGCTGTCAACAATCAACCACGAGGGGCCGTCCTGTATTGTGTCAGCTTCAATGGCGCGCTGCAATCACCTCCGGCTCACTCACAATCTGTTGCAGGCGCTTTGCGGCACCGAGACCCGTTGGACCAGCGCCGATAACGAGGACATCGATGTCGCTGCGAATGCGTTGTCAGTTCCAATGTCTCTCACGTACAGCAGCAGCATGCGTGCAGTGCAGTGCAAACAAGACTTTTTGTTGAGCACGCGATTCAGACACTCACATCTCCTTGCCATTCGCCTTGCTAATCTGCCTCTTGTGAGTCTGCGCCATGTTTGCGGTGGGAATCTGCTGAAGGAATTCGACGTGCGAGAGTGCGCAGGCGAATGTCGACGACAGAAGGTGTATGTAAAAGCGGCAGGAAAGGAGAAGGAGTAGACAAAATGTCGTCGTCGACTCCAATAAACATCCCACCACACCGCCACCAAGGCCGATATTTAGCTGAGGCCATAGCTTGACTTTTCTCCAAAGCGAGCAAGGGTCGTGTGGGTCCGTGGTGTGAAACGGAGGCCCGGAAGCGGACTGGTGCGACTCGAGCAATTCTGATACAAGCGGCAAGTCGTCGACGTCGGCCTGCCCTTGACACGATAGGGCCAGCAGCACACACGATCACCCACGGGCAAACCAGGAGAAATTATGGGCGACATGGCCCGATGACGCACCGGCCGAGTGATTGGATTGCCCGGTCATCAATCGTTGTTCGCAGTAGCGATGTGCGGCGCTGGCTCAGGGGCAGCACAGCAACTCGCAAGCCAGCGTCCTCCTCGTCCACACGTGCGCCCTGCCCAGCCCTGTGGCGTCAACTGCTCAGCTGAGATGGGACGGAAAATTGCTGAGTGTTCAAACGAACTCCCATTTGCAGGACGGAAGCCGTGGTACACCTACTGTGCACATATCCGTGAGACTATTGTCAGCATTCCGGACGCGTAGTTGCAGCAGAAACGATCACAGACATGCTGCAGCATCGCAATAACAAGCACGCTCAGTAGTTTCTTGCGACAGCTTCTTTTGGGGGCGATCATTCTCAACATACGCGCGTTGTCGCCATCACCACTCAGTAGCCGAGCGGAGCTAGCGACTAAGGCTATTGGGTGAGAGGACAAGGGATAGGCCAGAGGCTAACTAGTTGTACACATGAACCCTGTTGCTTTGCGCGGCCTGCGACGTTTTTTGGGTCGTTTCCCCAAAAATCTACACGTTCGTGCAGCCGCAACTGCATACCACACCAACGACACGTCCTCTTCTGCCACTCCCTTTCTTCTTTTCTTACTGCGTCTTTCAATTGCACTTTTGCAGTTGTGCTGTGATCTTTCCCTGCCCGCTCACGACCTCCGCTACGGCATTGTCGGGAAAATCTCCCAATCGATAACTAGACGATCGCGCCCCCGGAACTAACTAGATTCAACGCGCGCGAACACCTCTCCCCAGGGACCACATTTTTGTCCATCCTTCGCGACACCACCACCGCGCCTACCACCACCCGCACACCCCACACACACGTACATACACAATGGCTGAGAAAGAACGGCAATCAGGCGAGCAGGAGCGCCCTGCAGAGGTGCTGCCCACAGTCAACCCCGACGCAGAGAAGAGCCAGCCGCCCAAGGCCAGTCTGCACCCAGCAGTCTACATCGCAACCTGGATTTCGCTCTCATCCAGCGTCATCATCTTCAACAAATGGATCCTCGATACCGCTGGGTTCCGGTATCCCATTGTGCTCACAACATGGCATTTGGCCTTTGCGACCTTCATGACCCAAATACTGGCCCGATGCACCTCAGTCCTGGACTCGCGGAAGAAGGTGCCCATGACGGGCAAGATCTATCTTCGTGCCATTGTGCCCATTGGACTGATGTTCTCGCTGTCGCTGATTTGCGGTAACTTGACATACTTGTACCTCTCCGTGTCCTTTATTCAGATGCTCAAGGTGAGACAGGGCGGAATTGCACGGGAGGGATGGCAGAGTGAGCTGACATTTTCCAGGCCACGACTCCAGTCGCTGTCCTTATCGCATCTTGGATCTTCGGAGTTGCTCCAGTCAACTTCAAGACGCTCGGCAATGTCTCCTTCATCGTCATTGGTGTCGTTATTGCCTCGTACGGCGAGATCCAATTCAACATGACCGGTTTCCTCTACCAGGTCGGAGGAATCGTCTTCGAAGCCACTCGTCTCGTCATGGTACAGCGTCTGCTGAGCAGCGCCGAGTTCAAGATGGACCCATTGGTCTCACTCTACTACTTCGCCCCAGCTTGCGCCATCATGAACGGTCTCACTGCGCTCTTCATTGAGGTGCCAAAGATGACTCTGGCAGATGTGGAGAAAGTCGGATACCTGACATTGATCATCAATGCCATGATCGCGTTCCTCTTGAACGTCTCTGTCGTGTTCCTGGTATGTGCGCTTTTCAAGCAGAAGTCAGACAGCCTACTAACCAGATTTCCAGATCGGCAAGACCTCATCCCTCGTCATGACCCTCTCCGGTGTCCTCAAGGATATCCTCCTCGTCGTAGCCTCCATGATGATCTTCCACGACCCAGTCTCCGGCCTCCAAGCCTTCGGCTACTCCATCGCCCTCGGAGGTCTCGTCTACTACAAGCTCGGCTCAGACAAGCTCAAGGTATGTCCAATCTGCCCCAACCCTTACCCTCCCCAAATCCCCATCTAACACCATTCTTCAGGAACACTTCGGCGGCGCCCAACGCGCCTGGGCCGACTACGGAGCCCGCCACCCCGCCCTCCGCAAACTCATCGTCTTCGGCCTCGTCCTCATCACCATCTTCGTCCTCCTCGGCGGAATCTCCCAAAGCGGCTACGTCCCAGCCGAATACAACCCAGGCACGCTCGCGGGCGCCGCATCAGATCGCTTTGCTAAGGGCTGGGCCGGCAAGACGAACGGGTCATGAAAGATGGGATGAGATGAGAGCGGCAGAAAAGAGAAGAGAAGAAGTTCTAGAGACAATTTCATACAGCTGCAAGCAAGGGCAATAATGAAGGTTATCAAGGAAGAGGCGCATACAACGGAGCATGACAGACAGTGGGCGATACGAGGAGCATTTTCGTGGGATGAGATCGCGGGTTCAGCTTTTACCATCACCGAAAGATCGGGCAGCTGGAAGAGGAGAGCAGAGCCACTGATAGACTTGTTTCCAGCAATTGCGACAGCTGCTGCATACCATACACAGGCGCGAGAAGATACGAAAACGCTCGCAGCGGAGTCCAGCGGTCTTTTTTGGGGAAGTGAGACGAGTATTTCTCTCTGTATTTTTGGTATACCAAGACACATTTCCTTAAACTTCCAGAGATTCTAGCGATTCAAAGATCCAGTGACAATGGTTCTCGATTGTGCCCAGCGTCATGCGAAGTGAGGTCGCATATCAAAGCAAAGTCAGCCAGCAGGATTGAAGGCTTATGAGTAGTGGGACAGGCAAGCAGCGGAGCAATATGAAAGTAACAGTATCGACCATGGCAATGCAAGTGCAATCTGAGCGTTCCTCGCTAAGGTAATAAAGTCTATGCATAAATACATGTGGTATCGCTTCTTTCATATCATCGACAACAACAGTAGCACCGAGAACGGACAGCTGGAAAAACATGCTCGCAACAGACAAGAATCGCATGCTCTCGCTCCCGTTCTAAGGACGAGGTCCCCACCATATTTCGTCTAAACCCGCGCCAACATGAGGAGCTTCTACTAATCCTGCATTCTGCTGCTTGCTCCTCGTTCCATTCTTTGGCTTGATGCGGATCCGAGTGGGCCGCGGATTCGTCCTGTACATATGATGAACACCGCATCAGCCATCAACGCAAAACAAAAGACATTACAGCCCGTAAGTCGGCAGTTCTGGAGGAGGGAGGGTGGCGTCTACTTGTTCGCCTGCTTCTTGGCCTCGTCCTTGGTCTGCTTTGCCTGGTCCTTTGCCTCGTCCTTGGTCTGCTTGGCTTGGTCCTTCTTCTCATTGCCGTACTTTTGAGCCTCATCGTACTTCTCCTGGCCGTACTTTTGAGCCTCGTTGTACTTGTCCTGGCCATATTTTTGAGCGTCGTTGAACTTGCCGGAGGCGTTGTTCTTCAAGTTGTTAAGATGGTCCTGGGCATTGTTGACGTAGTCGGCAGACTTCTTCTTGCTCTCTTCGTACCTGATTGACTCAGTCAGTACGTATTTTGCTCACAAACAACGTCCGTGACAATCTCACTTTGGGCCTAATGTGTCGGCGATGACCTGGAAGACGTCGGAAGCAATCTTGAGGTTGGTGCTGACGAGTGCCAGGATGAGAGTGGTAAGACCAGCACCGCGGTCGTTGTGTCGAGCAGTCTTGGTGTACTCGTCTGATGGTCTCGTCAGCGACTGGCAACGGCTTCTCCACTTCCACTGTACTCACCCTGCCATGTGCCGTACAAGTAGACGACAGGAGCGAGGATGGAACTCTTGGCAGCTTCAACGACCTTGTCGGTGTCCTCCTTCACGATGGGAAAGCGAGTCTCGACTTGTGTGAGGCCAGAGTCGGCCAGCTCATCAGCCTTCTGAAGGTAAGGAGCTGCGTATCCTGCTGGTCTCTGCAGGTATGGCTCGACTGGCTTGCCGAAGCGAGTGTAGACACCATCAGCAATCTCGATTGACTTCTTGCCGTACGGGTTGGTCTTGTAGGTCTCGATGCCGTCGTGCACGGCTGGGTAGGAGGTGATGTGGGACAGGAACTTGGACTGTGGCTTGTCGCCGTTGGTGAGGGTCTCGGTTGCGTGAGGCATGATGAGAAGCTGCGGCGTGTTGGTCAGAACAGCGGCGCGAGGAGATGCAATGCAATGCCAGGCGTGGAGTCGGCGCGGGGTCGAGGGGTGTTGGAATGTAGTGCAAATGTCACAAAGTCTGTCGTTGTTGCGATCCTGAACCTTTGGAGGGGAAGGTTTGTGGAGAAAGAGCAGGATGAGACGAGTTGGCTCTTACCTTTTTTTCTGAAACCTGAAGAGGGCAGTTCTTGGTCGCTGCGAGCTCCGTCAGTCATTGGGCCGCTTGTGGGTTGCGATGCAATGCTATCAGCTTCATGTGCGACATACCGGACAAGCTAATGGGAGCTCGTGGCTGCTATCGGTGGGCTGACTGGACGTCGGATAGGTTCAACTGCGGCGTGCTGGGAGTTGGGGATGGGAGAGGGTGTGAGGAATGTGCAGACGGGCGCAGAGATATGGAGGCAGGAGGAAGGCGTTGAGCAAGCAGGCGCAAAGCGGGTACTTGACGACTCACACGGTGTCTTCCAGCAACCTGCTGGCTATCCATCGCCCAGCGCGGTTTCTTCAGCGAGCAGCCACACGCGGTTTTGCATGTGAAAGTCGTTCGCCATGGCGGAAATGTGCCCTGACGTACCTGCCCTCCCAACAACCGGCAAGCGAGCCAGTCAGCGCGCGTTCGCTTCTCGGCACGCCGTCCATGCTTCGACCTGGGGCGCACGCCTGGGACGCGTCTCGAAGCTTCATATCACACAGCAAACCTGTTCCGCGACACTCACGATAGAGCTGGCCCAGCTGTTCCGTGGTCTGCCTTCATCTCGATCCTCTCCCCGTGGCACGCCCTCCATCCGCCCGTCTGATTGGGGCGAGAGATAATGCATCGCCGTTGCTCTTGCACTTCTCCCAATGAGACGCTCCGACCACAACCCGCATCATGCATCACCAGGGGCGGACCTCTCAACCGTATCCACTATCGCATGTGAAGCCAAGCCTCGAACAGACGACACTTTCATGTGCCAGGTTGGTGCAGATTGCACGCCGGAGGAGCCGCTCTCATGTACACAAGTACTTGGACATCGATGGATCTCGGTGCTGAACACGCCCTCCCGACCTGCTCGCCCTGCCATTGTCGGCGCATGTCACACCCTCCCGCCTGCCTGTGATGGCTGCACACCGCACACTGCCGAACCTGCTGGCGAATGTGCCGATTGCAAAACCTGTCTCTTGGGCCTCACATCTCGAAGTCCGGACGCCGTCGCCGACAAGAGGGAGCATCACGCAGCGTGTCACAAGAGATCCGTTATATGCTCGTGTCTGTCGCACCTGCTTCAGCCCAGCAGAACACGACCTGCTCCGTACCTCCTAGTGATGCGGTACCTGCTGCACGCGAGCGCATCTGCCAGCGCACCTCCACCGACTCTGCAAGCAATCAACAGACAATCGTATCCATTGGCAGAGCCCCAGCTACTCAACGCCCCGTCTGGCAAGGGTCGACGATATCTCCCGAGGCATGTGGGTTCTGCACAAGCCAAGACATGGTTTCACTGCAGCACGAATCCAGCATGCTCACCCAACATATCGCCATGAGAGACTTTTGCTCGTGCTTTTGCCCAGTGACTGCCGTGTGACACGAAGTGGCCAAGCGACTGACAGCGCTAAAAGGCGGTAGACACTCCGAGATACGCTCGTCGTGGTGCATGAATGCCTATGCGAAGCAAAGCGTGTATAGCAATGACCTCTCACGATGACGTCGGGAGATTTCTCGCAAGTCGTATCGAATTATTGCTGACTCAGAGTAGTTCAAGGTTCTTGTCCGAGTTCATATTAGCTACTCCTCCCAGCACCCATCCAGTTCAAGGGCCTTCTTCTTCCACTCAAGCGCCTGACACGAAGCAATCTCACACTGACGTGACTAGCCGCGGCACGAATCGCATGCGAACACTTCAAATCCTCCTCGAGGATCATGCCCCTCCGGAGCGACCTGCGAAGCAATCTATGCTGCAGCACTGGACACTACAGCTGTCACACAATAGCTCCTGCTCGTGGTGCATTCACGACCTTGCTCGGCAGCATCAAACAGGAACAATAAGCTCCAATCGTTCTCTCGCGCCGGTCTTCTCGCCTTGCTCCTTCCATCCACGAGTAGCACAAGACCACCAGAGGCTTACCACTTTCTGGTCAATGATCAGATAGGCCGGAAGACAGCAACTTACAACCAGAACATTAAATCGATACTGGCGGAAGTGTGGTCAGCGTACGCGCATAGCTGCTTCGGCTCCGAAATGCAATAGGTGCTCCAGCACTAGGCGAAACAAGAGTGCCGAAGCTACCTACGTAGGCGAACGAGGACAGGCGCAGGTAGCACGAGGAGCTTGCATGTACGAGTTGGCTCAAAGAGGTGAGATGCAGCAACAATGATACCGCGGTCCTCGACGTTCTAAGCGGCTGCCTGCGTACTGTTCTGCACTTTCGACCTAATCAGGCTGATACCACGGCCATCAATTCCCATCTTCGCGGCCAGCGATGCTGCGCTCACCTGCCTGTACTGGCCAAATTTCCCAGAGACACGGATGAATTTCTGAACACAAGATGTAGGTCATTGCATACGTTCTCATTTTCCTCTTTCGTCTTGCAAGAGCTCCAAATGCATTTACCCTTCCTTTGCATGGTCTCAAAGAGATCCGCGCGCTGCACGAATGCTACATCTCAGCCTTTCCCTCCCCGTCGCGGAAGAGAGACCATTTAGACTGCCACATCAAACAAACGCCACATCAATTCATGCCATTCAAACATATCTCATGCAACGAGCCTCGCTGCTTAACATTCCAGGTCTTCGGCCAAAGCAATTGTGCGCTCTTTTGGCTGTTCCTCAAAAGCAACATCCAGAATCAAACCAGTCAACGCCGTCGTCCCACCTCACTCTGCTCTATCCACTATCGCTCTCAAGAATGGGGACTTTCGAATTCCCTCACGATCTCACACCTTGTGCCCCTCCGCCGTGCGAAGGACTCGTCGTGCTCGTCGGCGTTCCGTTCCCGCTTCCAGTATTTGGACTCCGTATCCCTGCAGTCGTGTCTGGCAAATTACTGATACTCTTGATCAACCACGCCTTTTCATCATTGAACTGATCGTCATCTGTGCGATCTTCCAAGAATTTCGGTAAGAATTTCAGAAGTTTCGATTTATTCATGATGAGGAATTTTTGGACCTCTGGTGATTTGTGAGGGTTTGCTGCGAAGATCTACGGATCACCATTGATCAGTATAATCCAAACATAATGCAGCAGCGGGTGCCGAGGGGTTTTGAACTCACCTTGAAAACGTGAAAGGCTTCATACTGCACCATCCTCCTGTCATCCTTGAGCTGCCACATTATGAGCTTCAAGTTCTCCCCGCTCTCCACATATCGACACATGCATTCGTAGAAACTCCGATCTAACAACACCTCGCCCAACAATTTGATACTCTGTCTCTTTGTCACATAACTCTCGCTCTTGATCAACGTTTCGTTATACCGCGAAAAGAACATGTCGAAATTCGTATTAATGTACTGTGCCACGAGACTCTTGTGTTTTGTCAAAATCAATCGAAAACAATCGAATGCGTCGGCGGAGACTTCGAAGCTGGATTGATCGATCCATGTGAAGAATTTCCAAAATGTGCCTTTTCCGCTTGCCGGGTGCGAGACGTCGACGTCGGAGTAGATGTCGAGGACTGTGCCGTCGGAGCGGGGTTCGTCGTAGAGGATCACGGCTGCTACGGCGTCGTGTTTTAATGCTTCTTTGAGGATTCCGCCGCAGGCGCTGGCGCTTTCGCGGCGGGAGTAGCCGTTGCAGAGGGCGATTATTATCTCGGGTTGTTTGCGGATTACTTCGCGGAGGGCGTCAGGTTCAGAGTTGTTGTTTGGTGAGGGTATATTGCCGGGTTGGCGGAAGCGGAAGATGTTGGAGATGATGGTTTGGGTGTCTTTGCGAGCTTCGAAGGGGAGGCGTGGGATCGAGGAGACGAGGATGGGGAGGAGTTGTTCGGAGAGGGTGGCCATGACGAGTTGGTAAATTTGGTCGGGTGAGGTTTCGAGTTCGGGGGTGCCTTGGAGAGTGACTTTCATTTGGGCAAGGTTTCGGGCGATGTCCTCCTCCAGCTGCATATGGCTTGTTAGTCGGAGGGGTATGTTTGTTGTGGTCGAGGGGAAGGCTGTACTTTTGTTGTCTGTTGCTGCTGTTGTTGTCCATCTTCCTTGGGCAGCTTCTGGAGCAGGTCCTTGACGGTCTTGACCATGTCCAGCGCCGACCGCTGGCGATTGCGGCCAAAGAGGAAGGCCATGCTGTCCCTCTCCTGCCCGCGGAGCGGTGTGCTGAGGAGGACGAGGAGGCGGTGGTGTTGTTCGAGGGATTGCCTGAGCTGTCACTGTCGGACTAGAGTGCTGTCATTCCAGCGCAGTGCAGCATGTCGGCCGCGCTACTGCAAGGTCCGACGTGTCGATTCCTCCTGCAGTTTGCGGTGGTGGGTGTGAGGCGAGGCCATGAGGCGTGATCAATGAATCGCGTCGCGCCCCGCCTTTGCCCAATCGTGGGCGGCAACGGGCACAGACGGCGACAACAACAACACGAACATGGCGCCAACGCTCAAAACACACAAACAATGGACGTGAGGATGGAGGCTCGGGCGTTGAGATGAGACAAATCCCCCATCAGCGTGTCTCGGCGACGGGCTCGCGTGGGCATCCGCATGCACCTCGTCGCCGATAACGCCCTGCAGCTTCCACCACCCGAGCTCGACCAGAAGTCAGAACTCTGTCGCTCGTGCATCTCGTCGTCGTGCGAAACATTGACACTTCCTTCCAGCATTGCAATCAAAATGACTACGGACGGCAACCACGAATGCTTCTTCCTCACGCGCCTCCCAGGCGAACTCCGCTCTCTCATCTACTCCCACATCCTCACCTTCTCTCGCCCCCTCAAACTCCGCCAAATCGTAGCCGGAAGTCCCAATACCTCCATCCTCCGCACCAGCTCTCAGATCTACTCCGAAGCTCTGCCCGTGTTCTACAGCTGCAATACCATCCTCTGCTCTCGCAATGACTTCTGCCAACACACCGATTCCGAAGACCTCCAAACCCCTCTCCATCGGAAAGATCAGATTCAAAATCTGTTAGTCAAGAACTTTTCTCAATCTATCAAATGCTCCTCGTACTCGGGCGGGAACAACATGTTCCTCGCCGGATGCTGTGAAGTCTGTCAGCCTACCGCAACAGGCTTCCTGCAAGTTCTGACCTCGGGATATGCTTTCCCGAAGCTGAAGTCCGTGGTCATCGATTATCACAATCATGTTGGCGAATTTGGGTACGTCAAAGATGTGATGCGCAGAAACGCGAAGCTCGAAACGTTGCGGTTGCATCGCGAGTTGGTTTGTACCGGCATGGGACAATTCGAGTTGCGCGGAACATCGATTGTGCTCGAAGGTCTGAAAGTGGTCTTTCGTGACGTGGCGATGAATGAGATCTGGAATCAATTCGAGAAGCTGGAGAGCTCGATTTCAATATACGGAATGCCTGATGAAGTGGCGATTCTGCAGAAGATGAGAGAGGATTACGATCGTGATTTACCGGATCAGCTGTATTTTCTTATGTGTGGGAGGAAGTCGATGCTGTGGCCGAGATTGTTTGAGGTGATAGATCGGTTGTGGAAGAATTTGGACAAGGTGAGAGAGGAGCGAGAGGATGAAGCAGTCGCGATGGAGGAGTTGTATGATGAGGTCGTGCGCCTGACGAGAAGATTCTCAAGGAATGAGACCAATCCATTGTTGATGATGCTTAGGACCGAAGAAGGAAGTATGATGGAGGTGATGAGAATGAGTTGATTACTTACGAATTCCTCTGCCGAGAGAGGCTTACTGATACCCGATGCGCCAGTTTCTATAACAAGCTAAAGGTACATCTAGAGCTGGGAAGCTCACGTTTCGTTCGAAGCTCCGACACGATCGCGGTAGGTGGTATCGCTTCTGCACGGATCTACATTCTGTTGTCCATGATCCTGGCAATGCCCGACGACATCACATCTGCATCTGCAAGCCTCTCACCGATCCTCGGGAAGCGAGACCTCAGCTTCGCACATCCAATATGCACCATCTTCCACTCATACATCTGAATTATCTGTTGAGACTCAGTCATGGCGAGTCAAGAAGTGATTGATCTCTTGACGGAATTCCAAAAGCGTGAAGGCGTAGAAGATGTCACACAATCAATGGCGGCCAACGTTGTGGTGAGCTGATATGCAAGTCGTTCTTTAACAAGCACATTGCAATGTTTCTCATGCTATTACTTCGAGACTAACGCAGCAGAATTCCCTAGGCCGCCAGCCTCGCCGCCGCATCCGAAGGCCACCAAGTCGTCAAACTCTACCGCCACGTCTGCAAAGACCTCCCACTAGAAAAACAGAAACTCGTCCAACGCCGCATGAAAGAAGCAATCCTCAAGACTGGTCCCATGTACGGCTCCCCGAAAATGCTCCAAGCCCTCTTCCCACTCTTCAAAGACTTGAAAGACGAGGAAATCGATCACTATGGTCCGAGGTGCGTTTCTGCTCCTCTAGCTTTGATACTCCCAAAGCGTAGCCACAAACAGAAGATAAATCTTACAAAAGATGAATCCTCTAGGCATGAATCCATAAATGGAGACCTCACCTCACCCTCCACCCCCCTCATCCCTCCCCACCGCCACGAACTCGGCCAAACCTTCTTCACCCAACTCTGGGGCTCCCCTTCCTCAAGCTCCGCCAATCAAGCCTTCAACCTCAAATTCCATCCCGATTTACATTTCCTTGTCTCCTTAAACCTCGCCTGGATCGTAGCCGAAGATACAATTTTCTCTTTTGCGGAAACTTGTATGTTGAATTCTGCTACGATGTTTTGTTCGAATAATGCGGAGCAGGCAATGTGGCATGTTAGAGGGATTGTGAGACAGGGAGGGACGAGGGAGCAGGCGCAATGGACGCAGGATTTGGCGTTGAGGGTTGCGGAAATTTGTGAGGTGAGGGTTAAGAGGGTTGTGCCGTTTGAGGAGATTGCGTGGGAGGAGAGGGGGGATCATACGAGGTGATATCAATTCATGCAGGGCTGGGAACTCAGATGGGATGAATACATGTATGTTGAGATCGTAAGGCTGTTCTTTCGACATGACTACGTAACTCATTATCAACGATAGGGTATCAACTTTTCACGTCCTTGCAAACAAGAAGATCATCTAGATCTTCTGATCGGTCTGCTGCTCAACAGCATTCTCAGCCTCTACAGTCTGACCGCGACCCTTGTACTTGGTCGAAGTGATCATGTTGAGCTCATCCTCCTTCTTGTCCAGATCACGCCATGTGAACCAGAAACCCACACCACCGATAAAAGCAAGGATAGCGACGACAGTGTAGTTCCAGATAAGCAGAGGATCTTCCGCCAAACCGACCAAAGCCTGACCAAGAGCAGCGGAGAAAGCGTTTTGCAGGAGATTGACACCCATGACGAGACCTCGCATGTTCTCGGGGGCTTTGCTGAAGGCGTACTCGAGACCGGTGATGGAGGCGAAGACTTCGGAGAAGGCGATCAAGCAGTATGGTACTGCCTGGACCCAGACGTTGATGGGGGCTTTGCAGTCGGCGCTGCTGTTGACTTCGCTATCTGGGCAAGGCGAGAGCTTGTAGATGTAGTACTGGAGCACGGCGGAGCTGACCATGGCGGCGGAGGCCACGAAGAAACCCCATGTGATACGCTTGAGCGGGGTGAAGCGGATGTTTGCCTTGCGGAGAGCTGGGTAGACGAAGTTGTCGATGATTGGGATGAAGATGACCAGAGTCAATGGGTTCAGGTTGTTGATCAAATCGTTTGGAACGCCGTTGAGCTGGAGAGTTGCGGATTGAGAGGTCAGGTTATTCACCATTTGGTTGTAGGCGAGCCAATAGAGTGGCAACCAGAAGAAGACCTTGCAGGCGTTGAAACCACGAGCGACTTGGTCAATCCAGACGTCGTCGACACCCTGAAGGAAAGCTGGTGCGCTGTCTCCGAGCTTGCTGGGCTTGATCTTCTCCCAGAAATCGTCCTTTTGGAAGTTGCGGTAGGTCTGAGCTGGGTTGGCAGACCAGCAGCCCTTGCTAGCGAGACGTAGAGCCTTGAAAGCCTTGGACAGCACAGACTCGGTAGGTGGGCTCAGAACATAGTGTTTCTTGCAGAAGATCAGAACGATCGGGGCGAAGAAGAACATGAAGGTTGGCAGTGCGTAGGAAAGCCAGAATCCGACGTATTTCTCAGCGTAGACCATTCCAATACCACCAACGAGGGATCCAGCGTTGATCATCATGTAGAAGTACAGGAAGACGCGGGAGTAAGTGACCTGGGGGTCAACAACAACGCGTTCTCCAGTCTTTTCGATGGTCTTGACGATTGGTCGGGTCTGTGGAATCTGCTCAGCCAAGAGAGGCGAGATGTTGGACTTGAAACCTCCTGTTCCAATTCCCATGATCACCAGACCGATTGCAAAACAACCGAGAGCTCCACTTGGGTTGTCCATGACAGTTGGGATCGAGGAGACGATGAGAATGGTGTGTCCGATGATTGCAGCGAGGATGGACCACTGGATGGTCATGTAGCGTCCGAGATAGGTATCGGCAATGTAGCCACCAACGAGAGGCATAAAGTAGGCCCAGAACTGGTTGAAGGTCGTCAAACCAGTCGCAGCACGCTGATCTTGTCCAAGTCCACCAGCTTGCTTGCATGCATCGACACTCCAGCCTGGCGCATTGTAGCAGAGCGGGCTCTCAACGACAGCTCCGGTTCGCGAGCCGAACGGACGTGGCTGTTGAATGAAGTTGACGAAGACTGCCGTGGTACCATAGTACGAGAAACGCCTAATTGAAAGTTAGTAAATGCATTTCCAGGAAAGTCGCCCAAAAGACCTACTCGCAGAATTCCACGAATGTCACTGTCCATGCCGTCCACGGAATGCTGCCACTGACACGGCGCAGCGTCTTCATCTCCGCCATCGTGGGCTCCTCGCCATCTGGAGTAACGCGGTCGTCATCGGACGCCGAGTGCGAATCGTACTCCTTCATGCCGTACAGAGCTTCCTTCTGAGTCGCCGAGACGACACTAGGCTGGCGAGCCTGTGCCATCACATGCATGTCCTGATCCAGAGGGGCACTCATGGTTGCTGATGTCCTCACCGGAGGAGGTACAGGAAGTCGAAATTGTATCCCTGTTATATCAGCCTCGGCGCCACACAGGCTTTTGTCGTTGGCAAACCACCGAAGCTAGAGTGTGTAGGAAAAAAATCACCAAAGACGTGCTGCAGGCGCGCGCTCACGACATTCATATAGCTCCACACCAACACCCACTTGCTCGGCTACACTTCAGCGATCAGCGCCCAGGATAGCAATTCATGGACACTTCCAGCACGCGCGTGGCACGCGACCTTATCGCATCAGACCTCATTGGGCCCATGGTGTGCAGCTCCATTTCGGGGCGGCCAGAGAATCTCTGCTACGGGCACAGGATCTCCTGCATGCTACCGTAGTATCGATTGCCACCTTGCACGAACAGGGCCAAGACGGCGCTCACGCCAACAAGGGAAGGAGATGTTTTTCGATAGCACCACAAGCTCATTGAGAACCGCCCGCCCAGTCTTTGCCTAGCCCCTAGGCCCTTGGCTCTATGCAAGTCCGAAAGTATGAGAGATAGCGACTCGGATTCTGCGCTTCGCAACGGGCTTCGACGAACGGTCCGGGGTAATCAGGCACGCATGAGCGCGGCTCAAGAGCGCGTTATCTGCATGCCATCGAGGTTCAGGAGTCGTGGGAGGATCGTGGTTGAAGGTGAAGTCGCGATGGGAAATCCTTCTCCTTCTCGAAGCCGGTTCGCAGGCTTGGCAGCAAGACCACTCTCCGAGGTACCGACAACTTACCCGCGATCGTCTGTTCAATGTCTCTCGTGTTTATCGCGAATACTTCCCCCAATTGGCTCTTGGAAGGCAGGGGAATGGAATCAACATGGTTTCAGTGTCCAGCCCCCAGCCTGTTGAGAACGCTGGTTGTTCTGGCATGGTCTCAAATGACAACGTGTTCGTCCAGTAACACCTCAACCAGAACACAACACACTGCAGCAGCACAGAACAGCGCAACTGTGGCGCCGCGGCGATCTCCTACACCCTGCCGAGACTTGCAGCAAATCCTATGCGGCACAGAGGAAGTATCAACAGGCACTGTCGGTCTTGGCTAGCCAGCAATGCCATTCCCTTACGTATCAGAGAGTTTCCATTTACGAGCGATGGATCTTATCTCAGACACCAAACCCCAGAGCTATCTCCAAGGCTATCTTCAAGCGCAGTCTTTGGCAAGTCTTGCTCCTACTTCTTAGTCCTCGAACAAGATGCGCAGCCTTGCTTGAGAAAGAGGCACTCTTGGTCACATGCAAGAAGAGTTCGAAGAAACACTTGGCTGCGGAACTGGCAAGGAAGAGTCGCGCCACGCTTTGCGCCAGTGCGCTCATAGCGTAGAGTCAAGCATTGTGGGCACTCTCTTCCTCACGCCACGACTTTTTATCACCTTCCTCTTTCGTGCTTCTGCGATGGAGTACCTTGGACTTCACCTGTGTTGGTTTTGCAAAGGCGCGAAGGAGCGTGATACAAAGGCATGATTCGGGAGGGCCAAGACTGCAATCCACGACCGCTATTCCTTCCATCCTTTGAACTCGTAAAACCGAGCGCCAAGCGATTGATCGCGACGGATGCAGTGTGAAGTCCGCGGTCGATTGCTGCTGTCCCACACTTCATCTCAGAGATAACGATGCGAGTGGCAAAGTGCACGCTCTTTGAAAATAATAATGTGCTCAGCAGATCTATCAGCCCTCAACATATCAACCACGAATCTTTCCTCTCCACTCCCTGGGAGGCACCACAGTACTAGCAGCTACTGTAGCAGGCATTCCACGTGTGAGAATGCTTGGTGGAGGCAGTGTCCACATATCAGTCCCACTTTCGAGACGGATCGAAGTACTACATATGCAAATGCACATGTCGATAAACAAGCCGCCAAGCACGTGCTTGTGCTTAAGGCAAATCTAGCATAGATGAATTGCGCTTCTTTGGAAAGAGCTCCACCAACGGTGCGCTTCTTTCGGTGTGAGCGGCACAACATGACTAAAAGCACATCCTACGTGTAACGCAATCATCGAGCACATCCGTTGAGGAAAACCTGAGACACACAGCTCGACATCGCCATATAGGACCTGAATGCGAACATGAAATTCGATCATCGGCATAGTAACTAGTCTCTAGGAGGGTTGACTTTAATAGCAATGATGCACTGCCTACTACAACCAATACAGTATTCCATCACGAGCGAAATTCAATATGTTCGACCGCGTATTGTTTAGTATGTACAGCACCTGATCCGGAGAATGCAATCGCCATTGGCAGCCACGTACGAACTTGTACACCCGTAACCAAACTGAGACTCCGTTTCGCATTTGCTTGCGCAATTTCCAAACAAACCAACGTTCTCCTCTCGTGGACGGCAAGGCGTGCCTTGATCTGCGGCGCCTTCGAGAGCACAAGTTTCCACCGGAGGTGGAGCAATAGTGGTGGTGGTTGTTGTCTAGAAGTAGTCAGTATTAAGCAATTTTTCTGGTTACGATTGAATTTATGTGCTCACAGTTGTCGTCGTTGTCGTTGTAGTTGTCGTTGTTGTGTCTTCCAGCAGTATTAGTGCCTCTCGCTCGCTTTCATGGGCTTCTCATACCTGTCCGGCACATCACTAACCCCTGCAGCATTTGATCACGAGGATACATTGGCCGTTGCCGTTGACATACGAACTAGTGCACCCCTGGCCAAAATTGCTGTTGAGCTCGCAAGCCCGTCCACAGTCTCCTGTTGGGCCCACATTGTCCTCTCGCGGATTACAGGGCTGGCCTTGACTGTTTCCACGTGAGCAAGTTTCTGCTGGAGGTGGAGCGGAAGTGGTAGTGCTCGAGGTGTAGAACAAGTTAGTAAGAAGCCAGTGTTTGCTTAAGAATGGTCTGATGCACATACAGTTGTGGTTGTTGTCGTGGTAGTAGTAGGAGGAGTGGCGGTTGTGGTTGTTGTGGTTGAGGTGGTCTGTATCTGGTTAAAGACTATCAAAACGAACGTTCGTGGATACTCCCTGTGGAGGTCGTGGTAGTCGTGCTGCTTGAAGTTGTCGTCGTTGACGTAGTGCTTGAGCTCGACCTCCCGGGGTATCCGTTGTTCGGACAGACAAGACTGATGGTGTAGTCACACGGGCTGAAGCCGCGCCCATTGATCTTACTCTTCTGATAACAATAGCCGTTCGTGGTCTTGTACTGCGCAGTGGCACATTTGGAGTTCGCAGCACAGAGAGCAGCGCAGGCGGCATAGCTGCCGACGTATTGTCCATTGTCGAGATTGTTGCCTGGGCTATCGGTGTTGCACTTTACGTTGCAGCCGCCGACCTTGAGATTAGAGGTACAGCCTTTGCCTTTGTCGTAGGTAGTGGTGCCCTTGACTACGCTCAGTTGGTTCTGCGATTTCTTCTTATAGCAGTAACCATTAGAGTACTGAGCGGTGACACAAGACTTGTCGTTGGCACAAGCTTTGCCACACTCTGGGGCACTGATTCGCAAAGGAGAACCAATGTTGTTTCCTAGCGTTGCTATCAGTATGTAAAGCTGCAGTGCGACAAGTTCCTGCGAGGAAACCCACCGGCTCGGTCTGCGTCGCACTGAATGGTGAACTCTTGACCACCTATCTTCAATACCTGGGCCCGACAATCACCACGCTTTGCGAGCTGCTTCGGCTGGACGGCCGCAAAGGTCGTCGAGGACAGAAGTCCCACAATAGTGACTTGTGACCACAGCATGTTGCCTAAGGTTCAGTTCTGGGGATGGACGGTGTACTGCGAAAGGCCCAGTGAAATCTGCAGGGAGTCAGTGGAACCGAAATATGTATACCACCACGCGTCCTGTCTCGTCAGCCAGCCACATTCGCTTCCTGTTCATTAGTATCAAGCCACAGAGCTCAGCTGATCGAGAGAGTTCCGTGCTTGTTCTCCAGAGACATGCCGCCTTGGGATTGACTCGGTTGCTACTGCATGTTCCTGAATGTCCTGATGACAGTCCCTGCACGCGAAGGAGTGCCCAATAGCCTACATTGAAGCGCAAGACACAATCGAAGCAGATAGCATGTAAGATTGGTGTTCTTGTTGTCTGCACCGCAAGCAGGCAATGTGTACTTGCGTCTTGAGAGAGTCTCGCCTTCAGCCTTCACGAGCGCTAGGCAATCAGGCCGAAGTTTGGCACACGGCACGTTGGCGCATTTCTAGATGCTCGATGGACTTTCACAAGCTGACTCGTGACATAGGTAGATGGTGAGCTAGGTGACGCTCCGAGTCTTCATACTGTGCATGTGTGCAGAGCTCTCCAGGCATGGGTGCTGGTGTAGACTGCTTGGTTGCTCTTGCAGGACAGCGACCGGGAATCCATGTTGCCTTTCTGGTGTCTTCGTCGTCGCCGCGAAGGTTTGGTCGCATACGCCTCCTAATCTCATGACCGACTCTTCAGCATCTTCTTTCAGTTAGTCTCGCGAATCGTCCGTCTAGTATAGGTCCAGATTGAGGAGAGAGTTCAAGTCTGAAGCCACGCTCTCCGTCCAAGCTCGGATTCACCACGTGAGCGGAACGTGAGACGGGGCGAACCTTCCCCCCGTTTCCTGCCAAAAAGCACGGTGACCATGATCAGAAGTGCGACTCTGCGAACACGGTCAACCATCATCCGCTGTAGCGAGGTCAACATGCCGGCATGCGCGACATCACGACATCAACGTCGCCCATTCAACAGAGCCTCCTGTTCACGCTGCCGCACAATTTCACAGTACAGATCGTGATTTGTCGGCCGTCCGATTCCCGAGGCAAGACGAAACGCGTAGATGTGGGCCTGCATAGCATCATAGCAGCTCTGTCTAGTGCTTGCATCTTCGACTCGAGGAGCTTCTGTCAGAATCTATGAAGTGGGCAAAGGATAAGTACATTTGTCAGCGTTCTCATTCTACTCCTCATATTAGCTGCTTCGGGACTATCTTCTAACAACACAGCATTAAACGAAATATTGTTGAAGATGAAGGAAGCAATTATCCACGCAGGCCCAAAGGTCGAGATCAAGGACTCGCCAATTCCAAAGCCGGGGCCACACCAAGTTGTGACGAAGATCATCTACAGTGGTAGCAATCCTAAGGACTGGTAGGTTGAAAGTCCTCCGCTATACGATATGCTTCTTTACTAATCCTCCGATCAGGAAGGTGCCAGAATGGCTCAAAGATGTCCCGGCGATGAACCAGGGAGATGACATTAGTGGCATTGTACACGAAGTAGGAGAAGGAGTGACAGAATTCCGAAAAGGTGACAGAGTGGCCGCATTCCACCAGATGCTACAACCCGGCGGCAGCTATGCAGAGTACGGAATGAGCTGGGACCATACCACATTTTTCTTGCCAGAGAAGACCAGCTTTGAAGGTATGGCAGGATACATATGTCTGTTGCATTACCAGCTGACTTGCGGAAACAGAGGGCGCTGCCATTCCTCTCGCAGCTTTGACCGCAGCTGTTGGATTGTTCGCCAACGACAGACTCAATCTCCCACAACCTACCGCTCCCGCGACCCAGCCCATTCCACTCGTCGTCTACGGAGGCTCTTCTGCAGTTGGCTCCTACGTCCTCCAGTTCGCCCAGAAAGCCAACATTCACCCATTGATCGTGGTAGCTGGTCGAGCGCAAGAGCACGTAGAAAAGTTGATCGATCGCTCGAAGGGTGATACAATCATCGACTACCGCAAAGGTGACGAGGCTGTATCGCAAGGTATCAAAGATGCGTTGAAGGGAGCGAAGCTGGAGTACGCCTATGATGCGGTGTCGGAGAAGAACAGCTACCAGAACATTTGCAAGGTGCTCGAGCCACATGGAAAGATCACCTTGGTGTTGCCTGGTAAGGAATATCCTGAGATTCCGGACACTGTGAAACAGAGCACGACAAGCGTCGGTGACGTCCACAGCAGCTTGAAGGATTTGGGTTTCGTGTATTCGAGGTTGATCACAAGAGGACTTGAAGAGGGTTGGATTAAGGCTCAGCCGCAAGAGGTCATTCCTGGTGGTTTGGGAGGTGTTCAGAAGGCACTTGAGCAACTCAAAGATGGAACTGCGAGTGCTGTGAAGTATATCTTCAAGATTGAGGATACGGAGGGTGCTGGGAAGGATTAGCTTGTCAGCAGCACCCAGTAGTTTTATTCAGAAAATGATTCTGTCATTTGATCTCGATCGTATGTCCGATGTCCTGGTCTTAGATTGAACAGCGCCTGTACGAAACTGCGGACGAGTCAGTTCCCAGTATGCCATAAGTCGAGGACAAATATCAGTTTAGACTTATGGCCTTGTTATGAGAACGATGATAACGGCGTGTGTGATTGTCGCACTTCGATCTCAAGAAACGCGTTCAATTCATTGGATAATATAGTCAGAATGCATATGCGACAACACATCGTTCAAACGGATGCTTTCGCCGCCGCCAGGCATTCTGAGATTTTGGCCCATGACACCAAAAAGACGAACTCCTCTGCACACAACATGTCACTTGCAGGCATGAGACACTTCATCCGCACAAGAAGAACATGAGTGGAATGCTGAGCAGCTGTTGTGATGGGGGAAACCAAAAAGCATACCGCCAAAGCCAAAAAAGTGAGGGGAAAAGTTTCACCTCACCACCTCACCTTCGAACCACCCCGAACGACCAACACAAATCACCAAGCACAAAAAGAACAGCAAAAGCAAAAGAATATTGTCTCCCGACGCGGGATCGAACCGCGGGCCTCAAGATGACAGGTTGTTGTCCATTACAGTCTTGCGCTCTTCCAGCTGAGCTATCGAGAGTGGCAGTGCTGAGCACTGGATAGCTGTGTGGCATGCAGGGGTAAAATTTGGTAAACAATATGACGATCAATTCTTGAAATGCGAATACACGGATGCGGCTAGGAATGTTCACCGTCTGGGCTTGCTATTGTTCTTCTGGACTCCATGGAATCCTTCGAGGGACTCAGACGATCCCCACTTTATGTTCAACCAGCAGCACCACATACGGGCCGTCGAAGACGTTCTTTGAGATCTTTCCGTGGCTCTGTGAATTTCAGGCAGATTTGACAGCAGCAGAGTATCCCGACGAAAAATTATGCAAAGTGGAAAAGTGACAAACTGACAGTTTTCTGCTCAGAATTCTTGCCATCAGTTACACACCTCACATAGCCTCTCCTATAGTTTCCTTCCCTACACATTCCACAATGGTCTCAACAATCTCAACTTCCTGCACCTCCGACTGCCCCAGAACTGCATTCTCGAGATAAAACATATCGTTTGCATCTTTCGGCGGCTTCAGCTCGAACAGTCTGTCCATCGACTCGAGTGGAACCGACTTTGTCTCAGGAATGACAAGCCAGGCGAATCCGATGCTGATTAGCATGACAGACGCAAAGAAGAAAAAGACACCATATCCGCTTTTACCCATATGTGAAAACATGTTTGGTGTGAAACGGGACAACAAGAAGCTCCAGAACCAATACTGGAAGGCTGCATTGGTTTGGCCGAGTGGACGGGTGTTCATGCTGAAGATTTCGGAGTTGATGATCCAGGGTGTACCGCTCCATGATAACGAGAAGAGGACAGTCCAGATGTAGAAGAAGCAGATGGCCATGATGCTTCCAGTGTTGTGGGCCCCGGTTGTACTGTCAGCTGAAGAGTGTTTCTGCGTGAAGATGTGGACACCGATGATCCACATTGATATGCTGCAGCCAGCTGCACCGAGCAGTAACAGCAGCCGTCGACCAAGACGATCAACCAGGAAAGCCATCCAAAGGAGGGCAGCGATCACTTTGACAATGCCAAAGGTGCCTGTCGCCAACAATGCATTCTCGGATCCTGTAATACCAATAGCCTGGAACAACTTGGGCGAGTAGTAAGCAATGGCGTTCGCGCCAGTTCCATGTTGCAGCATAAAAAGAAGCGCCCCAAGCAGCAATCTCCACTGCAGCGATTTGTGCATGGCGACTGCTCTGAAGGGATGCCAGAAACTCTCAGCGAGGCCCTCGCGAATAATTGCGTACTCTATCATGGCAACCTCCTCCAGCATATATGAATCATCCACAGGGAGCTGTCGGAACCCTTCGAGGTTCCTGATCGCATGTTCTCTGCATCCTGTCTTGCTGAAAAGCCATCGTGGTGACTCTTCTAGCCAGAAAAATGCGCCGAGGAAGAGAAGGACTGCTGGGATGAGTTGCACTCCGAATGGTACCAGCCATTGCTTGTGAGAGGGCTGCAGCGTCTGAGACACTGCGTAGTTGATCCTTCGCAAGCACAACGGTTAGCTCTTGCTTGCAGACGAAGTTTTAGTGAAGCGTACCAGAATCCAGCAACACTGCCAATCTGCCAGAATAATTCAAACATTCCACAGATCCGACCTCGAATAGCTGGAGGAGAAATCTCTGAAAGGTAAATCGGAGTGACCATGGAGCATGCTCCGGCCCCAATCCCAGTGAACGTGCGTCCCGCGAAAATGAGGGTCAAGCCTCGAGCATGATTTGCCCCAAGCGTGAGTCCAGAGCCCAGCATGAGGAGGATGGAAAACCAGACTAAGCTCAATCTACGGCCGAGATAATGAGCTGCTGGATAGGCTGCGAGCGACCCTACCATCGCTCCGACTTGAAAGGCTGTGACGATGTTCTCTTCGACGAAAGCCAGATGTGATTCTGTCATTTTGTCAAAGTCGAATTCTCGCGTGAATGATGGCGTCGCGAATGATGTCCCTGGAATTTACATGTGTTATCCCGTAGATCAAGTAAGGTAAGAAGATTATTGAGCGAGTATACTCACCAATGAACGCCGAATCATATCCAACAACGAGCGCAGCAAACGATGCTACCACAGCAGAAGCATAAAGTCGCCAATTGTGAACTGCCCCCGGCGTATGTCGATCTTCTACCAATGCGAAGAAGCTGTTCCTTGTATGCCCGGCTTGGATCGATGCATGTCTGAACTGCCATAGTGGAACGGAGAAGAGGTGCAGTGGCCTTCCTGCATAGTACCGCTTGTATAGTCTTGATCTTGACATTGTTGTTTGTCTGCTAAGGTGCAGGGAAGACTGAACTGCCAGAGGCCACGGGTACGTCCATTTGAGCGCGAATTTAGACTTTGATGAGATTTTCTGTACTCCGCGCAGCGAACTGCCTTGTTCTTGTGCTGGTGTGTATCAGGCAGGACCTTGTTCGTTGCCAAGCTTCTGTGCTTTCTCTCAAAGGGGAGGATAGCACCCACAGCTGACTGGCCATCTCCTGTGATGGTCAGTGACATGGGAATTGCAAAGAAACTTGCATTGTTTCGGCGGAAAGTGCAAAATGTGCGATAGAAGGAAGACTGAGCCAATCTTGAGCAACTGCGGAGGTGAGTATTCTGATGCTGTACATCCCGTGTCAACCTCGACCCGAGACAGGATCTAATGCTCTGCGCAATAAAGGCTTCGCAGTGCTCGCGGCGTGATAGTTCTGACATCGAAAATGCTGTGTCGTTCATATCCTACGTGTCCGGCCTGCTGTGCCCAATTAAGCTGTAAATGTTTGTCGTTGCTGCGAGTATGTCTACATCCCAACTCCGTGCGCCCTCGTGATCCTTTTCTTTTTGCTTCTCCAGCGTCTACGCGCCTTGTCTTGCCTTCTCAGCACATATCAGCGCAATAATCCGGCTCAACTCCGCACTCTGCGCCGCGTGCTCTTTCACCATCTTCTCGTCAACGCCCTCGCTCTTCGACAGATCCGCCGTAGTCTTGAGCATTCTGTTCTGCAGCTGCAGCATCTTCTGCAGTGTGTTGTCGAGGAAGGGGGCTGAGAAGGCCACAGAGTCGGCGGCGCTGTTGTTGAGTCTCATCTCCAGCTTCCGTGGCCTCCTCTTCTCCTGCTCGACGGGTTCCGGGTCTGCTTCGGAAGGTTTAGGTCTGGTTCAAATATTAGTTGGAACTCTATTGAGCAGGCGCCACTGTGCCTTCTACACTTTGACTTGCAACTCACCTCTCGACAAACGTGATGCTCTCGGCCATCTCTGCGACACGGTTTGCGATCCTGCTGGCCATGATGGCGTATGCTGAAGTCACGCCTCCCCCGCTCGCTGGATTCTCGCCCGCTACAGATGCTGCCTTGTTCTGCGTATGAGCTGCGGGCTTGTGGGCGCTGCTGGGCGGCGCTCTCTTGGCTGCTGTGGCCGTTGTGCTCTTCTTCACTGGCGCAGCACGAGGGGCGGCGGGTTTTCGAGGCGCGCCGTTGAGCTGTGTCTTGGTGGTCGTCTGCACTTGGGTCGCCATTTTGTCGATGATGGTACTACTGACAATCGAGTCTGGAGCCGCTAACTGCTTGATCTAGACCTTTGAAGATATCCGAAGTTGACGAACGATTCCAGGCACGCGACTATCGCAACAATGATGCAGCAGGAGAGTCAATACGATCTGTGTCGCCCATCTAGCCACTGCTTCAAGGCGCGGCTGGCATGCCAGGATTATTGCTCCATAAACGCCACTGGAAGTGTACGTCAGAGCGGAGCAGCTCTCCAAAGGAAAACCGGTGCATGAAACAGGGATGGCAGCGCAGCACACTGCAAATGGTCGTCCCTTGTGGCTAGAAGCTGTGGTTCTGCATGGTTGTTGCACAGCATGGCGACTGCATCGCTTAGGACATCTGTGGCGCGTAGCAGTGACCGGCGCTGTGCGGCAATACGACTTGTTCAAGAGCTTCACGAAAATGGACTGAGCCAGACTACACCTCACCATGGCATCGAATAAGACGAAAGAGGTCACCCAGGCTGGCCTCAGTCTGCGATCTGGAGATGCCAACCCAAATCCAATACGCCATGGCAGTATGGGCCAGGCAGAGCGTGCCTTCTCAGCAGCCTCAACTTTCATGTCTGGCGTCATGGCCATATCTGCATCTCAATTCATTGGTGCACCGCTCAAGTTGATCGATGCCAAATTCTACGAAGCTTACATGGCGTGGACGAAAGAGTCTTTCGCCGTGCTGATGACAACCATCACACAATGGTGGGCTCCTACTGTGGTGAGAGTCAGTGGAGATGCGAGCATGAAAGGGCAGCTCTTTCAGATGGACGATGGGACGCTGAAATGCAACTTCCCGCATAGACTCATTCTCATGGGCAATCATCAGTTGTACACCGACTGGCTGTACTTGTGGTGGATAGCGTACACGAATAAAATGCATGGCCGCATATACATCATCTTGAAGGAAAGTCTCAAGCATGTCCCTATCATCGGCTGGGGCATGCAATTCTACAACTTCATCTTCTTGAGTCGAAAGTGGGAACAGGATCGATACAAGTTCAAGCAGCATCTCGACCACCTCAAGAATCCCAAGGACCCAATGTGGCTACTCATCTTTCCGGAAGGCACGAACCTGTCGGATGTAACGCGACAAAAGTCAGCAAAGTGGGCAGAAAAGACTGGAGTACCGGACATGAAACATCAGCTCTTGCCTCGATCTACTGGACTTCAATTCTGCTTGCAAGAACTTCGTAGTTCAACGAACTGGTTGTACGATTGCACAATAGCCTACGAAGGCGTTCCAAAAGGCATGTATGGACAGGACATATACACGCTGAAATCGTCGCTGTTTGAGGGTCGGCCACCAAAGTCAGTCAACATGTACTTTCGCCGGTTCAAGATTGCCGATATACCGTACCAGGACGACGAGGCTTTCTCGAGATGGCTTGTCAATCGATGGCGCGAGAAAGATTACATGCTTGACTACTTCTACAAGTTCGGCAACTTTCCAGCTGAAGATCCGGCAAAGGCTATGCTCGCAGTCGAAGGCAAGCGGAAACCAAATCCAGCGAAGTCAATCTCAACCTCGGTGAAGGGCGGAGGCTGGGACGAATTTTTGAGCATATTCGGTCCTATCACAACTGCTGCCGGTGCCATGTCGAGCATAGATATGACCGATCCCCTCAACTTCGATGAGATGATGAGAAAAGTGGCACAGTCACAACAATTCAACTTGCTGAGCATTGGCAAAGCTCCAAAAGGACCAGCGCAGCAGGAGGCGATTCGAAAGGCGCTGCTTGCTGCCAACAAAAACAACCCACTGCCAAATGCCGTGCTTGACAGATTGCTGAAATCACCGCCAAAGACCCAAGCAGAAATGACACAGACGCTAAAGCAGTCTGGTTCTCCAGAAATCGCAAAGAAAGCTGGCAAAGCACCTGTGGCAAACAGCGCCTTATCAGACACGCAAAAGAAGACAATAGCAACGACAGCACAGCAGAATAGCACACCCAACGAGGCGCTGAGAAAAGACATGCCACTGGTAAACATGCAGAGTGCTATCACCCGACCCGTTACAACTATGGCTGTGCACGCTGCTGGCAATCAGCTGAAGAATATGGCTGCACAGCGAGCGAAATCCAAAGGAGCTGCTTTGCCAGGGCAAGCTGCTGCCGCTCTTCCCAAGACTGCGACCAAGACCCCGAACGGTACTAGCAAAGCGCCTGTTGCCGCGACGAAACCTGGAGGCCCGACAAAGGCAGCTTCCGCGACTGCTGCTCTGGCAAAGCTCCCAGTAACGAATGCGTCAGCCCCTAAGAAGGCGGCCTCAGTCCAGGGAGCCCCGAAAGTCGTCGAGAGACGTCCGTCCACATCAAATGCCGCCATTGCTGCGGCGATGAGAAAGCAAGCAGCATCGAAGAAGCACAAACCTATCGGTACGCAGAAGTATGTGAACGGCAAAGCTGTAGCCACGTAGCTATTGGGACTCTGACGCAAGGTAAATTGATCAAGTATGTATTTCTATTGCCGGCGATTCGGCGCCAAAGTTGCCAGTAGGAGGTATTGCAAGCTGAGGTTCAGCTTCACCTTGGCAAAAGCGACCATCAAACTCAAAAGCACGGAGTCACGCATGCTGAAGAGTCGCATGCCATTCGTATGCAACCGGTGGCAATGAACTTGAAGGATTCGCCGTGTGCATTCGCAAGGATCATGATGATCGAGATGTGGCGGTGCGTTCCACAAGCATTCCCACAAACGACCACAAGAAATACGTCATCTCAATGCAAGTCGTCGCGTGAAACCTGACTTGATGTTACACTATGGCACCCGTGATCGAAGGATAACCGCACGTCGGTTCATGGATCACGAAACCCGGTAATCGCTGTGGCAAAGGTAGGTCATTGCTGGTCAAATGTTGTGCACTTCGAATGTCTCTACCACATCAATTCATTGCTAGAGATTATTCTGAACTGCTTAAACTTAACGCTTCGAGATCATGGAATGGGCAAAGAACTGGGTCACTGATAAGCTTGCTGGCTATGCAGCAACCGGTATACAAGCTGGAGGAAATTTGGCCGGCAACGCTGTCGGCGGCGTAGGGACTTTGATTGAGAACTCCGGCCGTTCGGTGGGGCAGAGTGCGAATGGTCCGTTTCCCTATCGCGAGTTCTGGCTACTGATATCTGACTTTAGATATTTCAGGCGCTGTTTCCGGCGTTGGCAACTACATCAATGGCTATGGCGACTCTGTCAGGAATTCCATGGCAGCTGATGGACCAGTCAGTGCGGGAGGAGCGGGTGCGAAGAAGACGGCTGTACAGCCGAGCACTGCTGTCAAGAGGACCGCGAATGGGACAACGAAAGCTGCGAGCTCTGCCATTGGAGGTGTGAAGGAAAACGTGCCGAGTACATCAAAGGCACTTCCTGCTGCTAAACCTCCTTCGAAACCACCGACCGCCACGAACCGCGTTCTTCCAACGAAAAAACCGGTCCCTCCGACAGCGACGACTAGAACATCGCCAGCCCAAACCGCTCCCAATAGATCTAGTGCGCCCGGCGCGAAGACGGCCCCACGACCAGCTATATCTACCGCACAAAGCGAGCGAACACCTGATGGTAAGGTCAAGATCTCGCCAGTCAGCCGCCCACAGCCTGTCAAAGCTGCGCCAGCCAACAGCGGGCCTGTAAGAGCACCTGCACCGACAGCTTCCTCTCGCCCAGCACCAGTCAGAGCACCCATCTCGACAGGCCAAGGCGCCCGAACAAGCGATGGCAAGATCAAAATCTCACCGGAGAGTCGTCCACGACCTGTCAAAGTTTGATCGAAAGAAAGAACACAAAATTGGAACAAGAAGGATAGCCAAAATTCATGTACAATGCATTTCAACAGCACAATCTGTGTACGACTAGCACGACCCAAGAATACAAAATCAAAACATACCCAAAGAAAGCAAGACTGCCAATTTCTCAATTCTCCCCACGCCACCACACCTGCCAATACACCACGCCCCCAATCACAACCCCTACTGTACTAGCAGCAACCGCTATCGTCCCAAACCCATCTGCGAGAACTGGTCAGCTACTATTGGTCCCTGTTAGCTGATCTTGAGCTTCAAGCGTACTGTTGGTAAGCAAGTCGCGTTCTACCATGGATCAAGGTGATGGAAGAACCACTCACAATCGAGTCTGCCTCGAGGGCGAATGTTTGCGTTGAATGTGTGGTCCGGATGCGACGTTCGGTGATGGCGGCGACGTGGAGGGTTTGAGGCTGATGGTGAGGAGGTGGAGGAGGTTGGTCCTTTGGGGAAGGGTCTGGGTCCTAGGTAGGGCTCTGCGGAGGGGTTGAGCGGTTGCTGGAAGTTGGTATGCGATGGAGTATCGATGTTGAGCTGGTTTTGAGTGGCAAGGCTTTTATCTTGCCGAATAGCTTTGACATCTTTCTCCAAACGCAGAAATTGAGCTTGCAAGTCTTTCCGATCTTTCTCTGCCGCCTCAAATTTCTCGGCATACATCGCTTGGATTTTCGATACAGTCTCTCCAAGGTGCTGCATCCCCATCGCAAGTTGCTCAATCGAGTTTCCCAACATTTCCAATGTTTTCTCGCTCTCCTTAACTTTCTTTTCTCCTGAGCTCTGCATGTCATCGACTTTCTTCACCACGGTCTCCATCTGCAACATCAATTTCTCCACTCTTTCCTCCTCACTCATGGCTCTTACTGTCATCTCGAGGCGCAAAGTCTCCAAATCATCCTTCCATTCTTGCTTCTTCTCTTCTGCCTGCCTGGCATCGCGTTCTTCTTGTTGATTACGGAGAGCGTAGTATTGTGCTTGGAAGAGATCACGCTCTTCTTGAATCTGTGCCTGGGCTTCCAGAAGAGATGTTTGCATTGTTGAGATCTCAGAGCGCTGACTGGAAAGACTTGATAGGATGGTGGCCAGATCGGTCTGTTCTGATGAAGTCTCGGCACCGCCGCTCTTGAGCTGTTTGGTCTGGCGTTGACTAGATGCACTTGTTGAAGCGGGTTCTTTTGTTTTGGCGTTGGACTTCTGATCGTCTGTCGACGAATGATGGTGTTTCGAAGTTTCGACACTTTTGCCTGGCTGGACGCCATTCTGCTGTTCGGAAGGAGTGTCTTCGTCGACCATAATCCATTCGACATCAGCTTTGGTATGTTTGGGCGACGACTGGCGGAGAGGGCTTGTTGCCCGAGACTTGGAGAAATAGAACATGTTGATAGACGAGCGGTCGAGCAACTGAAAATGTTGTAATGATGGGTTAGCCCTGAGGTCAGAATGTGATGCCTTATCTAGTAAACCTAATCGCACTCGACACTTTGGTGAAGACGGTTGCATTGACAAACGGCTGCTGTTGTCTTTGCGTGGGCTCGTGAGCAAACACGTTGAAGCACTTGTGAATCGACGCAGACTCGGGCTCGAGCTGGTGCGGCTATGTATCGAAATATGGAAATATGGAATGGTAGGTATCTTGATGGTTTGTGGAGGTTCCGTGATCGAGTAGCAGTCGTTTGATTGCAGCTGCTGTGAAGACGTGGCAGCTATGTCTATACTGGACCGGAGCACTGGCGCAATGATTAACATGTCACTGCAAGTTGCGACCGCAATCTTCAGAGCAGCCTACCCCCTTGGAGCCGCACCTGCCGCGCTTATAACACTCGATTGCGTGCACTTTGTAGCTTGATGTCGCATAGGGTAGCTGAGTGGCACTTATATTGTGCGCAGCACCTCAAGATGTCTCCGATTCAAGCGGGTCTGATCGTTCACTAAACAAACTCATATGCAAATGCCAGGCAGACTTGAAGTGGGTGTAGGCTCATGAGCGTTTTGTAATCAATAGCATGGCAGTACAGAGTCGATTGATCAACGCCAAAGTATGACAACGTCAACGAAGCATCAGTCCTCGTGCAAGCTCGCCCAAGGTGTGAATCCCTGCGTACCAGCATCGCCAATGTGATCTGGGCACTTAGTTCTGTCACCCTTTGCGTACATCTGGCACTTCTCGCACTTCTCATCAGGGTATAAGTTCGCCGTCTCGATGACAGATCCGAATGGCAGAGCTGTCAGAAGGACGGGACTGACCAGGCCCGCAAACTCGGACTCAAAGTCACAGCGTAGATGTCTGGGCTGCGGGTTCGACAGACTCGGATCCTGGAAGTTGATGAGCGGCAAGTGCGCCGTGTCGGCAGAAGGGCTTCTCATGGAGACGGCGAAATTTACGGTCTGGGTAACGACTCTAACGGAGTGCTCTGGTGTGTTCCCGATGCGTGGGCCGTGAAGATCGGCTGATTCGCAAGTGGTTGCTCGAGCACTGTCTTGTCGAGTGGCCGGCTGGACAGGTTTGCCGTGAGCAGCGCCGGCGCCGGCGTGAGTGCGCTGCATCATGCCCGGATCAAACGCGCTTTGATCTGCTCGAGAATTCTTCTGAGATGGAATGCGAGTGTAAAGTGCTGGATGTGTCGCCGCCAAGCTTGGTCTGACTGTGTCACGTGACGGCACTTTCTTTTGTGAAGGCTTGTGTGAAGGCTTGCGACGACAAGATTGTTGTCTTGAGGATGCTGATTGCTGTGCGTTCCGAATTTCGTCGGCAGCTAAGAAGGCCGTTTGGTCTTTGCGCATCTGCAGCAACGCACGCTGCAAGTACCCGTGAGAGGCGCAGCCAAGGAGGGGCAACAATGCGCACTTACTTCGAGCATGTCATCACCCGATGCGTCTCGCGACACGTACTTCATGCTACTCAGTTCATCGAGGTCCTGAAAGAAGGACAGCGATTCGCAGTCTCCACGTCGACGATGCTTGTACGACGGGACAGTCATGATTGGATCTGATAGAAACTGTGTCTTGTAGAGCGGTGGCGGCGGTGGCGTGTGCACCTTAGTCGGCATGGAACCACCTGGTGGCAGCTTGGCCTTCAAGTTTTCATCCAATCTCTGAGAGCACTGCTGATGTTGCGATGATAAGGTGTAGTGCCTCCTCATGGCCAGCAAATCTCCGAGTAGTAAACAGGAGATACAGATGTCCTTCGTCCTGTGGTGGCTAACACTGCTTCAAAGGAAGACGAAAGCCGGAACCAAACTGTCCATGAAACGTCGTAATACAGCGAGCCAGGAGGAGAGGTAGGAGAAAGGACGAGGAATGGTGGGGTGTGCACAGGACCCCATATATGTGAGCTTGCATGAGCAAAGCGCACAGACCACCTCCATCCTGCCAATGCTGAATCTGCAAAGTCGCGGCACAGTAGGCAGGCGTCCAGTCCAAGTCTAGTCAGGGCTGGCCTACACCTCTGGGCAGCCAGATGAGCTTGGTCGAGCAATGCCGTGTCCCTCGGATCATCTTTAGTGCACGTGACAGGTTGCTGCTGCCGTCGCTCAGAGGAGATCGAAGTCGTCAAGTTTGTCCCGGTACTTCATGATGTTCCGCTTGATCTTTGATGAGTCGACCCAGGTCACGAAGTCTTCCATGTTTCTGATGAATATTAGCACGTGCTCTCTTTCATGGCGTTCGGGGTTGCTGAATACCTCGTGACAAGAAATGCAGAATCAGTGATGACTTCTGTTCCCACTCTCACCTGTAAGTCCTGTTAGCACGATCTTGTCGTCGCATAACTGTAGATTGGCCGACTCACGTGTCCTTGCTCGATGAACTTGTTGGCTGCGCTTACTGTCTCTGCCTGAATTGGGGATCAGTACCATCTCTCAAGAATTGTCCGCTGGCCGCCGCTCACCATCCGCAGTCTCGTCATGACCACGCCTAGTCGTCTCCGGCAAAGTGCAGACACTGTGATCTTGCGCTCCACGTCCGAGAGCTTGCCTGTACCACCTCCCCCCACACCTAGCAGCCCCATATCGTGTAGCTTTTCAAGCAGCAAGTCTTCCTGTTTCCGTCGAAAAGGTGATTCTGGCGGAAGAAGAGAGATTCGGTGGGCAAGATGTCGCAGTTTGCCGCAGAGACGATTGTAGCTGGAGTAGTCTGAAGGCTGGCTGATCGAGTATCGTCTGATGATCTCGGCCTGGCGGTGATTGTCGTCGGATTTGTAGTTGATGAAGTCAACTTTGCGGAGGAGCTTCTGCTCATGATGTTTCAGCTTGCGCACCATGTTTGCGACAGTGTTGTGGCGAGCTGTGGACGTCGTCGCAATGAATCAAGTTCACGGTCGAAGTTGAGATTTCGAGGCTCCAGCGAAGGATCGGCGGAAAGTGGAACCGCGCGCCGAGAAACCTTGTTGCCTGAGTCACTCGTCACTACTTTACCAAAATTCAGAACCCGTCACAACCGACACGACATTGTGTGCAGACGCCAGCAATAATCACACAGAATGCCTGTCGTGCATATGCTTGACTATGCGGCCGGTAATGTCCGGTCGCTGGTCAACGCCATCGAGAAGCTCGGCTGGCAGGTCGAATGGATCAAAGAACCGAAGGACATCGAAAAGGCAGAGGTGTGTAGCGGACGAGTTGCCGATCATTGCATAAGCTGATGGCTGACAGGTATTTGGTTGATGTAGAAATTGATACTTCCAGGAGTTGGACACTTTGGTCATTGCCTGACACAGTTCTCCAATGCTGGATTTGTCGATCCTGTTCGTCAACACGTTCAATCTGGCAAACCGTTCATGGGCATATGCGTTGGTCTTCAAGCCTTATTCAAAGGATCCGCCGAGAATGAGAAAGTCTCTGGTCTTGGTGTAATCAATGGACGACTTGAAAGATTCAAGGATCACGACAAGAGCGTTCCTCAAATTGGATGGAACTCTGCCAACACTTCTGCCAGCGACCAGAGCATTTACGGCATGAGTCCAGACAGCAAGTACTACTATGTGCACTCATATGCTGTGCCTTATCGGGAAGGCCAATTCGAGAAGGATGGATGGACTGTTGCCAAGGCTCGCTATGGTGACGAAGAGTTCGTGGGTGCCATCGCAAGAGACAATGTTCTGGCTACGCAGTTTCACCCCGAGAAGAGCGGTGCTGCTGGGCTGCGCGTCCTCAAAGCCTTTCTGGAAGGCGAAAAATCTGCCCCACTACCTAAAGAGCCGCACTCTACGAAGGAAGGACTGACCAGACGAATCATTGCCTGTCTCGATGTCCGCAGTAACGATCAGGGCGATCTTGTCGTGACGAAGGGCGACCAATACGATGTACGAGAAAAGTCTGGCGATAATGCCGTACGGAACCTCGGCAAGCCAGTCGAGAAAGCACAGCAGTACTATGAGCAAGGCGCTGACGAAGTCACTTTCCTCAACATTACATCGTTCCGTGACACACCTCTGAAGGACTTGCCCATGCTGGAAGTCTTGCGTCAGACATCGGCAACAGTGTTCGTGCCACTCACTATAGGAGGTGGCATTCGAGATACGACAGATCCTGAAACTGGCCGCGTCGCACCAGCACTGGAAGTTGCGACAATATACTTCAAAAGCGGAGCCGACAAGGTCTCCATTGGCTCTGATGCAGTAACGGCGGCAGAAGAATACTATGCCAATAACAAGCAGCTATCTGGCAAGACTGCGATCGAAACAATCAGTGAAGCATACGGCGCTCAGGCAGTAGTGGTATCTGTCGACCCTAAGCGAGTCTATGTGGCCGATCCCAGCACCACGACTCACAATACAATAGAGACATCTTTCCCGGGTCCCAATGGAGAGAAACACTGCTGGTACGCGTGCACAATCAAGGGTGGACGGGAAACGCGAGACTTTGATGTGATCCAACTGGTGACCGCAGTTGAAGCCATGGGAGCAGGAGAGATCTTGCTCAATTGTATCGACAAGGATGGGACGAACTCCGGCTTTGATCTCGAGCTGATCAGGAGCGTCAAGGCCGCGATCAAGATTCCGGTGATTGCTAGCTCCGGCGCCGGAAATGCAGCACACTTTCAAGAAGTCTTCGAGAAGACGAATGTAGATGCCGCGCTTGGTGCAGGGATGTTCCACAGGAATGAGTGGACTGTCAAACAAGTAAAAGAGGAGTTGGGCAAGACTGGGTTGATGGTTAGGAGATTTGAGGACGACGTCTAGATCTCGCACTCCATTGACATGAAAAGATAAGCTTCATTGCACAGGCGGCTCTGGCGGCCCGTCGTCTTCTGCTTGCGACTTCCCAAATCCTAATTGATCGAGCGTCTTTCCTGGCCTCGCCATCCTGTACACGACTGAATCCCTCACGCCCATTGGCCCTTCGAACTCATTAAACAGTGTCTCGCACTTCGTGAATCCCAACTTCTCCAGCACCTTCATGCTGGCCCGATTCTCCGTATCAGCATATGCATCGATCAAATCATGACCCGTCCCGCCTTCTGAAGCAGGAGGTACTCGATCAAAATACGCCGGGATGAATGCTTTCATGCCTTCAGTCGCATAGCCTTTCCCGAAGAAATTGGGATGGAGCATGTAGCCGCAAGAAGGCCAGTGGAATGATCCAAAAAGGCCGATGACACGGGGATGCACTGCTTCTGGATCTGAAGACGAGAGGTCACGCTCACGGACTGAGAAGTTGTAGGCTTCTGGGCCAAGGGCTCGTGCAGAGAGCCACTTGTGGCCTTGGGTTTTGGTGGTAACGGCGCCTACGGAGCTGAACAGGTTTTAGTATATAGCTGCTGCGGATCAATACATATCACTCACGTCCACTTCATCACATCTGGTAGCACAATAAAGGACATGACATCGTCTAGATCAGCCATCGTGATTGTCTTGAGTTGCAGTCGTTCGGTCCATATTGTTTGGATTGGAGGTTGGGTGAGGAAGTCTTCATCCATGGTCATTGATGTATACTGATCCTGTGCTTATATTCAGAAACCTCATATCATACGAGCGAGAGAACATTTATGTGAGCTGCCATTGTGCTCATAGCGTGATGTCGAGTCATACGCGCTGGAGAAACGAAACGTCTTGGCGTTGAGCGCGACCGCGACTTCTACGCGTCATCCCAAGTTTCTCCTTTCACCTTGCCACGCTCTTACGTACTGGCAGCGCACAATGCCAAAACGCAAGGCGGTCAAGCAGCTAGAGAGAAAAGACTCAGACCTAACACCGCCGCCTGACGGGTTGCTTGACACGAAGCCTGAGGAATCCAATGGCGCCGTAAATGGCCTGACGCCTAGCAAGAAACGCAAGGTGAAGACGAAGGTCGAGGACACTGAGCAGGAGATTGTTGAGAAAAGCCCGAAGAAGCTCGTGCGCGCAAGAAAGACCAAGGTCAAAGTGGAAGCTGAGGCAGAGGACGACGACAACGACGACGTTGCTGCAGGCGCCGAGAAGACACCCAAAGCGAAAGCAAAAGGCAGGGCTGCCGTCAAGAAAGAGGTGCAGGTGAAAGAGGAGACCGAAGAGAACGGCGACACTAAGACTGTCAAGAAGAAGAGGCAGAGCAAAGCGGACAAGGAGGCAGAGATGGTCGCCAATCCTCTGAGTGCCAGAACCATTGGACACAAGCTGTTCATTGGGGCCCACGTCAGCGCTTCAGGAGGTCAGTCTGCCAACTTCAAGGTATCATATATGCTAAAAGTAGATAGGCGTCCACAATTCGATCCTGAACAGTGTACATATTGGAGCCAATGCGTTCGCCCTTTTCTTGAAGTCTCAGCGAAAATGGGTGAATCCGGACCTGATTGATGAGCATCGCGACTCCTTTCACGCGAATTGTAAAGAGCACAAGTATGATCAAGGTAAACACGTCGTGCCTCATGGCTCCTATCTGGTCAACCTTGCACATACAGAGAAAGCACGAATCGACCAAGCCTACGAATCGTATCTGGACGACCTCAAACGATGCGAAAAGCTGGGGATCACATTGTACAACATCCATCCAGGTAACAACCAGTGCAACGATCGTCCGAAAGCCATTGCGCAGCTGGCGAAGAACATCAACCGCGCTCATGCCGAGACCTCCACTGTCATTACTTTGCTCGAGAATATGGCTGCGGGCGGAAACGTGATTGGGAGCACTTTCGAGGATCTGAGAGACATCATTGCCAAAGTTGAGAACAAGGATCGCATTGGAGTCTGCATAGACACTTGCCATGCATTTGCTGGTGGCTACGATCTAAGGACCCCCGAAGCTTTCAAAAAGACATTTGAGGATTTCGACGAGATCGTCGGCTTCAAGTATCTTCGAGCGATGCATATTAACGACAGCAAAGCGCCTTTTGACTCTCATCGTGATCTACACGCAAACATCGGAACTGGTTTCCTTGGCCTACGAGCGTTCCACAACTTAGTCAACGATGAGCGTTTCGTAGGCCTGCCGCTCGTATTGGAAACACCCATTGAAGTGCGCGACGAGAATGGCAACCTCGTGAAAGACGAGAAGGGAAAAGAAAAAGAAGACAAAGCGATCTGGGCGCGAGAGATCAAGATGCTGGAGAACCTTGTTGGGATGGACGTAGAAAGCGATGAGTTCCTGCAAATGGATCAAAAGCTGCAGAGGCAGGGCGAGCCAGAAAGAAAGAGGATAATGGATCAGGCGGAGAGGAAGAAAGAGAAGGATGGTAAGAAGCAGAGTAAGCTGAATTTTGGGAAGAAGGCGAAGGCGAAGAAGGAGAGCGATGAAAGTGGCGCGGAGGATGTTGATTGATGAGCGGCGCTGGCCATATTGGGAGGGCGATTTCCGCCTGCCACGCTAGGTCCTATCTCGCTCTGCACACGATTGCGAAATATCCGTCGCCGAGGAACAGACGTTTTTTGGGCAAAGCCTGACGGAATTGCAGCCCATATGCGTAGCTGGCAAAACGGCTGCTGCTGTATATGGTCCTCCACAGGTTTTCGAGACGTGGTCGAAATCTGGGACCCAGACTGTGCTAAGAAGATGATTACGAGTACGGCCTGCAAGTGGCTCTGCAATGACACGACAATCCATTTGGCTGCTTGTCAGAGTCGTGGGAGCGATACGACTATGGCTGATTATGCCTTCACTAGAAGAGCAGTCTTGCGCACTGCATCGAGATTCTGCACGATCGTGCCTGAAAATTTGCTGCCACGTGCTAGCTGCTGAGAAGAAGGTGCGTTGGCTTCTGGCAGGTTTCGCCAAGTAAGCTGGACGGCTTGTCTAAGTTCCAATATTTTTGCATTCGTTAGCAAAGGCTCTGTCCATGCAGCTCGAAGCTTGACTTCTATCAGGTCCATGAGCCTTGCCTATCGTGCAGGCCGTGCAATTGGAGAAGTCATGGTAGGCAGCAGATTACGGAGTGAGGTTCCCGGTATTCTGCGTAAGTCGGCATGATGGTCGATCATTTCGTGCAGCAGGAGCGGGATCCGATGCACTGGTCGCTATTCGATCTTGCTAGCAGAATCTGGACTCTTGGAACCCCTTTCGATTGGTGGTCGGAGCTGATTTGACTTTCAGAGGTGCCGACGACCGACGGCAGATGGCGGTCGCCCATGATTCAGTGGCGGCTTTTAATCTCATCCTGAACGACACCGCTCGAAATGGACATTAGATACTGGCTGATTCGAGCCGCATGCACGACAGGAACATTGAAACTATACCACCTATCAATTTCTGCGATCAATTCGAGCATCTAGTACCAACCGGGCGACTGCCTGCGTCTCCACGACGATATTGCAGCGCCTGCGATGACCTGGTGCCTTCTTGGCACGGCTGAGATAACTTTGCTCGATCGCGCTCGGTCGGGCTTATGCTTCAGGCCAGAGCGCCTCTTCTAGGCATTCGCCCCAAACAAGATGAGACCTCTACCAGAATAGGACAAGCACATGTACGATTGAACTTGTTTCGAGCAAGGCGTTTCAACACTGCCTCGTGGCAAAGGATTTATGCCCTTTTCGGCGAAAAAACATGTCGCTATGGCTATGGCTCCAGTCAAGATGCGGCCTAGAGCCCTCGGAGCGCCTTTCAGTACTGTCAGTGGCCATCGAGACTTTCGGTGCTCCCGGCGATAGGGATGCTGCAGCAGCCACAGTCCAAGTTCTGCTCGTACATTGTGATGTGATGCGAAGTGCAGAATACCAGCGACTTGCAGCAGCTTTCCTTGAATAAAATTCTTCCGCTCTTTTGACCAGAATTTCGCAGTTTGCAGCGCACATCTTCAGCATGTCTGAAAGGTGATACCTGCCATAACAATTCCAGGCAACGCAAGACCTGCTGTATCGTGCTGTTGTCCGAGACCAACAGCATGGCCTCGTTTCTGCTCATATGGCTGGCAGCCTTACAGCTTCTCTTCTCTTCGTCAGTACACGCTTTGGGAAAGACCGATACAATTACTTGGGGAGGTGGTAATTCGAGGACGGGCTATGAGACGAATCACAACATGGTGCGAAGTTCAGTCCGAGTTTTGGGGTGCCAATACTGATCGTCAATCAGGACCCGGCCATAGTCGGCAGTGCCGACTTTGGTCGCATCTGGACTGCGAGTCTGCCGGGCAACTTCAATGGATTAGGACGAGAACAGATCTTCGCTTCTCCTCTGGTATACACGATTGGTTCCACGCAATATGTCTTCATCGCCACGACCCAGAACAACATCTACAAGTTGAACGCGAAGACCGGAGAAATCGTTGCTCGACGCAATCTCCATGTGCCCTTCCTGACCGCAGAGCTAGATGGCTGCGTAGACATTAATCCCACTATCGGAGTTACTGGCACTGGTGTCATTGATCCCGATACCGGCTTGTGGTATTTCACTGCCAAAACATATGCAGATCAATTTCAAGATGGCAACTTCAGCCCAACCAATCGACCTGGACGACGCAATGGGCGATATTATTTTCATGCGATCAATACAGCGGATCTATCTGAAGCTACAGGGTTTCCCACACTGATCGATGGCACCATCTTTCGTAACAACGAGCGCCGTATGTTCTTGGGTGGAGATACCCATCAACGTCCAGGTCTTCTTCAAGTTGGAGATTATATCTACACCGGTTGGGCTTCACACTGTGTGCAGTACAACTTCACGGGAGCTGTGATTGGCTTCCACCGGACCACAGGCAAAGTTGTGGAAGCGTTTGCGACACAGGGCGGGCCGGAACCGATTACAGTCGAAGGTGGAGGTGTCTGGATGAGTGGTGGCGGGCTCGCCTATGATGGAGCTGGAAGCATGTACTTCTCAACTGGAAATGGCTATGCCGGACAGCTCCCCGAGAACGGTAGACCCGTGCAAGGGCGGAATCCTCCGTCTGCGCTCGAGGAAGCTGTCGTCAATCTTCGTGTGGGCGATGATGGCTCGTTGAAACCAGTCGACTTCTTCATGCCCTGGGAGAAGGTGCAGCTAGATGGCGCCGACAAGGATCTGGGTACTACCCCATTCCAGCTATTGCCGCAAGACACTTTCTCTTGTCCAAACGACCGCAGGATCGGGATGGTGACAGGAAAGTCTGGAAAATCTTATTGGTTGAATCTCGATAATCTTGGTGGCTATCAAATGGGCCCGGATCGACTAGATGATGCTATTCAGGTCACTCAGAACGAGAACTCGGTATTCGCGGGTGCCGGCGTATTGCCTCTCGGCGGTGGCTATGTCTACGTGACGATTACAGGTTACCAGACCAAAGTCTTCAAGTTCAGCTGCAATTCAGCAGGGCGGGGTGTATTCACGCACGTTTCTGCCACCCCGGAGAACAACGCAGGCATTCTTGGGACAGGACACGGTACCGTCACTACGCTTGACGGACGTGAAGGATCAGGGCTGCTGTGGACGACCGATCGAGAAGGGCAAAACTTGCGGATCTACGAGGCCATGCCGCCTGCTGAAGGAGGCGATCTCAAGTTGATCAAAGCCTTCAATTTTCCCGATGTCACGAAGTTCGCCAAAATGTCCTTTGGAGATGGGATCGCCTATATCCCTACCACAAACGGTGTGCTCCATGCATATGGCTCACCAGTGACCTTGCCATTAAATTGCTCTTCGCCATATGACTTTCCGCGAACGCCGATTGGGAACACTTCAACTGCGCTGAAAGTTTCCTGCAAAGCGAATATCAAGACAAGCTTGAGTCAATTGAGCATCTCTGGCAACCCAAATTTCCGTATCGATGGCCTGCCAACTACGCCGCTCTCACTCAATACTGGCGATACATTCTCTTTCAATGCGTTTTTTGCGCCCAAGACAGTTGGACTTCTGTCCAGCGATGTACTCGCGAACACGAGCAATGCTGTTGCTGGCTTCTCCACCAGCACGCCGATCACGCTTCGTGGAAATGCAACGTCAGCAACACCACTGCTAGCTATATCGCCTGGAACAGTCAGCTTTACCAGCATGGTAGGATCCGGACCAAGTTCCAACTCGGCCTTCTTTCGGAATAACGGCGACAGTTTGCTGACCTTCAAGAACGTAAGCTATTCGATCAAATCTGAGAGCGGTCCCTGGATCTCACCAAATGTCACACGTGATGGCAAAGCACAAGTCGGGCCTTTCACTTTCAGCAACGTTCCGACAACTATTGCAGCGAACGGGCAGGTAGTAGTGGGCATCACGTACAACGCTACCCAGGCCGGCAATCATGCTGTTTACATCAAAGCATTCTCCGATGGTGGAGACAAAATTCTGGATGTCTTTGGCACTGCTGGCAGTGCGCCTGTGGCAGTCGTGGAGTTTCAGTCTCCAACCAACTCGACATGGATGCCGTACACACCTGGTCAGAACTTTTCTTTTGGCGAAGTGCTCCAAGGCACGACCCGTAACTTGGTCCTTCGCATTACCAACAACGGCTCAGACACAGCTTCTCCATTGGGTTTGACAATATCCAAGCCACCCTTTGGTGTCCCAGGCATTGTGGGTGCGGCGAATAACATTGATCTGGCCGAGGGCACAAATATCCCAGCAGGTCAGAGCAGGAACGCCACTCTCTTCTGTGCTGTCCCGGAGTCGCAGGTGAACGTTCCAAATTTCAAGGGATCTGCCAAATGGACTTTCAACACGAACACTGATGGCGGTAAATTTGAGCTGCACTTCGACTGCACTGCCGTATCGCAGCAGCTAGGTCCGAAACTCGCCAATGGAACTTCACAGTTCGGATATGTAGGTTGCTTCCGCGACTTGAACCCAAATAGGCAACTTGCGACGATGCCTTATGGCGGCGCCCAAAATACCAATGGACAGTGCATGGAGCTTTGCGCAGCAGGGGACTGGAAATTTGCTGGCACGTCGTACAGAGAAGAATGCTGGTGTGGAAACGCACTCCCGCTCACGAAGGATGGCAACGATGATTGCAACTTTCGCTGTTCAGGAGCAGGGAACCAGACATGTGGTGGAGATGGGGTCTTCCATGATAAGAGCATGCTGTCCCTTTTTGCTGACAAGCAGAAGTTCGACGGCAACACTACTACCACACCCTTGACTATTCCGCAGAGGTCTGGTGAATACACGTACGCAGGCTGCTATAGGGAGACCACTGGCAAGACCTTCGATCAGAAGATGACAAACTCCAAGACGTTGACCGTAGACTCGTGCAGGAAATTTTGCGAGGGGTCCACGTTGTTCGGCGTGCAATGGAGCGAAGAGTGCTTCTGTGGCAGCACCATTGCTGCATCAGCGTCGCTTACCAGCGACACGGACTGCAACATGTCCTGCAAAGGTGACAACAGTCAGTATTGCGGAGCCGGAAGCCGCATGCAGGTGTATCGACTTGGTGGTACCTTGTCTTCAACGTCCACGATGTCCACGACATCTACGACCCCGACTTGCACCCCAACAACTATACCGAACACTCCTGCGCCGACCGGGATCAAATGTCCTGACTCAAATGGTACGACGGTAGCATCATTCGGACAAAATTTTGTCATCGAATGCGGCATTGACCATACCGGAGGCGATTTGGCATCAACTCAAGTGAACTCCTTCGCAGAATGCGTTGATGCTTGCTCGAGGAATGCAAAGTGTGTAGATGTTAGCTTGTCTGGCGTGGCATGCTACCTGAAGTCTGCACTCGGTCCTCCAGTACAGAATGCTGGAGTCTTGGGCGCGAGACTACTTCCACCAGTTCAGGATTGCCCCGGGAGCAGAACAACAACGACGACATCGCGAAGCAGCAGTAGCACAAGTAGCCGAACTGCGACCAGTACAACGAGCTCGTCGATTGGTAAATCGAGCTCGTCAACCGGTACACTGAGCTCGACGACCGGTACACTGAGCTCATCGACTAGTGGTACACTTAGCTCATCGACTGCCACACCGAGCTCGACCACGTTGAGGAGCACGACTTCTTCAACAACGACATCTTCACTTCCGACTGCTACTGCTGTAGCATGTCCAGAGAACAACAGCACAATGTACATATCGAACGGCCGTGCGTTCCTCGTGGAATGTGGAATTGACTATATGGGCGGAGACATGGGCAGCGTAGGTGCGAATAACCTTACTGCTTGTATTGACGCTTGTGCCGCAAGCCCTGGTTGCATCAATATTGCACTGTCCGGTGCGGCTTGTTACATGAAGAACAAGATCAACCAACCTGTCTACAATGGAGTCGCTGGAGCGAGATTCATCAGCACACAGTCGTCGACAACGACTTCTACGACCTCTACGACTTCTACGCCTAGGAGCAGCAGCAGCAGCACGACTACATCTTTGAGTTCATTTCAGACAACAGCGAGCATGACAACAACAGCAAGGTTGGTGACAACCACATCGCGACCAGCTACATCTTCGCTTACCACCAGTCGTAGCACTTCCTCCTCGACGACAACGACGCGGCCATCTTCGACGAGTGCATCTTCAGGAACAACGACGACAAGGTTGGTGACGACCACAGCGCGGTCAACTACATCTTCGCTCACTAGCAGACGTAGCACTTCCTCGTCTATGCCTCCCGCGGCCCCAACCACAATTGAAGACTACAAATACATGGGCTGCTACACCGAAGTTGGCGGACGTGCTCTGAAGCAGGGCACAACTACAAACGCAAACATGACCAACGAACTTTGTCAAAAGACCTGTCAAGGCTATCAATACTTCGCCACCGAATATGCCAACGAATGCTTCTGCGGTCGAAACCTCCACACCGACTCCCGTCCAGCAACAGACAATCGCTGCAACATGAAATGCGCCGGAGACAGTTCCCAAATCTGCGGCGGTCCAGATGGTCTAACACTCTACTCCCTTCCCAATCTCGACTCCTCTGCACCCTCTTCTCCGATCGTCGTCCCCTCCTCAAACGGTTACATAGCCCAAGGCTGCTTCAGCGAAAAATCGCAAGGCCGAGCCCTGTCCGAAATGTTCCTGACCTCCAACATGACCATTCCCGTCTGCGCCGCCGAAGCCAAAAAGCAAAATTCAACCTGGTTCGGCCTCGAGTACGCCGACGAATGCTTCCACGGCAAAACATTCGATTCCACTCCTTTGAACCAAACAAAATGCGACATGACCTGTCCCGGTAATAGCACAACCTGGTGCGGAGGTGCGGCGGCATTACAAATGTATCGTCTACCGCTGGAATGTCCGACAGACAACAGCACCATGTGGAACTCATACAATGGGACCGCGAAATTTGAGATTCAGTGTGGTATGGATCGCGCTGGAGGGTCGGCGGGAAGGTGGGAGGCGAGGACGTTTGAGGATTGTTTGAATGCTTGTGCGATGGAGAGTACGTGTAAGAGCGTGGCGTATAGAGGAAATGATTGTTACTGGAAGAATACATTGGGGACGATTGGGTCTGATGCTGGGGTGAGAGGAGCGACGGTTGTGGAGAGGAGGGAGAGACTCTCGAAGGTCTAGGATTTTCGTTTGTGGTTTTTAGTGTGTGAGCGTTGCTGGATAGAATCATTGCGCAACATTCATTAGGATGTATAGAATAGATTTCATATAGGTATACGGACCGAGCTTTGTGTCTTGTGGTGAAGACGGTCTTTGAGCATTTCCATGCGACCTGGACGCGATGACATTCGACAGGGAGTTCGCGTCCTTCTATCAAGCCGTTGCCGGCTCCATTCGCGCTTCAATTCATTCGTATCCAAGTCATCTTAACTGTAGTCAGCGCGTCTAGGAGAAGAGATTCCTTGACGGCGATCTATATAGCAGAAACTAGACTAGATGCATTTCATATAATTGAGTTGTGAGTTTCAAATTACTCTTCTAGTAAACATTCTCCTAGAAAGCCCAATTCCAGAACGACATTTCTATGAGAGCGATCGATTCACCCACCGCTACAGCGCGCTGCCATCAACACCTATCTCGAATCTCGTCACAAGCCAGCAATCGCCGTCAAACAGACATACTACCATAACCACTTCCTCAACCTCTCCACCGACCTCCAACCCCAGTTCCAAGAATGCAATCCTTCTCCCTGTGGCACCTCCTCGCCCTTTCCGGAATCCCCCCACTCACCCACGCCTTCTGCGGCCAAATCTACACCGACACGCATATCGACCCCGGCTGCACGTTATCCCTAGCAAATATTCTAAAGGGCGATTGTACAGCTATAGGCGGCCAACCGACGGAATGTATTCAAGAGGATATGACTAGGAGATATTTGTGGTGTGATAATGTGCCGGTTTTCCATGGCCCTTATGATCTCCACGACCCTTTCAGCAGAACTGTTACAATCTACTCCGAGGAAAATATTTGCAGGGTATGTACGACCATATGCATGTTTTTCTCTGTTGTTGTTGTTGCGGTTTTGAATTGCTGTTGGAATACTAGAGGCTGATTGGGATTAGTGAATCATCGTCAAGTCAAGGGCTATGAATGAGGGCCTTCGAGTCGTGTGGGATTTGTCCTCATTGCTGGATTGTTCTATTCGCAACGACTTGTTCGGTGATACCGTGGGGACGAGTCGAAACGGGATACATGCAGGTTTAGCTGGAGTACAACCTCGGGTATAGAATACTTGATCGCTTCCATACTTGACTTTGTCTTTGTCGCACGCCAAGCTATCTCTTGAGCACTATCATGAGATCAAGAAGGAACCCACTTTGTGTCAACTTGAAGTAATCTCATGATTTTGAAGCCATCTGAAGTGGCGCGGTACTGACCGGTGGAGGATGAGGATGATGTGGCACATGATACTGTCAGCCACTTTGTCGCCCATCCACCATCCTTATTATGCTCGTCGCATACCAGATGCCTCCTCCGACATCATCTGCGGACTCATGAAGGGTGGGTGGCGCATGACTTTCAGCTGTCGTGTCTTCTTCACCAACTCTTGGCCCTCGCCGAAGTATCGCTTACTGGTAAAGCTCCAGTAGAGATTGGCTTTGATCGTGTTCTTGACCCCTTCAACGTAGCAACTGATTTCTCTGGTGATTCTGGCGTCGTCGTACTCCGGCAATCGATCGATGCAGCTCGCCATGAGTTCCAGACGCTCCTCGAGCATTTGGCCAACGTAGTCGAACGCTGCCTGTGCCGACATGCCTCGCATGCGACTCACCGCGACGACGTTGTGCGGTACGCCTTCAGACTGGTTCAAGTATGTCAGTGGAACCAACGCGAATTTTTGTTACTGAATTTACCTCTTCTTTTTGGTATGAGAGCATGTCGTTTTGTCTGTAGTAATGTAAGCAGAGGTTGCTAGGAACACAATGGACCGGCGACTTACAGAAGTGCGGCGTCCATGGCCGCGTTCTGCATCTCGATGGTTGCTGAGGCCTCAAAGAAAGTGTCCGGAAGATGAAGTAAGTTGGCGAATTCGAACAATGGAAAGAGCGGCGCGACTCCTGCAGATTGTCTTCTGGTGGCTAAGATTTCCTCGATGGTCGGAATTCGATCTGTGCTACAGTTGCCGACTTGGTCTAGCACGGCGTTGCAGAAGTCTCGCAGAGTCTTCAAGAAACGCTTCTGTACGCCAGAAGGTGCGGTAGCCTGTAGTCGTCTCCAGATGTCATTGTGAAACTCGACGAGATCGCACACGTCGTGCTGTGCTCTGTGGGCAATACTGTCATTTGTGCCTGCGAAAAGTGCGACCATCTTGGCCTTCGCATTGTCGAGATCAGCTCTCAGGTAGCCATTGTCGAACAGGTCGTCGTATGGGAACACCTAATTCACCCAGTCGCAGTAGGTTCGGAACTGAGACTCATAGGCGTGAGGAGCTGCAATGGCTACGAAGCGACAGAAGTCACCACGCTGCACTATCTTGCAGACCCGGGAATCGTATTTGCATGCTCTACACACGGCCTCATCGCTCTCTCGGCATATTTCCTCCAACCGAGGATGTAGGACAGGCTCGTCGGCGAGGAAGCCGACGAATAACTCGGGAAGCTTGATCGTGATGTATTCGGAGGAAGGCGCCATGGAGTGGTTCCTGAATGGGCATAGGTCTGAGGTGCGATGCAATGGGCCGGTGGATCTGCTCAAGTCGATCTTGGAAGGAGAGGTCAGTAGTATAGATGTAATGAAAGTGCAAAGAGTTTTAAGCACCAAGCGAGCACATGTTCACATGCACAAGTGAATGTGCAAGAATTCACTCCCGTAGAAATCAGTGACCTGCATCCTAAGCACAAGTTTCTTTGCACTTCTCCGGCATGTGCTCATTGGTTCTCAGAGCCCGGATCGGGGTCATCTGTATTGATCACTGCTTCGTTGCTGCTCCTGTCAAACAGTCGACTATGATTTTGTTACGGTCTTGTACGCTCGCCATGTCGTGGAGCATTACAAGTCTGTTTAGAAGTTGGCTCAGTGTAGCTTTGGCGGCCCATCGCCAGCGGAGTCGCGTAGTGCCTATTCATGCAGTAAGAGCGAGCATGTTCCTGACCGCCGAAGGTGTACTGTAATGACAGGACTCAATTTGCGCAGGAACACGATGTAGAAGCAGAAGGTGTAGTTGCAGTAGGAGATTTGGGGAAATGGTGACAAAATTCCATGTAGCTTCGACTTATGGCATCGGCTTTGCGGCAACCGCCACCGCGGCCAATCCACCGTGCATGTGCGCTTCCCAGGCAGCGACTACCACTAATTCTCCAGCATCTTTGGTCGACACGAAAAAGTATGCGACTCAAGTTGATGATACTCAAGGCCTCGGGGAAGATCGCCGCCATGAATACCGCATTTCAGTTCCCACTTCTCGACCTGCCCAACGAGCTGATTGCGAACGTGATTGAGCACGTCGACAGCCGCAAGACACTGCGGAAACTCAGCAGAACGTGCAAGAGAGTGCAGCAGCTCACCGAGCCCGTGCTGTACCGCTACGCGCTGATCCGAGATGGCGACCGCACGCGCGACCTGTTGCGCTCCGTCGAACATCAGCCCGCACGGGCCAAGGCCATACACGAACTCGACATCCCCTGCGACTGTCGGTCGGCGACGTGGTTTGAAGGCTTGGCCAGACTTCTAGAGACTACGATCAATCTAAAGCGCTTGATGCTTGAAATGCCGCAGGTCAACAATGGCGAGTTCGAAGATGAGGAGCCATACGAGCAGATGACATCTGCCTTACTGCGCCCATTTCAAGCAGCAATATCGGATGCCGACTCGAAGCCACTCCAGAAGCTGCAACACCGTAAGCCTAATCGAGCGTCACGACCCTCTCAGTTCCCCAGTTCGAACACTTGAGATCTCAAATCGTGGTAAGCATATCAGGACAGAATTGGCACTAACCACGTTGTTTCTGTAGTGATGTTGCATCTCAACGGGGCCGAATCACCTTACTGGACACTCGATCAGAACACTCTTTGCATTTTACAGCTACCTTTACTCAACAGTCTGACGCTTTCGTGTGTCAACATTGGAGACCACCTCGCGGAGCACATTCAGGCCGCATCCTTCGTTTCTCTAAAACATATGACATTAGAAGAATCGAACATCACGCATCAAGGCCTACGAGTACTTTTGTCGCTGCCAAGAGGGCTCGAAACACTACATCTGGGTCGGTAAATGATCTCTGAGTTGCAAGACAACGCTAACATGTGATAGGAGAGAATTGTCACAACTGCCATCACTTCGAAGACATCATCGATCCCGCTGCGAACAACCTTTTCAACAATGACCCTGCAGCAACTCTCGAAGCCATCAGTCAGCAGAGCCATAGTCTGAAAACGCTCGTCTACGTGACACCTGAGCTCTTCAACGGCTGGCGACGAAAGATGCCCAAACGCTCCGCCGTTGATGCTGGCTTTGCCGGTTTCCATCTCTTGGAGAATGTCACACTGCACGGCAGATGCCCCAACTTCGAGCGAGCTGTGTTGTCTTCTCGTGCACCACCAAACCTCAAGGTCTTGACATATCAAATTGATCAAATGTTTTGGCCACCCTATATGGACAGCTCAGCCGATGCGCCACTTGCCACGATCCCATTTATTCGAGCCCCATCGAGTTCCGTGCCGCCATCACTCACAACATTGCGCATCATTGGACACATTCAGGAGTTGACGACCGCAATGAAAGGTCAAATCGAGGCTGCTGCGCGAGGCATGATGAAGATGGGCATCAACTTCGAGCTACATTTCGAGACCTGGTCCTCTTACTTTCCTCCATATCTTTATGGTGAGCCTTTGCCAACGACGACCTGCGTGTACGATGGCGGGTGGAACGAGGCTGCGACAGATCCGCACTTAGGGCTGTGGTCTCAGTTGGAAGACTAATGGATCGCACGATTACGAAGCAAGACATATCAGCTTGCTCTTACAGCAATCATGTCTTCGCGAGGTACTGATGGAGCATGATGACCTGGTCACGAACCTGCTTTTGCGTGACAACACCGAGGACGCGTTGCGCTGAATCAGATATTGGTCTTGCTTATCTATGCATCTACGGCTGGCTGCTCTCTGGTTTGTCATCCCGCTTTCGACCAATATTCACGCCGATCTCTTTGATCACGAACCACGCAGGCACGATAGAGATTGCCCAGAGTGCAAAGTTCAGATATACACATCCGAACTGGCCCATGGTGCCCACAGAGATCAGCCCGTAGGAGACTGCTTGTGCTGCACTTTCTGTTCCTCGCAGCAGACCGGAGTAGCGAATGATCTCAGCATCGCTCTTGGCGAGCTGTCCGATCACGAAGTACAGGTACATGTAGTTCAGCTGAAATCCCATGACCATGAATAGGAACCACGCAAATCCTCGCCCAAATCCGGCATCGACCCAATCGAATGTCGGCTGTGTTCGATGATAGTCAGTCACGAGGATTGTGCCCCAAATCCACCACGCGCCCTGCAGAGTCATGATAACTGCGAATGATCCGCGAGCCCGTAGTCTGATCAGCAGTTTCTCGTTGTCCAGGTAAAGACCGAGAAGGTTGCCAGCAATGATTGCAACAATACCGCTCAAGAAGGAACCTAGCGCACGAGATCGCACAGAGAACCAAAGGCCTTGGTAGGTGAAGAAGACTGCTTCAGCAAAGACCGCCTGAGAGATGAGAGGCACTATCAAAAGGAACCTCTTGCCGGCGAACAACTTGGCCGTGGAGACGAATTCCTTCCACGAACTCTCGTCCCTGGAGATCGAGCACGAAACTGTCTGCCCATCCGTACGCTCGACTTTCGATGGCGCGGTCAAAAGGAGACCAGCGAATGGTGCAACGGCTTGCAATGCAATGAAGACCTGGAAGACAGAGTATGAGACAGAGCCCGCCTCGTTGCGATCGGCGTTCAGTCCAAGGTTGACGGCACCGCCGAGGATTTGTCCTCCAACTCGGAAGCTCAGCCAGATGCCCAAGAGCTTGCCCTGGTTGTAAGGTTCCGGATAGGATAGAGCGATCGCAGCCTCAGCCATCCAGAAGAGACCAGCACCCAGGCCACAGGTAGCGGCACCGAAGAGCACGAACCATTCGCTCCCGAATCTGTTGTTGCAATAGAGTCCTGCTGCATAGGGACAGTATCCGGCCGCGCCTAGAATCAAGGTCCATCGAATGCCAAGGTACTTGACGAAGACACCGCTCAGCGCACAAGTTACCACCATGAGGCAAAAAGTGAGCGCGTTGGCGGCATTAACAAGCCATGGATCTTGCTGTCCACCTCCTCCTAGCGAGTTCATCGCGCCCCAGATTCCCGGGGCGCAGAAGTTGCAAATACCCAGAATGATTGCATTGTAAAGTGTCGACCGGTACCACTTTACAGGTCGCTTTGTCTCTGGCTGGCTATTCTCCGATGGCGCTTCACTTGTCGCGTGCGAATAAGTCGCTTTCTTGTCGTCTGCCATAGCGAATGATAAGACAGAAGCAATATCTAAGCTGCAGCGAAGGCTTGAAAGTGGAAGGGTTGAAGTCACACAAAGTCCAGAATCCTGTCTGAGACCAAGCTTCGCGTTTATTGATATGAGATCGCCAGACTAGTGCTCACGCATATGCAATGGAGCAGATTCTTTCGCGCACGCCATCACCAGAAGAATGCCATCAGAAGTCGAGTGGCGTTGTGACAAGAATATTATAGGCTGCTGCTCTGTCATATCTAACATTGCCGAAGCCCAGTGCCCTGTCTTCTGGTGCAAAGCTATCAAATTTTGACGCATGTGCCATGTGGTTTCCACGAGAGCCGATGGCGCGCGTAGACCTAGGGCTTGAATTACTTGGTTGAGATGTGTTTCCGCGTTTCTTGTTCGAGGTTGCAAGTGTTGGCTGTAAACTGGTGAGGATCGCATAACGACAGGGTCGGAAGACGTGCTCGAAATGCCCCACTTGGTTCGAACACAAGCTGAATCTCCATCCATGCACCGACTCCATGGGCAGACAGAGGCCGTCGGCCAACGGCGCCCAGAGATATTCGATCAGCAGAAGCGACAGGCCGACGGATGCGCTTGGACCGCGTCTTGAGTGGGAAATCCGAAAAGCACATCATTCACTCAAACGCTGATGAACGAGAGAACCCGCTGGTGACGAGACGTAGTAGCTACGGACGAGCTGATGCAAGCACTATCGCACTGGCTAACAGCAGAATTGACACAATGGACGAGCTGTTGACGGATTATCAGCTGCGCAAATACTATGGACGTCGAGACTTGATCTCTTCTGCCGCTGATTCTGGATATAATTCAAGCAATGCGACAGACAATGGCGAAGAAGTCGAGAACAATGCGTCGAAGATCGCAGCGGCGGCTACTGTGCAGAGTGCATCCAGCCAAAGACCGAAACCCTGGGTCATGAATGCTTTCGCGATGGCTGCGCCGGGTCATCTGGCTCCTGGTAAGTAAAGATGTACCCCAGTCATTTGCCAAATTTGGGAATATGTTGCTTGCATATTCACTTACATTGTCTCTCTCTGTCTAGGCTTATGGAGACATCCTGATCAAGAACCACAGACTCTGGAACACTGGGTCGAACTCGCGAAGAAGCTCGATGCGGCCAAGTTCCATGGGATATTCTTTGCTGATGTCTTGGGGATTTACGATGTTTATCAGAGCAGTAATGGCCCGGCGTTGAAAGCTGCTGCGCAAGTGCCGCATCCGGATGTTTCTTTACTTGTGTCAGCAATGGCATATGCGACGAAGAATTTGTCGTTTGGGATTACGGCGAGCACGAGTTATGAGCATCCTTATCAGTTGGCGAGACGGTATGCTACGCTGGATCATGCTACGAACGGTCGTGTGGGATGGAATATCGTAAGCAGTATACCGCATCACTCTATGTTTTGAGAGATACTGATTTGGAAAACAGGTCACAAGCTACCTGGAAAGTGCTGCGAAGTCATATGGCTTGGATCAAATGACTCAGCATGACAATCGATACGACGTGGCTTCAGAATACATGGAAGTCGTTTACAAGCTTCTCGAAGGCAGCTGGGAAGACGATGCAGTGGAAGCCAACAAGAAGACTGGAGTCTACGCGAATCCGGACAAAGTACATCCGATCAACCATGCTGGCGAGCACTTCAGGTGTCGGGGACCTAGTCTCGTACATCCATCACCACAGCGGACGCCATTTCTCCTTCAAGCTGGAGCCAGTAAAGCCGGCAAGAACTTCGCGGCCACTCACGCTGAAGCCATGTTCCTTCCCGGCATGATTCCCGAAAAGACCAGAGCCATCGTCGATTCCGTCAAAGAACTTCTCATCGAGAAAGGACGATCTGCGGACAGCATTAAATTCATCGCTGGAATCTTCATCGTCGTAGACGAGACCGACGCAAAAGCAGAAGCGAAATTCCAAGACTTGCTACGATATGCCGATCTAGAAGGCACAGCTGCCCTCTTCGGTGGCTGGTCAGGCACAGATCTCTCTCAATTCTCAGACGACGAAGACTTCTCCTTCAAAGGCCCTCCCGGCATTCAATCCATGATCAGCGCTTGGACTGCCACCGTACCCGGTCTCGAAAATGTCAAGTGGACGAAAAAGCATGTCCTTCAACATCTAGCTATATCCGGCGCTCACCCTCGAGCAATTGGAAGCGCGAAGACTGTTGCTGATATCATGGAGCACTGGATCGAGCAAGCAGGTGTCGATGGTTTCAATATCAGCTACGCCACTACGCCTCATACATTCGATGATATTATCAAGTATCTATGGCCAGAGCTGAAAAAGCGAGGAGTCTTACAAGAATCTTACGCTGGATCTTCAATGCGAGAGAATTATCTGCAAGATGGGAAGGGAGCACGAGTACGTGAAGGGCATCCGGCTTTGAAGTATAGGAATTTGAAATCATAGATATGCTCATGCTTATACTCGCTAAGTTTATCAATTAAACGATTGTTATGAAAAGTGGGTATCTTGACTCCAACTCCAACTCCAAATTCAAGCACATACATCACTCTTCTTCCGTCAGTCCAATCAATCTAGAATGCAGAAGTCACTTTATCAACAATCTGTCCCGGACTCAGCGGGCTCTCGGGTGGAGTAAGCTGTTCAGATGGAGCTTTATAATAGCACGAGAAGATCGGTTCCATCTTCTTCCGCTCCTTCTCACTCTCGATGATTTCGATTCCAGGGATCGAAGAGACGACAGAGTCATGTCGCACAGGTTGTGCTTCCCGTTGAGCCAGAGCATGCCCGACTTCGATAGTCAAAGCCTGTCGAAGACTAGCAACGAGTTTCTCCTCTGCTAGTTTGCGGTAGTACTCTACGCTGTCGAAATTCTCGGTTTCTTCTTCATCACGACGACTCTCATCTAGAGCGCGACGATGTTTGGCGAAGCGTAGTGGAGTGTGAGTGGGTTTGAGTTTGCGGACGAAGGCGAAGCGGCGGGCGTGGTATCGAGCTGATCGCGAGGACCAGAAGTCGAGACTCATTTCGCCGAGTTCGTGGGCACGAGCTTGAGCGAGCGATGCGGGCGAGAGGTCGACATTGTTCTTCCAGTGTCCGCGCTTGATGATGCCTGGTCGCAGAAGGTAGGCGATGTGGCTCCGGATGTAGTCGTCGAGAACAGCGCCACTGCCTGGGAAGACGTAGTCGACCAGTCCGATGGACTGTGCTTGTAGTGGACTGAGTGGTGTCATGGAAGTGAGGATCTTCTTTGCGTTGACTTGGCCGCACCGGCCGAAGTATGATAGCGTATGATATTCGCTACCAAACAGACCGACACCGCGGTAGGCAGGGTTGAGTACGACACTTTGCCCAGCGACGACAATGTCGCACGCTGTCGCTAGCGCTACACCCCCTGCGGCTGCATTACCGCGCACAGCGGCAACAGTGACGATTCCCCGAGCTGGGAACTCGTGCAGAAGATAGTAGACAACATCATCGATACGGTTGATGTTTTGCCAGGACTCGAGGGCTGGATCAGTGGCAGCTTCGATGACGTTGAGAGCGATGCCATTCGAGAAATAAGATCCGCCCATCATGACCACTGCTGTGATAGGGACGGTGGCCGACGCTTGAGACAGGATGTAGTCGAGAGCTTCAATAAGGTGGGAGCACTGGGCTGTTGACATGGCTCCATTGTAGAAATTGAAGTAGACATATGCTGTCCTTCGGAGATCTTCATCGACCTCGAAGTCGACCCACCTGTAAGTTCAAGTCAGTTTCGTGCTCCAATTCACTCGATTGATAGGACAGGTTTGCTTACACCTCTTGGAATGTCTTCGTTATCGACAAACGCCAGTCCGCTGGCGGGGCCCAGGTGTATGACAAGACATCCTCAGTCGCTATAAGCCCGAGCTGCAGAAGACCAAAGATGGCCGGAACCTTGGGCCACAACGCTTTATCCACCTTCGTTTTCATGCGTCGAACATGAGTGATCCAAATGCCTTTGCCATCACAAGTGGAGAGACAAACTGCTTCGTTGCGAAAACCGATTATGGGAGTGATTAGTCCAGACAGCTTGATTGGAGTACGGGACTCGGCATTGTCATCGATCATGCCGCCGTAGACGTAGAGGTTTTGGCCGAAGACATTGCTCAGCACTCCAGGCTGTGAGTCTCCGCATCGGATGCGGCGGGAGATCTGTTGAGAGTTGTGCTTGGCGATATCGAAATCTCGTTGGGCGGCCTTGAGCAGCGGTCGGTGGTGAAGCTTGCCTCCTTGGAAGGGCAGCGCATCAGTGACCGATACGATACCAAATGTGACACTGGCACGAAGCAGCGGGCTAATGCTTCCAGTGACAAGGCCATCGTCAGCTCCGACTAAGTTCGCCGCAGCTTGAATTCGACTGATAGCAGCCAGCGTTGCAGTGATGGCGGACTGTGTTATCAGGCCACGATACAGCTCGGACTTGGTCAATCCTGGCTGATCGATGTCGATGTTGAATTGTTCGAATGCCCACACGGGTCCTGCGTCGAACTCTTCAATAGCTTGGAGAACCGTTAGGCCCCAATGCGATCGACCAGGACTGACATCTTCCTGATCAAGCTTCTTGAGTAAAGCGCTGGAGTCGTCGACAGATCCGTCATCACCCAGGAGGACCCAGTCCAGTGCACTTGGACCGACATCGCCAGGCGGACCGGGATGCTTTCCTGTCGTTAGCCGACCGTGGTTCTTTGGAAGGAGGTGAGTGCAGCTTACTATAATCAGAGTCATGTATTGCTCGTATATTTGCTGAAAGCATGTTAGTAGCAGATCAGGTTGTCGTCCATGTCACATACTTTGGGAACCAGCGTCGTCAAGAAGGGACAGATGATGAGATCAGGTCCACTGAGTCCTGCAGCGGAGATCATCGCCTCCTCTGATAACGCATACTCGATCGTCACATCGTGAGAACGTGTCAAGACCAGGTACAGCCTTTGCGACAAGGAGTTGTGCGCCGTGCAGAGGAAAAGGATCTTCATGGTGGATGGTGTCTAGCCTTCTCGGTTGTCCAGCGTGGTCTATAAGGACTACGGTTTGTGGTCTAAGAGTGAAGGTAATGGGAAGAAACTGCAGTGGAATAAAGTCGATGACAGTTGGGGTATAGGTTAGGCAGAGGGTGAAGTGAAGCAAGCAGATGCCGGAGCACATGCAAGCCAGTACATATAATTGCATACGCCATGTGAATACTGGCTCGTGGGCTGCGCGCACATGTGTGCGACGCTCCATGAAGGCTGCATGGCCTGCCACGCAATGCCATCGAGGTCGATCTTGGGATTTGTTGCTAATGCAGTCGCATGTAACGTACAAATCGGACGAGTAGAATTCACTTCAAGCCCTCCAAGTAGGTGAGGCGTCTAGATCTGCGGCCAAGGGCGAGATAGAAGTGCCTAGATGCGAGTCCGCGATGTTGGCATCTAGTGAGATTGTCGATGTCTTCCTGCATGTACGTCCTGTCACTTGCCTCGTACCGCCGCTCGGATGCCGGTCTTTCGGTGTGCAGATGAGAGCAGTAGCCTGCGGTCTACTGTGATGTGACGTTGGGGCTGCAAGCCTAGGGCGAGGCAGTTCATGGAGTGGCTTGGTCGCCTGTTGACGAATAGGACTTTGACGCGGTCCCAGTCAAGGATCTCGCGTCCATACTGTCGGGCAGAGCTGGCGTTTTGAGGGATGCAGGTGCATAGCAGGTCAGACCCGAAGATCAGGTTGGGTGTGGTTCATGTAGCATGGTACTCTGCACTTCGAGTCGTAGATCGTCTGGTGGTCTGGTGTGCTGCCGTCCCTCCATAGAGGCTATTGTGAGAGTGTTGTCATAGTTTGAGCGGCGTCGCAATAGCTCGGCTTGGGATGTTATAGTGTTTGCTAACAGCAGGTTGAAGCGGGTGTCGGGTGTGGTGAGGTTGCCTGCCAAATTTAGTTTGCAATATTGCTTTGCGAGATCGTTGTAGAGCAAGACGCTATCAGCACGTGGTAAAGCAGCGTGCAACCTTGACGACCAGCCGACCAATTCAGATCCACTCTAGCAGCCACCGGCGGACTGGTGAAAAGGCTACGCGCATTTCACTCTTGGCTTTTCCCGAATTGAGGCTTTTCTTTCCACGTGGTTCTTGCAACGATTCTGCTGGCGTACGTTCGTAGTCCTGTGTGGCTTTCCAAAGCTAGACTGTCCGCGGCGAGTGCTGTTCGGTTTTGCGTTGCGTCAGTGTCGAAGTGCATTACATTGACGCGAAAAAAGCATGTCGCTTGCCAAATGTCGATATAACATTGGTGGAATCTGATTGCCGGGGCTTCTTTGCTCGTGTGACTGAACAATGGTAAGATTAGCAAACGACACGTAAAAAATGTCTAGTCGTTGAACCACTTCAAGACGCCAACGGTGCATGCCAAGGAAGAGCCGGGGTGACATGGGGGCTGCATAAATCGACGCCACCATAGCTGCGCTCCACTGCTCTGTACGACTGCGCTTCCCAATAGTGTTGCTTCTTGCCTGGTGTGGTGTCTTCGAAGAAATGATTCGTTGTGATAGCGGGTGTGCAACACCTTTATGCGATTTACGTGGTGGATTTAGCGAGGTGGCGATTCGTTCTAGCCCAGTGCCTCATGCTCCGGCCAGACATTCATCAGCCCGCTGGAACTCGAATATTCTCTGGTTACCGTGTCTGTGTGAGAACGAGCAACCCAGAATCTTGTAAATCCAGGATACCCCTTCCAGTGTCGCACCTTATTGCAACTTCAGTTTCACACCCGTTAAAGCCGCACAGTCTTGACAAGAAATGGCTTCGCAAATGTCTTCACAAATCCCACCAGGACTCATGCAGATTGCGCAGATCATTGGCTTGTTCGAGCTTCAGATAAGGAGTCATGTCGCTCCCGGGATCCTGTTCCTTCGCAGTCTGGCCGTTGCCAAAGTACGCGAAGCGGTTCTCAGGCCGAACGTAAGTATACTCGAAGTCTTCCCACCGGGGTTCCCGCCGGATGTATGTAGCGTGCGCGCCGGAACCGGGCCTGGAGTAATCCGTCAGCGGAGCACCGATGATCGGAAAAGTGACGGTGGACCCACCAATGTCCATGAATACGCGCACCGGGACGACCTCCATTACTCCAAGAACTGCATTTCAACGCCATGTTTGTGCGAGGAAAGAAGGCATCAGCGTATGCAACGAAGTCGTCCGTCGCTGCCTTCGACGGAGCCATAGTTCGTATGCCTTGAGAGGAGATCTTCCTCAAGACCTTGGCAATGTATGTGATCTGGTTCTCGGCTGTCCACATGTCAGTACGCGACTATTCACCGTTCGCACTACCTTGAGCCAGATCGAGCGAATCGCAAAACAGACGAAGGCTCGATCATCAGCGAGCAAAGCATGATCTCATACCTGCGTGCGGAACGGTCCCACTAGGGCCAGCCGGGTTTGGTCCTATAGCACGGTGGTCAGCCTACCCAATGTATACCAGTCATGGAATTGTGCCACGCACCAAGAATATAGGCTAGGTTTGGAAAGCCATCAGTGGCCATTCCAAGGTACGACCTCGGCCAGCCGAACTTGCCACCAGCACGCCAATCTCGAGACAGGTCGGCATCGCCGGATACGATGGGAAAGGGCGGTGCGTAATGGACGTTTGCCCCGGTCGAGCAGATTACGGCATCGACTTGGCGATGGACACCGTCAGTGGTCACAATGCCATCCTCTACGAAACTGCTGATCATTAGCTGTGCCTCAGTTTAGATGGCAGGAGAGAATTGACGCACCGCTCGATAGGTGTTTGCACGAACTCCAAGTTCGGAGCACATAGCGCCTCAAGATATCCTGGACCTGGCGTCAAACGTCTGCAATTAGGAGGGAAGTCGGGAACCAGATTGTCCAGCAGCTCTGGCTTATCTTTTGTGCGAGCGCGCATCGCCTCAATAAAGTTCTGACGTAAGTTCTTGGAGGTGTCGGAGTCGACGAGCTGGCTATCGAAGCCTCTGAAAAACTTGTCCTCGAGACTCTTCCTGTACTTCAAATATTGTTCTGGGTCCTTGAAATCCTCGAGTTGCTCTTCTAAAAAATACATGGGCGTGTTTTGTCGGTCCTTGACAGCGGGATTGAAGCTACCCGCGATCCAAGTGCGGTTCCGTGCGTAGTGAACAACGTGGTCAGCAAGCTTCTGCAGTTCTGTCGTGACTTGAATACCAGAAGCTCCATTGCCAATAGTTGCGATTCTCTTTCCTTTCGGATCGAAGTTCACATCCCAATTCGAGCTGTGTCTCAAGTGGCCTTTGTAACTCTCGATACCGGGATACGATGGAAGCTTCCAGTCGTTGAAGTGACCAATCGCAGTTATGAAAAAGTCGTAGTGTTCTGAGACTGAACTGCCGGTTTCGACGTTGACACTGTCGATTTTCCACTGAGCGCGCTGTTCATCCCAATATGCCCCAACGACTTTTGTCTTGAACCGAACGTAGTCATATACTTTGTGCTTGCGGGCAACTGATTGCCAGTATGCGAGGATTTCTTTGCCTTGAGCATATTCCTCCGTCCACTGGGTGTTCGGCGTAAAAGTGCTTTGGTACACGTGGGCTGGTATATCACACCTGACTCCTGGATAGACGTTTTCAAACCAGGTTCCACCAACGTCGGTATTCTTCTCCAGGATTGTCAGATCAATGCCAGGTACTTTAGCTGGCAACAGAGCTCCGGCAGTGATGCCTGCCAAGCCAGCTCCGACGACAGCAACTTTGAGCTTGCGGACTTCATCGACTGGGTGCTCGGAAATCTTGAAATCTGTAGGCCACGGATACGTCCAATCGCTCTTCAAATCAGACGCTTCTTGTTCGCTCACGGTCTTCAACTCAACAATGGTTGAGGTGGCAAGTTTTGTATCGCCAGCAACTCCTTCCGGTGACAAAGCTGTTTCGACGGAACCCATTTTGCTATCTTGCGCCAAGGTGCGAGGTACCGTTCCCTTGACAGCTTGAGTATATCGAAGTGTTGTTTCGATCAAAGCATCCATATTGACTCGCAATGCCTGAAGCGTCCAAGCTTTTGCCGATCAGCCGAAGCGATGAACCTTCACTTGTAGTCAACGAAAGAGATACGAGTGATCCGCCTACCCAATGAAGCCATTTGTCGTGATCGAAACGCCCAAGCAACGAAAGTGGCTTTCCGAACGCTTGTGGTAAGCTGGAGTGCTCGTGATATGGCGCAATCCTAGGTCGAAAGGCAACATTGGCTCGGATAATCTTCGGCGTTCTCGTGGGCACCTCCAACAAACGGAGACAGCGATGTTGACCACGCAATAATGCTGGTGAGAGTGGAGAGCATCCACTGGAAAGATTGTGCAGGTGGTGCATGTGTAAGACCCAAGTGAGATCAGGACCACTTTCCAGAGAGCCTGATCGTGATTTGTCACAATCGATAGGCAGTCCATACTGCGTTCTCGCCGCATCTTCCTCCCGAAGGACCTAACGTCAGTGTACAACAAAATTTGGAGCAGAATCAAAGAGAAACACTTTACGGCATCCAAAAATGAGCATCGCGACAGTCAGGCCCGCCGACCCCATGTCATTCGAGTATCACGAGAATGATCTGGATCTTGGCGAGGACATCGACTGGGGAACCGCCACTCCGATTTCTCGGGTGAATGTGCTGGATGACAGGAAACTTGCAAACATCATCTCCAAGTGTGAGCTGCTTGAGCCCGCTAGGATCCCGCAACAACAAAAAGCGCTCATCTTACATGATGTAAAAACGCCTTATGTGCTGACGAGGCAACACACTGTGCCGGAAATCCAGAATGGGAACGAGCTGCTGATACAAATCGTTTCAGTCGGGCTAAACCCGATTGATTGGAAGTCCGTCGATTATGGATTCGGCATTCCCAGCTTGCCTTACATCGCTGGACGAGACTTCGCCGGAATCGTTGTCAAGGCACCCAGACATAGCCACATCCGGGAGGGCGATACTGTAAGTCAAGTTAGACCCAAGTCGGGTTTGGCCCAGTCACTGATTGCTTCAAGGTTATATGCGGGTCGACCGACTATCGCGATGTTCGCAAAGCTGCGTACCAAGAATACGCCATCGCAAGTGACCACACAGTATGCCGACTACCGGAGCATATTCCAGTCACACATGGTTCAGCCCTGGGGGTCGCCTTCGTGGCTGCGTCTCTCGCGCTCGGAGTCTGCCTTGGATTAAAGCTTCCAGATATCGCTGAAGCGAAAGGGTCGAAAGGCCCAGATATCCGGCAAATTGTCCGCAGAACCGCCTTGGGAGACCTGCCTTCAGACACAGTATCAGAGTGTCTAAGCATGCCTGAGTTTGAGCGGCCTGTACCAGGAGAGTGCTTAGTCATATGGGGTGGCTCTTCCACAAGCGCTCTGATTTTGTCGCAACTCGCTCATTTGGCTGGACTGAAAGTGATCCTGGTCGTGGATGTGGCCAAGCACGGCGCCCGAATGATGGAGTCCAAGGACTTCGTGCTGGTTGATAGCCACAATGCCGCCCGAGCGAGCGATATAATACGCAATTTGACCAAGGGCCAACTCCGATTCGGCGTGGATACCGTGGGCAAGCCAACCGCAGAGGCTCTGGCGAAGAGCTTGCAGGTTAACGGCGAGAAGAAGTCTCACATCGTCGGCTTGGCAGCTCTGCCCAAGGAGCGAATACCCGGCATAGTGTACCACAGTGTCCCAGTCAAGTTATTTCATGAGGTACGAGATGTCGGGCTGTCCTTGACGGCATGGCTCGAGCAGGCTTTGGAGCACAGCGTGTTGAGTCTGCCGGTGGTCGAAAGCGCGCCAGGCGGGCTCGAAGGGATCAACGCGGCATTGGATCGTATGCGGCAGGGTCAGATATCAGGGAAGAGGCTCGTTGTGCCGTTGTAAGTACTGTATTGGTGTTGTTGCTGAGGTTGTTGCAAAGACGCGACGCGTCTTCGTGTGTTCAGGTCATCGGCCCGGAATGCTCCGAGCGACGACAGACGGTTGCCATCTCATCTCCCCATCCTCATAACCAACCAACAATCCATCTGCGACATGCGCTTTCCATCTAGCCATCAACGTCGGGGCCGAAGGGACTCGATTATGTTGCCCTCTGCCTGCGTTTCGCTTCGAGCTAGTTCCACTCAAAATCCCGTTCTTGGCCGACAGCGCGTAGTCATCCTGGACTCGATGTGAAGCTGGGTTCACTTGCCAGTTGTGCAGTTCACCGGATGCGCGTAGCAGTCAAATGTGACAGAAGAGACGGAGAGCTTTGGTGCGTGGTCAAAATGTTGATGATCTTCCCTGGTCCAGATGCAGGTACGGCGCCAGACCCCGCTCTGGAGACCTTCATCATTGGATCTAGTTGTCCTGTGCCGTGATGGTAGTTTCCAAGGACCTAACATCCAGCGATGCCGTCAGTATTGACGACATGGACGACACTGAGGACAAGACACTCCCAGAAGGATCGCATAGCTGCTCGCAGTGCCACAAAACATACAAAAGACCCGAGCATCTGAAACGCCACTTGCAGAGTCACAGTACTGCCAAACAGTACAGCTGCCCACTCTGTCAGGCCACCTTTCAGCGCTCCGATGTCCTCAAGCGCCATCAGCAGACATGTGTCGGTCCGAGGAAGAGGGTTGCATTGACCAAGAAAGCATGCGATCAGTGCACTCGACGCAAGCGGGCTTGCGATGCCGCCCGTCCTTGTCGCGGATGTGTGACGAGAGGTGCTATTTGTACCTACAGCCAACTGGAACAGGCCATCCAGGGAGAGGCACAAACACACACTAGCCATGATACATCGTTTTGGATCCCGTGGCACGACGACTCATCATTAAGCGATGGAGACATCCTTGATCGGATATTCAGCTTTGGCGGCTCGGCAGTTGGCACCGAGGAGGGAAGGATCCCAGTTACGCTACACTTCCTTGAAAGGTTCACACGGGATCAAGGACTTGTGGCTTCCTTCGACTGTTGTACTGAAGAAGAGCGCTTGCTGCTTGAAGACCACGTCCGAGGTCAACTGCCATTCATAGATGCAACCGACGTGATGAAGTTGCAACAAGTGTCAGACCAAATTTCGCTACTGATAGCAGAAGTATGCCAGGTGAAGCCTCGGAACAGTGCTGTCAACATCTCCTGGGACCAAGCCACCGAGCATGATTGCCGACAGTTCTTTTCTGCCTCCAACATCTATTTCTTCCTTGAGCTATATTGGGCTATTTGGTCACCAAATGTGCCTCTTCTTCATCGACCAACCTTCGAGACCAGTATTGCCAAGCCTGTACTCATAGCGGCGATGGTCACGATCGGAGCTTCAGTGTCCTCCAGCGAGGCTGACCGTCTTGCAGCCAAACAGTTTTTCAATTGTGTGGAGGAAGCGGTATTTTGTGACGACCAATTCTGTACTGAGGAAGACCGCAGATTGTTCCCAAGCAAAGCCAAGATTCAGTCTCTGCAGGCTGCCTATATCGTTATGTTGTACCAGAATTGGGAAGGCAGCACTTCCAGCAAGGGTCGCATTCGACGGTTTCGTTACAGCACAGTCGTTGCCGTGAGTCCTCTCAACTGCGCTGATGAGTTCTGGCACTAATCACGGATAGGTTGCACGAGACGTCGGGGTTGGACACGCAAGGCACGAGATTTACTCTGCTGCGACTTTCGACTGGCAAGATTTCATATTACGAGAAGAACTGATCCGAGTCATTCTGTGGATTTTTCTACTCGACACAGCTTTCGTGATCTTCAACAATGTGCCGCCTCGGATGGCCATAAAAGAAATGAAGATGAGCTTTGCCCGCAACGATGCATGCTTCCAGGCCTCAAATAGCGAGATTTGTTTGCAACAGGTCATGATCGGCCACCAGGAGCCTCATTTGCTCTCGTCAGCATGTGAGATGATTTGCAACGGAACGATCACGGACGGCGAGTTGGCCAGCTTCGGACATCTTGGTTCCCTCAATCTGTTCGTTGCTACCTCGGGTAAGGCTAGCTGTGTAACAATGATTTCACAACTGACTAGAACTCGCAGCAATCCATTCCATGATCTTCCAGGCCCAGCAATCATTCAGTCCCCAGTTGCAGCTCGGTCCGATCTACAATGCCCTGGCGAACTGGCATCTTTTGTGGCAGAGGCATATCAAAGCCGACGCGGTCATGAGATCTCATGATGTCGCATTGCTGACTCTGGACATAACGAGACTTTGGCAGCGTGAGGGATTCTCACGTTTTGCACCCGAGTACTGGATGCTAGCAAGCATGCTCGTCCAACGACTCGACCGGACGGAACAAGATGTGATCGACAAGTCCCGCGAAGATCCTGAAGTCAAGATCGAGCCCAAGGACGAGCTCCTCGAGAATTATGATACTGATATGCGACAAGTCAACAGTCTCATCGCAGAGTTCCAGAAGGTCATGCTCTGAGGAAGTCTTGGCGGTACTTTGGTACATTGGTTCTCTCCCACATCGGCCTCCGCTAAAACGCCCACCCCCTCACCGCAACGCAAAACCGTAACATGGAATTGGAGCGTTGCTATTGGTCACTGGTCGATCGCACACGAAAGTTCATTGGTCAATAGCGGCCGACTGAGAAGAAGATCATCAGGTCGTGAACATGCCAACAGACTGAACGGTGCAAATGGCAGCGCTGTCTTGGTACGGCTTAGAAAGCGGCAGTCATCGCCATGTCTATAAAGGCAGAGCACACGGCCCACTTGCACGATGCAATTTGAATCCCCCCGATTCATCATGGAACGATCATCAGTGTTTACTGCTGGCCTGATAGGCCTACTGGTCTACGGCCTGTATCGGTTGCTCTCTATCGGCAAGAGGCCCAAGGACTACCCACCTGGACCACCTACATTGCCAATTATAGGGAATATTCATCAGGTAAGCTCTCCGTCCACTGCCGCACAATCGAGCTAACACATACCCAGATGCCGACCAAAGATGCACACCTACAATTCCAGAAATGGGCAGAAGAATACGGCGACATCTACAGCTTGATGCTGGGCACCCAGACTTTGATCGTGCTTTCAAGCGACGTTGCTATCAAGGACTTGATGGACAAGCGAAGCTCGAACTATTCCGACAGACCAGAGCTTTACATTGGTCAAACGCTGTGTTCGGACGATTTGCGCGTACTCATGATGGGCTATTCTCCCAAATGGCGAAGCATGAGGAAAATGTTCCACCACTTACTCAACGCAACTGTCGCTGGAGACTTCGTGCCCTACCAGACACTGGAGAATAAGCAGATGCTGAACGATCTTCTGGAATCTCCCAACGACTTCCTCCAGCATATTCGTCGGTACTCAAATGCGTTAACAACATCGATGGTATTTGGCTGGCGTACGCCGACGTTCAATGATCCCGATATTCAACAGCTGTTCGAGGGCTTTTCGGAATTCGCAGGTACTGATCACCTATTCTTCTGTGCACGTTTGCTAACCTTGTCCAGATATCAATATGACAGGTGTGGCAGCTCTGCTCGATGCATTCCCGATCATTCGAAAGCTGCCAGACTTCATTCTTCCACTGCAGAAGAAAGCAAAAGACCTTCACAAAGTTGAACGAGAGCTTTATTTGAAACATTGGCTGCGCGCGAAGAAAGAGATCAAGGAAGGCACAATCAATCACTGTTTCTGTAAGTAAGCTATTCGTTGAGGTCACATATCTGAGACTGACTTTCGCTCAAGGCGTCGGTATGGCGGAAGCACAGAAAAAGGACGGATTCTCGGACGCTCAGGCGGCTTATATCTCCGGCACGCTCCTCGAAGCCGGTTCTGATACGACCTCGAATACTTTGTATGCCTTCGTGCAAGCTATGCTGCTCCACCCGGATGTTCAACGCTACGCACAACAACAGATCGACGCTGTCTGCGGAGATTCACGACTACCCACGATGGAGGACCAGCCTGCTCTCCCGTATATTCGCATGCTAATGAAAGAGACTTTGAGATGGTGCCCCACCACCATCCTAGGCGCTGTTCCACACGCTGCGACTCAAGAAGACACGTACAAAGGATTCGTCATTCCCGCAGGGGCCGGCGTCATGAACAATGTCTGGTCGATCAACATGGATCCAAATAGAGCACCGAACCCGCGACAATTCGATCCAAACCGCTACAAGGACGACACTCTCGGACTCTATGACTCCGCCTCCAACCCAGACGGAACGAAGAGAGACATGTTCACGTTTGGTGCAGGTCGCCGCATTTGTCCAGGTATGCACGTTGCGGAGCGAAGTTTATATTTGGGAATGTCGCGCATTCTCTGGGCATTCGATATAACGCCGGCAAAGGACAAGAATGGCAAGCCTATTCTACCCAATCCAGACAAGCTGACGCAAGGCTTCGTGTGCATGCCTGAAGAGTATCCTGCAACGATCACACCAAGGTCGCCACAACGAGCAGCGATTGTGAAGGCGGAATGGGAGAAGGCTTCGAAGGAGCTCTTGGATCCTGTCAGCAAGCAATGGATCTCATCGCCGCTCTGAGTCGGTACTCCATATGACAACGAGAAGTCATACCTTAGGTATTGAAGAGAGCTCGAAGGGCAATTTTCCACGCGTCGATGAGGTGACAAACATACTGCAGTGATTGAACACGAATGCCAAGCATATCGAGACCCTCCAGACGCGTTGTGTAGGCGGAGAGCTACGACAAATCCATTTAGCCTGTCCACGAATGGAACGCTAATAGGTCCATATTTAGATTTACAGACAAACATGGTCTTTGCCAGACGTTCGGTCAGATCGAAAATACGAGCAAAGTAGCTTATATATATATTTGTAGCAGAGAAACGTAGAAGCATCGATCCATCGTGGTAGGCAGTGACTGTTTACACCCTTCCCGTACGACTGTCACCCAGTTCGACAAAACCGTGACCATGCTCTTCACATCAATTCTACTACCTGGTCTCCTCGCCAGCAGTGTCCACGCTCTACCACAAACAACAACGCCGTCCTCCTCAATTGCACCACAAGCATACCCTCAAAAATGTACATCTCCCGAATTACGAAAAGAATGGCGACAACTCAACGCCAAAGAACGAAAAGCCTACACCGACGCAGTCCTCTGCTTGAAAACAAAACCCTCTCGCATTGGATTGAGTACATCTCTATTACGATGATTTCCCCTACGTACACCAACAAGTTGACAAAGAAGGTTCAGTCTGTCCACGCTCTTTCTTACGAAATCATCACCACTAACACCACCATCTAACTACAGTCCACTTCGTCGCCTCCTTCCTCCCCTGGCATCGCTACTTCCTCTCCCTCTACGAAACCGCCCTCCGACAACAATGCTCCTACGAAGGTCTCGTACCCTACTGGGACTGGACCCTCGACAGCCCCCACAACGTCTCCCAATCCCCAATTTGGTCCTCGAAAACCGGTCTAGGCGGCAACGGGAATCCTCTCAAACCCGTCACCCTCAGCGACGGTTTCACGCGAAATTGCATCACAGACGGCCCATTCCACAATCTCAAAGTCTCGTATTTTGGCCCTGGCTTAGAGGAACATTGTCTGACTCGAAATTTCAACGACGGGACAGAGCAGATTGGGGATATGTTGGCTTCTGCTTACAAGCCGGATGTTGTGAATGAGATTCAGAATTCGAAGGATTATGATTCGTATCGGAGGACGTTGGAGTCTGGACCTCATGGGGCGATTCATTCTGCTGTTGGAGGGGATCTTGGTCCAGCGACGTCGCCGAATGATCCGATTTTCTTCTTGCATCATGCGCAGATTGATCGGTTGTGGTGGTTGTGGCAGCAGAAGGATCCGAAGAAGAGGAATATTGAGTTTGGAGGGAATAAGATGCAGGAAGATGGTGGCGCGGAGGGATCGTCTCCGAGAGCGGAGTTGAGTGACGTTCTGAGTGTAAGAGGTTTGGGTGGGGATGTGAAGGTGAGTGACTTCATGACGACGCAGAATGAGAGGCTGTGTTATAGGTATTGATGCATGGGTCGTGTCTCTGTAGACTCGATGCAATGCCGCGAGCCGCTTCCGACATAGTTGCTTATGCTCAATCAATTGCGATTCGGAACGAGTCGTCGTATACACGCTGAAGCTTCCAGTCGTCGTCGTCGAGTGAAGCCAACTAGTCGCGAAATATCTCCGGGTTGCCTCTCAGATAGTAATGGGAAGCTTTCAGCGAGAAGCGCATCCACGTAGAGTTGGTGTCCTGCACTTCGGTACCGCGTACCATGACCACCAGATCACGCCATATCGAGCCTTTCAGTCTTCCCATATTCCGAACCTCCTACCAGCCATTCGATTTCATCTCATCCCACTCACTTCAGCTCCCTCAACCCACTCCAAGGATCCTCCAAAAACCCCTTTGAAAAATACACAAAATCCCCCCTAACATTCTTCACGCCTCTCCTCAGCGCCTCCAAACTCGGGCTCTCTTGCGTCTTAGGATCATACAATCCTCCCGCATCGAACCCATTCGAAGAAGAAGAAGCAGCAGCGCTTTCAATTCCTGTCTTCACCTCCTGCCCCATTGCCGCAAACGTAGATTGGTCGTTCCCCGTCGCAACCTTCTGCTCACTCCGCGCGCGCACAGGAACATTATTCGCTCCAGTTTTCCTCGCATGGACTCCAGGATCGACAAAACCATCCGCATCGCCATCAGAGTTAAATTTCCGCTTTTGTTTATTTTGTGTTCCGAAACCAGCAAAACCCATTGCCGCGGCGATGGCCGGGTCGATGGTGAAGTCTTCTTGATCGTCCATGGCTTGCTGTTCCTTGAAGGTGGCTCGAAATGGCTACTTTGTTCCTTCGGTGCGTTGGTGGATGGAGTTGAAGTGAATGTGAATGGCAAGAGGCGAGGTCGGAAAGTGGGTCGCGCGGAAGAAAGTGGTGGGACAGCAGGCACATGCCATGGCGAAGGAAAGAGCAACAACAGGCTGACTCCGGACTTGGTTCAGGTCGAACGAAACGAAAAACAATGGAGATACGTAGATTTTCAGGTTTGTGCCTGCGTGGCAATTGTTCATGATATCTATCAACATAGGGCAGATGACCCAATGACTGCATCCTAGGTTTCTCCTGCACAGCATATACAAGTCATAGCGCGAACATCGTCTCGGACCCTGGGAGTTCTTCCCTTTCAGGTTCTGATCCAGGTATTAGTGTGATCGACCTGCCGGAACTTGTGCAACGGATCCTCGACGGCCTTCCGTTCTCGCTCTGTACGCTTCGCGGCATTCTATACCTGGTTCGTCTTGGAGCTTGAAGCGGCAGTGCCGGCCAACATGCTCTTTGGATCGCGGATACCGGCGTGGTTGCCTTCTTGTACACGCTTCAAGGTCAAAGCGGCGATCAATGCTGCGCCGACACCAGATCCATCTTCGGCTGGGAGGATCTCAATGGGGTCATGGCCCTTTCCAAGAGACTTGCCATTGCGGCCCTTGTCCCAGTCGAGGATCTCCTTGAGAGCTTGTGCGCCTCTTGCCTGTTGGATAGTCAGTAAGATTCATCTTTTGGAATGTTCTGATGCTGACCTTGAAGTGTGGGTACTTGTTAAACACTGAACCATCTGCTCCAACGTGGCATTCCTTGTAGCCCTTCTTCTTGCTGATGGCTGCAACACCGCACGCACTAAGTCTGGCAGATCTCGTACCAATCAGCTCAGCAAGTCGTCTTATCAATTCCAGCTCTGGCTTTTGACAGTTGATCTTCATCTTGTCGTAGAAGATATCATATGTCTCCTGCAAGTTCTCGTATGGATCATTCTCAATGTCGGACAGGAAGGAGGCGTCAAGCGAGTAAGGCTTCTTGAGAGAAGAGATGTCCTGGCCTTGGAAAAGCTGGACGTGTGGCTGCTCGTGAAGGTCGACCAGCACAAGACGGAAGAGCTCACCGAGGTAGAGACCAGCGATCATCTTCTCAAAGGCCTGCTGACCAGGACGTGGAGAGTCTTTGTCGATAATAACGTCGTATTGCGTCCTGGGAAGAATCTTGTGTTCGTTGTCGAAAGCACCCCATTCGCAGTTGATAGCAATCTCTTGCTTTGGATCCAGCTTCATGTGCTCGAGCTTAGGAATCTCGCCGGCGTGCTCCATGTATGCAGCATTGCAGCCAGTTCCGAAAATGCAGCCAATTCTCATCTCGGTGTCTGTGTAGGCACTAGCAATCAGAGTACCGGTGGTGTCGTTGATGAGCGCAGTGAGCTTGATGGGCACTCCACGCTCTTCCAAGGCCTTCTCGAAGGGTGGGACAACATCCTTGCCCTCGACACCGTCAATGTCAAAGCCCTTGGTCCATCGCTGCAGCACACCGTGATCGATGTAGTCTTGCGTCGCTGGGTAGGAGAAGGTGAAACCAAGAGGAATCTTATCCAGCTTCTCACCTTCGTGGTGGTATTCGATGAACTGCTGCAAACAGTCTGCAATGTATCCCCAAAGCTCGTCTGCGTTGCCGGTCTTGAGCTCTTCTGGCATGCGGTACTTGGACTGGATGATGTCGAACTCTCCCTTCTCTTCTGGCAGGTTGATCTCGCAAACACGCAGGTTGGTGCCTCCCATGTCGAGAGCAAGGAAAGTGCCGGTCTCGTGGCCAGTAGGGAAGCCCATGACCCATGTTGGGTTCATTGGAATGCTGCCACCCTCTTTTGACAGACCCTTCTCGAGCTCACTGACGAAGTGGTCGGTGATGGCCTTGAGCTTGGCGGTGTCGACAGTGAAGATCTCCTCCAGACGCTTGATCTCGGCCAACATGTCCTTGGGCATATCTGCCATGGAGCCCCTACGGCTGGGCTGCCGTCTCGGACCTAAGCCAACCATATTGACTGATTTCTCAACGATCGATGGGTGATGGTGTGCTCCAAGGCAGTGTGTAGGTGTGTATAGATACGGCGGACGTGAAGTAGCTCCCGGATAGTGTACGAGAGCAGAGGGGCCGAAGAAGTGCGTAGATCTGGTCGCTCACGCGGTTGTGGTGCTGGCTGGACAAGCTTCCGTCAGTAGCGGTCCACGTCGATGTGCAGCTCCTGCTCCTGCTTCTAAGCAATGACCAAGCAGGTGCAACAGAGAAGGTGTATGTGACAGGGAGGAGGTATCGGAGGAGATTCAGCAAAGGATAGGAGTGCTATTTCTGCTGACTTGTTGTATGTGCATGAGGATTATTTTTGTTGATGCATATGCCCCGCTATGGCACCGAAGACCAGGCCAGAGACCCCTCCAGAACATCGGCTGCTCTCGCCGATTGCAGGCACAACGAGCGCCATTGGCATGGCCAAGAAAATGCTGATCACTTACCGCTGGGCAATGGATCAATCAGGAAGAGTTTGATGTATGGGAGAGAGATGTGAACAGAAAGGAAACATCAAAATCTTCTTACCGCTCGCGTGGTGATGATGCTCCAGCGGCCTGGCTTCGGTGGTTGAGCGGTCGTCGCTCTGCCCCGACCATGACGTTCCCAATCCCGGCGTGAGCAGCGACAGTGACGTGGTCTTGGCACTCGCCTGGTGATCCTGGCGAGAGCTCTCACGTCGTCGAGCTGACCATCACATTGGAACACTCACAAAACAACAACACTTCACTCATCTCGCGACTCCGAAACACACTCCATCACTCACAACACCTCTCCCATCACACCTTCCACCCAAGTAGGCCATCGAACACCCTCAAACCCACCACCCGCGAGCTGACGTAGCTCGCAGCATGTCCGCCATCCGCATCATCCGCGCTCTTCCAAAGACCCCAGTCACTTCTCGCAGCTTCTCCGTCGCAGCTCGCAGAATGGCCGGAGGTGACACTGGCGCCACTCGCTCCGGCGGTGCAGCAGCGAGCGATTCCTTCACCAAGCGTGAAGAGGCCAACGAGGCTGCCTTCATCAAGAAGGCCGAGAGGGAGAAGTTGGAGGCCTTGAAGAAGAAGATTGCCGACTCCGAGGCACAATTGGCAAAGGACAGGAAGGAGGCCGATGACATTGTGAAGGGTTCCGGCAAGCAGTAGATGGAATGAACAGGTGAGTGCTGTGTTGTAGAAGCTAAGCTTGCACACAACTAACGCGCTACAGGCCGGAGACATAGAACGATAGGCATCAAGAAGCGACGAGTCATGTACATATAACAGCTACCAGAGTCACGAAAGGTCTTCCCTCATCCAGTCTTGCCGAAGTGCAAATGCACGAGACATGTGTTCTACTGACAACGCCATACTTCCAGCATGTCTCCAGTGGAAATTGAGACATTCCACAACGCCCTGAGACCACCATGACAGCATCGCAGCGACATTCATAAGCTGGGGAAAGTCGACTCCGGAACCTCCCAACTACAGCTACATCTCACAAACACGATATGGCACCTTCAGGCAAGGACCAAGGCGGCGAACTCGCGCGCGATAGCAACAAGAGCAGACCAGAGCAGGATACCTACAAGGGTTTCACTGCAGAGCTGCCTCCTGATGACTTGCAATGCACAACACCTTCCACGACCAAGCCAGCTAAGCAATCACATCTGCCTCGCGCTCATGTGTCCCCAGATCAAACATCTCCCAAACAACTGGATCCCACAACGAAGGAGGTCCTCACCCTAGCTACTACCACGCCTGCACCGTTCAGCCTTCTCGCAGCTCCGCCACAGAGTGCGCTGCCACGAAGCATCCGTCCCTGCCGCCTCACGGCTGATCAATCTGCCTCGGATATCGAAATCGTGGCTAGCATCACTCCAACTATTGTGGACTACGTCGAACAATCGAGTGGAGACTTCGACATGACGCTCCGAAGCTTGGCCGCGACTTTGCAGAAGATTGCTTTTGAGGCTGGAGCGAAGGCCGAGGTGCAGGAGTCGAGCGTGAGGAAACCGCCTTCGAAGGAAGATATGGACTTTGCTGAGAGATTGTTGGGAGGCAAGGAGGGGAAAGACACGTGTTGGGGCTTGCCTTCGGGAGGAAGTTGATTTTTTCTTCTTCGGCGACTTGGGTTCCTTTCTATTCGTGGACTGAAATGAGCTATACGTTGAGGGGCCGGTCAATTGAGCTGGTGATCGTGTGAGAGCAGAATGCTCGTACTACGCTTCCGCCGGCGCCAGACTGCCAGGGTAAGAAGCTAAAACCTGCTCACATGCTCACGATACGACTGGTTCAGAAGCTACGCGTTGCACAGCCATCCTGTCAACGCCACGACTCGGTTCTCATCACTTGATCAGCGTACCTCTCAGTCGCGTCTGGACAGTTGATGAAGAGGCGGGCGGCTAGGAAAGTTAAGAATGCAAGAGCCTTTTCCTGAAAGTCCCATGCCGTCTCGTTCATTTCAATGGTTCAGGATCGAAACCTTTTGACACTCGTATTCGTCATCCTTCCTTTCCACTACATTCAGATTGGCTCACAACGTAGTAAGAACACAGCCTCAGTTGATTGCTTGTGCTGTTCAGTGATGAGGGTAACACGCAACTCCGCTATGTACGACTTACCCTCCCAACATCATTCCCAGAAGAGAGGCAGCAAGAATGGCAAAAATCAATCGCTCTTCACCTGGACTCACGACATGATAGACAAGATCTAGAACCGCATGCGTCGTTGTGGCTCAGCGCCTTTGCGGCTGAACCTTCTTGTCTCGAGTACACGCGTCTCTGTCCCTCCTTCCGGCGCTTGCAACCTCGCATTGTGATACAATTGGCAACAAGCTAAGCTGTTCTCGGTATAATGCCCAGCTGTACCAGCGCTCATCTCCAGGAGCTTGGTCGAAAGCTTGGTGCTGCTGCTTGAGCTTAATACTGAGTCCAACGATTGGAGACGCCTGACTTGTGGGCAGTACGAAAGGCTGTCTTGTGGTATATCCCTCAAATGAGCTGTACGCGCGGCTTCATTTTGTGTAGCGTATGCAGGGAGAGTGGCACCTCCGTTTTGTGCTTCGTGGCTGGCTTGTACGAGGAGCAAGAGCAAGAATAAGAAGTCGCTCAAGCGCCTTTCTGATCGAGGGAATACAATCAAGCCTGCAAGAGATCAGTACCGTTCATTACAATCAAAGTCTTTCACTCGAGTCGACTTCATCAGTCACGAGCCACCACAAAATCATCTCATAAACCAACCAACCAAACCCACCAACACACTCCACAAAAATGCGTTTCACTCCAGTCTTCACCCTGGCTTTCGCAGCCTTCGCCATCGCAGCCGATAGCACTTCCTCATCAGACATGACCAAGACCGACACCGCCACTAAGACCGATACTGCCACCAAGACGGAGACCAAGACAAGCGAGCATACAAGCATCAAAGACGCGTCGTCTTCATCTCACCACAGCACATCGACCGGGACTGCCGCCGCAGCGAAATCTTCCAGCCACTCATCCTCTTCTTCGCACGCAGGCGCTGCTGCGACTTCGTTCCCAGTTGTTGCTGCGGGTGGAATGATTGTTGGAATGGCTGCTATGGCGATTTTCTAGATCAGATTGGAGACAAGGGGGTTGAGAAGAGAGAAGGGTACATTGACTAGGAGAAGGAGATCGAGGAGAAGTGCTGCATTGATTGGGGACTAAAATCGGCAAATGAAGCGTACAGCAGAACTACAGACATGTCAGCAAGATTCATTTTCATTATGTTCATGAGTTAAAGTCCTGTAAGCAGAAAGAACACCCGTATCATCTGGTCAAATTTTACCTTGTTTTCCTTTCTCGCCGAGAATAAAGTCCCAATACGATTCAGCCATGCATCGAACCCAACAAGATAGATCTCCAATGTTGCTGAACCACGACCATGTCGCAGCGGCATTGTTCAGAAAGCAAACTCCTACGCGAAGGTGGAAAAGTCTGTGCGGCATTGATTGGCATTTATATAGTCCAAGCAAACATGCTTCGTCAACAAATCGGCTTGCGAAGCGTCGAGAAATTCGGCAGACCACATGTATAGAGCGCGGTCGATTTGTTTTTGTTTTGTCATTTTCAGCGTGAGAATCCGCAGGTCGCGCCTAGGTCAGGTGTTCGAATCGACGTCGGTTGGTGCGTAGTACATTCGTTCGTTCTTGCTTTTTGTTTCGACTTCGTGCCTTTGAACTCGAGGCATAACTGACGTGACTGCAGTCTCTAACGGCTTCTCTGCCCGCGTGCGTTCAGTCGGCATTGTCGTTGGCATTCATATGTTGCTAGCAATTATGCTTACTCAGACAAGTTGGCGACTCATCACCGACTTTAGTTCCGGCAGATCCCCATAAACAGGATCGTCGACTTGTCGTTTTGCTGTTTTGACGCGAAGTTCGCGCAGGTCAGGAGTTCGAATGCCGGCTGGTGTCAAGCAAGTATTTTCCTTTTCCTTTCTTTTTCAATCGACTTCCCTTAACCGGCGCAAACAACAGACAAAGTAATTCTGCCCGAGGTATCCGTCTGTTCATCGCTGCTCTTATTTGGACCCAGCAAACGAATGGACAAACAAACATAGAAGTAAAACTTTTGCAAACAAACGTCCTAGACAGCAGCAAACTGCACGTAGCGGAAATGCCATGTTCCCAATTCTTCCCGTTCCCAACAATAGATGCCAGCCTTTCGCACGAATTTCTCACTTTTTTCACCTCTTCAAAGACCTGCAATGAAAAGTCTCGAACCATCACAGCCGCAAGCCATGCCCCGCGAAACCGAAGAAGAAATGTTCCGCCGTGTTGCGTCCGAAGCTCGCCGTGAAGCTCGCATCGAACAGCAACGTGATTTTGAACGCAGACGACAGAGAAAGCTCGAGCGGAGAATGAAGCGGGAAGAGGAAGCAAGAAGACTCATCGAGGAAGTCGCTGCCAAGAATCCGGGTGTGGTCGCGAAGAGGGTCAATGGGCGTGGAAGAGGCATATTGGCTAAGCCGAGGAAGAGAGTGATGCGTTCGTGTTCTCCAGTTGTTGTCGACGATACCATGGAGGGCGCGGAGGATGATGGATGGGTGCCTTTGAGACGGGACGTTGGGACGGAGACGGATCCGATTGAGACATGTTTCGTGCAGGGCGAGGCCGGAGAAGAGGTCGAGGGTGATGATGTCGGAAGAGAGTATTCAGCAATTGCAGCTGAGATGGACGTTGATTGCGAGGTGGTCATTGGTGATGCCTCAGGTAGAATGAGCGAGACCAAGGCAGCAGAAGGTCATGAAGGCTCGGGCAGTGAGCTTCCGGAATGGGAGAAGGCCTGGAAGGAAGCGGTGGAAGCATTTCAAGAGGAATGCAATGTGGAAGCTGATCGATACGATGCTACGCTTTCGATGTATCTGTGATTGAATAGTAACGGTCCGACGCCGGTATAGCCCGGTGCGAACTCGGCCACTTCAGCGTCGCGAAGGTCTACCAGTCTCTCGTAGGTGTTCAATGAATTTCGTGAAAGGCCTACTGCCTGTCGTGCTGACCGTGTTGACACTTCTCATCGTGACAAAGCTTGGTGGTCGTCCACTCTTGATGTCTTTCGCCCATTGCCGAATCCGTGCGGGTTGAGCCAATTGAATCTCTTGGAGCTCTTTCAAGCGCTGGTCCTGCGCAGCACGGTAAGCTGGCATCTTGCCAATCTCAATGTGCGCCTTCCTCGGCTTTGAAGTTGCAGGTGGGACCGTTGGCGGTTCATGACCTATAGATTTGCCCTGTTCGACAACCTGTGCTTCACGCTTGTCGCCACCTGAAGCATCATGCTCATCCCTAAGAGGGGCCTCTGAATGAGAAAGATCATGAAGATTCGCCATAGTTAAACTTTTCGAAAGACGGCGTCCAGAGTCCAACAGCGCCGTCTTTCCTCGTTCGGCTGCATTGACCAATTGGCTATTCCTGTTCCACTTCTGTCTGACGGGAATGTAGTTTCCATCCTCATCGCACGAATAGACACTGCTTGCAACAGGCATACGGAATTTGGGTACAAGTTTACGCTCCGACAGTCCGGTAGCTGGCGTAGGATCCGTGGTATCTCGAATATCTCTGATAGCTTGATCAATATCAGGTGCGTCGAACACAGTGCTGATTGTCGAGATAATGCTTGCCCGACGAGACCTCAAAGCAGGATGTACAGTATTATTGCGATTTACCACGGCCAATGGTGCTGGCATCAAGGAAATCTCGGTCTCATAGTCCTTTGGGTGTTTCTCAGCACTCAGCGGGTACTCTTGCAGAGGCTTCTTGCCTTTCGGTAATTGAACCGTATCCCATATGTCAGTCGAGGGCGTGCTCGATGTACGCAGTACCTTGACGCTTCTGACTTGGGGCATGCGGACAGACAGAACCTCTAGGCTATGATTGGCTCCATTTATATTCCCGTAGGAGAATTCCCGAAGATTTTGCCAGATCAGATGTTTCCTCTCGAGCAAATCACCGAAGATCAGTGGGCTGGGACCTGTGACATCGAGCCACACGAACCGCAGACAGCGCAGAGTCCGATGGAAGCTTCGAAGGTAGTCCTCCAGCACTTGCAGGAACATCATCATCTGGTTGTCGCTAAGCTTTCGGCTGGCTACTGGATTGCGTATGCGAAGGTCAAGTTCAGCTAAACTCGTCCAGATCTGCGTCGGTGGTGAGGAAGTTTGACGTGGAGCGAACGGTGAAGTAAAAGCACCAAAGCCGGCCCATCGCATGTACATCACTCCAGCAGCATGCAATGTGTCCACCCGCAGGGAACGTAACTTTGGCAAACTGGCGCGCTGCAGTGCCAGGCGGAGAGTGACGAGAATGTCATCGGTCGGTGTGGGGCCAGGCCAATCGGAGTCACCATGGATGCGGATATTTACTTCTCGAACATGCTGAATATGACTTAGGATGTGTCGAAGCTTCTGCTCGGTGCGCGGATCGAGACCAGACTCAAATGCGTCCTTTGCTTGCCTAGTTGGGTCGGCCGACGGGGTGTGACGGGGAGTTATTATGAACATCAGGGCGGTACAGAATGGAGCTATTCTCTTCAATGCAGCCAGTTCGGGACTGCTGCCCTGACGTCTCAGTGGGAGATGAACATGAAGCCGGCGGAATAGATGACTCTTCCTCTGGTCCACAAGGCCTTGCAGTAAATGCGATGAAAGTCGCAGATTGGGCAACGAGTTTCCCTCACTCAAATGCGCGAAGAGCGTCCGTCGGATGCTACCATCGTCCCTGTCGTCCTCAAGAAGTGTAGATTCAAGTTTCGAAGTCATGGCGTCTCAGATGGGTTTGCAGTGTGGACTCAAAAGGAGGCTCCGCCGTCCAGAGCTCATTAAGAAAGTCGTAGGAGCTTGCTGTCGTGAAGAGTGCCAATGCGCGACACCATTGCATACCATCTCTCCGTGAATGCGAAAACCCAAGCCGGCTTGTTTGCCATCGACCCATCCTTCACAACACCGCAACATCACCAGAAAACGTCCTCGTATACGCCGTATCACTCGTATAATCTTTCTGCGGTCCCTTCACCTTATACCTCACCCCAAAAACATTCATCTTCTCATCACCTCCCACCTCAGCAACTTTCGGTAGTCGAAACTCATAGTACGCCCAATACATATCAAGTTCGCACAGATGCTCGCCACGACCCGCAACACCATTGCCTTCGGCATCGATTTCGAGATCATGAAATAGGTAGTCAACTTCTTCTGCGCCATCTTGGGCTTTGGTGTCTTCTTTGATGAACCACGCGGAAATTTTGTCTTCGTCGGCGTCGTACCTGTAGACATATTTGCGGTTGGCTTTCAAGGTGAATCCATTATCGGTTTTGAGTTCTCCCTGTTCTGAGTATACTAGTTCGCCTGCAGCAGAGTGGGCAGTGGGAGTGCGTGGTGTGAATTTTGCTATGCCTTCGAAGATGCCTGAGGGGAAGCCTGCCAATTGGCTGTTCAGCGATCTGCGGAGCCGCCATGAGCCTTTCAGGCCTTCGAATACGGCGGCAGCGGTGGTTTTCGCTGCCATTCTGCGTCTTTTGGCAGGCAATAACGATGGTTTGGAGGACCTGTGGTTGTGTTACGGAAATAGCAACTCAAAAGAGGCAGGTCCGGATGTCTTTGCGTCGGATCCGGATGCCGCCGATCTTCATTGCCCGCTTGAATTTGTTCAATCAAATTGCTTCAAAGGGCTTCGGCACTCCACTTCCGAACCGTCTTCACGACGACATGATGTGCGACATTGGAGTTCGGCAGCGAGGACAGCTGGTGATTGTTGGAGAGATGGACTTCCCTTTGCTTTCTCGCAACAGTGCAAGTCGCTCTTTGCGTACGGTTTTCCGTCATGGCCGCTGCAGGAGGCAAGTTCTTCATTCAGGACGCCCTCAAAACGCCTGCCGTGCATCACGAAAGTTTCGAGCAATTATGGAAGACCAAGTGGGAGCCGGTTTCGAAGATGGGAGTGTACCCGTGAGTCGTTTGTTGAGTGATGAGCGCAGCAAAATGGACTGATACGTTGCAGGTTCATGTTCAATGCTCATCAAGATTTCGAGCCAATTGCTGAGCGACTGATCGCCGAAGGTCAAAAGGAACCTTATGATTGGGATAAGTATGCAGAAGCATTCTTTCCCAAAGCCGAAGAGCTCTTGAATATCGCTGAAGAGGCTGAGAAGAATGGCGACAAGGCCAAAGCGTCGGAGTATTTCATGTGAGTAACTCCATCTAGACCGTCCACTTCAGAGACATAAATGCTAACAATCTCCAGGCGTGCATCAGCAGTCTATCGAATCTCCCGCTTCCCAGCCCCACGATCCGAAAAACAACGCCACGCCTGGCAAGAAGGCAAGAAAGCCGCGAAGAAAGGCCTCGCTCTTCGCGACCGCCCAACCCAAGAGATCTCCATCCCTCACACCCAGGGCCTCGCCACTGAAGGCAAAGAGATCACCTTCTACTACCACCTCCCACCAGGAAGCAGTGCCCAATCCCCTGTCCCCCTCGTCATAATCCTCACAGGCCTCGACGGCTACCGCACCGAACTCGCCGTCTGGATCGAAGGCTTCTCCCACAAAAATATCGCAACCCTGATTCTCGAAATCCCCGGAACAGGAGACTCCCCCGCCGACCCCAGCGACCCCACGTCTCCAGACCGCGAATGGTCCTCTCTCTTCGACTGGATCGAATCTCAATCCGAAATCGATCAAACTCGTAAAGCCCTCTGGTCCTTCAGCACAGGCGGCTACTACGGTATCCGTCTCGCTCACACGCACCACGATCGTCTCCAAGGCGTCGTAGCACACGGCGGAGGCTGCCATTACATGTTTTCCCCCGAGTGGCTTTCCCACGTCAATCATCTCGAATATCCCTTTGATTTGGCGACGACATTGGCGTATAAGTTCGGTTATGGCGATGATTTGGAGAAATTCAAGCAAGAAGCCATGAAGAAATTCTCGTTGCTTAAAGATGGAACGCTTGATAAACCAGTTTGTGCGAGACTTTTACTCGTCAATGGTGTGAATGATGAGATTTTCCCGATTGATGATTATTATTTGGCGTTGCAGCATGGGGCTCCTAAGGAAGCGAGGTTCATCGATGGGAGGAAACATATGGGAGAACCGGAGAGCTTTTTTGTGATCCTGAAGTGGATTTATGATTTATTCGGGCTGGAGGGCTCGCCGCAGGAGCAGATGAAGACGATTCCTTCGAAGTATGGAAGATAGGCTGAGTCAGGAATACGGATCTGAGAAGAGGGCCGTAGGAGTTGACTTCCCATTTATGAATGAGTCTTCGGACTCCATCCCGCTTCATCTGTGGTGCCATGCGGTTTTTATTGCATGCGGTCGCTCGATCATGCCGCCATGCGACGCACATGCATCGTTACCAGATTGCTAGGAAGATGCCTGCTGAATGTTGTCCATTGTGCGAGTATAGCTGCAAGGTCGAGACATATCCTGCTTGCCATGCTTTCGGATTCGCGCCCAGGACTCGTTCTCAAGTCACCTCACTGAGCCGAGGAATGTCTGGCGTGGCACGGTCGCGCATCTTATTGGCATACGGCTCGACGCCAATCATCCTGCTGCAAGCCCGGTCCAACCAGACGACCATACTGGCAACATATGAGACCACTTCATTGATGCCGCCTCGCAGATTGATAATTTGGACAAGCCCCATCATATGTGCTTTATAAGCATCAGCTGATGTGTAACGAAGCTCATATAGGGCGAGGAGCAGGACGGCACAAATCATCTGGTCCGAATTACGACGTACGGGGTCAGCTATGGCTGTGTTGAGGCGGTGTATGATGCGGCCGCGAAGGTGCGTGAGATGGTAGAGTTCATTCGGGTGTAGGGCATGCCCTCGCGAGTCCAGGAGTCTGCGCGTACCGGAGAGCATCGCCACGTTGAGCAGGGTGGAGTCTTGCCACAGGAATGATAGTAAGCAAGCAGCATGGTCTGTGTCACGCATCCCTGGGTTGTCTCCTAGGAACGATCCCGTTTGCGATGTCATGTAGCTTTCGTAGAGAGTCTAGGAGGACATGGTCAGCTGATAGGTCTCCAGAAATTCATTACTGCGTGAAACACACCCAGACTGCTGTTACATTGCAGTGAAGGCTGCTGAGCACCATTCCGACATCATTGTCCGCATCATCCAAGGCTATTGTTCGCAGGTACATGGCTCCTGTGGAGAACAGAGCACCCGGTCCACTGGTGTGCACAGTTTCTGCCACTGCTCTTCGTGTGAGTTCTTGCCTAGCAGCGTCTTGCGGCGATAGCTTCTCAGTCTCATGGTCTTCGACCTCCTTCCTCTTGCCCTTGTTCAGCTTCTCCTTCGACTTTCGGCCATCGTTGCCTTGTACGAAACGGAACAAGGCTTTCGCGCTGCTGGCCTCTCTTGCGCGTCGATGCTGGGTCTTGGTGACATGAGACCGGACCTTCCGCCGGTATCCGGCGTGCTTGGTGTCGGAGGGTCGTTCAACAACGACAAACTGGAGGTCGGAGCTGTTGTTGTCAGTCATGACTGCGATGAATGCAAGCTATAGGTTTGTTCCTAGCAGAGCAGAAGATGACGAGGCCAAAGATTCTTATTAGGCTCCGCGCACTATGCGCAGGTGGTCTTGAACGACGGCGCAAAGTGTGAGCGGTGCCATCTCTACGGCGCTGCGAACCAAGAATGTGGCGGCGTCGTGCCAGCAGCAGAGCAGCTTAGACGGCGCAGGGACCAAAACCCCCGAATATGGCTTTTGTTCACACGAAGATGCTCGCCAACCGGTATTGATGGCGACGTGCCGATCGCAGTGGCTGCATGTTGCTCATATGGCAGTGATGGGCGTGCGTGGTAACTAGTGGGGAGATGCGAGAAATGCGAAGCTGAGATGGACAAGGCGCGGACCTCCGCAGTCAGACAAGCATCGCTGGTGGCATTGGCAAATTATTGGCAGTCTGACGTCCATTCTTGTGCTGGTCACATTTGCATTTCATATCACCGTTTCGAATCATCCAATCCGTCTTCACAGTTGGCGACTACCTTGCGCGAGACTTGTTGACGAGTCGTGGCGGAGCGGTGGTGTCAACAGCAAGCAGGAACGCCTTCCTTGCTCCCTGCTCCCACTCCCGAACACCACCGTCGTCAGCTCTGCCGTCGATGGCACAGATACAAGACGTATCGCGGGATTCCGTGAGTAGAAGCAATGCGGAGACCATTCACATGCATTTGTCGGCCTCGCTTGACCCGCAAAAGGCGTTCCCAATGATGTCAATCAACAACATCCTGGTTTGAACCAAAGTCTGTTCCCAGTTTCACATCATCGGCAGCGCGCCAGCTCATCACGCACGCGAGCCGCTGCTGCGCCAGTGCAGATTGCCGAAGCGCGCTTTCCTTTCTTCACTTCTTGTCTACACTCCCTCCTGTCATTTGCCTGACCTGCAGCACCTCCGGCCTCGAGCACCCAAGACAGAAAGTCACATCTCGTTGCCATGTGGAGGCTTCTTGTACTGGCAGCTCTGCCAGCGCTCATCGACGCGTCGCCAGCACCAACCCCGAGAAATGATGTTGTGGCCCGCGCCCCGGCGCCTACGCCAGGAACTCCAGTGCATTGGGATCCAACAAAAACATACAAGGACCGCAGGGATATCATCGACAGTGTCAAGTCAGACGTCGATGGAGTGCTGAGCAGATTGGGATCGGATATCCCCTCATATGTGGCTAGCGGGATACCAAACTTCTTCCAAGACTTTCCGACAGGAGACTCTGTGGTCAGCTCACTGGGGTTGGATGACTCTCAGCTAGCAGCTCTGCCGACGCAGGCATTGAATATCCCGCCATATGCCAACTATACCGATCAGGGGTGGAATGTTCGTTTCCACGGGAATATCTACAAACAGCCCAACACTTCGCAAGAGAAGCTCAATGACTTGGCCAACATCTTCCTCATTGACACCAGCGTAGAGGAGCTCCCACAAAACCAGGCAGACCAGGCACGCAATGTGACCGCAGCCATCTTCGTGGTCCAGCAAGGAGATGTGGAAGTCTCACCCATCACCATCGAACCCTTCGATGGCGACCATGGCGGTGTTGGAGTACCACAAAACATCACTCTCCCATACAACACCACAGCACAAGGCGACTTCGACGTGTTCCTCCCCATCAACAGCGAAGGCCTCCAGCGCGGAAACGAAACCGAGTCAATTCAGAAGCTCAATACCTGGGTGAGCAATACCACCAATGGCAACGCAACAGCCTACCTCGTCCCCAACCAAGGCATCACCATCATCTCCGACATTGATGACATCCTCCGCGTAACAAAAATCTACGACCCCAAAGAAGGCCTTCTCAACTCCTTCGCCCGTCCCTTCGTCGCCTGGGAAAACATGCCAGAAATCTACGCCAACTGGTCGCAAGCCCTTCCCAACGCCCACTTCCACTACCTCACCACGCTCCCCGAACAAGTCACCCGCAACTACGAAGAATTCATCTACGCCACCTACCCCGCCGGCTCCTTCGACACCCGTCCCCTCAATTTCAGCGACGTTTCCGCAACCCTCCAAATCCGAAAATTCCTCCTCGAACGCATTTTTGAAACCTTCCCGCAGAGGAAGTTTGTTCTTGTGGCTGATACTTCGAATTCGGATGTCATGAAAGCCTACCCCGAAATGGCGAAAGAGCATCCGGAGCAATTGCAATGCATTTTCCTCAGGAATACTTCCGCGACAGACGATTCTGATCACTTTCCATATAATACCGATGGCTTCAAAGACATTGATCAGAACAAGTATATGTTCTTCGTTAATGCGGATGATTTGAAGGGGATCGATCTGGCTAGCGGAGACTGTTATAACAACTCAATTCCTCAAAATTTGACCTTCGGATATCAAGGCTTGCCGTTTGGTGTTGGGGATGATGCTCCGGTGAATGGAAGTGCGGATGGGTCTGTAGAGGGTGCAGGAACAGTGTTCGCTTCGATACCCGATATGACACTGCTCTTCTGGGCAGTGATGGGAATGGTATTCTGGCAGGGTTTGTAATGTATAACTGACTTATCGTGCCTGCTAGAAGCATGCATGAGAGAAGAGAAAATATCTCGTTCAGAGATGAATGATAATGAACAGACACAGCGTGTGCGCGAGGTGAAAGGTCTTCACACCATTAGCGACTGATCTTTCCAATGAACGGTAGAGACCCTAGAGATTGTATCGGTATGAGAACAGTGCACAGTTACAGCGTCCAAAGTAGAAGAAGAAAGATGATGATAGCGAGTGCAAACAATAATCGGAATTTCAAGAGAGACAAGTCCTCTACTGTTCTCCATTTTCGTACGAACCAACATACGAAATCTGTCCGTTCTTTTTTCATTTTTGCTCTTGTGAAATGTCTTCTTCGTGGCAGCCGTGTTTTGATCATTTCATCACTGGGTCAGCCTGATGCGCACCCACGTCCCTAATCCCTGATAAAACCCCCAGCTGAATAAAACCGCACGAAGACGAAGAGAGAACTCCGCGCGATGCAATACAATGCGCCATCTCAAAAGCATACCCAGCACACACCCAATTCGAACATCCAACCGCGGACACAGCAGAAATACTCAGATAGCGATCACCACTTCCAAAAAGGAAAGAAAGGTCAAACCAGCCAGCGTCTTAACGTCTCATACCAAGGCGTCCAAGCCGCACAACCGATCTCCTCTTCTTCTTCCTCATCAGTAGAACCCACTCTCGCCGTTTCACCATCTGCCATGTCCGCGTATTCTCAGATCGTAAAGCACCTCCTCCCCCTCCACAATCGATCTTCGATACCAATCGGAATGTCGCCGTTATTGCCATCGTACAGAGAAGGCTGAAGTCGCCCAGGTGAGTTGTTCGGAGGAGAAGAGGTCGTGAGAGCAGGAGTCGAAGGAGTCAATGTGCTGTCTGACCGGTCGCGAGTGAATTTCTGAGGAGATGGGATGAGATGGTCACTGCACGCAAAGGATTAGTAACGGCGATAGGGCAAGGTCGGAGACATATTACTTTGTAGATTTCTGCATGGAGATGGGGGAAGATAAATAGAAATAAGAGATTGATAAAAGATAATTCGTAAGATATATTTTTGGGTTAGATGAGACGTTACCGCATGATCTCCTCGTAAATCAGACCTGGTCGGTACTCGTTAGTATTCGTTTCACGGAGGAACGGGGAGGGAATGCTTACGCTTCAGCTGCTCCTTGGATAGATTGTCCTTGTTCTTGTCGAAATCGAAAAACTCCTCGGGAATGGGGTCTGCCGTAGGCTCGTCTTCTGGGTCGTGATATGGCTCGAGGTATGGGTGCTTCAGCGCCTCCTCCACAGTGATACGCTTCGCCGGGTTGAAAGCGAGCAGCTTCTCAAGCAGGTCGAGTGCCAGGTCCGAAGTCTTTGGGAACATGGCCTTCCACGGGATCTTCTTCTTGAATGGCAAGCTGCGAATGTACTCGCGTGCTCTCCTCGACTTGATGCCGTAGTAGTCCTCCATGGTAGGCGTTCCAAGCACATCCAGGATCAAGGTCAATTGGTGGTGGTAATCCTTGCCCGGGAACAACGGCTTGCCGCTCAGCATCTCTGCCAAGATACAGCCGACTGACCACACATCGATGGCTTTGGTGTATTCTTTGAAGGTAAGCATGATTTCTGGTGCACGGTACCATCTCGTGGCCACGTATTCCGTCATGAAACCCTGATTGTCTTCTGTGCTGGCAGCTGAACGCGCGAGACCGAAATCGCAGACCTTCAGATCGCAGTTTGCATTGAGCAGAAGGTTTGAGGGCTTGAGATCGCGATGGAGGACATTGGCTGAGTGCATTGCTTTCAATGCGCGGAGGGTCTGGTAGATGAAGTACTGGCAGTGGTCGTCGGACAGCTCCTGCGTGCGGATGACTCTGTGCATGTCGGTCTCCATGAGCTCCTGGATGAGGTAGACTTCGGAGAAGCTCTCATAGTTGCGCGGCTTCTGAATGTCCAGAATTGAAATGATGTTCTCGTGGTTGAAGTATCGCAGAAGCTTCATCTCTCGCAACGTTCTGAGACAGAACATGGAGTGATCGAAGGGCGTGATCTTCTTGATGGCCACCTTTTGTCCTGACGGCTTGTGCAGTGCCGAACAAACGACTCCGTATGCGCCCTCTCCAACCACATCTTGAATGTCATATTGCTCCGACACGTTGAAGGAGATCTTGCGGGATCCGCCTGGCTGCTGTTGTTGGCGAGACATGTCGCCGGTCGTTGTTGCTCCGCCGCGGTCTTATCGCGCGGTCGGCTTTGAAGAGAGGGAAATAGCTGCTCGATGACCGGAAAGTCCAGTCGTGGGCCTTGTGTTGACGGCAGCTGTCGATCGGTGAGTGAGGCGGTGCGAAGTCGAAGCGTTTGGTTCCTGCTTTTTGCGTAACACAGCGTCAGCCCCATTTCCGGAATCGATCAATGAGCCCACAAAGACAAAGACAATGCAACGCCAGCGCTGCCTGGAATGCAGCCACCGCCTCTTCCACGTGCGGTACACGCAGAGCGCGGAGCGCAGACTTGCTCCTCGTCTTCGCGATGCCGCCACCGTTATCCCTCTCACTCACCTCTTGCAGCTGTCCTATCCTCGCTGTATTCGTATGCTCCCTTCTCCAACTGTAGTCGAGCTTATGACAAGCTATTCCGTCGTCCAAGCGGTGTAGTCTGTAACCGAAGAGCTGAAGCTGAAGTGGGTAATGCTGTTAGCGAAGTGCCAACAATAAGCTCAGCAGATGATGGAACCCGCGCAAAAACTGGTGCTTGTCCCTGCAGAACAAGGCGCGAAGTACTGCTCCCAGGGTTATATGACCAGATCACCACTCACCAGAACAGGACTCCTCTCTTTTAGGCGCCGTTGAGCGTGACGTAGAGTTCCAAGCGGTACGAGTCAAGTCTCACGCCAACGTAAGGGTAGGGCAAAAGCAGCTTCGCGCCGATTCTCTGCTGAGGACGAGGCTGAAGGATTCCAAGACGATACAATATCAAGAGAGTGGCCCGCAAGACAAACAAGACCAGGACGTGTGCGTATGTGTACCCAAGCTCTGCGCTCGTTATAGCGCCGGGCCCAGGGTGTATGTGTGGCCATTCCACTGGTTTGGCGGGGTCTCGAGCGCCAGTGCGGGTCCACGACTCCATTCGGCGAACAACAAGCAGAAACAGGCCCCATCAGCCCCTGCTCTCGCCGCTGATTGGTGTCGGGAGCGCAAAAGGCCATCCTTTCATCTCAAGCCACCGTCGTGAAACCTCGTGCGAGGCGCAGGAACAGTGCGACTGCGTTTCATGTTGAGCGGCTACAGGTCCAGTTACGGTCGAGACTTGGCGGCCTATTTGACACCTCACCCTGAGCAGATGGCGCTGAGTGGTGGTGCACTGATGCAGGATGAAGACCGTCGTGCAGAAAATCGCTATCTTTATGTGACTTTTTCTATTGATACATGGTCTCGTGGGGTATAGCTACAGACAGAACTTAGAGGCCAACTTCTCGTCTAACTAGATCCATGCCGGGCTGAACTGGTCTCCTTATTCGTCCTGTTGGTCCCTCGCGCCTTTTACTTATCTATGCTCCTAATAAGGTCCAAGTACGATACAAACTTGTTGTCTCGTCTGTTGCTGCCGCTACTAGTACTTCGTCCTCTATAGCTAAGGTGCAGTCTGAGAAGGAGACAGCGACGAACCTCCATACTGCGTGTACCGCTTTCACGGCGACAGTTGTATTGTCGTCTCCCACCAGGCGTAGACAGCGTAGATAACCTCGTGTCCGGGCTTGTCCGGATACCATAGGAGATAGTCAGCTTGGATACATCTTCGGCATTTTCTTCAACTAGTACTCAAGCGATATAGTATTCCTTAACTAGTACTCAAAGCGATGTAGGATTAGTGATGGTTGAATATATATCCAACCAAAGGAGTACAGTATTTCCTTTCGAAATCTCCTCTTCTCTCACCCTCGCACTCCGCAACCATCGACTACATCTACGACAATGCAGCTCCTTCTATCTCTCATTGCTGCCAGCTTTCTGTTGATCAGCTCCGTGTCGGCTCAGCAGAGCTGCACCATCGTGCGAGACTGCCCCATGTGTGCAGCCGCACATTCAGATAAGCCAGTATGCATTGTTGTAAGCTTGCGTGTCTCCTAAACCCCCTTCGATCACCCCGCCCCGATACTAACACAAATAAAAGTGTCCAGATCCAGCAGGAAGACCGACCAGTCAGGAATTTTGTGTGCCCGCTCCTCGCGATGATCCTTCGATCTTCTGTGTAAGTACTGCAGGTGAACCAGACTCAAAGCTGGTTGACATGCTGCCTCTGATAGTAGCTGACTGAATGTCCAGTGCGTTTCGGACATTCAACCCGCTTAGATATAGTGAATCGTATAGAATACATAACCGTGAAAGCGAAAGGTAGCAACATGCTGCGCTCAACTGGTTGTCTTAATTCGTCCTGTTGGCCTCTCGCGCGTCTCATCCATGCTGCTGATGGAGTACTGTACAGATTTGTTGTCTCTCGTCTGCGGGCGTGCCGCCACTTACCAGGTGGTAAGTACCTTGGGATACTCCTTAGAAGAGATGCCCAGGTCAGCGAAAACAGTGTCATCACCACGAAGGTTCTCGACGCGATGCTCGTCTTCCTCCTCAAGCTTCTCGAGCTCCTCTGCGGGAGTCTCCTTCTCGTCGTCCTTCTCGTCTTTGGGCGCGGGCTCAAGGTTGTTGCTGCTTCAATTAGTCATCTGTTGCGTCCTCTTCCAAGAAAGAATCTGCTCACCTGCTCTCGAAATTCTCGCCAATTAGCAAGAACGCCGCGTTGACATAGTCAAGATGCTTCGGCTGGACTGGCATCCAGCCACGACCCCCAAACTCCTCAATGAACTCCTTCGGGAATTCGGCGTTGTTGGGGAGAGCGTAGGACGGTGCCGAAGACTCTGGGTTCTTCAAGCTCATCACGAAGCTGCCCTTTTCAGCAATACCCATGTCCTTCTGCACCTCGCCCACCTCATTCGGGATGGTGAGCATGTATGCCAGATGAGTCGTACCCTGCCCGCCGCCAGTGGTCGTGATCGCATATACTCCCTCGCCAATTGGTGTGACTTCCGGTGTGTGGCGTGTGCCCACTGTCTTTGTGCTGTATGATGACCCAGAGAAGAACTCCTCCTTCAAAGTATCCATCGATGCTTTTTCCTTCTCGATGAATGCCATGAAGCGGTCTTTGCCGCTCTTCGGAAAAACCTTCTTCGGCAATGCGACGAGGCGGTTGTTTCCAACGTCCTACGATGCATCAGACCCGGTTGATATCAATGCAAGACTCACTGGTGCACACATACCTGAATAGCTCCGTCGGTAATCTTCGCACCAGCTGGCAGAGGTCGCAAGACGAAATGGCTGCGAGCGAGATCCTGGACACTGTCCGGATCCTCGACACCCACTCGCCCTCGTGCGAAGAAGTATATTATACCCTTCTCGAGGATGTTTGAGGGTTGTGCTTGTTCACGCTCCTTGTCCTCTTCGATTGCCTTCTCCTTGACCTCTGCATCGCCGTTGGCAGTACCATTCTCATGGCTCTCGTCCTAGCAAAATTGTCAGCGTTCAATGCTCGTATCTTGTAATCCTCGTCTCACCTTGCTCGTCTTTCCCTCGTCCTTCTCATCTGCCTTGACCTCATCAAGCGCATTCTTCTCATTGCTCTTCTCGTTCTCCTTCTGTTTCGGCTCTTCAACATCCTCACCAGCATTGACCTCCTCAATCGCATCCTGCTCTTGGGCCTCCGACTTGCCATTCTGCTCTGGCTTCGACTCGCTATCCTTCATCTCCTCATCGAATCCCTCATCGCCATCGTCAGCAGGCTTGAAGCTTTCGTCGATGGTTTTCTGGTCCTTCGATGGTCGCTTCGACTGAGTAGGACTAGTCTGCTCATCTGCTTTGCGCTTGGTGCCATTGCTCGCCTGTGGACTGCTGCCATTCTTAGAGCGTGTGTCAGCCATGTTTGATGAATGCGATGCTGTGATGTCGAAGCTGAACGTCAATAGAATTTGCGATGATGAATGCGACGAATCTGAATTGATAGAAGAGTTATTGATCGATGAGAGAAAAGGAAGAGAGACTTTCAATACTCAATGGTAGTGATGATGATGATGAAGTAAACGCCTTCCACTGAACGCGTCTCTGCGGTGATGTCACCATTGCCTAGTTCGCGACGCGTTTGACACGCGCATGCGATGACCCTTTCAGTTGATGACCCTCATTCGATCTTGAATCGGTTCACTTGAAAGTATGTCTCTGTGACTCGTTCGCTTTGCCGATGGTAGTGGTGTTCGTGGTAATGGTGGCTGATGGAATGCTTCTCCAGTGTCGCTGGGTACTAGCTCTGGCGGACCATTTCGCATGCAAAGCAGAGCACGATCCCATGTATTTCGATCAGCGCGACAATCACTGGGTTTGGAGTTTTTCAATGTGATCAATACAAACCGAGAAGAATAGCAAGACAAGTATGCAGATAGATATGCACAAGTCGAGTTGTCGAAGTCGTCTCGCACACCACAGCTCTCCCCACATGCTGCAAGAGGAAATACACTAGAACGTCACTTCTCGAACACCCTGCAGACTGATTAACAATCATACTGCTTTCATGGCCCTCGAACATGCTGCTTACCAAAGGAGTTGCAGAGCAATACTCGACAAGCTGGTCCTGAAACGTTCTCCTTCAACTCCTCAAATCAACCCTTCATCATCCAACAACAGCTCCTCCACCATCCTCAATCATGTGCTCAGCCCCACCCAAAGTCCTCCTCACAGGAACAACAGGCTACGTAGGCGGTACAGTCCTGGACACTTTGTACAAAACCCATCCAGAATACGCTTACACTGCCATCCTGCGCAGTGCTCCACCTTCGGACTTCAAATCGAGGTATCCCAACGTCGAAGTTATCAAAGGTTCCTACGATGACACGGAGATCCTGCGAGCCGCCGCAGAAGACGCCGACATCGTTGTCCATAGCGGAAGCAGCGATCATTTAGCAAGTCTTCAAGCCCTTGGCTCTGGCCTTCTCAAAGATTCTCAGGTGCCAGAGAGGGATCCCAAATTCCTCATCCATCTCAGCGGAACGGGGATAATAGCCGACTGGCGCTCCCCAGACGGAAAGCCAGGAAGCTTGAATCCTCAAGTATGGTCTGACATCTCCGACATTGATGGCATTACCTCTCGTACTGAAGGAGAACTGCATCAGCATACGGACAAATTCCTCCAAGATACTGCCAGAGCGCACGGCGAGAAGCTGAAGATTGCGATTGTGTGTCCACCAGATATTTATGGTAAAGGACACGGAACCGGAAGAATAGAGAGTTATCTTGTGCCGGCATACTTGAAGGAGGCGAAGAAGATTGGTGCGGCGTTCTATGGCGGAGAGGGGCAGAACTCGAGGAGTTGGGTGCACATTGATGACTTGGCGAAGGTCTATTTGAGGCTTGTCGAGGAGGCTGTCGCGGGCGGAGGACAGGCAGATTGGGGCGTTGAGGTGAGCTTGCAGTGGTCCTCTCGTTATTGGATTGTGGCTTATTTCAGTGTGATTTTGCGTGTTGCGCTAGACTAGAGAAGGTCGCTCTGACTAACCTGTGCACTAGGGCTACTACTTTGCCGCTTCGCAGGAGCATAACTCGCTCGATTTTGCCAGAGAAGCTGGAAAGATCTTGCACAGGCATGGTGTCCTGGACACTCCTGAGCCGAAGCAAGTGCCGCTCGAACGAATCGATGGCATGCTGAGTGATTGGGGCCTTCCACATCTCGGAACTTACATGTTCGCTGCGAACTCGCGATCGAAGGCGGATCGCGCAGCGAAGAAGCTAGGCTACAACCCGACTGCTCCGGGCCTGTTGGAGACACTGGAGAGTGATTTTGTGGCTTGCTTGTAGTTGATGATGAAGTCATAGTAGGCAGAAGGAGGCCCCAGCGGTCTGGGACGGACTGCCCACACAGGGGTGTTGCTTGTACAGCTCCAGTCGTTGTCCAAGAATTCTTGACGTCCACATGGACGTAGACCTGGTGTATGCAGTGTTCCTGCAGCCATGTTCTTGCAAGATATGTCATTCCTTGCATCTTCGTTAGAATCAATGTCGTGATTTTTTCAGCTCGGATTTTCTTCCGTCTGAGCATCGGGATTGGACTCCTCCACTGTCTGTGCTGCGCCCGCTCCCTCTGCATCGTCATCCATGATAGTTTCCTCATCCGCTCCAAGTGAAGTCTCTTTTGTGGAAGGCTCTTTGGTTTTCCGACGACTCCTTGTCGTTGCCAGCGAGCCCGGAGCTGAGCCCCCGAATCCGACACGAGCGCCAATCTGCTCTCTGCTTTGTCTGCCAGCTGCCAGGTGCGCGGGATCCGGGACAATACCTCGCTCTGCGGCTGTCAATCGCTTCCTCCGTTTGCGAGGACGTTCTGCAGTGGCATCTTCCTCGTCTTTCTTCCGAGCGGCTTCTTCGTCGAAAGCACGTTTCCTAAGTTCATCCTTGTTCTTCGGATCAGGATGGATTCGGATGCTGTACATTGGCACTCGATCGGTTTCTCCTCGCTTCAGCTTGATTTGAGATAGGCGCTCAAGGAATGATGCTTGAGCTTCGGCTGTAGCATTCTTGCAAAGCTCTCGTGGGATAACCAAGGGCTGCGAAGGATCGTTCGATAATGGCACCGGTGCATCTTCTTGCTGACCATCGCCATCGTTGCTTTGCGCATCGGCTGCATCACTCTCGGGCACAGTGCTCTGTGCCCTGCCATTCGCGTTGAAGTTTTTTTGTGTCAGTGTGACAGGTTTGCCAATGAGCCTGGTTTGTGACAGTCCAATCACATCCAGAACGGTGCCCGCGCGACGTGGTTGTGTTGTCGCGCCCGCTTGAGCGATGTGAAACTGCGTTCCCAGGTCGGTGCTCCAGTAGCAACTGTAGACTCCATCGTCAAACTTGACAAGAGGATTCCGTGTCTGCAGGTCAAGAATCTGGAGTTTACTTTGTGGTCTCGAGTTCACAGCACGCTGCTTCGAGCTGCCATCCCCTTCTTCGACGTTATCATTCTGTGCGTCTCCATTGCTCTGTCCAGATTTGGATATCCCGTGATTCTGAGCAGCTGAGTCGTACTTGCGCGCTAGAGCATCGGGCACATGTGTGGTCAAGTCTAAGGTGAAATATAGCTCCTCGGTTTCGGTGGTATCATACTCGTATTCCCACTCGCTTGTGTCTTCCTCATACTGGATGGCAGGCACCTGTGCGGTGTCCGCCTGATGCTGAGGCTGGCCCATGTGCGAGGGATTGGGGTGGATGAGTGACCGGAACGTGCGAGGGTTGCAAGACCTCACTCGCTACCACGCGTCGCCGAATGCTGCACTCTTGGCACCGCTGAGGTCGTGAAGCATTTAGCATCCGCGACACCCGATCGAGACGCTGCTGTTACTGAGGCCGCGTTATTATTGTTGATGGATCTCGCGGCATGGCAAATACGGCAGCGGTGATTGGGCCTGAGGTGCAGGGCGGGATCTGCATCTGAGGACGGGAACGGCCGGTGGTGCAAAGTTTCCATTGCTTCTCGGCGGGCGGTCGGGCTGACACCTGCATCGCCATCGCTGTCACGAGGATCCGCCATGCTCCAATCCATTGCGTGTTGGCGTCGGCAGCGGTGTCGATTGGCGATGGCCGGCATCGCAGCATCTGCCCATCTGGCATACAGTTTGTGGCGGACAAAGCTACAGCAGAGTACATAACCGCGCAACAATGAACTGACACTGCAACAAAACCCTCTTTCCGCATCGCTGCTGTGCAACGTCGCCTCGTGCAGCACATCCCCGGCGCCCAAGCAGTCAGAAGTGGGTCGGCAACGGTGATAGTGCAGCGTTGTCGCTGACCAAGGCAGAACCACAACGCTGAGCATAACTTCTCACGGCGGGCGGATCCTGGTTGAGCTCCGGAACGTACGACAGCACAGCGCGCACGCCGGCAACTCGACGTCACGAGGCTCACCACCAGTGCTTCTGCTTTCTTAATTCCTTCCGCGACGCTCCTAGCGACACCAACCACCGCTACTGCGTCTGCTACTCTTCTTTTGTCCAAATTCCCCATCGCCTTGCATTTCTTCCGCTTGCTGGTCCCAGGCGCACTTTCGGCGCTTGACTGAACGATCGCTCCCGGCTTCCGTCTGCCCACCCAGCGGCCGTCGTATCATCACCTGCACCTCCCATCGCAGACGCCATCCGATCTCTTCACACCGACACACCACACACCACCCTGGCCCGCCCATTGTCTCCTCTGCAGCCTTCCACCGCATCCCATCTCCTGTGCATCCATCGCACCACTCTCGCCGACAAAGACGAGGCCGTTCCTGAGGGCATTGCGCCATACCCCGCCACAGCCGACTATCTATGATTCGATAAGACCCGATACCGCGGTTGCGATAAAGCACTTCTCTTTTCCTCACCCGCACATCCCACCATGCCCGTGAAGCGGCCATCGGGGCGAAGATGCTTTGGCTGGTTCATCGCTGTCGCCCTCATCTATCTCCTCTTCTGTCTGCTCGGCGTGCAGATCGACAAGACCAACAGCGACGTCGACCTGATCGAGAGCGCACAATGGGTCAAGACAGGCAAGAGCTGGCTCGACCGGCAGGCCTGTCGCTGGATAGGTCTCTGCGGCACTATGCATCTGCTCAAGCAGAGTGCCTGGACGTCGTCAAATATCCGCGACGCACTCCCTCCACCGCACGATGACCCGTCGCAATGGTGGACGTCGGGCGACGAGAATCCCGACTCGTGGTCGAAAGAGGAAAGATTACGGCGTGAGATACCACAGTATGTTCTCGACCATGCACCCTATGTGCATCTCTTTTCGGGCGAGCAGTTCTGGCCCTGCGATATTGGCGAGCATTTGACGCACACAACGACATATTTAAACTACACCAAAGTGGAAGGTGTACTGGAGGAACGCAACCTCACGAACCTCAACGAACTTAATGACTACGAGAGTGGAGAGCATAGCAGGTACATGTATCTGCAAAGTAATGATAACCCGGAGGAGAGGCCCGAATGGCTGGTAGGCGCGAAGAATATCCCCAGGTTGCCCGTGCCCTTGGACGACGAACCACCTCGGGATGATGCTCCACCAGATCTTGACGATCTCAAAGATTATGACCTGGAGTCACTTAAACAGCAAGCGCTGGATGACGCTTACAAATCATCGGCAACATCACCATCTGCGGAAGAACTTCCCACCGGCCTGTCGTCGAGTCCCGATGGACGATGTGGAGGGAGCAGTGGTTTCACCTGCAAAGGCAGCCGTGCGGGTAGGTGCTGCTCCATCTACGGATGGTGTGGCAATTCTGAAGAATATTGCGGAGATCCTTGCGACCCACTTGCCGGAGACTGCTACGACCCGTACAATCCACCACGAGGTCCGCATGTGGATCTGCGTAAACGCAGCAGCACACTGGACTTGAACGGCGACAAGCACAAACCACAGCCTGGTGGCAAGAGTTCAGCGCCGGCCATTCTCATTGTTGTGCCTAAAGAAAATGGAATCGTTGATGCATTCTGGTTCTTCTTCTACTCGTTCAACCTCGGGCAGACAGTGTTGAACATCCGCTTCGGCAACCATGTTGGCGACTGGGAGCACACATGTGTTCGCTTCAGGAATGGCAAGCCCATTGAAGTATTCTTGTCCGAGCATAACTTTGGTCAAGCGTTCACGTGGAAAGCGATGGAGAAGTACATCCCAAGTCATGACGGTTCAGGTACCATGATTGGCAGCTGGAGTAACGAGACTGCCGGACGCATGGCCAAGCGACCTGTCGTCTACAGCGCCATCGGCTCCCACGCCATGTACGGCACACCTGGACTCCATCCATATATCATCCCTTTCGGACTTTTGCACGACGAGACTGACCGAGGGCCACTATGGGATCCTGCCAAGAACTTCCAAGCTTACACCTACGATCCGAAGAATAGGACTATGCGCGCATCGACATTAAACCCCACATCACCTGTTAGCTGGCTGCACTACGCCGGCCACTGGGGCGATAAATATTACGAACTCTCCGATCCTCGACAATACCGCTTCGCAGGCCAATACCATTATGTCAACGGCCCCACCGGACCCAAATTCAAGAACCTCGGACGGAGTAGAGTCTGTCAACGGCGCGGCAAATGCGATGTCCGACATTGGCTCGGAGGCAGCAAACTGGCGCTCGGGAACCCGGAAGAGGATGTCGAAGACGGCACCTTACCTGGCGGAAACCAAACAGATGACACTTCCGCCTCCGTGGCTCTACCCTCGTCCGCCAGGCAAGATGACAGTTCGTACAGCGAAGTCATGTACGACGAAGGCAAAGAGGAATTTTCTATGTGGACACGATAGAAGAGAGGGATTGGCGTTCCGGAAGACTGGGGCGAATTGTTTTTTCATTGTTGTTGAATATGACTTTTGGAAGTCATCATTTTGCGCGCCTTACTGTTTCTGAACGACGTATGGAAGCGATGCGCGACGATACCCTGTGAATTTTATTCATCTTGCTTTTTGGGGCCATGGGCTTGGTGGGAATATACTACGGCTACTACAGCTTACTACAGATGATACAGAGATGGATATCAATGAACTGAGGAAGGAAGAAGACTTGATAGACTCTCGGTAGAGATGACCTTTGAATGAATGTGAAGATTTTTGGCTCTTGAGAGAGTCTGTTGAAATTGCTTGCTAGATTTTCTTTCTGTTTGCTTTCAGCGAGGCTTTTGTCGTCACATACTGCATGGTGATGGTTTTTGTGATGTTGTCATTGCGCAGCAACACAGTTGTCAAGTAGTGTTCGGACTGGGATATTCCCATGATGTTGCATGAAGATCTGAGACGTTGGCGGCGTTTGTGCCTGGATTCTTGTTGCGGAGCTTAATTCTAGGTTTCGATGAAGATTGGAGCGTGCGGCGGTTGGGCACATGGCAGCAGAGATGATGGTGGGCGCGTGGAGCGCGTTTGAGAGAGTGTGAGAGTTGGGAACATCGCTTCCTCCTCCAGATCAGTTCGAGTTCTCGACAGTAGAGTTGGGCATTTGGGGGCTTCGTTCTGTCCTTATTCTGAGAGTGATGCTGTCGTATGTGCGGAAGCAAAATGTTAGCTGTGCCTGTTGGCGGTTAAAGTGTGTTCCACATGTATGGGGTCAAGGATACTGAGGCTTCGTCGCAGGTCAAACTACGAACACTGAGATACTTCGAGAATTCCATCAATTTATTCACAGAGTCCAATCAATCCGCAGGCTCGAGGAGGAAGCTGCTTGTGATAGCAAATATAATGCTGAAGCAAGCAGCATGCATCTGCATGTGTCTCGCTGTCGTGACTTGCCCTTGGTAAACCAAACGCAACCACCTGCTCTGCGGACGTCTCGTACTTCTTTCGTGCATCTTCTCATACCTCTTCAAATATTATTCTACCATTGTTGCGGTCCCGACGATGTGCCCAACTTCGTAGACCAAGAGCAAGACGCTAAGCAGTCCCCACGGGCTGCCGCTCCTTGATCAATGTCTATTTTGGGTGAAGTTCGGTCCAAAGTCGCATAATGTCAGCAAACTGCTCTTCCTCTTCCATCGCCACGCGTTCATGCAATGCGTCCCGTCCAGCATCCGGTTTTCCCCACTCTAAAGCTTGGTCTATGGCAGCGGCCAAGAATTCGGCATTGGCCACGAGCTTCTGCCATACATGATCTTCTTGACGAATAGCGGGAAGACTTTTAGCTACAGCACAGATTTGGTATCTCATGATCGATTGGTCGACTGTTCCGCAATCCTGCTGGTATGTGTATTGCCCCTGGTCCACCAACTTATCAACCCTCGTCGTACTGACTATGTATGTAATGATGGATCGTTTTGTGAGCCTCCACAGTCCTGGCAAATCGTACTAATCAGCGTCAGTATGAGCTGTGCTGCCTCTCCTGCTAGCCTCGAGAATTGACACGAACCTTATCTGCAGCCACATGCATGTCGACCAACTGGCGCAAGTGGTTGATATTTTCGGAAGTAGCATGTTCGACAGTCACCTCTCCGAGGGGTAGGCCGTAGATGAATTTCAAGATTCCTTCGACTGCCTCTGCACTCTCTGGAAGAGTCACTACCCCAGTTCGGGCCTCCCTGAAGTCTCGAGTGCACGCTGCCTCGAAAAATGGACAGGCCGGACAGACGATGGCCTTGTGTACGTGGAAGTCTCTGGTAGCGGTGGAGATTGTGAGGTCCGACCATTCGCCGGACTGATAGATACTTTGAGGTCTGTTAGCAACATCAAGACTAATTAATTCGAGTCCGCGCCTACCGCTTGAGCGTGCTTCCGGTAGGTCTGTCGGGCGAAGCCATATTGCGGGCGAACAAGAAATGGTGCGACCAAAGAGTGTAAAGCAAAGAGACTAGCCAACCAACGAGTGTTGCGCGAGAGTAAGACTCGAGTTGTTGGCGGAATTAAAGAAGTCTGGCAGCACGCTAGAACTGGAAGCCATGTGACAAACAAGTCTTGGCGCAGCAAGTGAAGGGTGGAGTCGTGCTGCCATCAGACTCACTTTGCAGTTCACTCACAGCACCACAACGGACCAAGATATGCAGAGGGGAACAGGCATCTCCCAAGCTCGCGTCCAGTTCAGTGGCCTTGTAAGTCTCGAAGTCGATCGTGATGTACATTTCCGAGCTGTAGGTGCCTGGTTGCCCTAACTTCACATCTCACGTGTGCGCCATGTAAGGACGAAAATGGAGCGGAGTCCCTACAGTCAGCAGTCTCTCAGTACAATATGGCTCAGCAACCAGCAGAGGTCGTGGCACCCACCTCTTGTCGGTCAATACCTCCCCACCAGCTGCCGCGATTGAGCCCTCTCCCTACTCCGTCACGGAGCCGCCGCTATTCCTCTCAACCTCATTACTTCCTTCCTGTACTCTATCAAACCGACTCGACTGTCCGCACCTCTCTTCTCCTGCTGTGTTTCACTGAGTCCAAAGCCGTGCATGTCCTCCAATTCTTCCTTCGTGAACCCCATCTCTCTGTTCGGCGGCCTTTCGCTGTTGGCGATGGACCGATCCACAGCCTCATTGAAATGCTCGTCATGTTCCTCAGCCAGTTGGAGGAGATAGTTGATGTCTTTCCATGTTTCGTAGCGAAGGTCGCCCAGTGTGAGGTTAGTGATGCTGCGATCGACTCTTGGTGCCGGTCGAGATGCGTTCTCTGGATCTTTCTCGACCACATCTCTAGACTCGGAGCTAGGTGTCGACTGCTCGGTGGTCATCGCATCGTAGACTTTCCGCATGACGTCTTCAGTGGTATCTAGTGCGCCTTCGGCGGGCAGGAGTTTCAATGGAAGTCTCTTGCCGCTGTAATCCTGCACTACAGAACCATCTCTCGATACAGCTTCAAGCACAGCAATATCGGCGGCCAGCTTCTGAAGACCATCGTGCAATTCCTCGAAATTGACGTTCGCACCACTCGAAGTGTCGTGAACATCTTCAGGCTCCTGTGCTTTCGCGATAGCATACTCGATAGAACTGTGCTGATAATGTGGAATGAGCGCCTTTAGCTTGTTGAATTGTAGCTCAGCGAAGGAGAATTGCCCAGTTGTTTTGACTGCTTTGCTGAGGACGAAGAAATCAGTCGGGTCTGGTGCTTCACCTTTCAATTGTCTTGCCTCAACGATTTGCGTCCAGAACTCCTCTACCAAGTCCTTGTTATCCCAGAGGCCTGCAACGGAAAGCAAAGACCGCCGTGTCACGTCAGTTCGTTCCAACTTCAACGTTTGAAAGTCGTCGAGGACAATCTTCAACGTCTCAGTGGACTGGCCGTGGCCGGCAATATTGACTATAATAGAATTGAAAGCCGCTGTTGATGGCAATGCACCGAAGCGAGCGAATGTCTCCATCATTCCACGGATCGACAGAAGCACCACGTCCACCAGCTTCTTGCGCTCAACTCCTTCCATCTTGTCGATGCCCGGCAGCCGAAACAAGAGGGTCGTGGCGATGATGAGCTCACTCAGGATATTCGGGAGCGCTTTGCCAGTAACTCCGACGTGAAGGTACACGGTCGCCAGCATTGCGCGTAGTATGGCAATGCGATCTCGGATAGACGTGTTTTCGGCTGTCATCGTTCGTAGCCTCGAGACCAGGAGCCGTACATAGGCAAATGGCAGAATCACACCCGCTCGACATGCCATAGCGAAAACTGTATATGCTTCGGAATTCGGTCGCTCTTCCAGGAAAGGCTTGATAAAACGTGGACTCACATGAGTTGGATACACTCGAAAGGCGGTGTCTAGAGCAAGGTATGCCTGGCGAGAATCGCCGCGTAAAAGACGCTGGGTAGTGATTTCTTGGAGCAGGTCAAGAGGAAGCCTGAGATCCATGGTCGCTTCACGATCTGGAAGTATAGCGTTTGGCGACAAATGATATGCATTGAAGGTGCCTGGATAGCGAGCAAGAGCTCTACTGTACAAAGATTCGAGTTCTTGTAGCGGAAGCCCATGGCTACCGAGCAATTTGATCGCCATAGTATAAGTCTCATAGCCATTGTGCTGATCGTCCTGGGTCTCCAACCAAGTCCAGAATTTCACGCCAGATTGTATGTGGCCTGACTCCAGGAAGAGCAAAAGCAGATACGAATGTGCCGAACGTGAGGGCACGATATTGCCCTGCCGAATATCTTTGGCCAGTGTTTCGGCGAACGACACCATTTCTTGCTTCTTATCCGTACTTTGCTCATCCATCGGTCTCTGGGCTTCGGCCCTCCAGGCACGAAGCGTGCATAGTGCAATGGATTTGAAATCGCCCTGAATCAACGGCCTCTTCTCCGGCAGTTCGTTGTAGAGGCGAAACACGGCAGATATATTGTTTGCCTGGACAGCGTCCAGGAGATCTTGCCGTACAGCCAACGCCTTCAACTCAACCGTCTGCACTGGGCTTGATCTCCTCCCCTCCCATCTTTCTCGTTTGCGCTGCTGCGCATCGGAAAGATTTGGGTCTGTCTCAGCTGCATTCCGTCTTTGTTGCGCACGCTCTCTTCTATTCTCTGTCTCTGCTCTTAACCTCGCCTGGGCTATGGGACTCCAGCGAGGTTTTTCTTCTCGTCCATTCCGATGGACAGCGCTGAAGTGCCTCAGCCTTTGCTCGCCATGGGTCAATTGAAAGGTTCTCAGCCAATGTCGATGGATTTGCAGCTCAAGTTGTCCCCTTCGGAGCTGGAATGAAAGCATTTAGACGGATGCAGTCGCGTCTGAGCACCGCGGAGGTGAGACTTTCTGGGAGCGCGTTTGTTGGCCTGAGGCAAATATTGCGACTTCAACCACCAGCTGTTCAATGCCGACGAGCACCGCATTCTGCCTCACGATACAGACGACCATATTTTCCATTCCGACAGCAAACTGAACTCGCCAAGATGTCGCCCAATATGTCGCTGTTCAGCGTCAACGCTATCCTCGTGCTCTCGACTGACGACTCGTCCCGCATCCTGGCGAAATACTACAGCCCACCGCATATCCCCTCCAACGCTCAGGGCAACAACTACCCCGGCGCGCAACCTTATCAGACACTCAAAGATCAAAAAGCATTCGAGAAAGGATTGCTGGAGAAGACGGCGAAGCAGACTAGCGATGTCATCCTCTACGACAACCGAGTGGTGGTATTCAAGAATGAGGCAGATGTAATGCTGTACGTTGTGGGAGGCAGCGATGAGAACGAGATCATGCTGTACAATGTGGTGCTGGCATTGCGGGACAGCTTGAACATTCTGTTGAAGTAAGTACTGGTAGGAAGTCTTTGGGCAGCAGATAGTAACACATCTGTGCAGGAACTCTGTCGACAAGCGCACGTTGATCGAAAACTATGACCTTGCTTCCCTTGCGATCGACGAGATCGTAGATGACGGTATCATCCTCGAGACCGATCCTGTCATCATTGCCAGCCGAGTCAGCAGACCGCCGGTCCAGGATATTCCAAACATGCAAGGAATCGATCTTTCAGAAGAGGGGTTGCTCAAGATATATCAATTCGGCAAGCAAAAGTTGGGCGAGAGGTTACGACAAGGATTGTGAGGGGATATTTGCGGGCATCTGCGGGCCTTGAAGTCATAGCGATGGAGTTTTGGAGTTCGGGGTTGGCCAAAGGGAAGAGGAATCGTGCTGAATGAAGAACCCAAGAATTGCAGATTCGTGTGTTCCAAGGAGACTGGTATGGTATGAACACTACAAATGAGGTAGAGACCTCACTGCAAACACTGCCGAGAACGCCTTTCGCGAGTATATCAGCATGACCGAGTCAGAATATGAACTCGTGGACATCTGCATTAAGCTTCACTCCCATCTTCAGAGGGGCCACCTCTCGTCCGGCAGAGTTACAGGCACAGAGCTCTATCACGAGGCACCACCCATGCCCGAGATGCCTGCCTGCCTGCTCGATGACCGGTCAAGTAGTAGTCACAACGCGGTCGCAAAAGTGGCTGCCGAAGTCGAAGGGTATGAGATGGAGATAGTTCTGGCCGAGGATCGTTGGTTGATTGTTGAACAAACTCACTCAAGATTCAGCTCAACCATGAGAGATAGCTCGGTTCGTCTACTTCATGTGTGATGTCGCTGCTTCGCATAACCGTGGCTGTCTCTGAATGCAACTACCTCTGAGTGCAAACGCAGGTCGCTAAGCCAACCTTCAAAGCTTATCATGGATCGAGAGCCAATCTAGTTAGGCGGTTGCACTCAGAGGTCGTTGCATTCATAGGTATCCACGGTGACTCCCCGCTCGTTACAGTCATGCTCAAGGCATTGCTCGTCCTGGTTGTATCCGAGCTAGCCGATGCCAAGAACACCTCGTACCCGGAGGACGTGGCTGCCAGCTCAACATCGTGAATGTTTCCATCCATCCCTGCCAACCGCTCCGCACAGGATCGCTCCGACCCCTGAGAAGCCTGTTGATGGCGAGTCGGAAGACTGCTACAAATGCCATCTCTGTAGTCCGAAGTCGTGCAAAGACACGATCCTGCGCCTTCGCGACGGCCTCTCTCTTCCAATTCCACAGGACGTGCTGCATCGGAGCCGTTCAACAATCACGAAGCGCTGTGAGGGGGCGCAGACTGCTGAGTAAATCTGCAAACGGTAGATCTGGGCCATCTGAGGCCATGGCGAGATCCGCTCCTCCCCATTGCTCTGATCAAGCCGTGGAGCGAACATACGAAGTACGCTTATTCGCTCACAGGACAAAATTTTGTGCTCACAGAGCGGTATAGGATGCTTTGAGAGTCATTTCCAGTCGCAAAAGACATGCAAGACCGCAAGCCTCCAACACGACAATTGCAACAGTGATCGGAAAACCGCAGGACACGCCCGACCTCAGAGGAACTCCGAGCATTGTAGGCATGTCTGAATGGCTGCGAATGCTTGGCCACAGTGTATGTCCGATCTGATGCCGGCCCCAGAAATTGTCAGCTCATACTTCGTGGAACAGGACGAAAATATCAATTCCTTGAACATCATCCATGTGGCTGGCACGAAAGGCAAAGGAAGTACGTGTGCATTTGCCGAATGCATTCTCCGATCGCACGGCACTCGCACAGGCTTTCCAAAGAAAACTGGTCTTTACACCTCTCCACATTTGATGAAACCTGAGGAGCGGATACGCATCAACTCCGAGCCACTAGCACCAGCAGTCCTTGCCAAATACTTCTTCGAGGTGTACGACTTGCTCCCTCAACTTGCGACAGAGTACGATCCACAAAAGTTGCCCATCGATCGAGGGCCACGATTGCTTCAACTCTGGGCGTTACTCGCTTTTCACGTCTTCATTCGGGAAAAGGTTGATGTCACCATTCTCGAGACTCATAACGGCGGCGAATACGATGCTACAAATGTTATCAAGAGCCCTTTAGTGACAGCTGTCACGACACTCGGAATGGACCACATTGATATGCTGGGCCCTACTATTGAGAACATTGCCTGGCACAAGTCTGGAATCTACAAGACCGGAGCGGTGGCTCTGTCGACCATGCAGGATCCCCAGCCTGCCGCGATTCTGGATGAAAGGGCTGCCGCAAAAGGTCAGCAGATCACATTCGTGGGCATTGACGATGTTCGCTTACCGAGAGACTCGCTCAAGCTGGAGCCTTCTGTTCGAAGAAAGAATGCATCTTTGGCGGTTGCAATATCCGAACAATTTCTAGAAAAAAGTTTGGGCTCTGGCCGATCAGAGGTAGGGTTGACTGCCAATGACATTGCCGCTGGCATTGAGCAATTTGCGTGGCCTGGTCGCTTCCAGATCGTTCGTGATGCTGACAGCACATGGTTTCTGGACTCTGCGCATAACGACATGAGTGTGGCCATCGCAGCACAGTGGTTCGCGGACGCCGGTCAGAGGATGCAGCAGAGTGACGCCGACCCTGTACGCATCCTGATATTCAGCCACATCAATGAGCTTCGTGATACGGCCGCACTACTGGAGAACCTCGCGATCGCGCTGAGAGATTCGAGTGCGTCTATCAGCCATGTGATATTCAGCACCTATGCCGAGTCACAGGAGCCAACGAGCAGGACGACCACCGAGGATTCTGGCCTGTTTCACGAAGTATGGACCAAGATTCTGCCAGATACACAAATCTGGGACGAGCCCTTCATTCAGAAAGCAATGGAACGCGCAAAGGTACTGGGCAATCAGGATGGCAGAGGGATGCAGACACTCATTACCGGCAGTCAGCATTTGGTCGGTCCCGCGTTGCGTGTGCTTCAATCAGGTAGCGCTGAAATATGATGGACTCCGGCCTCGCCTACTTTGAAACAGCAAATCGGGGACTTTGGAACGTCCACACTTTGCTAATTCTCCACGCGACCTCGATTTCGCGCCTGCAACGCTGATCGAGACAGAAATTCCCGGGCACGCTCGACACAACGGAGATACTAGGAGCGCAGAAAGCCGAACATTTCTGATGAAGAATGTGGAGACTAAAGTCTGAGTCTCTGTTCTGCATTCCGGCGGGCTTCAATTGCTCGATTACAGTACTGCCCGATCTGAACGACATGAGTTACCTCGATGGTACTGGAGATTCTAATCTGCAATTGCACTTCGCCCAATCTCTATTTAGAACCGGGCAAGAAAGCAAGTCTGGTAGCTGTTCGAGATTCAGGGCCGTCTGCCAGTCTCATCGCTTCTCCAGAACCCTCCAGCGTGCAATCACTGGCCGATCTGGAAGACTGGCGGCTGGAGTGGTTCCTCAAGCATGGAGTTGAGCTGCCTCGCCAAGAGTGAGTCTACACACCCGCTCACTTCGAAGCCCGGGTGAGGTCAGAGCTTGATCACTTGCCGGCAAACTTGTGATCCTGCTCCGGTTCAAGCTCATGCTCAACCAATACTTCGATACTGCTGCAGCGAGGCCTCTGTCGATGCACGTCCGCAGTGACGGCAAACCGACCACCAGGAGCTTGGACAAGGGCGGCCGAGGCACCCGCCCGCTGTGTGAACCTGCAGCGGGCAGTAGGTAAGGTACATGGACCCAAAAAGATTGATGTCCAGCACGAACGACCACAGATACGTGAAAGCTAGGCATCCCGTCCGCTCTGCCATATATAAGCACGTAATCGCTGGATTAGTACTACGGTGGGTGACCACGTGGGAATCCCCAGTGTTGTTCGTTTTGCCTTTTGCTCGTCCGTGGTACGGTGTGGTGCTCGAAGGCTGCTTCCATTCTTTTTGCGTGCCTGGAACCGGCACCTGCTAGGGAAAAGATACCAGATGAGTCATGTCAGCAGCACTGGATGCCTACAATTACAAATGGCAGTCGCGATCAGCTGAACGTCGTGCCAAACTGTCTGCAGGTCCGGTCGCAACGCGACGCCATCTTTGTTGCCAGCGCACACGAACCTTTCTCCCGCCCACAATGGCTACCGATACGCATCAGTAAGTGAGTTGCAATGGTAAGGCAAGCTGTGTTCTGACTTCAGATCAACAGAAAGTCGTATGCCGTCGGCGACATCCTCAGTCTGCACACCAACTCCCTTGACAACGCTCCTCGCACCCTCCAGGCTAAGATCATACAGCTATACGAACCTTTCACGCTATCCTGCGTAGCTACGGTCGAGATCAATGCCAGCGACTTGGGCATCACAGACTCGCCCATCGAACCTGCGAAAGCGATATTAAAGCTTTACGACCGCCGCTTTGCAAGTCAGCTCCGTAAAGAGTCGAAAATTGAACCCTGGACCGCGGCCACAGAAGAGGCATACATCGACATAATCAAGAATGGAGAAGCAGCCGAGTTCGTTCGAAAATTGAACGATGATAGCATCGACTTCGAAGAACCCGAAGAAGGTTGGTCCACAGCAGAAAACGAAGCCTACCTCCATGACAAGTGCTCCGACCTGTTTTCCGACGAGACCAAAGCCTACGACGTCATGAAAACACTTCAAGGCAAGCAGATACCAAGACTATACTCTGCAGTCTCTCTGCCTCTGGAACAGAGCAATTTGGGCGAGCCCCTCGAGCAGGACAGCGACCTCCTAAGTATTCCCGGGATTTCGCTCGAATACATCCCTGGCCCAACGCTCTCAACTATGACGGACGTCATTCCTCGGCAAAGCTGGCAGCGCATCGTGGAGCAAGCTGTACAAAACGTGCGCGCTTATTCAAGCCTGGGGTTCCTGAACAGCGATGTACGGCCTTCGAACTTTGTGGTCAATGAACAAGTTCCTGACGGCCACGAGCGGAGGGTTGTTATGCTTGACTTCGCGGTGTGTGAATTCAGGGAGGACGATCAATCTGACGAAGAATGGGGCCGATTGAAGTGGCGTGAGGACGAAGAAAATGCAGTCGGATGCGTGATGGAAGGGATATTAGAAAGATTGGGGTTTGATCTGGGTTATGTGCGGTCGTCTCAATGGAAGAAGTATGCGATACCGGCAGAAGACGTTTGGTCATAGACCAGCTGATCGTGCAGTGCTATCCGCGAGCTATGCGTTGCGAACGAGATTACTAGGCACCGCTGCACTCTGTAAATTTTTCTGGCACGAGTACATCTCAGCTGCCAAATGCTGTCTTGTGGTCTTGTGAGTGAAAGTACGATCGATGTCCGAAAGAAATTGCGCCGCTGAAGTGAGGAAGGTTGCACTTTGGAGGCGCGTCACGTGTTGGCGCACCTGGCTCGTGTCCAAGTCAGTTGTATAGGTTGGGGAAGGCCCCACTCTGCGCGTGGACCTCTCGCTGTCTCACTTCAAACGCCTCCACTTCCGCCACTACATCACGGCACATCACAACGCACCGATCGGCCATGGTTCTCTGCTCGCAGGCCATCCCATGCAAGTCATGCAAGTGTTGTGCAACCGGATCGGCAATTGCGCCAGTTGTTCTTGCTCCTGTCCTCACAACTTCGCCACCAGACCGGGTACAATGGTTTAAGAGGACGAAAGCCGAGTACACAAGCGGATATCACACAGAAGCCTATCTGAAAGCTGGGGCCAGAAGTTCGATGGACGATGATGCAGCGTAAGTCTGCTTCTTTTGCTGATCATTCAGCTAAAATGCATAATGGCGGATTCGACTCCGCAAGATCCGCCTTGCCGACACTGAGCTGACGTGTGTCAATACGACACAGGACGGCGACATTCCAAGAACTACGCAGACTGGAGCGAAGGTTTCGAGCGCCCGAGAGAGTGTTTCCGACTCGATGTGAGGAGTTGAGGACAGTGCCAGCTGCAAAAACCTTTCCCTTTCTGGACCTTCCTCCCGAGGTGCGCCTTTGCGTTTACGAATATGCACTTCGAGAACCTTTCGTCCAGCGCCTTCGCAACTTTGTAACGCCAGCACTTGCCAGAGCATCAAATCAGCTGCGACAAGAGTCACTTCCAGTCTGGTTCGCTATCAACACTTTCGTGGCAGAGGTCAAATCGACATTTCTGGGCATATCATTCTGCTCTTCTCATGGAACGAGAGCTGAGTACATCTCCGAGAAAGACACTCGCTATAGGCGTCTCGGCAATCTCGATCTGAGTTCCGTTGTGACTGGTTTACTCGCCACACGCTCTCCAAGGATGATCAGGCTCAAAAACGTCGACTTCTGTATGATGAGTGCCGTCGAAAAGCGAGATCGCACTGGAAGCGATCGTTTTGCAATGCTTTCGGTAAGTTATGACGTCTCTCATCGTTCCCGCACAATACATTTGGGCAACGTGAGGGCATCTCTAACCGTGGCAACCTCTGAATGCACCTACCTCTTAATGCAAGCGCAGGTCGCTAAGCCAAAAACAAAAGCTTTCCATTGATCGAGAACCAATCCGGTTAGGCGCTTGCACACAGAGGTAGTTGCATTCAGAGGTAGCCACGGTGACCTGTCCTTACTGCGTTGCGCTGGATCACATCAATATGACGCTGACCTTGAGCCTCCTTAAGGTACGAGATGGCCGCCCAGTGCGCATCACCACACACGTCGGAGGTGGAAAAAGCTCCGAATACAGCAAACATGTGGAGCACGTTTTCGAATCGGGCCGCTCGTTTCTCGAACAGCTGGTATCGGACCCGGAGTACCAGGGTCTCTATATGCTGCAGCTCAAAGACGTTGCCGCGGCTTTCAGAGTGAAGCCACCTCTCCTTGGGAGTCCGGCTGAAGAACTGCAGCCAGCCGCGGCGCCTCTACCAACCAGCCAGGACGCAAAGCCTACGAATCGAGCTCTCGGCACCTCTGGCGAGAACGACGCGGATCGGAAACCCTTGCTCCCAGTGAAGCCAGTGAAAAAAGGCAACTCCGGCAAGCCAATACCACTCAGCGACGATTTCGAATTGCCGCATGCCGAGACATACTTCTCATAGGAGCCTTTTACCCCAGCCAACAATGGTGACTATCAACAGCGAAGGTTTTGCTTGCTTTTTTGGAGCAAGATCTTCAGTCTGTGCGATGTATTGGAGTTGGCTGAGTAGAGCACATCTCAGATGAGCCGCTGGACTTCCTCGCGCATTGATTCTCTAGATCACAGCACTCTGAATATGGGATATTCGTCTCCTTCTTCAAGCGGTATGATGTTGACACTGACGTACGAATCAATGACCTCTGGCTCCAGAGCAGCAAACGCAAGGGCAGCATTCTTCTGCCTCGTGCTAATTCGAAAGCTCCCCTTCGGAAGCGAAATTTCCCTCATAGTGGAATTTGTTGTCACTCTGACTGGAATTGCACCCTCATAGTACGACACTGGCTCCACGAACTTCGACGTCTCTATCGTCAGAGCCTCAACAGTCCCGTGAAACGCGTCCGGCAGCGTCTCAACTTCGAGTCCGGATACCCGCAGCTTCTCAGCAAGTTCAGCCCATGTTCGAGGAATGAGATACGCTTCGGGTCTCGGCCTTGTGAGGTTCGCTCGTGTAGGTGTAGTTGAGGAAAAGTCAATCAGGACTTCAGCCAAATCTCCGCTATCGAGCTCTATGAAGGTCCAGTTGTTTTGTGTTTTCACTGCATGGTCTGTGAGCACGATGTGCTCCTTGCTTTGGACGAAGTCTTCGACGCTCTTCGTGATCGTTTCTAGGACTTCAGAGGCGTGGTCTGCTGTGGTCTGCACGATGCTCTCCAGCATACTCAGTCCGCTGTAGGTGCGCCGCGCGAACTCCTGGTCAGCGATACCGATTCCTCGTGTTTCGCAGAGGAATGAAACTGCCTGCAGCAAGCACGGAGCCAGTCGGTTAATGTGTCCGGGAAGGTGCACTTCCTAGGTTATTACTTACCTGAATCAGTCCCATCGCATTACGCCCAATCTTTGCATCGCTTTCAGCCTCCACAAATGATATCGTTTCGTTGGGTTTCCGACCAGGCCCTATTGCAGCATACGGCTCCCATCTCAGGCCATTAGCTTCAAGATTCGACGCTATAGCTGGCGCGTAGAGCTTCTCAGACAAGGCGCTTATGTCGGGATGGATGTTAAGATTCTTCGCCGCGCTGAATCTTGCATCTGCTTGTGGGACATAGACTTCTCCATGGGAAAGTAACTGCAGTCTCGCAGAATACTCGTGAAGGTCCACAGCGACGTGTGGGTCGAATTTGCTGAAAGTCTTCTTGATATCTCGAGTTTGTTGCCTTGCAAGTTTGATGTGGTCGCGATTTGGATCGAAGTTCGAAGCCAGCAGTCGTTGGAAATACGCCTCGCCGTCTGGGTTGTATCTTGGTAGAAGTAGTAGGTCTACTTTCTCCAAAATAGAGGTAGTCCACGTTTTGTTCGAGTCCAATTCACCCAGCAGTGCAAGCACAGCTTGATCTCCGGCGGGCTCGTCCCCGTGCACGCCACCCTGGATCCAGATTCGAGCTCTGTCGGTCGAAGTATGGGGTTGGGGATCTTGAGAGACATAGACGAAGTCGATTGATCTCCCTTCTTCCGAAAGATATTCGGCTGGTTGCCAGTGAAACCAGTCATTCCTTTCGTCTAGCAGTGACAAGAAATCTGTCAATGTTTCATCGCTCGTAGGTCCCGTAGTGCCATTCTTGAACCCAGATTGGACGCTATGTTCGTCTAAAAAGGCTGGTGAAAACAGCTTTACCCCAGGATCCGGAAAGTTCGCCTCTACTTGTGGCTCATCCTTTCTGACGCTGACATGATTGTTGCCATATCGGGTCGCTTGAGTGTGGTCGAATATAGCCAGAAGGAAGGGCAAGAATTTGTATGCCATGGCGATGGCACAGAGCCCAAGGCCCAGCGTAAGCCTGCGAGACGCTCTTCGTGGTCGATGGATGGCCCAAGGAGATTTCAATGCTGACGTCGTTGGAGACGACATGAATCCGTCTCCAAAGGATTGGCTTCTTTCACAACATATGTAGGCCGGTGTTGAGAGGCGCGTGCTTGAGACCATCGGGACAACCGGCATCCGGAATTGCTCTCCACGTCAACCTTGTACAAGCAGGCCTTCCCTGTGCGGTCGCTTCCATTTGAAGCATAATTGACCACAATGCCTAAGATAGCTGGAAGCTTTCAATGAGCACCAATTACAACGTCGTCGCTGTTCAGTGACGAGTTCGAGCTGTAGCATACTGAGGCATACTGTTCACTGAATTCCGCACCGAGATCAGCCGGAATATTACACCCTTGAGTAGATCGAGATTTCTTCTTATGAGTTGCTCAGGATTGTGCTGAATAGAAGACATCCCCTTTCATCAGAACTCTGGCTGTACGATGCAGCAGTGCGCTCTCAATTTGACCATCTTCAAACACGCTCCCCACCTCAAGTTTGCCGCTCGCATGTGCGATTGTTAGCGACTCACGGCCCTCAGCGTTCACTGCTGTCAGTGCCGGCAGAGTCCCAGGCATACGACAAGCAGCCCCGAGATTGAGCGCCAGAGTCAGTGGCACTGCCTTGTGAGGTTGCTGCATAGACAGCGCACGGCAGACTATGTGGATTCCCGAGCTGACTGCTTCTGCCTCCGGCTTGCTGATGAGGACGATCTTCGGCACAGTCTGCGCTTCAGGATCCATATCCATCATCTTCGCTCCTGTTTGTCTGATCTCTTCGAGACGGGTCAAAATGCTCTGGTGTGCTTCCAAAGTCGTCGGTTCGATATCTCCTGGCAAGCCTAGATCTGAAGCAAGGACGAATACACCAGGATTTGCCACATCTACCAGACTGGCCCTTACTTCTGTTCCATCAGAGAGTTGGATTGTATCGATTGGGTTCCCAGTAGGTAAAGCTTTTCCAGTCTTGGCTCCAGCTGGGTCGATAAATTTCAAAGTGATTCTTGATCCCGTCCCAGGCACGCCATCAATTGCATAGTCGCCAAATGGGTTGTACGTTCCATCTTCCAACACAGGGCACTCGGCATGAATGACTTTATTCGTGTTCGTGTTGAAGATTCTCACATTCACAAAATTTTCCTCATTACCATTCTCATCTTTCCTCGTCTGGAGGGCTGTCCGGAGAAGACCCTCGTTCAGAGCCCAAGGTCCAACGATCGATGACATGTTGCCACAGTTGCCGGCAAGATCCAGCTTTCCGTCTTTTATCCCGACCTGGACGAATGTGAAGTCCACATCGCAGTCTTCACGAGCGGACTCGGAAACTATGCAGACTTTGCTGGTTGATGACACGCCGGAGCCAACGCCGTTGAGTTGACGTCCTGTCGAGTCTGGAGAGCCCATGGCCGAGGACAAAATCGGCTGCCATTTTGTGGGATCTGAAGATGGAAGATCCTTTAGATTCAAGACCAGTCCGTTGGAGGTGCCGCCACGAACGAAGCTGGCGGGAAATGATTGAAGTGTCATAGTTGAGGTCTTGCGAGAATGAGGGAAGGAGTTGCTTGAGTTTCGATAGATAGTGAAGAGTGCAGGTCTTGACGAGGATCTGGTACACAAACACCTATTTGAATGCCCGGCGCAGAGCGTCAACAGGTTTCTCGCAGTTGCCGCAGTCATGTTCTTGACATTTATATGTATGCCGGGTATGTTTCGCAGGTTTCGGGGTTTCGGCTTTCAGGTTTGTGCATTCTTGTTCCGTCCTCTGTTGAAGATCGTGGTAACCTCGTATCGGTTGAAACTATCGGTTCAGTGAGCGAGAATTCGTGCGTACTGTCAAAATATAAGTAATGTGAGACAAGTCGGCAGAAGTGGTAGCTTCTACAGTAATTAACGTCAAATGAAGTCCCTAAAGTCTCTCAGTCTTGGCCGACATCGCAACTGCCATCCTTCATCTCCACTTCGACGCGTCTACACACACCCAAAACACGCGACATGACCACAGCTACCACCTTGCCAGGCCTGCGAGGCCGCACAGCACGGGAAGATATTGCCATGGCAGGCAACGTCGCGGTCGACAGCTGCTACGCGTCCCACCTCGACTTATCGCCCTCTGCTCTGCTCCGAGATCTGTCAAGGCCCGCTGGCAATCGAGCACATCAGAACGAGATGATGGAACGGCTAGCGAAGATATTACGACCTCGAACGTGACAATGAAGAGAATGCTTAGGTCGAAGCCGACTGCACAGATATGGACACCCCAGACATGTCTGGCGACCATTCGAGTGAAGCGTTGTGGAGAGGTAAGGCAGGATACACGAAGTTGGTGATCAGACTATGATCTTCAAATACGCTCCACAGGCACAGATTGCTCTGCCCGTAACTCTGCCTCGCGAAGATGGCCTCTGCATCCAGGAAGCTGCAGAGACGCACTTCAGATGGGTTTGGTGGTTTCGAGCCACGCGGCAGCCGGGCAAGGAAAGTCCATATTATTCACATGATCAGATAAGGAAGCGAAGCGCATCAACATGAAGCACGATCGCTACTGCAGGTCCATCGTACCCGTAGCACCTCACTATGGGACGCTCTTGCGTGGCTTTGGGCTTGTAAGAGCCATACCTAAAAGTCATATGCAAGCAGCCCTCTCGCATACTGAGCCAGCCCATGCAAGAAGGTCGCCCGTATAGCTCCTCGGCGCAGCACTAACACGGCAATCACCATATATCATTCCGTCTTGGCTGTGTCTTCAAACGTTTCAAGCTAGCGCCGAGACGCTTGACGACCATCTCGCCTGGCTTCGGACTCATCTTACCCGAGAGGGAAGACTGCAAACGATGTCGCACTCGGTCTTTGCATATTGTGTCGATAGCATATTTCAGTGCGAACGGACGAAATTCTTCCGCATAAGCTATAGTTCTGAGACAAGCGCCATGACTTGCATCTAACGTTCATCCAGAATTCCGCGAACCGCGGCAGTTGACTTGAACGCCGGCTTGCTCAAGGCGACTACTATAACATCGCAGGACCCCAAGGACGGAAAGATTCCAACACCGGACACTACATCTCAAGATACTATACGGAACTGCAAGACCACCAACATGCATCCACGCAAGCTGTGTTCATGCCTCCTGGCAGCCACCAGCGCTCTCGCCGCCAAGATATATCTGGCCGGAGATTCCACAACGGCGACAATAGCTGGCGCTGACGGAACTCAAGGATGGGGAACTTACTTGAAAGATCGCGTGAGTCTGGAGGTCGTCAACAATGCCATCGGTGGACGTTCCACCAGAAGTTTCACCCGCGAAGGACGATTTACGGCCATGGCCAACAATGTTGCCAAGGGCGATTTCGTCGTCATTGAGTTTGGACACAATGATGGTGGAGGTCTGAGTACCGACAACGGACGATCAGTCTGCGGTGTTGTCAACAACGATTACAGCACTACTTGCCAGACCACTTACAAGTAAGTCGCATAGCTACACATCGGTCAATCTTCCTACACACTCCGATACTGACACAAAATGTAGCGGCGTCCAGGAAACCGTCCAGACCTACTACACCTACCTTGTCAACGCGGCGAAAGTTTTCCAAAGCAAAGGTGCCATTGTGATCATCGCCAGCCCAACGACCAGGAACGTCTGGGAAGGTGGCAATTATGCCTACACTCCCAGCCGCTTCGTTGGTTATGCTAAAGACGCAGCAGCTGCTGTTGGGGCCACTTTCGTCGACCATCAGATCTACGTTGCGGAGCTCTATCGCAAAGCGGGATCAGACACCGTGAACTCATACTACCCCAATGATGCTCTGCACACGTCCCCTGCTGGCGCGCAAGTTGTGGCGAGAGCTTTTGTGCTTGCTTTGGATGCGACGAGCAGTGCGTTGAAGCAGTACATCACTCGGAGGTGATTGACATTTCGGCATCAGTAGTAGCCGGTGAAAGCGCCATGGAAACGTATTTTCAATGCTATCGAAGCGGTTCTCTTTGAAGCTCTGTACATTCAAGTTGATAGCCCTGAAGATGTCCACAGGACGTCCACAATCACATGTTTGGACGGAATCATGCCTGAGGGTTGATGAACTTTGTTCAGGGACATGGCATGAAAATAAAGAAGCTGACCAAGACAGACAGAGTGTCAGCAGGGAATTATAGTGAACTCAGAGTCACCCTGCTCCATGTCCTCGGCTTGCTCGGTTCGTTTTCTGATTCGAACTGCACTGTTCTGGAAGTTCCACAGTTTCATGGCATTGCGTGCCTGAGGGGACCCCGCAGCCATGCCTTCGACCGGTCCGGTGCCGCTCTTTGGTAAGCCGATAATCAATGGAGGGGTAAAGGTCCGGTCGTCCAGTCTGACGACACATGATATTGACACCATCGTCGTGCATTCGACTATTTCGCACCAAAGGGCAAGGCGCAGTCAGAAACTATCTAGGGTCGCTACGATACCTGGCTCCGTACATCGAAGTTCGAACATCGACCAGCCGAAATCTAGGCCTAGCACATGCACTAGCTGAGACATCAGGCATTGGCACACAACAGACCAGCGAACAACCCGAAGCGCCGCCGCTATGAAGATTGAAGGAATATACATTTATCCTGTCAAGGCACTTCGGGCGGTCGAGCTCGAAGAGGCGCAAGTGACCAAACATGGCTTCCACCACGACAGGCGATTCATGATGCTGCACGTCCGAAAAGGCGAGGACGGCAAACCGACATACAAGAACATGGCCGTGGCATATTACCCAAAGAGCGTGCTATTCTTCCCTAGCATCGACACCGAAGCTGGAGTCCTCACTATCACCTACAAGCCTCCCAACGAAGAAGAGAAATCCCTAGACCTCCCTCTCTCACCCCACACAGACGACCTAGAAGTCGTAGACGTAAACCTCCACGGCTCCCCAACAAAAGCCTACAAAATGCAACAACAATACAACGACTGGCTCTCCTCCTGCTACGGCTTCGAAGTAATCCTCACCTACCTCGGCCCCCAATACCGTCCAGTCCTCATGTCCTCAAGCCACAACATCCAACGCAAACCCAACAACAACTCCAGCTCCTCCAACAACAACGCCTCCGGCTGGCTCTCCTCCATAACCTCCACGGCCACCAATCTCTTAACCGGAACATCAACCTCCGACCCCCAACTCCTCACCTTCACCGACGTAGCACCCTACCTCATAACCTCCTCCAAATCAATGGAAGACATCCATTCCCGCTTCCCATCAACCACCGACCCCTCCTCACTCGACATAATAAAATTCCGCCCCAACATCATCGTCTCCGGCGCCAGTGCCCCCTGGGATGAAGACTACTGGGGTCAAATCACCATCAAATCTTCCACATCCTCCGAAGCCACCGCCAAGCCGACCAGAATCGACTGCATCCACAACTGCGGCCGCTGCAAAAGCATCAATATTGATTATGCGACCGGCGAACCGGCAACAAACGAAGCAGGAGAATTGTTGAAGAAATTACAAAAAGATCGAAGAATTGATCCGGGCGTGAAGTATAGTCCGATTTTCGGACGGTATAGTTTTTTGAATGATGGGGAAAGTGAGGGGAATGTGATCAGGAAGGGGGATGAGGTGGAGATTAGTAAGAGGGTGGAAGAGAGGACGAAATTTGGTAAGTTATCAATCTTTTTTCTTTTTCCCCAGAATTTCTTTCTCGTTTAGTACGAAGGTTGTTGATTGAAGTCGGTTTTTTTGATTGAGCTGCGTTTCTATCCTATCTGAGTGCTCTTGATTTTTCAAAGCTAATCTCTTCTGAAAACACAGATTGGGAAGGTCTCAATACCTTGTCATCCACCTCATAGCAAACCAGCCAGCCATACTGGGAAGACCCCCAGCGATATCGAGTTTCATGGCAATATTGAAAAGTAGTTTGAGCTCTTCAAATTTCAATTCCCATGTCATCAAAGGTGTCACTTCCCACAGAACTGAAGCCAGACCACTCATTCCCCCTCTGTCGTGAAAATTGCGAAGACGAAGACGAAGAAGCGGCGGAAGAAGAACTCGCCATTCCTTCCGGCCTCTTTCCAGCCTTCTTCTCCGTCTCCCAAACTTCTCTCACGCTCTCAAGCAGATGCTGCGCAGATCCGATTTCGTGTAACAGAAGTGGCATTCTGTCACGCTGAGTCTTGACCAGGACAAACAGTTCTTCAATCGCTTCCAGTGAAATCTGTAATTTTCGCATCGTACTGCCAAGAACCTCCCACCCGAGTGGAAGTCTGCCGGAACTGTTAGGCAGAGACGTGCCTCTGCCAACGCCAGTCCTGTCTGGTGGCGTACACGTTCTGATACCTGCCAAAGCAGTGTTGAAGCGCTGAACAATCCCGAAGTACGTAGCCAGCTCGTTAGAGCCCAATTCGGAAGTTGCTGCGGAGGCGGGAGAGTTGTGTTCGGTACGACCAGTCCAGCTCAATCGGATGGTCCAAAGCGAATTTACGTATGCAGCAGGCAGCCACGCTTGGATTTGGCGAGTCTGCGCATTGAAAGACGTCTCGATGCTGCGGCATTCCTGATTCGCACATACCAGTGCGGCGTGCATGCAGCGTGCAGCTTCTGCAAACGTCAAGCTACGTGCAGCCCGCAAGCTAGGAGTGGTCTGCTGGTGGTAGGGTGAAGAAAGGCGAGTACGTGGCTGAGTATAGTCAGTTGGCGGAGGTACTGCTCCGCTTTCGAAATCGTCCAGCTCCTTGATTCTTGAGTTCTCAAGAAATGGTTCCGACCCGAAGTAGTGGTAATCACGCATAGCGTCCGGAAAAGTAGCGTCCCACTGTGGAAGTGTTTCGTAAGAGCTTCTGCCCTGATGCGGACGTCGGCGCGTCCAAGCTCGACGCGAGGGCAGGTTACTGAAGGTGGCCGAGCTGAAAGGTGGCGTGTTCATGTTCATGGCGTTGAACATGGCATCTATGCCGGATAATGGATCCATACTGACCTGATATCCTCTTCTCTCATTTGTCGAGGTAATGAAGTGGTTTGCTTGCAGGTCACCATGTCGCAGTAGCGGTCGCGATAAGCGGACCAACGTTTTGTCTGCTGTGCGACTGGATCACGAAGTTGGACTGGTCCACGCAAACACTTGCACAGCTTCCGCGTATCGCATTCGTTACGAGCGACATGCGCACGCGGGAGAGCACATACAGCTGCCACTTTCCGCGTGCTGTGTGCCTGTTGACGGAGACGCTGAGTGCTGCGAGCTCGCAACTGTCCAGGCTGTGCCGCTCTTTGCTGGCGGGTCTGCAAGGGTCAGCAATCGAGCGATTTCGCGCGGCGCGGTAGCACAAACCTTCAGCAATCACGAGGAGATCACCGGGGTCCTGTCTATCAGGTCTGATTTCCTCGAGGGTCGGAATGCAACACCTGCCTCTGCAGTGCGTTTCGTACCTCACAGTTGGGCGATTGTTACCCTGCGCCTGTTAGCTGTCACGTTCGCCAGTGTGATACAGTTCGGAACAGATCAGCATACCCCTCGAGCGAGCCATTCACTTTGAACGAGTTGATTGCTTTCTGATGGCGGGTCAGCGTTGTCATACACCTTCGTACTTCGTACTTTGACACAATCACTCACCTTCCGTCCATTCATCAACCTGATTGCGCAACTTGACCCATTCAGATCCACTTCGGTTGTCATTTGGGGAAATCGTAGGGTCATCTTGATCCCGCTCGTGTCTGACAATCTTTAGCCGGTCTCCTCCGTTTGATGGAGGATCGGGACCTCTTACAGATTCCGCTGGTCTGCCTGATGAGCCAGTCTCAACTCTTCTCATATACTGACTCGAATTCGGCAACTGCGGTCCAGCATGCCAGATACCTTCTTGACGCGGATTGCGTGAGAGCAACGTAAAAGCAGATTGACGGATTGTAGGATTGCGACAACGCGAAATGGCCATCCATAACGGATCCGTGACCCAGAGGGAGAATGACAAATAAGGCGTGCCCGAGTTCGGCCCTGATAGTGTCGGAAGTGGTGGGCATGAGAAAGACGCCAACACTTCTCGTGCCAGGTCCACGATCGCTCGGAATTCTGCTTCGTATGCGTCATACGCGACAGGGCCTGCGGATTGATCGACTGATGCCAACATGGTGCCCACGAGGTGATTGGCTTTGAGCACCATCGCACGCTTGAGATCCATGTTGGACATGTAATCGCGCTGGTCCGATAAGAATGCGGTAAAGGCCTGCTCCCACTGTGAGAACCATGGCGCATAGCGGAGATATTTCTCAGCCATGGTCACTGCGATGTGGTCACGCGGCGCTGTAGGGTGGAAGCCCTGCATGAAACGCATGACACTATTCAGTGCAGTGTGCAGTGTGTTATGGGCATGTTCCAAGCTGAAGATGTAGTCGATAGGCGGGAGAGGAGGTGTTTGTCCAGATGTGTCGATTTCTGGCCTTCGTCCCTTGTCGAGGAGTGCGGTGGCTTGAACTTCTAGTCGTTCCACGAGCGGGCGCATCTGCTCGATGTCGTCCTCTTCAGCTGGAGACATGCTCGTGATTGCCGCTCGACCCGTTGACTGCATGAGGCGCCTTCCTTGTAAAGCATGATTGACAGCACTATCGCATCGACCTTGCATAGCCTCGAAGCAAGTGAATAGGACGCATGTGGTCAAGGCGAGGCGTGAACTGGGAATACGTCGTCTGTTAGGGTCCTGTTCGTAACCTTCCTCCGCAGTTAAGCAGGCAATGGCCTTGTTGCATTGGTTGAGGGCGAATTCCATGGCTTTCGCCTTTTGCTTGTCATCAGCGAATGCGCGCTGCATGATGCATTCGTGCAAGGCTCCAATGGCAGTAATGGCATGCCTGATGGCAGGTTCGTGATATGAGGTTTGAATCACCATTCGCTGCCAGAAGGCCGAGTCGAAGAAGCCAGCCATTTGGGGGGCGCTGAAATTGACAAAGAAATTGAGGCAATGTCGCTCGCGCCAGCTTCGCCGCCATTTGGTATCTGGTCGGAATAGTGTCAGCGAGTCGGGATAGAAAACGCCGTCCTCGTCTTCTCCCGTCCGGGTGCCAGCGTTGATAGCCCAATCGTCTGATATTGCGGTGCTCCTGCAGTCTGGATTGCTGGGGTCGCATTTGATGCCTTTAATTCTGTTCAATGTTAGACAGCAATTCTCACCACCACGTGCTTGTCGTCTACCTACAAGCAAGGTATGCAGCCGGTCTGCATCTTCGTCCGCGGGATCTCCTCCACATCGTCTTCGGCGTTGTCCAGCGTCGTACTTGACGCTCCATTTTGCGAGGAGTAGTTCGTTGTAGCGTCGAAAGGAGGGCCGGGACGCTGGAATTCAAATCCATTGCTCCAGTTCACGTTTTGGGCAGTCTCGTGCACCGGCGTGGCGACTTCCTCCCACGCTCTCTTGCGACTGCCGTGTGCACCATTGGTACCGCTCATTCCATAACTAACACTGCCGTTGGTCCCGACGCTTCCGTTTCCGCTGTTCATCCCGTTCCCGTTGACATGCGTTGGCGGGGGTGAGCGCCATTGCAAGTCCACGCCTGTGTACCAGGCATGGTCCCCCTCTTTATCTCGGACGTTCGACTCGGCGGGCACGGTCATGGTGGACATGCCCTGCGGCGAGCGCATTGAGGTGTCGCGGGAGGGCGCAGATGCGGCAGGCCACGGCTCGGATTTGCAGTACGGGCGGTCGACTCAGCGAAGCCTCGCAGCGCCACGCAGCTCGGGAGCTCTCATATGTTGGTGGTCGGTGCGGTCAGGAAGTGGTGCTGGCGGGGCTGAACAGAGAAGCACTCTACGACAACGGCGCGGTGGTCATCGACGGTGGGTAGGGAGTTGAGGAGAAGAAGACTGCGGACGAGGTGTCGCGCCAAAGTCAAATGAAGGGAGGGTGCCAGGGCGTGCAAGGCAAGGCGTGGTGAGGACGTTGGACGAGGATGACAGCTCAGACCTGGTGCTGGGTCGAAGTCTGTTTCGCTCTGCTGGCTTCCATCACGTCCACGGGCGACGGGCGACGACGACATGTCTGCGATACCGTACCGTACATTTCTCAGCCGCAACGGAGCAGTGCAGCGTCGTCACAGATCGGCCTGGCTGGCCACCAGACTCGGCTGTCACCGCGCAGGTCGCCAGAAGGATGCGCTGAAGGATGGCCAGGTGCAGCCCACGCACACCGTCCCTCACACGCCCACGTCCGCCGTGCACGCCTGTGCCTGCTGCCACAAAAGGCGGGCATCGGCTGCACTGCCGCGCCCGTTCGCTCGTCACTGCTGTAGTAAGCACGGCGCGATCGTGGTCCACCTCTGGCCACGGCACACTGCCCATTACCAATCTGGCCTTCGACACGGTTCCGCAGTCGAGCGCCGCCTGCCCATGTGAATCCTGCCTCGCCCAATCCATCCTGGGCTCGTGCTGATGTCTCGGTGCACCGCCTGTGCGCTGCCGTGGTCTCGCCCAAACAAGCCGACCCGCCGCTGTGGCTCCTCGGCCCTGGAGCAACCCATCCGCCGGGGCCAGCAAGTGCTCGTCATGAATTTCGTCCTTGAGAGCAGCACAACCACATCTCCTCTCCTCTCCTCTCCATTCTCGCCAGCGTGTCTGCGATGCGGCGATGCTCCGTTCCCGTCTCTCATGTGCACCTACGCTAGCATCCTCAGCGTGGCGTGCGCGAGCCATCGCTCCTAGCCCAGCATGCCTCTCTCTCCTGCAGCTTGGAACGCGAGGTTACAGCGCGGAAGCTTCAGCTCCCACTCACTCCCATGATGTTGCAATCCTCGGTGGTGGCATCACCGGTCTGGCCAGCGCCTACTTCCTGACTCGTCAATTCCCCAATGCCAAAGTAACGCTGTACGAAGCCAAAGAACGGGTTGGGGGATGGCTGGAATCGAAGCGAGTGCCAGTCAAGGATGGCAACATTCTCTTTGAGGCTGGACCTCGCACATTGCGCCCACAGTCGAATGGCGTACTCGCGGCGAGATTGGTATGACAGTTTCGAGCTCCAATGCACGTCGATGGAGCTGATGGGTAGTAGATGCAAGAGCTGGACTTGACCAAAGACGCCATCTTCACGCAAAACACCTCGCCCGCCGCGCGTAGCCGTTTCCTCTACTATCCCGACCACATCGTGCGCATGCCCCACCCTTCCTTTGGGCTGGCGGACAACCTGTGGAATCTGATCAGAGAACCTGTCTTCGAGACCGCAGTGTTGAGTGGGTTCAGAGAGTTTTTCAAAGATGGCAGAGATCCCAGCGTGCAAGATGAAAGCATTGGCGACTTCTTCTCGCGCCGATTCAGCAAGACGATGGTGGACAACATTCTGAGTGCTGTAATCCATGGCATTTATGCGGGCGATGTCTACAAATTGTCGGCGAAGAGCTTGTTCCCTAATCAATGGCGAGCAGAAGCTGTCCACGGCAGTGTCTTTCTCGCCATGCTTAAATCCAGAACCGAAGGCATTGAGATGACGAAGAGAGAGGCCGATTTCCTGCAGGACATGAAAGCTTTCTCATGGGACCCGCTACTCAAAAGCACATTGAAGGACAATTCGGTATTTACATTCAAGGACGGTCTGGGTATGCTTTCGGACAGGCTGCACTCGAAATTGTTCGAATCCGGACACGTGGAGTTCAAAACAGGCACCGCTGTGCAGGCCGTGAAGCAGTCGGATGGCAACACAGGCATAGAGGTTACCGCGCAAGGGTCACAAGAGTCGCGACAGCATAGCCATGTCATCTCTGCGCTTTCGCCGGACCACTTGAACAAAGTAGCTGGCACTAGTCTGATCGGACACATCCCCAGTGTGAACGTGATGACTGTCAACCTTTACTTCCGTTCGCCAGACCTGCATGAGCCTGGCTTTGGCTACTTAATACCGCGCTCCACGCCTTTCGAGCAAAATCCGGAGCGTGCATTGGGCGTCGTATTCGACACTGCGTACTCTCCGTCGCCTCGCGATGTCGATGTAAAGAACTGGAACGATCTGTCGGTCGATCAGCTGCGAGCTGCGCGTGAGGCTGGCCAGATTATCAATGTGAACGATTTTTCTTGGTACAATATGCCGGAACCTCCAAATATGCAGGATCACGTCGAGGCCAGAGGGACCAAGCTCACTGTGATGCTCGGCGGGCACTGGTGGGATGACTGGCCCGCATTTCCAAGCGAGGAGGAAGGCGTAGCTCTTGCGCGTTCGGTACTCGAACGCCATCTCGGCATCAAGGAGGAACCAGAGGCCTCGCAGGTCAACTTCCAGAAGGACTGCATTCCGCAGTACACGGTCGGTCACGAACAGCGACTCAAAGACGCCCACAACAATATCTGGCGCCAGTACAAGGGTCGGTTACGGGTGGCCGGTAACTGGATGTCAGGCGTGGGAGTGAACGATTGCTTGCGGAGCGCACATGAGGTAGTCAAGAACTTCTCTCGCGACGCGACAGGACTTGAGCATGTCGGTGAAGCACCAACGGTGCGTCTCGCGCCACTCCGGCCAGGCCAGAAGTCGGGGGATGAGAGCGAGCGATAGACTTGTACATATAGACGCAACACACGCACGAAAACGGGTGCTGCTGCATTGCAGCATTGCCCTGATGCATTGGACTCGGGCTGACGCAAGCTGTGGCTCCTTCCTCGAACATGGATGGCCCCACTTTCGTCGAAAGCGAACCTTCCACTTCAGTTTCCACGTCAGATCTCGTGACGCGCTGCTAACGAAACAATGGCTGTCCTCGAATGACACTCTTCCTCACTTCCTGACTTCCTGTGTTCTCATCACATCGAGCTCCATCCCGAGAGCACCAGCAATTGACGAGCACGTTGCACCGACTGGCCACCAAATGCGCCTGACTCTGCAGACTGGGAAGCTGGAACCTTGATTGGGCCGCAGGCAAACACAACTCCCCATCCGGTGCACAGCCAATCGCTGCTTTGCTTCAAAACGAGGCTGGGTATCGAAAGACATCTCGGTCAGCTAGAATCTACCACACCCACTACATTGCTTCACTTCTGCCTGAAAGCTCACCTGGCATCCTGGCGATTGCACGCAGCGCAACAGCAGCCATCGCAAACGTGCATTGAAGCCAGCCTTCGTTGACTGGCTAAATGCCTGTAAATCCAAGTTTCGTTTCGTCCACCGCTGGAAAGTGACAGGGTCAAGGCTCTTTCGAAACACCAAAGCAGAACCCAACGTCACGATCATCGTCCAGCCGCGCAGAACAACAATCTCTACAAAATTGGACGATCTTGGTTCGACCGGATCTCCGCTGTGCATACCGACACACAACCGCCATGGCAGCGCACCTGGGCCATGACGCAGCTGAGGCTCCGCGAGGACGACCTCCAGTCTCATTAAACCACCCGCACCGCACGACTCGATCCTGGACATCAAATGGCGTTCATTATACGGTCGATTCCACCACCTACTCAACTCCAGGTTTCAGCTTTGGGGCTTTTTCTGGAACAGCGAACGGACCCTTCACTTTCGAACCTTTTATGACATCAAATCGAGAGTCTGCTACGAGACCTGCGCCATTTGGACTTCTTGGGAACGCTTTCGGTCTACTCGAAGACGCTTTCACAATGCGTCCACAGCACACCGTCATTGGAGAGAGTGGTCTGGGCCAAGGAGCACAGAGACGAGTACAAGTCGATCCTCCAGCCGAATCCTATGACCCTGACCTGGCTTACGAAGAACACAATTTCGCTGCAAACCGGAAAGCTCGACCAAAATCTATATTTTCACGATTAAAGGACAGGCTTGTCGATGCGAACCAAATTCGGCGGCAGCGTAGCTTAAGCAGTCGTGAACGATCTTCAGAAGATGAAAACGCAAGGATACCGTCACGGAAGGCAAGCACGCGCTTCGCACAGACTGGACCGCCGCCAGCAGCATGGACGACACAAAGAGAACAGGCTCGAGATGCGCCTCGTGAGCCAGCGCCAGAGTTCATTGAAGTAGACTACCAGGACGATACAGCATCCGAAACGGAGTCCGAACCAGAATATATACACAGCAGATCACGGCCTCGCTCCAAACGATACAGTACAGCAGGCAACAACATGGTGGAGGCATTGGAGAATGCCGTCGAGCTGGAACGCCGCAACGTTCGTGCTTGTAAGCAGAAACTGGCACAGGCTTCGAGGCAAGGCAATATCAACTCGAACTACTTGCAGCGTATCGTGGATGAGCTCAAACAGCACGAATCTACACTAGCAACAGCGACAAGCAATCTCAATGAAGCAAAAGCCCGCCAAGTGCGTAACGAACGACCGCACCTTCCACGTCGACCAAGTTCCCGAGCGCGTGCTGAAATGCCGCCTCCACCTCCTCCACAGATGCCACCCCGGCAGCCTTCTCAAGAGCGGTCCCGGTCAAGACCAAGGTATTCTCGGTCGAGTTATAACATGCGAGATCGCTTCGTTCCCGTCGACGAGTTCACAAGATTTCCCGATCATCCATCACATCCGGATCCTATATTTCAAGCGTTTGAGGATCTGCATGGCGTACACACTGGGATACATTTCGACCCCTTCCACCACTTTTTCGGAGCAGACAGATTTGCCATGGACGATGCACACATGCACTTCTTCGCAATGCCTAGTGATACATTTCCAGCCGGTACCGATACACGACGCAAGCGGGCGACGTTCAATCCAGGAGGCCCGCGAGCATCTTTCCAGCAACCACACCCGTCATATCGTACTTCATTTGCTCCACCGCCACGGCAGACTCCTGTCGCTGCGCCGAAGCCACCAGCTACAGTTCTCACCTCGGAAGAAGCAAAGAGATTGTTCTCAATTTACGACGAGCGTTGGAAAGCCCTCCCACCATCCAGCCCGAGCGTTCCCTATCCCGCTCGTGGTTTGCATGCAGGAGGTTTAGCAGCACGAGACTCGCTGTGGGCCCCCAACATTAGCACTCATGTTGCTTCGTGGTCAGAAGAGACCGTTATGCAAGCTAATGCACAGGCGTTCTATCTCGGCGTGGTGGGGCTTTCCCCAAGGTACACAGAGAACCCAGCTTCTGGGCGTGTCGAAGTTGGGTTTGACAAGTCGCAAGCTACGCCGTCGCAGCTGCAGCAACTAGTGGACATTTTGAAGAAGGAAAAGATTCGGTGGCATTCGGATCGACTGGGCAGACGGAACGGTGGACGTCCGGGACCAAATGAGGCCTTACAGAAGGACGAGCGCGCGAGAGCAGTCTTTCATGCCGTGTGCGAGCTTATGGAGAGCGCGCAGTGAGGTGAATGGTGAAACGCCTATGTGTAATGAGGTGCAAGCACGAGGGAGAATGCTGAAGGATGTAAGATATAATCGATGACATGGGGCGTCCTTCGACGTGCTTTGAAATTCATACACGGCATCAGCATAGCAGCCATGGCCTCATCTCACTATCCTCAGTGTTGCAGAATGAACAGGCGAAAACCTCAGAACTGCTTCTTCCTGCATGTGAATGTACTTCTCTCTGTTGAGTCTCCGACTTCGGCGTCGTTCAATGCACGTCATGAGCTCCCCGCTTCGACGTCAATGCTAATGTCAGCAACATCTGGGAGCTATGTGCATTTCTAACGAACCGATATAGCGTAGAGTCCTGGACTACATGTTGTCAACCACGAGTGTAATTCGACTTCACTTAGCTCCCGTTTCGAGCAAGATCTCACTTCCACCTTGCTACTTCCTGCACAAAGCAGCTACAACAAGTCTTCAACCTCGACAACATCATTCTGCAGCACCTCCCACAATCTCAACGCCAACAAGACCACCCCATCGGCCACTCCAATTACCAAACAAATCACTTCGAAGCGAAACTCTCAAGATGTCCACCTCCACCTCCGGCATCGACTCCACCCCACCAACTTTCCCCCCACCATCTCTCAAACCCCTCGTCGAAGAAATCGCCCACCTCCTCACAACCCGTAAAGAAAGCATCTCCATCGCCGAAACCGCCGCCGGAGGCCTCCTCTCCTCCTCCCTCCTCTCCTACCCGGGCGCCTCAAAATTCTACAAAGGCGGTCTAACCCTCTACACCCTCCCCTCGCGAATCGCCTACGCAGGCTGGACTCAAGAAACAATAAAAGATTACCGCGGCCCCACAACCGATATCGTTTCGGGACTCGCGCAACATGTGCGGAAAGATTTGGAGAGTACTTATACGTTAAGTGAGAGTGGGACGGCGGGGCCTACGGGGGGTGAGACGAGGAATCGGACGCCCGGGTATGTGGCTCTTGCGGTGGATTGTGAGAGGGGGACGTTTACGAGGGAGGTGGAGACGGGGTTGGGAGGGGATCGGGTGGGGAATATGGTGAGGTTTGCGGAGGAGGGGTTGAAGTTATTAAAAGAGGTTATTGTGGGGGAGAGTACGAGGGGGGCGTATGGAGGGAAGGGGTTTGTTAGTAAGAGTTTGATGGGGGAGGGGAAGGAGAGTAAGGCGTAGCGTGTCGATATGCGGGAGCTGGGTATCGCCGTGATCTGTTAGAGATGTTCTCAGAGGGGCGGATGGGAGCCATTTAATCTTTTACTTTCTTTTTTTTTTTCCTTTCTTTTTTTTTTCCTTTCATTTCTTCTGTCACGTTTATATTGATCGCTTCCTCTTCTGCGCTCTGCCAGGATCTTCTGAGAGCGGGTTTATCAGCCACTCCGTAGCCTTCAAAGCCGCAGCTTTGCAAGCTGGTTTCGCTCCACACTCCAGAGCCTGCTGTATTCGTCTCCCGAGTTCATCCTCGATTTTATCCATCTCTTGCAGTAGCCATTCTCCCTGATCAGCAGGTACCACAGGAGCCGCATCTCTTCTCGCTTTTCTCCTCGCAACTCCATCGGATCCTGACCGAATCCACTGCTCAGCTTGTTCCTCCAGCTCTCGTCTCCCCATTCTGCCAAAAGAAAACTTCCCAGCGGCTTCCGCTTCTTCCACAAAATATCCTCCCTCGATCTCCCTCTTCTCCAGTTGCCCCTCTCTTAGCTTCTTCTTCCAGTTATTCAACCTCTTCTCCAGCCTTCCCCATTTGTGATTCAAATGCATCCACTCATCATAATCTTGCGGATCTTCGTAACAGACTCCATAACCCTCACAGTAGCATACCCTCGGATCGGGACACCACACGGGTGAGCCGTCGAAAATGTATTGCCAGAAATATTCGAAAACTCTCCCAGTCATGTAATCCGACATCGGCGTATACGTGAGCCAATCTCTGAAATGGACATACTTTTCTCGAGGCACGAATCGAATCCGTTCAGCTGTTACGGCGAACTGCGCACAGCAAGGCTGCGCAAGCACTCTCGGGACTTGCCACTCGGGCACTTCGAAGACTTCTTGCCATGCGTCCCTGATCAGAAGTTCTTCGGCTTTGTCTGCGTTGTATTCGTCCGTGAAAGGGTATAGATGTTCTGGACAGCCTGGATTGAAATGGCAGCGGAGATTAAAATATCCGTCCTTTTGAACTTTGTCGAATTGGAGACGTTGGAGCATTTGGGAAGTGCTGTAGCCTAGCATAAGATTGTTGTGCCAGGCTGTGCGATGGCCGTGAATGAAGATGTTGATGGGCAGCAGAGAATCGTAGTTGTCGATGATGTAGCTGAGATAGACCATGGCTTCGTGGCCTCGGTTTTTGGGCGTGTGGAGGGGTGCGGTTGGGTCATCGTTGAGGTATATGTAAGGCATGAAGCGCCCGCCGGGTCCAAGTAGGCCGTTCAGTTCTTTGTCGAGCCAGGAGTTGTTCGTTTTGCGCACCGTTGCTATGACGAGAGCGGCTTGGGGTATTTGCTCTTCGGCAACCTCATTGGACTTTGATGGTTGATCTGTATTGGTGCTGTCAAGTTCCGGTGCCTGGTCTGCCAAATTGTCGGATGCTGTGAGTGTTTGATCTGCAATAGCATTGATAGGATTCGGTGCCTGGTCTGTGACAGTTTCCTTGATTCCCGTTTCGTGGGTTGGAGTGCCAGTTAGGGTGGTTGCAGGTGGAGCATGCAGCGTTGTTGTCGTCGTCGTGATCGGAGGCTCGACGACATCTTTCAATGACTCGACGGGCCTGTTTTTGCTGGTATTGATGTTGATACGAGATGGATTGCCTTTCCAAGACGGCACATGTTCTCTCCAAAGAAAATGTGATTCAGAAGTAAAGAAGAAAATGGTAAGCAGAACAGAGAGGACTGCCGCAGCCAAGAAAATAGAATATGGCCGATTCATGCTAGATGATCGAAAAAAGCAGCCGTAAACAACGGCTGCTGGAATGCTAAACAGACATATGGAAGAAATGAAGAGCAGACATAGGAAAGAAGTGCTAGTGTCAAGTGGCTTACCCTTCTGTCGTTGCTCGACTTGAACGCGTTGCAAATTCGTCTTCATGGAAGCAGGTATGCGCATTGCGAGACGTCGGGCCATCCACGATGCGTAGTCACGATAGTCTTAGCGTCAACGAGGGTCCATGTGCTTGCGTGGTGCCGGACAGGGTGGTCGGCCGCCATCATTGGTCTTGTGCGGGTTCGTTCTTTGTGCTTAATATCGGGTCTCCTCTGGGTATCTTCTTCTACAGCGATAAGCCAAATAGTGCTTACCGGCCATAGCGGATGCGGCCCTTTGGTGTTTGACGCTCTTTGGAAGTTTGGTGTCAAGGATGTCACAATGGAAAGTGATAGGGAGTGGGTACTGTACGAGATCGGTCGACGTTCCTTCTCCTGGAGAAGCTTGCGTATTGGATGATGAATGACCGAGCGGCCCGAGCCGGCGGCTGTCTTCTGTCTCCAAGTAGGGCTCTCGGGCTCTTCTTCGAGAATTCACCTCCGTACAAGACACGACAGCATCTATGCCCGACAGTTGCGAATATCTCCTTCCAGCGTCTCTGATGCTGAAAAGAATCTTGATGGCTCGAGAGTTGTCCTGACGCTGCGATGGAGCCCTGGCCGCGCCTGGTCCTTGGAACGCCGGCGTCAGCTCCTCGGCGGTTTCGGTCCTCCCCATCAAGGAGTATAAGATGACTGGATACCCAGGGAAAGACCTAGAAGGCCAATGTATTCGACACTGCTGTACATTGCCGTGAGAGAAAAGCTGTCAAGCGGACCCAATCGAGTATCATCAGGATCCCAGACTCTTCCATGATGATCACTTAGTCCAGGAACCACGTTAATTTGGAACGACGCCACAACTGCGAACGAGCACTATCTCGGAGTGAAGGAGGATTTAGTTCGCTAGCTGATGGGCATCCGAATCGATCTTCCTCCGACCATGATTTACGATACTTACCGGCAGTGACAGCAAACCCATTGTACCACATGGATGGACGCTCGACTCCGCAACATAATCCTAGCTTTCGGGACAGTCTTGGAAGTTTGGACGGATCGTATTTTCTCAGTACGTGCCAGCTAATGGGAATGGACCTTTGCGGCAACATAATCTCAACGATCGAGTCTACGTCCTTTTCAAAAACATGCTGGACTCCATAACATCGCACAAGTTTTCCGAGCATCTAGCATGTTCAAAGAAGGCACGGCTATTGTTGCGGCGGTCGACATGTCACCATGAGCTTGAATACGTTGAGCATGGGTTCGAACCACCGAAGCGTCAGCTGCATCAATGTTGTCGCGTGCAGCAGCACCGGTCGCCTTGGCCATCGTATAGAATCTGTTACGTCCATCGCACGGAACTGTCAAACTCCGACTTTGAATGCGAGAGTGGCATTCGATTCACTCCATTGAAATATATGCCACGGGCGAGCTGGAATGGGACGTCGCCTATGGAAAGCACCGAATAGTCTTGGAAGTACCGACGAACCCAAAGTGCGTCACTGGTCGTCGCGAGATGCGCAGTTCACGTTTGCGCTATCAAGTGTTACGCGCGACACGTTGTTTGGCGAACGGTCTGGCAAACGTTCCGAAGCCTCTCAGCAGAACCGGTAATTCCCAGCAGCGCGACAAGTTTCGGAGATCTGTGAAACAGCAATAACGACCACTCCTAAGTGGCCTGCAGATCGTCTTCTCAACAAGTTCTTGTTGTACATGCATATCAGCTCGTGCTCACATCGAGATGTGTGCATCGTTAGCGAACGGGCTATCCTTTAACGCAGCTGTAAGCAACAGAGGTTCTTTGAGCTTCCACCATCTGGCAGTAGGTAAGGTCTTAGGTGCGGTACCCAAAACTGCATTAACACAGCATACCAATCGCAGAACGAATAACAATGCTCAGCTCTCGACTGCCATTGGAGGGAGTATGCAGAAAACGGACAGAAGTATTACTTACGACTCGACTAGTCGTGTCGCGACGTCATCCGATGCTGATCTACATCGAGGCTCTCTTATAGAGCGCCTCTATATTCGTCCTGTTGTCTCTCGGCGGTACAACTCATGCAAACAACGTTTTGCCCAAGAATCGCAAAACAAAAACAGCATGAGTCTTCAGAGCAACATGCAAGACGCCACACCTGCACGCTGCCACGAGACTACATGACTATGCATACGCATAGTTCTCCGACATCTGCAGACACGACTCGTGAACGAAGGTCATGAAGCCATTTAGAATCAGTCCCCGCGTCAAGGTGCTCAGGCCACAGTCTCCGCCTCTGATCAGCGTTTGTCGCGTGGCGGAGTGATGGTCTGTTTCGCAATGTAATGTTTCGCGGTGTGGTGTTCCGTGGTGATCACAACGCTGTCTAGGCAATTGTTCGTTCACGCTAGACCACGGCGACAGAACATATGGATTCCTGGAGCACATCCTGCTCTCCTTACGAACTAGCAATGCAGGCTGACGCTATGCTGCTCTTGGTTGCAGTGCTGGAGTCCGCTGGTCGCAATCCGTCAAGTCGATGCACTGGAAAGGCGTGCTTGCGTGGAGGCCTCACTGTCTCGGCTCCGTACTTGGTCGACTGCTGTCGTAGGCTCGAAGCACGGCCTCGTGTTCAACTCAAAATAACGATCAAGCCAAACAGCTGAACAGAACCGCAGGGGCTATCACTATACGGCGTCGGTGCCAAGCCTGGAGGATTGTGAAGCCCTACAGAGCTATGAAATCCACGCAGTGCTTAGATTCCGCAAGAGTCGAATCAGCACTCTGCTCTACCATGACAAGTAAGACGGACTGATACAATGTCCATATCTGTATCCTTCGTGAGAGCACCACCAGCAGAGATGAACAATACGAGATGACGCCAAGCGAAACGACCCTCTTTTGTAGCCGCATGCCTGAGAATGTGCGGTCCACCGAACACAGCTGAGGCTGGAGCGACCTAATCGAGGTTGCTGACATGCACAACAGGATAGGAGTCGGCATGGCTAGAACAACTGCTCAGCAGAGCAGAGAAGGGCCTGCTTGATGCTAAAGGTATAAAGCGAAGAGAGTTTTCTCTAATCGAAAACATCATTCACCACCAGCTTCCCATCCCATCGCATCACCCATTCTTCCATGCAAAAGCAATATCGTCAACAAGTTTTCCAGAACAACAAAACTCCAACCAAGAAGATGAAGATTCCACAGATGTGGGCCGCTGGCGCCCTCCTGGCCGGCTGTACTCAAGCTTGCACTCGCGTCCGCATCGACCAGTCGCGCGACCAAAGCAACCCTAATAACAAGTACACCAGCTACACGGCTTGGGACGATGACAAACCGGCCCTCACAATCAATGACCACAAATCCAGAATCAACCAGGAGAACAATCGCGAGGCTCTTCCATACCTCCGTTCAAAGACCGGGGACGTCGATGTATACATGCACTACTATCAAGGACCATTTGCAAAGCAAATTGGCGGGTCGGTCGCTTTCCCTAAGACTCCGGGTTATCGTAAGTCTATCAGATCGAGTCTCTTTGTCTTCACCAGGCCCGCCTTCGCAGACTGACAGTGTTGTGTTCTCTAGCAAAACTGCCTTTAGAGCAAAAGAATTATTTCGAGTACTACAACGAGGACGGAATCAAACATCGTAAGTGAACTGAGGGAAGGGAGTGCTATGCACCCCTCCGGTCTGGTCACCCTTTTTGAGACACTTACTTACCTTCTCCCCTTTTCTTAGAAATCTACTGTCTATGGGACAACTACAATTGCGAGGGCAAATACACTTGCGGAATTTAAGCAACCTCCGCCAGCCAAAGGGTAAAACGAGCAGCGCATTGTCTGGAGTCCTTTGCATTTTTCGGCGGTTTGGCATATCGTTTCGATCATTTGCGGGTAGGCGTGCACCTACCCCGCATCCACTCATTGTACAGTAGCAGCATAAACTAGATTTTCAAAATTGAGAGGCGATCCATCTCCCAAGCAACAGAAAAGAAACACACACTTTCAATCCTGATACACGCTCATCACACAAGAAGCTACAGCCACAATCACCTTGCAGCTCATGCACCTCAGAATACAAATGTGCTACACCGCTCCCACCTAGCATGAGCACACGACGCCCATGCATCGCACTGCAGCCATAGTACAAAAGTAAGGAAGGGATCAGAAACAGAAACAACAACTCACCACATGCACGATACAACAACAATACCCCTCTCTACTATACCAGTCCCCACCCAATCACCATCGGCATACGTACCTCTTGCATATACATCCTGCATCCTGCATGACACTCAAAACGATCCCCACCAATCCACCAAAGAAAACCGACTTCCCGGATCTCGTAAAGCACCAAAATAGGAAAGTGACACGTCTTTGTTGATGAACGAACAAGGTAAAAAATTCTGCTACTGCAAGGTCGAAGGGAAAAAAAGTCGGTCACAGTGGGGCAGCAGCACCCGCCCACTCCACTTGTGCTCGCGTGTACGAAGAGTGGGTCAGCTGCATGCAGTGCGACATCACCGCATCACACAATCGGCACGACGCGGTCGGAACACAGTCCGCAAAGGAGGCATTGAGAGAACATGGTTCGGGACCGCGTGGCAGTGGAGCATGACCACGAACGCCGAAGATGGGGGGAATGTTCTGATCAGGAAAAACAAAAACACTGGAAAGAGTTGTTTTGAATATGATTCGTTTCATTGAGACATTACGGCAGAGAACGAGAGACACTGTTGTTATTCAATGTCATCAGCCTCTTCTTCTGCTTCCTGGTTCTGCTTTCTGACCCCAGGTAAATCTTCATGGTACCAGGCAAAGGTTTCGTAGTACAACAGTAGTAGTACAAAAGTTGGGCCTGGCGCTGCCTGCATAAAGCGAGGTCATCTGGGGCGCCAGAGTTCCAAATCGTGGTACAAAGCTGGGGTTCAATTGCGCCTTGCGCGCTCTTCTCTTTCCTAGTCTGTACAATCCTGCAAGCTCGTTTCATTGGTGAAGCTGGGGGTTTGGTTGTGAGTCTGAAACTCCTGGCTACCAAGTGTTCATGGATGCTGTTTTATTCTGGGTGTACAATTCGAAAGTCGAAGCTGTGGACCGGCGATGCAATCGTGCCGGTAAAGCCAGGGCCGGAACAAGGTCATGATATTGTCCCGCGCTGATGAATGGCGGTGGAATGGCGTGTCAATGCCGCTCAATGTTGTTGGTGAGTAAAATCGGGAAGGTGACAAATTTGCGCTCTGTCAAAAGTAGCGTGGAAGCTCCGGAGGACGTTCTGTTCCGGGCTGCTGAGGAGGAATTCGTTGTTGCTAAGAGAGGTTCGCCTGTGGGTGGAAAAAGGCCGAGAGGATTGTGGGGATGCTGGGTATCGTTGCACTTTGCCGACGGTCACTGTACTGATGTGCCGTGGTCTTCATCGTAAAAAGACATAAAGGAAGGGAACGCAATGAAAAGTTGATCGTCCAGAAAGGAAATCCGAGGGTCGGTCGCCGCCGACGTTGCACCTGAAAGGAAATCGCCACTGGAATGGCTCGCTTGAACGCCGCAGAAATGCCTCGCAAAATCGAGGCGAAAGGGAAGTCGCTCCTAGAACGCCATGCTATGCAATGCACCAAGGCCAGGAGGGGTATTCGTATATCAGTAGGAGGCCATGCGTCGTTGATACGACATGCCAATGCCCTCTGCAATGTCGGCGCCGACTGCAAAGGTGCTTTGTGATCGAGGACCTAATGTACGACCAAGGGCGGTCGGGGAGTCGTCCATGTCATCAGATGTCGTGCCGAAGGCAAAGGTCTGGTTGCGAAACAGCTTCTGGCGTGGTTGTTGCTTGACCTTTGCCATGCCACGTTCACATGCCATTTCATGACGATGATCGTTCATTTCCACATAGTTTTGTGGGAAGCATTTGGAGGGATTCTCTGCGAAGAATTTGCTGTAGCCGCCATCTAGGATATACATCTCTGGATACGTGAGGTGGGGATAGTTGGCGGCGTTGACAGTCCGGTCGTGGCCTCGGATAAACTTCGCGGTGAGAGGTGCACGGTGCACAGAATACTCACAGTGGAAGATGAGCAGGGTATTACCACTGGGCACATTCGGGCTGAAGAGCTCGCTGGCCAAGTGTTGTTTGTCGTTGAAGTTGACAGCACTCTCGATGTGTCCGCCTTCATATTCGTATTCGAATCGACAGTCGACAATGAGAACGCGTTCATATTTGTCAGAATGCTTTTGGGCGAGAACATCAAGCATCGTTTCCTGGGTGATCCTGGGCAGGCCTTCGGGTTCGTCATCGGGCACAAAATAGGGCAGCTTGTGAGTAGGCTCCTGCTCAATATCCATGACAGAAGACAAACTCGATGATGGGTCAAACGTCTCTTGCTCCTCCTTCATGATATCGTCGGGATGCTGAAACATGCTGAGAGATCTCCGGATGAGCTTTCTCTGTGGTCGTACGAACGCAGGCCGTCCGGCCAAAGACTTGCGAACATGACTGCCAGACGGTGACCCATTGCAGCGATTCGCGTTGCTGATAGAAGTCCTTCGCGATGGTGGCAGCATTGAGCCCAAGCCGGACGGCCGCGGATCGTCGACGGGTGATTCGGTGAAGCTTTCTAGCAGCGAGGGCGTCGACGAGCATGACAAGCCAGCGGTGGCGACATTGCCGAAGCGGAAGGGTGGTAGCTGTGTCTCAGCGGTGGTGGGGCGCTGAGGAATGTGGCCTGTGGAGAGACCTTTGGTTCGGCTCAGGCCTGGACGACTAGCGGGTCTTCGACGCCTGGCGAGGCACGTGAGCGAGGACGATCTCAATGAATATGGCATGCTTTGCAGTAGACTTACTCTGGCGCCTCGAGCGATGCTGGGTCAATGGTTCGTTCAAGTACGGCGGGGGCAGGCAATTGATCGGGCGACAACAGGTCTGGCGACAGGTCTAGATCTGGACTGGGCGTGGCTTCAGGCGTTGGCGACGGCAAGGTCAGATGGAAAGTGCATGGCGCCTTGTGTGGCAGGGGCGAGATGTCCATGGACTCGTAGTATGGCGATGACGAGGGGACGATGGGCGGAGTTCGCGCAGGTTCGACTTCGATTGGTGGAGTGTCTGTTCGTTCTTGCCTCGTTAGCAGAGTTCCAACGCTCGGACCCAAGGAATTTGCATGTCGGCACTGACCCAACGCATTCTGCTGTGGCTTGAAGAGGTCTTGCGTGAACAATGAGCGTCGCGGGGTGGGCGCCTGGGGACTGGATTTGCCATTGTCAGCGGGACAACCACGCGGTATGCGAGGAATGTGCAGGTTACCTCTTATCGATGTGGAAGTTGGCGTCTAGATCGGCAGTCAGACTCGCGGTGGGAGATGACCCACGCACGGGCTTCAACGTGAAGTAGTCGCCCCGACGAGGCTTCTCGTGGTACATGCTCATGTTGTTGAAGTCGAAGTTGTTGTTCGGGCCCAACGTCTGGTACCCACGGTACGTGGGACGGCCGTTGGGGACATCTTTTCGACCGCCCCAAGTAGGAACCGGTATCGGACGCATTGCCGCCAGAGGCGATGAGAATTCCATGCTGGGTGGTGAGATAGTGGTGGTATGCCGGTCGAGAGTGGTGTAATTGTGTCTGGTGGATGTGGTGTGTAGCTCGGCGGGAGCTCACAGCTGGTGGGAGGATGGATACGTGGTGGATGTTGGCTATCGGGCTGGAGGAGCGATGTAGACCAAGTCAATGGCTGCTGCCAGTGCTGCTGCTATTCCAATGGGTCTGGGTATGTGATGTTGGAATGATCGGGCGACTGCCGGAGCCAAGTGGTCGAGTCGGGTGGAAAGAGTGTCGGTGCCGGGTGCGAGGGAGTGTGTCGACGCTGATCAGGCCGTCTGCATGCCCGGCGTGGTACAGTGCTCGCGGAGAGAGGCGTCTCGTGGTGGTAGTGGAGGAGGGTGAGGTCCTACGACCGTCCTGGGGGGAGCAGCCTTTCCCGCGTGCGTGCCGCCGAGTAGAGATATAGGCACGGCACGGCTAGTCCTGCTCGGGGGAAGACTGCAATGCACCTGCCCGACCTGCTTGCTGCTGCTGCTGCTCTGCTCTGTCGAAACGAGAGAATCAAGAGCGTGTGGCTTGGGCGGGCAGGTGGTGGGAAGAAGAAGAAGGCTTTCAGCAGCGCGTTGCTACTCACGACAGCCGATAGACTGGCAAGCAGCACTCGCCCCACACGACATGCAGCCCTCGGGCCTGTGCGCGCTGCGCTCACCACCCAGCACAGGACTGGTGCCAAAGCGTATTACCCGCTTCCGGTTAACCAGAATGAATAAGGCGACTGCGCGAGCGCTTGCGCGATCGAATGAGAGCGATGGCAGCGATGTATTGCAGCATCCCAGATCGACGAACAGCAGGGCATGCAGAGCTGCCAACGCTCGCTGCTTTTTGATATTCATGGCCGTACGCTGCAGAATCTTGGTTCGACATCGTCGATGCAGCTGCCTCCACGGCCCCGGGCAGAGCCTCTCACTGCCAAGCCGTGCGTCGGCGAGGAATGCCTCTTGCTGCGCTCCGTTTCACCGCAGCCAGCTCACCTGGCCAACTGCTGGGGACAGGCTGGTAACGAGCTGCGAGAGCTGCCCGCAAGGCACGCCGCCCGCCATGCACCGCGCCGACACACGCACGCCTTGCCTGCTGCTGCTATAGACTGCTACGCTACACTATCGCCCATTGTTGATGCCGTTCGACTAACGCTCAACGCCCGTCCGTGCACTGCCTTCTTCAGCTGCGCTGTTCCTACGATCCTGTGCAGCCGCCGGCGCTCGACAACGACGAATGCTAATCGACGCTTCGACGCGAGCCCTCCTCCCAAGATATCGAGCCGCCTGGCGTCATAGGGTCTCACTCGTTGCGCTCGCTCAACAGCCAAACGCAGCCAATCTCCGCGTCGAATCGCTCACGATGTTGCCAATGCCGTCCTCACGCTCCCAATGGAGCCGCTACGCGGGCGAGTCCGCCCCATCGCTAGCCGTCCTTCCAGTTGCAGTTCGCAGACGCTGCCCGAACGCGCATGGGCGTTGCTGGTCGTTTGAAATGCCTGCCCGCTTGCTGCTGTCGCGTGGAAAGCTTCGCCTGCTCCGATCAAGGCCGGCACTCTCGATCCGCAACACCTGCTGCCATCGCGATGCCGTACGTCATTCACGATGACACTCGCCCGCAGTGGGTCTATATACGGCACGCTGCCAATGTTATGCTGTGACGAACGCCGAAGAGCATCGTGAAGACAGGCACAACAACCTGTCGCCGTGAGCAGATCTTGGTAGCTCGTGCTGCGAACTGGTCCCCAGTCTCGCCCGCGCCCACGTTTGTTGGGCGGCCCAGGGCTAGAGCCAGCCAGTTGCCATGAGACGCCCACTTCATCACGGCCATGCCGAGCTGCGAGAGGGGTACCGTGCTCTGGCGCTGACTGCACGACTGCTGGCTGGCTGTGGGACGCTGACTAGCCGCGCTGCGCCAGGAACGGTTATCAGACGACGACAACTTCAGACCAGCCTGATGCTGATGGCGTCGCACTATCCGTGCCCATAACGCGGAAGACGCAAACCCTGATATCATGCCATCCTGGCTGCGGCAGGGCGAGCAGAGTGAGCGCACAGCCCTGTGGACAACGCTGGCCGGGGCTGGTCTGGTCGTCGCTCTGTGTGACGCCGGAATACGCGTTGTGTACGTGACGGGATCCTCTTCGCTTCACGGCTGTTGCTCGATGGCACGTGTTGACTCTGCGACGGCTTCGCACTTTCAGCCCTCCGCGGGCGTGTGCACACCACCGACACCCCCATCTTCATTTCGCATGTCTGACGTGCCTATATAGACCCCTTCGCGCAGCAACTCTAGCACGCGAGCTACCCTCACCGGAGTTGCCAACAGATCAGCCTGGTCAGCGGGTATCTATGCGCTCCTTGGAGACCTTGCACAGGCGGTTGCTGTGTGAAGCAAACAATCTGGAACATGCTGCTCGTGTGTCCAGAGCTTAATCCGCCCAACCCCAACTGGGAGCAGTAGAACCGACAACGACCTCTGCGACGTTCCTCAGACCGCTTTGCATGTTGCCATACGACAGCCCGAATCAATCCGTTCATCACCAAGTCATGCGCTCGCATATCCTGGAATGTTGATGCGGCATTTCTATCGCTTCCATTGCCAGATTGTCACGCGCTTGTCGCTGCGATTCGGGAGAACATCGCGAAAAGGATCCTGCAGCGAGGCTGACTACGGCATCATCATACATCATCTGATCTGGAGTCGCATGGGCGAAGCCATACACCAAGCGTCATGGTCGGCCCCAGATCCTGCTCATATTGCCATTGCATCACATCGCGGACTATACGAAGCGGCGCGTAAACAGTAAACAATGAACGCAAGTCGCGTGTGTACCCCGAGCATTGCTGCACGGCTGACTGCCTGCTGTGCATCCGCACATCCTCACGCCATAGCTATAGCTACGCTGCTACAGCTTCTCTAGGTTCAATCGCACATGAAGGTAGAAGACCGGCTTCATCAGACCACAACGGTACAACTTCGATGCGTCGCGTACATCCCTTGGCCAACATGGCAGCAGCAGGCAGCTACATGTACTTTCGAGCGACAACATGCGCCTGCAACACAGCACAGCTGGTGAAAGAGCTTGAAAAACTTAGACGTCAGCTTATCGTGCCCTTGCAAAATGGTCACACGATGCGAAAGAGGCATGCTGGAGCAGAGAACCGATGCGCATCTCGATGGAGTGCTGCTCTGCATCGCATCGCATGACTTCCTTACGTCCGACGGCTAGACGTAAACATTGAAAGCTCTGCAAAACAACAACAATCTCGAGTCGAGTAAACATCAATACTCTGCGCCCGCGTCAGCCTGCAGCTATGTCAAGGCCAGCTCCGACCTCAGTGCTGCCCCATCACTTCACTCCGTGACTCAACATGCGAAGGCGACGAGGTCTCGACGTTAAAGAGAAATATCGCCATTGCCGCTTTGTGCGACGTGCTTCGTTGGTTTCGGTGAGTCAAGTCCAGGTGAAGCTGTATACGGACCTGTCACCTAGAAGCGAAGACCATCTCTTGCTCAGCGCTGGCGATCACAACCAGGTTGAAGCTGCAAACACATTTTTTGACAGCTCAACAAGGAACTGAATCGGAGAAAAAAATTGGTTCCCGAATTCCGTTGCTGGCCGGGTCATCGTTGTTGACGGCAGCAGGTACCGATGCCTCGTGCGGATTCAACGTGCACAATGACTATGACCTCGATCAACGAGGACGGCGCAACTGGCTTGCAAATCGCACAAGCACAAGCACAGTAACAAAACCTCCATATGTGACTCACTTCGCGCAGAAAGGCCTGTACACCATCATCCAATATTGTCTAGGGCAGCGTACGCAAGCTGACTGGGATGTCCAGGTGAGGCGTAAGAGGAACCAACTTTTTACCCAACAATGAAGCTTGCAGACGCGAACCGGACGCGCAGCGTGTGGCCTTGGAGTCTAGAACATCGCACTCCACTCGAGGCTCATTCTGAGCTTTCAGTGCGACGATTGTGACTGCCGCATAAAAGTGAACAAATAGCACCCGCGCGTGCCAGACCGCTTCTAAAAACGCAGAAGACATCGTCCCCTTCGTGGTTGATGTTGCGACTAGAAGGCAAGAACGTGCCGAACCATTGCTTTCCATGTACGTCACAAGCGAACACAAGACAACATAACACTCACAAGCCCGTTGAACGTGTCAATTTCTCAAAGCGAGATGTTGTTATTGCTGAAGTTGCAGGAAACGAAGAATTGAGGCAGAGATCGGGATCGAAAAGAGTGATGATCTTCATCACACGCATCGAAGATTTCGCATCCCACGAACACGTCTCCCTCGTTCCTGATCGTGTTGATCTGATCTCAATCAGTTACCTCGGCGGCGCATTATTGGGAATTGAGGCACAAACCGACTCGCTGTAGATTGCGCTCTCCTCACGTTTGTCATGTCTTGTCTGTTGTAGCTGCATTGGGCAGTCGTGTCTGGCTTGGCGGATCGGCAGAATAGTCGACTGCGACAGAATGACGAGCTAGTCACTTTCAAGGTAAACAGCCAACACCGAGACTCGTTAAATGCACAAATTGAAAGAATGGTGAAGCAGTCGTGCGTAGCAGCATGTTATCGTTCAACATGTTCGAGCTCACCTCTGCCTGAAAGCTGCTGGCTGATGCCTGACAACGCCCCCGCTTCTTACTCCTCTTGTGCGTGTCTGTTGCAGCACTTGCCTTGCAGCTTTCCACCAACACAATGACAATCGTGGAAAATTGATCAGCTCACTCGAAGAGAACATCACAAATAACCATACTGACCAAGCAACGAAAGACGAGCTCTTATCACCATGGGCGGCAAACCAAAATTCAAACCATCCGCCAAGCCCAACAATACCATCAAGCAAGACCTACTTTCAAAAACCACAACCACAAGCACCGAAGATACAATACCAGAGAACTGGCCTCAAGATATCAAATTCCTCACCGATCACGCCTACACCCCCGCAGCTCTTGAACTTCAACCCAAACTCTCGCGAGCGCCCTCCGACAACAGTTCCGACCCATGGACCAAAGTCCAATCAAACCTCATCCACCCCATAACACCACACATCCAAATCACCACAATCACATCTCCCACCCACCCAGCCTGTGGCCAACGCGGTCTCTTCGCAGCCTCAGACCTCCCACCAGATTCTTTCATCCTCCTCTACCTCGGACTGGTACACACGAATAGTCTGTCCGATACAGATCCTCATTCCGATTATGATCTCAGTCTAGATCGAGAGATTGGGCTGAGTGTTGATGCCTCGACTATGGCAAACGAGTCCCGCTGCGCGAACGATTATCGCGGTGTAGCGGAGAGGCCGAATGCAGAGTTTAGAGATTGTTATGTACAGGTTCCGTCGGAGAAGAGAGCGGATGGGGTGAGGTGGGAGAGACGAGTGGGGATTTTTGTGTTGAGTGCGGGGAAAGTTGGGAATGCGAAGAGGAGGAGGGGGATTTTGAAGGGGGAGGAGGTGTTGGTTAGTTATGGGAAGGGGTGAGTTGTGGTTTTCTTTCTTATTGAAATCATGTTTGGGGAAAGATCTACGCTGATGATAAGTCCTGTAGATTCTGGGAAGGACGTCAGTTGTTGGGAATGTTTAGGAAAGATGATGAGATGGCTAGGACTGCTACGCTGGCGCTCGAGCATTGATGAGATGAGTGGTTGGTAAGGGTCTGGTTAGGGTCTGGTTTCCCAAAGGACGAGCGAAACCGATGAGAGATTTTGCTCTGGTGATGATGAAGTCTGATGTTCTGCATTGACGTCGAAACGCGTGGGATAAGGAGTAACGCCATCGAGAACCACTGACTATGTTGTATGTCTTCTGCAGCAGTCGTCATGCCATATGCGCGAGACTTGCGTGCTATCGGGAGTCACAGGACTGCAGAGCTCAGCGCTGGCTCTCGATAAGGCGGTGCATCCAGATTGATACATTGACTGGCACGCACTTCTTCGGATGAGCAGGTTCTCGCGCGTGGGAAGTCGCTCCGGGTGGCATGGTGCTCAGCTGTCCCGGATATATGAGCAGTCGTGCACAGCTCAAGCTGCAATCTGGATATGCCGATGCGGCCGCATTGTGATCTCGGTGAGCTGGACTTTGCTTCTGTGCCTCACGCGTTCGTCGAGATGGCCCCAAAACGGATACACTTTCCTCTGGCGCAGCGCCAGGTCGCAAGCTTCCGGTTTTGACCTTCTCGAAGCAGAGATGCATTTGGAGTCAAAGTACCTAGCATCCACGTGGGGAGCATGAAAGGTGATGGGGGCGCTCCGGCCATGTCACATTTGCCGGGGCGCGGCCGAGATCACTTGGTCCACAGGCCGCGCCATCAGAAGTCGGATTCGAGCGCGTCGAGAACGAATTGTCTTGCGATAATTCTCTCCTTGCGTACGATACTGGGAGGTGCGCTTTGTTCGGACGTCAGCAGTTCAAGGGTCCAGCAATATAATCGAGATTGGCTGCGTCGAATGTTGCGCCGTGGTACGGCTCGTTCGCGGCAGCATCATCACCCGGAGAGTCGAAGTTAGCGTTCGACACAGGGATTCTGGAACACTGGTCAATTGTGCAATTCTTGACGAATGCTTCAGGAAATAAAGATGCTTGATGTTCGCTCGCCAATGTCGCTTCGCGAATTCCGAGGTAGTGGGCGTGACGACAGAATTATTGAATCGCAGCAGGCATTTGGGCATCGACGTTTGCGGCAACAACAGAAGCAACGACATCGCCATTTCCTCCCTTCTTTCCCCTCACCAATGCGAGACATCCACCCACCATCGAGACTCGACTGACACACGACTGCACGCAGCGCCCGCCGCCGTTGTGCTGTGTGGTTTGGCGTGAATCAGCCATCATCGAGGTCCACCAAATTTCAAGAATCGAGAAGCAGAGAGCTCCACATTGTATTCAACGCAGAAGCCCGTGCGCCAGAGAAACGCGTATCGGGTCCTTTGAAACGGAGCGCACGTCATGGAGCCTCCAATCATACTTATGCCGGCCACGAGAAGTCCTTCTCAAAAGGTGAGCGAACATTCCCAAACAAGTTCTACATCATTATCGCAAGCCACAGCAATAGTCAAAGCCACGCGATATTCCGAACGCTAGTTGCTCGACGCTTGCGTGTGATCCGAGGAGGCGACATTGCAGTAGCTCAACTTTTTGCCTATCAGCAACCGAACTCTGACACCATTTCGCTGCGAAATTATTAGATTCCTATGTTGCAACAAGACCTCATACTTCCTTCCACTGGACGAGATATGCGAACAAGTCCGACACGGCGAAGAAGAAGATTATCCACGGCTTCCTCGTCTTCATCTTCTACGACGCCTCCGACATCACCTTCCCTCTCGCCGTCTGCAGCAGCCAGAGGAACCATGTCATCATCGGCGTCCAGCTCCGCCAGCGCATCACCGACGCTTGAAGCATCTGCGCGAGGATCATCAACACTTTCGACACCACTTCCACGTCCACGAAAAGTCTCATCGCAATCGCACATTCCTGAAGCCATACCCGAAGACGAAGTTCCTGATTTTAAGCTTCAATATTCGTGTTGCTCTTCCACAATGGATCAGGACCCGCTTGCGATCAAGGCCAATTTGACCGAAATGCTGAATTGCGAGCAAGTGAGGAATGATCAGAAGATGAGATTATGGATCCAATCGAGATTGATGGATGCCGAATTGGAGCTGAGTAAGTCTTCCTTGTCTGCTGTCTCTATCTCTCAAGTCTTGCAATTTAGCATCGCTCCTCGAATCAACGTCTAATTGCTGACATCCTTATTCTTGCAGAACGCCAACGTCGTCGAAGAGTCAGTCTACCCACACCTGATCTGGTCCTAGATACTGGTGGTACTGCAGACAAGCCGGACGAATGCTCCTAAGCTCCATGCTTCACTCTTCCATTTTCGCATACTGGGCCTTCCTTTGGGTTTCGATTTAGCGAGGAGTTATCGTGAGGCGTTCCGTTTTCGATCGATTGTCGGCCTTCGTCGGGTCGCCAAAGTGGGAATCCAAGTGGAGCCCGCCAGCTTGTGGGTTTATCGGGTCCAAAGATAGGGATTGCACTTCTCGTGGAGTGCATTAAGTCGAGCTCATCAGAAGCGGCACAGCAGATCGCTATCGTGCGTGGCCAGAGCGGACGATACAACAGAGTCGAACTTCGTCTGAGATGTTTGTCTTCTATGTTTTTTCCCACATTCACAAGTGCGATCGCCAATTTCGGAATGGGCATGCACAAGACACAAACAAACTTCATTGGTATCATTCATCAATCAGATGCTACAACATGACATCAACCTCACAAGCAAATCACAATCAGCAGCGAACACATTCGCAGTTCCACTAACATCACCTTTCACTTTTGCTTCAGCCCCATCTTCATCAGAGGACTTTGCATCAATTTCTCCCAATCATGTGTCCCCTCACTATTCTCATTACTCGTCTTCACAGCCTCTTGCGCCCGAGGAATCATCTCCTGCTCATAAGCCTCAATGGCCTCGGCCGTGAAACCTTTCTCACCAATTTGTTGCGCCAACAATCCGACATCGAGAATAGCGTTGTTGAGACCTTGGCCGCGATCTAATGATGAAGGGCATCACGAATTAGCACAATGAACTCTCCCACATGATGCAATACTCAGTTCAACGGCAGAGAAGAGAAACAGACTTACGAAAAGTCATCGGATGCGCCGAATCCCCCACAAGCGTCACAGTCCCATTTCTATTATCCCACTTCTCCGGACTCCAAGAACTCAACCGATTATGCCAACATCTCGTCCCCTCGGGAATACTCTTCCACAAAAATTTGAAATCCTCGCTGAATTCTTCCGCGCGAGATTTCAAATCCTGCAAGATATCCTCACTAGATTTTAATTCTTTTACGTCGTAATTTGAGTCGGATGGAATCCAAGACATGATCATCATGAAAGTCCAATCTCCTGGTTGAGAATCGCCGTAAGCGTCGTGGATCCCGATCCAGTTGAAGTAGCCTGAGGGATGGAAATTTATGCATTGACGGCGGGAGAGGGATTTAAATTTTTCAGCGGCGGGGGAGGGGAGTTTGGCCATTGTGACGCTTGCGACGAGGGGAGAGGGTTGGAGGGCTGCGCGGGAGGGGGAGTTGAGGAGGTATTCGCGGACGAGGGAATGGGCGCCTTCGGCGCCGATGAGGAGGTTTCCGGAGGCTGTGGTGCCATCGGAGAAGGTTGCTGTTGCGGTGTGTTTGTTGTCGGAGGAGATTTGCGTGAGCTTTTTGTTCCATTGGATGTTGAGGTCTTGGGATATGAGGCGGAGGAAGCGTTTGCGTGCGAGCCGGATGTTGTAGGGAGCTGGAAGTTCGCGGAGGAGTTCACCTGTTTTGCCGTTGTAGATGGACATTACTTCGTCTTCGCCGGCGCGGTAGTCGTCGACTTGGGCATTTTCTACTTGTTTGGCGAGATGTTCTGGAAGACATTCTTGGAGTGGGACTTGAGCCCAGTAGATGCCAAAATTCCAGTCTCGAGGTCTGGCATCAAGAGAGTCGTCTTGTTCAAACACCGTTACATTGGCACCTTTCTAGCAGACAGTCGTTAGTTGGCTGTCATGCTTGCCTCTTCTGGTGCTCTGTACGACCCACCATCTGGAGAGCATGAGCGGTCAAGAGCCCTGCCGATCCTGAGGAGCATGGTTATCAGATGTGACTGTGCACGCAACCGAACACCTGCACGACATACCGGCGCCGATGACCAGCACTGTGGGTTTGGAGCCGACTGGCTCGTCGCCACCCATTGTGCTGTTCCTTTGAATGGTAGCGTTATCGAAACGGAGTCTTCTCCAGTACTGTCGTTCTAGTCAGATGCTCTGTACCGCTCAATCCTCATTCGTAATCCAAACCACTTCAGCTGTGTACCAAGTTTTGGTTGTGGCGTGAAGTGCAGTAGAACTGGCTGTCGGCTTCGGGGACCGTCACGAACAGCTGCATAGAGGGTGGCTACGTCTCGCAGAAATGCAGCTGTAGCCGGCCGCCATGGATCCTTCGGGAGAGCCTGTTCCGCGAATGAAAGCTTCTTGTTATCTTGCTTCTTCTGCACTCGAGAGACGTAGTGTGCTAGTCCAAGCGGGCGCGCAGGCTATTGGCTCACATAGGTACAGTGGTGTGCCGTGTGCCCCACTACCAGCGACATTCTGCCAAAGTCAAAGACATATCCAATATAAATTGCCGAGAATGATATGCTAAATAGATGTCGAAAGCAAGCTGGGCTCGCAAGACCGCAGCATAGATATCAGTGAATCCGCATGGAAGCATTGTGTGGTCCAGTCGTCAACATGCTGACCTCAGCCACTTTGTTCGCAGCGAGAGATGCAGAACGATCATAGCACTGAAAGAAGATACAATGTCAGGAGAAGTGGCTGCGACCGAGTGCCGATGCTGAGCTCGACGGACTGCAGGCAGGCACTTCGAAGTTGTACTCGGCTGCTTGACGTGCTGGGATATCGAAGGTTTTTGCCAACATAGTTTCTTCCTTATTCCAGAATAGATGTATTGCTCGTGTTCCGTAGCTATCGACGAGCGCATATCGTTGCCCACTGCAGACCGTGCTCGATCCACAGTACGTCAGTCTGTAGAAGTGATGGGTACGAGCATTGGCCGATCGTCGTCATTCCATACCGTCTCGCGCCGGAGATGGGTTGGCTGAGGCCTACCCCAATACGCACTTTCTGAGGCCTCCTGAAGTGATGATATGGCAGTGATCATTGGGTACTCGCGCAGCTTCTTCGAAGGACGCCCATAGTGGCCATCGGAGGGCCGAGATGGAGTGGGCGCATCGTGAAACGCTGAGTGAGATGATCCCCTCTCGCCAGATCCCATCTACTGCTCCGGACCACGCTGGTAGCGGGATCGATTCGTCTGGTTGTCAGTGATTGAATGCATCTCACCACCATTTGAGCTCGGAGGCACTCCTGTACAGCGATCAGAATCTCATTTCTGAGTATTTTTCGAGATGCGCATGCTTGTGGCCCGACAATTGCTCGATTATCATGGCATGACGCAATCTGGAGGTAGAACTGGATAGCAAAAGAATTGGAGGGACATTGGGCCTCAGGCACCCATTGCAACGCGATATCCTCACCGACTCTCGAGGGAGTGGAATGCTACCGGGCATAGTGACTACCAGCGGAGTGGTAGCGCACACCATCTCCCAAATCTTCTAAAGTCGTATTCGAGCGTATTCAGAAAATCCAGGTCGAAAGTTTTCTGGGCTGTGCCTGTCTCTAAAGTATTGATGAGAAATCAAGAGAACCATGCTTTGAGGATAGCCCGCGGAGATCTTCGGGCATTGTTGGTCACCGCAAGGCCAATAACCAGTGAGTCTCTCTGGCTATCTTGTGTTCTTGCTGCTAGGACGACAGCTGTCGACACACACCTGCATGGAGCAAGAATTCTTCACTGACGCATAATGTGGGCTCGGGCATCAAGCTGATGTCCGGGCTGCATGTGCATTCGGCCCAAGGGACTCAGCATTCATCTTCGCGCGAACACCAAATACTGTATCCCATCACTACAAAGATGTGAGTAGTAGAGAGTGGTGTAGGGGAGTGGATGAGTTGTTCGTTTCCCCGTGTTGTACTTTGTACTTTAAATTGGCAGACCAGAGTGTTGTTGCCTTCGTGGTTCTTTCCATGTCTTGCAATCGTATCAGGTAATCGCGGACACGCCTTGCAGACGCGCCGCTGCAGTCTGCAGCCCGCGATCCACTGGCGCAGCGGATCGTGAAGGCAGTGCTGCAAGCTCACAGCAGTGTCTGCAACTCCTCCTGCAGTCGAAGAGGTTGACGGCAGCTAGGAGCTCATCCACCCGCTGACTGACTCGCTGCATTCCATGATTCGCAGAGGTGGAAAAGCAGGGCGGGATGGATGCTGATTCGCTTGTGGCGTCTGAGATCTGGGAAATGCGCGCCGAAGGGACAATGCTGATCTTTTGAAACATCTTCTTGGAATGCCACTGGACGGCATGACATTGTCATTGTTGACTCCCGTGGCCCACGATGGAAGAAAGACAAGTGCAGCAAGCAGCTGAAGAAGATGTAGCCGCTTCGGTGCCCGCCGAAGTGGCCGACGAGCCGGCATCGTCGTTTCTGCCGAGATTGGATCCCAGCGACGCCGACTCGGGCTACGCAGCTTCGACAACCGCCACCGACACAACTTCACTGCTCTCGTCCATTGCAAGGTATCGTGAAGAAAATGGAAGAACATACCATTCATACGGCTCCACAGAGCACTGGGGCCCCAACGACGACAAAGCCCAAGACCAGCAAGACCTGAGCCACCATCTCTGGACTCTGGCGCTGAAAGGTCGCCACTACCTCAGCCCAGTCAAAGATCCCCAACAAATCCTCGACATCGGCACAGGAACTGGAATTTGGTGCATAGAAGTAGCCGAAAGCCTCCCCGAAGCCGAAGTCACCGGCATCGATCTCAGCCCCATCCAACCAACCTGGGTCCCACCAAACTGCTTCTTCGAAATCGACGACTATAACGTAGACTGGCTCGACCAGAACAAATACGACCTCATCCATGCTCGCGAGCTCCTAGGTTCAGCGCCCGACTGGCCAAGCGTCTACAAACAAGCTTTCTCCGCTCTCAAACCGGGAGGCTGGTTGGAGCAACATGAGCCGTCGTTGTTCTTCACCTCAGATGCCGTCAAATTGGAGCCGGACCATCCGTTCCTGCAATGGGGTGAGATGATGTGCGCCGCCGGAAATGCGGCTGGGATGAGGTTTGATATTGGCGCGGAGATGAAAGGGTGGATGGAAGAAGCAGGGTTTGTGAATGTGACGGAGTATCGGATGCCGTGGCTAATCGGGGGTTGGTCGAAGGATGAGCATCAGAGAGAAGTTGGACAATGGAATCAGCTCCGCCTGGATTTGGGAATTGCGGATTTCTGCTCTAGACGGTTCACGAACCATATGGGGTTCACGGCCCAAGAGATCGAAGTTTTTTGCGCAAGGTTGCGGGCTGCGTTTCGCGATAGGATCTTTGGATACCAGTGGGCGTACTTTGTATATGGGCAGCGCCCGGAGGCTACATAATGGTCGAGAAGGTCTCGCATGTTGAAGATGTGAAGATGTGCAATGCTGGCATTCGAGTAATGAGTAGTGGGTATTCTAGGCCGTGTGAAGAGCAGTAGCATCATGAACAGGCAAGTGCAGGTGCGAAGCCGCGCTGAATTGTACACACGCTGTATAATGCATCAGGTTGATCAAAATTCCATACTGTCATCTTCGCGTTCCCGTTTCCCTTTACTTTCCTCCTTGAGTAAGCTCGCCACATGCCCTCTGAAGTATTCCACGTAGGGCTTCAGGCTTGTCTTCTGCCAGTCTTGCACGTTCGCTCTCTGCTCCTCCGTCATGCTTGCGCCCTGGTTTCTGTCCCATTGGTCAATCTCGTCGAGCAGATCTGTCACAAGTGGAACCTTAAAGGGGTCAAATTCTTCCACGCGACGCATATCGATAGGCACGCAAACTCGGCCTGTCCCAGGATGGATGACGAAAGGCGATTTGAGCAAGTGGTTGAGCTTCTTCGACACTTCAGCATCGAGACGGGGATAAGTATATTCGATCCTGATGTCCTGCTTTGCCTCAACAAGCTGCTTCGTCGACAATGTGCTCAGGCTTCCGGCTTCAGCCAATGCATCGATGTCTGACCACTTCTGCGATGAAGACCGATCGGCAGAGGAGTCCCACTTCTTCTTCAGTGCCGTGGTAAGCTTCTCGTCCGGGATCAAGCTCAATAGCTTCGCTATTCGCTCCTCCTCCTGCCAAGGATCTTGTTCTGCGAGAATGTCCTCCTTGAAGTAAGGCGTGAGCAGATCCAAACTCCGCTCCACGTGCGGATGCAGTGGCCGCCGCCTCAGCGTTCTCTTGGAGTTTTCGTTGCCTTTGAGAACCTCCAGGTAGCCAGCCACGGCTTTGCGCTTGCTGTCATCCATTTCCCGTGCACGCTTGTCGCTCACCCACGCGTGAGCTCCTCTTCGGCCAGAGTAGACCCACATGATATGCTGGAACCCAAAGTCCTCCCGCAAAGCAGTATCTATGACTTTGATTGCCATGACTATGAATCTCCAGCACTTGTGACAGATTTTTGCGCCTGTACAGCATGTACGGATCGGATCGTAATCTGTCATATCGATATCGAACACTAGCTCTTTCATGACGGGTTTGAATTTCGAGGCAGTTTTCAGAGACTTGCGGTCCTTAGGGTTGATGTTGTATTGAGGTCCAATTTCGAACCGCTCCGGCGCCATTTGCACACATTGTTTCCGCAGCAGATCTGCAGATGGGAAGGAGAGATATCGGATGACTCTGTTCTCTGGCAGCCAAAACGAGAACTCTCGGTTCTGGAAATCAGGCTGTGGTGTGGCGGCATGATTGAGCCATTGGAAAAGAGGTCGGAAAGGGCATAATCGTGAGTAGTATTGTTTCAGCGTTTCGGGCTCTGCGAACTTCGATTTGGGAGCTGATTGTGGTGGGAGTTGTGGCTGTGAGCTGGCGTCTGGTCTCGTCGCACTCGAAGAGAATTCGTCATCGTCATCATCGTCGTCGTCGAACATATTCTCAAGGCCGTTCGATGCTGTTGAGGTTTTGGGTGCATCGTCGGTCATGTCCACGTCGCCGTCATTGGTGTTCTCTGCGCCTGCTTCAACAGGAGCGTCGGGAAGCTGGACATCTTCCTGGCTGTCTGGCTGCTCGTTCCCTGGCGACACGGCGTGAGGCATGGTTCAATCGGATTGGTACAGGCGTCGTGAGGGTATTGTTGTTGTTAACAGTAGTGTCTTCGACAGATGGCAGATGAGGGGAGGAGGCACGCGTCCGTGTCGTATCGCGTTCGCGTGCTCGGGTGGCCCGTGCTTTCCCACCACTTCACCGTGACCGCGACTGGAACGGACGAGAAACAACGAGCCTGCGTGTATGCAATGCCCTCGGTCTGAATGCCGGACTCACGAAAGAACGACGGCGACGTACGAGGGTCAGCATGTGAACTCACGCCGTGACATCGATAGGCAGATCGCACAAGCCCAGACTATACCACGACCTCACATTTCGGGACGATGAGCGGCGCTTTGAGACGCGAGAGTACTGGCAACAGAGGAGAGTGGAGTGACCATACCCGCTTCTGTGTGCGAGAAGAATGATGTCCCGGATACTTCACCGCAAGGCGATATTCAAGCTGGCCAAACACCAGACCTGGACCAGCGCTCATCTTACACGCAGTCGGAGCAAGACGTATTTCGCATCCGTGGTGCTCAATTCCTCCTGCACGCATATGAGTGGTATCTTCATGCGGATAGTTGTGGTAATGCCATGTGCCAACATGCATGAAGGTCTGGAACGTGAGTTGATTTTCACAAGATTTGGCCGGAACGAAAATATGCTTTCCGCTGATCGAGGCGGCCCTTGGGAGCATGGATGCGCTGACTACGGATTTGTTGACTACGCGAAGCATATACCTACTTGTTGTAGCAAGTGCTGGAGCAACATTGAAGACCCTCAGGCCAGTCAGCACGACCCTCACATCTGGACCAATACACTGCTATGCGATCGAACTGTGCGCCTTGTTACTTTTCACCAGCAGGGACGGTCACAAATCTGCTTAGGGGAGATTGCCGAAGAGCATCCGACAGCAGGCAGTGGTAATTTCTCTAGAGCAGCAGCTCTGCTTGAGCTCTCGTGAGATTGATCTTTGGCAAAGCCATGCTGCGCCTGTCCGATGTATCGTTCGACTGTTGGTGGTTTGGATGCAATCTGGCCACCCTGCCTGCTGCCTGCCCCGACTGCACTATGCGTTCCTCGACTAACTGTATTTTATGAAGGTCAATACAGAGTCGGCGAACGTTCCAATGCGGAAACAAGGCCAGTAGACCCCTTTACCACACACGTGAGAAGCACGTGTGTCGGAGTAGCACGAATCCTCTCATCGTGTCCAGGCTGAGGTAGAGAGGCCCTTAAGCACAGGTGGGGCTTCGAGGGTCGGGCTATAGTCACTCAACATGCGATTCACAATGCGCCGCTGCACGTGCTTATAGATCCTCCAGCCTTTGTCCTTGTGGCCATGGCCCCTGGCGATATGACAGGGCCTTCAATCGCTGATTGCTTATTCTGCAACATATCAAGCGTTGATGAATCCATCGTCCAGGAGGCCTCGTGATAATTTTAGTTCATTTCATCCAGGAGGCCGATGCACTCCGTCGGTAAGATTCTGCTAACGAATGTAGTGCCCGCATTGAAGGCCTTTGAACCAACGTGCTTCCCCTGTGGTTCTGCCGGTAGACATTCCTCATTACGGATGACCGAGCGATGCTGCGGTTGTGTCCTTCCAACAAGGCATGGACCTATCATACAGTATTCACCCATAGCGGTGACCACGGTGGGAAGTCCGCATTGTCACCAGTGTGAAAGTTCGAGCCAGCAGCGCTGCATTGGCTTGACAATCGTTTGCTGCTGATCTCTGCGCCCGTATTGGCCACAAGGTCTGCTTCGTGTCCACTTCACGAATGGGGCAAAAGGCCCCATAGGTTTCGTTGGGTTTCTATATTCTCGTCAGCCAAAGTCCGCGGTGCACACGTCAGCTTGATGCGGAGTCGACGTTGCGGAGTCGACTGTCCATATATAATCCCCCAAGCTGCTCAGCTCAGCGCAGCCGTCTCTGATAAACATCAGAGCAAGATTCACAGGAAGCGATACCATCGACATCCTCACCACCAACCCAGATCTTTCATGATGTTTCTCTCCATCTTCTTGGCTCTCTTCGCCGCTTCAGCTATGGCTAGTCCAATCGATACCAAGTCAAGCATCGCCGGCTCTACCAACGACGCCATATGTGGAAAATGTCAGACCTGGGTGCAGACTGGGCCGTCTCCTCTTCAAGGGGACTGTCAGATTGATATATTTTGTGCCTCAGGACACTAAAGAGAAAGATTCGTCAGTCTATACGACGCAAAGATCGCGTGCTCAAGCTGACTTTCCACGAAGACCAACATACTGATTCTGAGCGACGGCTGGCAAACGTGGACTGGACTCGCTAAGCCTATGAGGCAATAGCTAGGTGGAAGGAGTCATATGGGCAGTCGAAATTGACCTCCCCTCTGCAGAAGTATGCATTGTACGGGTCAAAGTCGACGAGGGTCGACCTCGCATATATAACACGTAAGCCTCCTCAGAGCAGTGCAGTCACTTTCGAAAATCAGCAAAGCAGAACCCGCAAGAAATTCCATCAACACTCTGCACCACTCTCACAGATATTATTACGATGTCATCTTCATGTGTCTTGTTGGCGAGCACGCATGACGAATACGCAAGGCAATGCGCAACCGAACCGGCCAGCAAGACTTTGGAGGGAGACATGTAGCTTGGCTTTATTATGCAACACTACTTGCGCAGCAAAAGCTCGACATCCTCTTTCCAACCACGCCTCTTCTTCATGTCGCTGCCGTGACCTGAGATTGATTCATCCTGAGGAGTAACGTAGTAATGTCCATCGTCAGTATCAACTTGCCACCTGATGTTGTACTGCTCTCCAATCGGTCCAGTGGCACAGCTGCCTGCAATCTTGTCACTCGCTGGTGACTGTAATGCGAGCGTGAAGAGGTGCGTGGGTTCGCTGGAATCGGTGTACCAGTAGCGGTGGAATAGGAAGTATGCCAGGATGAGAACGCTCATGGCAAATACGACGATCAACACAATAGTAAATGCTTCTTCGTAGGGTTGAGTACCGCCACTCTTATACTGCTGCATTCGGACTGAAGCGTTAAAATACTGGTACGAGCCGTCGATTTGCGTGTCAGTGTAATTCCAGAACATAGTTGCTGGAGAATCCATCGAGCTTTGGATCAGCAGGTTAGCACCTAAGACCGCGAGTGACTCTGCCGTGGCTAGGTTCTGTCAGGTCGCATCATCTCAACATCAATGCCGTGACTCACAAGGCAAGTTCGAGGCCAGATGCTCTGACGTGACGATCAATTGTGTGAGTAGACGACCGACACTGGCGTTACCATGTAGTAGCCCAGCGTTGAGTGTGGTACCTGCCATCCAACGTCAGTTCTCACAGTCGAGGGACTTACAAGGCCAACAGCATACTCACTTCTGGCCCATTCACCGGCAATATTGACGAAGTCCTTCGACAGTGTCGAATTGCCGCTAGGCGCACTTCGTGCACTCTTGATGTATTGATAAGGATCATCATCGTCGCATACTACTTGCAATTTCGCGCCGCCTGCCGTGACGTTGTAGCGGGTGGAGCAGAAGGGCGTGATGGCAGCAGATATACCACAGAGAGCGTAGTTCGTGTCCTCCATGTTTACATTCGTCGATCGGTTCCTAGAATCGGTAGGGTCGCCCTTACCCAACATGTATATAGAGGTCGAGCCCCAACCGAAAAAGCCTACCGAATCGTTGAGGATCGTATTGTAGTCCTTGGGAAGTATAGGAAATATGGGAGGGTATCTAAGTACACCGTACTTTTCACCCCAGCGGAAGATGTCATCAAACTCCGTTCCATTGAGGTAACGGTTAAGGTTATTTGGGTAACTTGAGCATCGTGGCCATGTCCCACCAGGTCCGCTGGATGACCAGTCCGTCTCGTTGCATGAAGTTCTGTTTCGACCGTCCCACATGCTGTATACGAACGGTCGTGCCTGTGTCGTGTTCATTGTGACGCAGATCACATTCAAAACTGGACTGCGTAAAGAGGCTCGTATCTCGAGCTGCACATCTGGACCGCTGTGTGGCGGCAAATTGTTCACTGGACCTTGAGCGGCCTGTATGATTCCCGGATGGGGCAAAGCCATAGTGGCATTGTTGATCCTGTAATCCGAGAATGCTGACTGTGTCACAGGCGCTATTTCGATCCATGCGGGTTGGATGGTCGTATTATCATAGAGTAATGTGGTGCCCGCAGGCCGATTTTCTGGGCTTACGATGCCAGATCTGGACCTCGCCACTATATCTGTCCATGTGCCGAGGAACTTTCCTAGATCGTACAAGGCGCCCGACCCAAGATTCACTTGTAAGCATGTTCCTTTGGAAAGATCGGGCTTCGAATCATTGAATTCTTTGTCGTATATGGGCCGTATTGGGGTCTTGCAGCCGTCTGCAAGATAGTCGGGGTTGATCGACTGTGTCCTGACCAGGGTCTGAAGTTGTTTAGGCGTCCAGAGCATTACCGGCTGCGGTTGCACCAGTGCGGTAGCTGCAGACGTGTAAAGCAGCGTCATGGTAGCAGCTATAACTGACACAAAGCCCAACATGGATAGGCTAGCATATCGAGTGCTCTGCCATTGAGTCAACAATGTCCCAGGCTGCATGATCCATGTCCGCATGTTCATCTCAGCGAGAGTGATGCCGGCTCCGGTTTTCTTCTGCTGCTCCACAGCCCGACGAGCCAGCACCTGCCCCACGAATGCAACAGAAATAGTTGCAAAGGATAACTCGACTAGCTTGGCGTCCAATGTCGTCAGGAAAGCGGCTTTTGAAGGACTGAGCCCACCATGTTTTCCAATGTATTTCCCATAGCTGGGGCCATGTAGACCAACAACCAGGAATATCGCAGAGAAGGCTGTCGAGAATGCGGCGAGGAGGATTATGACGATGGCGATCGGGGAGTTTAGGGTTTTACGTTTGATACTCTCAGAAGTCTTGCAGTGGTGCGACGCGTCGGACAAGTCTCCAGATGACGAGATCGGCACCTTCGTGGGCGTTTGGCTTAGTGGAGTTGCAATAATGGTAGCGACAGGCACGGCGGCAGCAGTTTCGAAATCTGTAGCATGTTGGATATGTAATTCTTCAGAGCAATTTGGCGCGCGTCTGTCGTTGCCATCCTCCGTCCATAGCCTCGAATACCCAGGGCGATGTACGATTGCAGGCTTGGACGACATTTGGGCCCGTTCGACGATATCGCTAGATTGGTATCATGAATCGGCAACCTGAGCAAAGTAGCACCAATGTGCCACTCGTCTATCTGCTCAGTTATGATGAGATGGGTTCGCGACAAGACTCGAAAAGAGGAGCGGCAGCGACGCATCCTTTGTAGTTGTTGCTGCGCCGCGCAGGACATGCCGATGCCTTGCTCCGCCAATGATGTGTCAGTAGAGCTGTGCAAGGCTGTGAGGCGCACGCATATCGCAACCCATTCTGGAGTCTAGCCTGCAGGCTTCATGCCATGAAAGGCTGCGCCAGATTTCTTGGCAGAATTGAGCACGAGGTTGCAGTACGAAAAGTCTTTGTTGTATTCGTCTCAGTCCTGCCACTCGTCAAACATCCGGAGCCCGCTGACAAGTCTTAGTCTAGTGGGATGGGGTTTGCCGCGTTTCTTGCCAGACTTTAATCGAGTGGACTCAACGCCACGGAACGCCACAATACGTCCACTGCATATGCGAGTGCGACGTCTAGTGAGGCTGAGATGCATAGCTCCAATTATATCGAGATGAGCTGTGGTTCCTTGGAAGCTGATAATAGCAGAACCACGAAGAGCTACACAGGTACCACAACAATACAGCTGATGCTTTGGCATGACATTCTGGCGCTCGGTACCTGGAAGATGGCATGACTGTGTAGGATTGAGAAGGTGTGCAAGGCGAGATCATTCCTCAGTCAAAGAGGGCTCCGCTCCTGGCTTTCCAAGGAAACTGCTGCGCAGCCCAACAAATGCGGTAAAAATGGAATCCCTGATCTTGGAAGGTGAATAGCCACTCGTTACGTGAGTGTTGCCGGTAGTTGAGTTCGTGCTTTTACCACGCTGACACCTCCATCACGAACCAGTGGGCTAGGATACTCTGCGTTACTCCGGCGGTCAGTGACCATCAGTTGGGGCCTTGAAGGTTTCTCTGGTCGCCTGAACAGCGAGTCATCTCTAGCCCTATCAGAAGTCCTAGGCTCAGCTGTCCCAGACGAAAGGGTGATGAAAGACTCGAACCGTCGACCTGCAATCACTTGTCGTTGGAAGTTCTTTGGCAGATACTTGAGTAGATGGTGCTGCGGAAAACCTCCAGCAATCCGCCACCTGGTGTTCGAAGGATCCAGTCAGGTGGCGCGAAAATTGCATGTGATATTGTGCATTTTGGAACATGGCTCTCTTTTCCGTTCACTTGGAAATGTGCTCCTTAGCTGATTGTTGGCCATTTGCATGTCAGGAAGTTGGTTGACTTTGGGGACAGGAACAGGTGCCAAGGCTACCGCTGAGCACTCCAATCGGCCCGAAGTGCCGGGCCGATAGCCGAGGCCAGCTGACTAAGCTTCGATCAGGTTCAGGTTGGCAAGAGCAAACAGAGACCGAGACCTTCATCCATCTGTTGCGGACTAACACTGCAAGACGAGGCATAGTCAAACCTGATGTGATCAAAAGAAGGTCATGGTGCGCCGCTGCCGATAGAGCCATTTCAACAATGGGATCCGAAGACCTGGTCGACGGCGAAGGCTGGATCTCCGACGACAGCAGCTTCTATGGTATGGTGGCAAGCAGGGTAAGGAGGGCACAGAACAGCTGATGCAGGTAGGCGATACCGATATCCAGGCAGAATGCGAAGAACAGAAGCAGCGCAGCCTGAATATTGCCTGCCAGCTCCCGATGCGTGCTGTCACCTCGAAACGGACCAAGGCTATTTCTCAAGAGACGGGGGTCGTCGCAGCGAGTACGCCTGATCGGATTCTGGTGTCCGATCGCTGGCTGGGACGTGAGAACGCATGGCAGCGTGACGAGTCCGTCGATGCCTTCCTTGTCAGGAAACCGCCCGTCAATCCTCTCACTACAACAGACGATGGCTGGCTATGGGTCGGTAGCCCAACTCTGCCGATCTCTCAGGTCCGTGACGACAAAAGTCCCGATCTTATCTCCTTGCAGCAACGCGGCTCTGCTCTTCTGGAAGCATTCAAGCGGAAGTCCGAACTGGAAGTACGGCCGCCAAACTCGAGCCATTTAGAGCGAGATCTGCGTGCTCTAGCAATCGGGACAGGCGTCACATACGGCAAATGGATGTTGTTTCCCGGTGTCGCAAACCTGGAGCAGTATTGGTGTACTGTCGCTACTGCGACAGTAGAGGGCAGGCTTGGTCCGACCTCCAAATCCGCCGTGCTGAATCCTGGGAACTCAGATACCTTAATCTGCGTCTACACCTACGATTTCTCCGACCGAGATGACGTCGAGCGAGTGCTAAAGGCGCTGGTAGATGTCGGTCTTTGCTCAGCCGAAGGGAAGCCCATCTATTACAAATGTGATGCTTATACTTATCTTGGAATTACCTCCAAGAACGAATACAAGCTTCGCGCGAGCCTCTATTCGAGCAGGGACATCTTGTGTAACAAGAAGGCAGCCCGCGTCTCGTGAAGTCCTGAGGCGAGTATGGATTTTTCTTGAAAATGTTGCAGGATACAGGACTCACTGAATTCCCAAATGGAACCTGCGAGAATATCAGGCAACGTCTCTTTCGGAAGTGTGTTGATGCGAGTGACAAAGCCGACGGCTTAGAGGGTGGGAATCGACGAGCATCATCAAGTCAAGGTCGTTGACCGCCAAGCACCATTTCTGCAGGTGTTTCAGCTGAAACCTTGCGACCAAGTTAGCGACAGCGCCGATTGACGGATGAAGCGCTTATCAGATTTTGTTGGACGAGGATTCCTTGCGTGAATAAGCTACGCACTACTTCGACCAAACACCTGGGCCGCAGAGAATGAGTCGAGATCCGTGTCTCGTGGAGTGAGTATTCGGAGTCTCTGCCGACGCTCGTATTTAACGCTGAGGCAGGCAGGCTCTCACAGGTATCAGCCAGAAGTGGAGCAATTTTGACGACCCGGGGACGTGGTAGCTCCCTACTGTATCTTATTGCATTCATGCCATTTTCCCGGATCTGGAGCGACCCTACCGAGCGAGTGGATCCATAGCACCGCACACTCTGGTCGTGGTTGTTGGGCTGTAAGCCAGGTTGGTTCACGACTCTCACTCGGACATAACTTTTCATGGCTGGCTCAGCGACGTCAGCATTTTTGGCAGGTGAGGACTTGATATTCCCGCAAGCATGCGCTGGTCCAAAACTATGAATCCTGAAGACGAACGTCATTGCCCAGGAACCGCGCGACCACAACACGCGGAGCTCCAGCCATCAGCAAGGGCTGCCCGACCTGTCTTGAGCTGAAGTCACCAGCGATGCCCAAGATTCTGGAGCAAGCGATATCATAACCACTTGATCCCTGCGCGAATGCGGCCCATGATCCCTTCTCTGGTCTCGAACGCTTATTCTGTATCCTGGTCCAGCGTGGGAAGCGGCATCAGTGTTCAACCCCGGTAGCCTGTTTCGTCATCAAAAGTCAGATACAGCCAGTGCTGCTGCCGGCACGGACTCTGCAGACAGTCCATTAGCCATGATGTGATGCGTCAGTGAGAGCAGATAGTGCTCGATCTCGCATGCTGCCGCTCGCTACTACACCTTAGGTTACGGCGTTCTTCTTTTCTCCCTTGCGCACCTCGCCCGGACACATTGCTGTGTACGCTGGCTTCATCTCTGCCAGGCCCTCGTAACGCACACCGCATGGCCTCACCACTTGTCGCTTGGGACGTTTGAACTTGAGGACGGAAACATCCCGCCCCTGGTCGACCCGCTGACATGCACCTCACTTTCGGTAGCATCGTGAAGAAAGCATTGGCCGATCAACAGACACCACGCTGACCAAGTGTAGGGAGCTCGATATCGACGCCACTGACTCCAGGGGAGCATTGGCAAAAACCGGAGATCCAATCGCTGCCGTAAACCAGGTACCTTGGCAGCCGAACATCTACCGACCACTCACAACGACTCTACCAAAATGCGGAGGGGTCGGTATATCAAACTCTTTTCCTAGCATCGGCATTTGCGGTTCAGCGTTCACCGTTACACAGCACTGTCCCTTTCCGATCCTGTGGACCGGCAAGCAGTATCAGGACTAATCGTGTGAGCCGACAATACGCTCTATGCAAGTCTGTTCAGTGAGATCCTCCCTGCTCGCACCGTTTACCGCATCCAGGCAAACAGGAGGCAATCCATCGTATGACGACACAAGTGCAGCAGGGCCTTCGCGAATGGACGACACCGTAGTGCAAGCTACAGGAGCTGCTCATTTGTTGCTGGCACCAGGCTTGCAGAGAGTCTGCGAGTGTAAATGTCTAGGATGCCGGCAAAGAGGCTATTGCCACGAGTTTGCTGGACAATGACAATGCCAGCAATGTATTCAGACGACTTGGCATCAACCCGACGGCCATACTGAGTCTATGAGTCGTGGTTGAAGTGGCCGCGGCCACGAATGGGCGCGCGCTTACTCGTGAAGATCGCCTACCAGCAGTGGGCAGCGCTTGCACAATAAGCATATGCAGACGAGGGTATCCCTCCTCGCAGCTTTGCGAGCGGACGGGTACTGGCGGAGTCCGCGGTGCCATCATCCTCGCCAGTCACCACACAGGCAAATTGTCTGTGGGCTACAATCCTGTCACAGAGCCCAGGCAATGCCGACAGAGTTGCGGCCCATGCCACACAGCGCAATTCAAGTCGTCTCCTGCTTTGTCCAAACGTCACCCACGTGGAGGTCAACGATCATTGCGGTGAGGGCCCTGTCATCTGTGGCATTGCTAGCTCCTTTGTCCAGAAATGAATTGTGGTCCATATCCAGCAGTTACTGTGTCTCCGTTGACACGGGATGGTGGTCTTTCGTCATCGACCGCCGTGCTGTCGACCAATTACCAGCTAAGCCTGCTGGGCTTCGTAATGCGTCTTTAAAACTCGTGAAACCACCGTGTCGTGTCGGCAAGTGCAAAGGAACATGCCCGAGTCCACGGGACAAGCCTACTACCGATGTTGGGATAGCGTTGAAAAAGCCGTGGCAAAGTGCTGGACTACTACATTCGGTTGAGTCAGAAGGTCGCTGACTTTCACATTAGCTGCAAGACTGATCCTCGGATCGTTCGTACAACCTATACGCCAAGTGGATCGCGTGATTACAAAGACGGCCCGGGCAATGCGATGGCTCCGCAAGTGCCAGTAAGGTGGATCAGCGAGGTCTCATCTCTTGCATCTTCTGAACATTCTTCCAGGCATTAGCTCAGTCAGAGTCGAAAGCACGATTCTTTGCGCGTCTTGGTCTCGACCCTACCAATGGCACGCACCGGCGAGTGTACAATCTTATGAAGGCATGCTTTGATGGCATGGCATGCATCCTTTCGGCTGACTCTCGCGCAGATGGAAGCCGCTGAGGGGCGCAAGCGATTGCTTGAAGGCCAGGCAACGAGCACTGCCCAGATTCATGAAAGCGCATGGCAGCGAGAAGTATTGAGAATTTACCATGACGCTCAACCCCAAACCCGTGCGGTGTATCAATTTGGACATGACACCGCAGATCCGCACGCTCCCGACAACTGGATCATCAGATGGATGCTGTGGCATGTTTTCCGCTATCGGGATTACAGGAACAAACAGCAACGCCAAATGAACGAACCTGCCTCCGGAGATGAGGACGATGAGCACTCGTCCGACTTACTGTCTCCACCGGATAGCAGTAGCTCTCGCAAAGGCAGCGCGAGCTCGACAGCGGCGAGCAGCACACAAGCAGGCAAGCTTCTCCTTAGCAGGACATAGATGCAGACTGACCCTGACAACAGCTCAAGAACCTCTCGCCCCTTCGCGACCATATTGGGATCCCGTTCGCGACCAATAGTCTGGGCTTCTGCGTTGTGTCATTCGCTCGATCTCGCACCATACCCCTCCACGACATGATGACTTCCATTCGATTGAGCATGCGGGCATGCCCACGGCCTTGTTGGCCATGAACACGACGCGGAGCTTTTGAACCGAGCACCACAAGGCGCCAAACTCCCAACTCGGCATTTGAAACGCGAACAGACAATATCGGGAGCAGATAGGCTTGTTCACACGCTCTATCACCTGATCCGGCACCACGAAAAACCATACTCGACCGCCAGGCGACCTCTTCTCGGCGTGGCAGTGGTTCGTTGATCGACGTGTCTGCAGATAGCCATGGCCGGTCCATGTGCGGGATCAGCTCTCCGACATCTTAGAATAATGTTTAATAGGCACAGAGGCCACACATATCTGGAGGGCTTGCGATGATAGCACCAACGTGTTGGAAATCGAGCGCACGGGGCTATTGTTGACGCGAATTCGACAGCCGGTATCGCATGGAGGCGAAAATGCACTGGATGGACCGAGACCGCTCTCGCCTTGAAGCCAGCTGGATACCGAATCTTTCCAGACCCGTTGAGCTCTGGGCGGGCTTGAAGAGCACTTGCAAGCTCGGAGCTTTGCACTGTGAGGGACGTATACGAGGGCGCAGCAGAGCCAACACAGCGCAGTAAGCTGGAGGTGCTACAATTTGGGCACACAGCGAGAGCCTCGTTCACCGCTGAGAGTGCAAGGCGTCAGAGCGCCATTCGGCCGAAGAGCCGGAGTCTACGAGACTGTTGTGCATATGTGCACGTCGCATCCGTAACGATGCGACTTTTGGCTTCTACTTCAACCCTTTTGCAAAAGTACATATATCAAATGACTGTGCCATGAGCACCATGTCACCACTGGTCTTGGTGTCCAAATCAATGACAACCATCTACGCGCCTCCCTTTTGCTTCCGCTCTTGGCGTCAAGCTAAGGGGAACAGCCGCCGGCGGGGACATGCGGGGTGCGTCCGAAAAACAGCTTGTGGCGTTGACTGATCCACTGGTCCAACCTCACTCATCGCGGGCACTAACGGCTGGACGTCAATCACCAACCAGGTGTATAAGTCATGAGTTGCATCAGGCCACCGCTTCGTCATCATTCAGAACGGCACACGTCGCTCCAGGCTATGCAAGCCTTACCATCGAATATGCCTTGGCAAGGGCAACGACGATCGCCACCATCCATCTGGCTGCGACCATCCTCGGTTCGCATTCACTCCACGACGACGACCACTGTGGATGTCAGCACACATGCGCGGATCGCGAACTAAGAGGAAGAGCAGCGGCAGGTGACAGGCGTGTTGCAAGCGAACTAGAACAACCTACGTCATCGAGGTGATAGACCGGAGCCTCCAATAGCCCCTGAACAGGGAAATCGCAATAACTCTGCCATCAGTCGCCGTCCAATGCCACTCGCGGTCTCATCAACACAGGAAGAGTAGATGCTGGAACGCTGCTGAGTTGGAAGTGCCCCAATGTGCATCCTTCCCTGCCCAACTGCTTGAATGCAGGCCTCTTGTTTAGGCCTGTGTTCAGCCAGAATGGGATGAGACATCGACGTCAACTTCCAGCGATTGCTAGCGCGATCCGAACACACCTTGATGGCGTAGGCGGTCAAGCATGACGGGGACTCGCCACCTACCACTACGACTGGTCCTCGTGGAGACGATGCCGCCATTCGTACTCGGCCTTCGGCTGCCCAGCACTGCAGCATAGCCCCTATAGGGACTGATACCACACCCAGGCTCCTCGCAAACAGCACCACATTGAGTGGAATTGATGTGATTTGATGGACTAGCTGAAGCGCCCGCGCACTACGCAAAATGTGTCGCTTGACTCCACAGCACAGAGCGTGAGTGGAAGAGTGAAGTCCAAGATCGCTGCAAAGCTTCTACGGGATCCCATGTCATCACAGCCAAGTCTCGGAATTCCGAGATTTTGCCATCGCAGCACCTCGCACACTGCACGGCCGCGCTCCGCAATACGCTGCTGCCGCACACGGCGAAACCGCATGCCCACGACAAAAGACATAATTCGACTGCAGCCTGCGCATCGACCACGATTGCAACTTGACACCGTTTCTTCAAGCGCGATCTATACTCAGGATACGATTTGCTTCCAATGCTGCCAGAGCTCTCGCGGCCGACGCTGACGAGCAGAAGAGAATCTCCGAGGGCAATGGGAACCGCACCACGACATCAGGCATTGCAGCCTCTCTCGGGTTAAAATTCCAGACGCCATCGACCGATCCCCTTCGCAACCTGATCAAGGCTCTTGGATCAAGGTGTAACCTACCCTTTCCGTTGCTTCGTTGGGTCCAAGGACGACGAAATTGGACAGAAACGCCGCTGTCACCTCCACGATATCGCTTGATGGGGACCGACCCTGCTAGACAGTCTGGAAAGTTTTGCCGATGTCGCAAAACGTTGATACGAGCGCTGTGCAGGTTATGATCATCTCGAATGCCAACCAACTTGCTCGTGGGCGCTAAAATGCGGCTCCGACTGGAATGACTCGCTTCGCGATGAACTTCTCCTCGGCGCCGATTGGACAATGCTGAAGGCTTCGAAAACTGCCACGTTCCTATACAGCATCTGCAACACGTCGAAAATCAGAACGGCTTCGACTGAAGGAGTGATTCGACTGATGATGAGCAAATGTCATATCATAATGCACTTGTCGATCCACTCGTGCCAATCAGCAGCATCCTTGTCTGATGCCAGGATCCCAACTTGCATGAAGAGACTGATGATGAGTCTTGCAAGCAGACAACTTTCGTAAGAGGGTCCTCGGCTGCTAAGGGACCTGGCTGACTGGCATATGGCGATCACCGGATGTCTTCGCCAACGACCTGCAGACAACGATCGCCGCTTACTAATTTGCACGTGCACAAAAGCCGTCCAGGACTCAACGACAGCAGGTGTTTGTGCAAAGCATTAGCCTCCCCGCAGTGGCCACATTCTCTTGGGAATGTGGGTGGGGTTCCGCACATCAATAAAATGGTAGGTCAGATGGACCACAGCCAAGATGTTGGTGTCCCGCTACTGGAAGACTACAGCGATCAATCACAATGCACTTCCCACGTACGTGTAACGTATTGTTGGTAACTACCCCAACAAAGCTTCTTGTGGTTGGGGAACCTCGCGCTGGAGTCGCTGTGGGGGCGAGCTCGACAATCTCTCTTCTTCACCATGGGCCGTGGATGAACATATGAGTTGCTTGCCGACCTGAGCAACCGAAATCTAAAATTGCGTGTTGCATGAAGAAGTGTCAGCATATCATGACTCATAAACATAGGCACAGGAAGAGCGCCCGCTCAACGATGAAGACGCCCGACTCAATCGGGTCAAGGTCTTGTGAGGGTCTCAAGTGATATTGTCGGCATGCGCTCCGAGAGAACAACGTCAGTGAATAAGCTAACCAGCACAGCTGATTGTACAACGCACTCATCACATATTCAGGGTCTCTAGCTCGGCAAGGTCGTCCCATCAACAACCACGATGCTATTGAGGTATCCCTCCATTCTGCCCTGCACCGACTTTCATGTTTTGTCGACTGTCTGGCGTCATGACGCTATCGCGTGAAACTTTGGCCTGGACAAGGGAAAAGGTACGTATCTTCGACCTACATACAGTATAACGATACGCAATTCTGGTTGCATTCGACAGCTACTTCAACAATATACAGGCACGATCCCTGGCGAAGGATGCACAACCTGGATCCTGAGAGTACTATACAATAGCTACAGTACAACTGAGTTCAGGGTCCTCTATCTACATACTTGCTCTAGCTGGCTTGCTATACAACCTCACTTCGTCATCGCATCTCCCAAACAACAAAGACAACCCGGGACTGGACTCCCTGATCTTGCTCCACTCCCGCTCTATACCATGTTCTTGCAGAACGCATCAGCAACGATACCCAACACCCACCAAACTCCGACCCACGCCAAACCATCCTCTGTATTATCCTCGTGCCTATCCGATGTACCATGATCTGCTAGCTCCTAAGCTCATCAGACCTCAAAATTCCCCCATGTCTGTCTTCAATACCCAAGCGAAATCTGCCCTGGTCTCTCATATGCCGGGGACATACGCTGAGGTCGGTTCGCGGGCGCAAGTCCGACTTTCTCCAGGAACTTCTGCGCGCGCGCATCCCATTTGTGCATGGACTCGCTCCCGCGGGACTTCAGCAGTGAAGTGGTTGAGCTTGTGCTTGTGCTTGTGGAGCTCGTGGTGCTGTTTACTCTCTCTTTAGGGCAATCGCTTGGAGTCAAAGGGCTGGCTCCACTCTCAGATTTGGGCTTGGTTGTGGTTGTTGATGATGCCATTGCTCGGGACTTGTCTTCGGTGCGATAGTAATATGGGTTTGCTGATGCGATGCTCATGATTGTTGATGTTTGGATTCTGGTTTTCGGATTCTGGTTTTCGGATTCTGGTTTTCGATTCTGGTTTTCGGATCCCGGTTCCTGGTTTCTGTTTTCTGGTTGCTGATGTTGTCTTTGATCGTTTGATGTCTACAAGTCAAGGATGCTCAAATTGTTCTGATGAGCAGCACATCGTTCCCAGCGACGCCATATATATAACGACCTGTTCATCGATGCTTACAGATGTCATATGGCGCTGTGTAGGGAGCGGACATCCCAATTGAGACTTGCCATGCGACTGACGTGGATGGGGACCTGCTTACACATACAATAGCCTCAATAGAGAATCTCCGCTACGGTTGTCATCCACGTGTAGGGACGAAGCCATACATTGCAGTGACTGCACAGGTCGGTCGGCTCGTCCTGAATAGGCTAGCCCGTTGGCGGGATAACGTTATAGCACCCATCAATGTAGCGGAAGAATAGCAGTCCATTGCGGCGGACGCCGACCGACATGGCCCCACCTTCATCCCCAGTCACGACCAACCACCGCAAACCAAGAGGGGTCCAAAGCAGGCCTGCAAAAACGCAGGGCACCCCCAAAAAAGCAACAACGTCCCAGAACCACAAAAACCATCTCCCACATTTCCTTCTCTCTTCTCCCGACGAAACAATTTGCGCAAGCAATCCAAGACCGAATGCTCCAAAATCGTGGTTCAGAACGCGTCCGGTCCCGATCGCATCGCTCCTTTGCTCACATACTCGAGGATGCGTGTGTGCCGATTCGCTCAATGCCTGCGGCTGCTAACGGCTGTTGGAACGCATATCTGCAACTTCGCCAATGAGACCCGGTTATCTCGATAACATCTCGATATATTTCTGGGGCAATCGAAATTTTGACGATTTGCGATTTGGCCGACTTGACATCTTGAGTGTGAACCAAGATTTGATAGACTAACATCAGGGTCGTGCGTGAGTCATTTGCATGCGTTCTTGTGTCGCAGATGTGGACACACTCTGTGTTTGGGTAAAACAGGATGTGTAAAAGAGGTGGAGTGCGAGGAGAGGGTTGGATGTCGAAGAAGATGGAAATTCAAATGTGCATTTACCAATGCTACGCTAATGCTCACGCAGAAACAGCACGCAATCGACGTCTAATGCGACCGCGGTTCTAGTAATAGTTCTCCAGCCGGTTTCGACGCTTTTGCGAATCCAGCTTCTCGTGTATGGATCTTTCGACCTCGCAGATACGTCGCTGCCGCGAATCCCTTCAACGTCCTGCCCTCATAAGGCGAGCATTTATTCCGGAAAAGCATTGTATTCGGCTCGACTTCAAATGTGCTCGCATCATCGAAAACGCAAATATCTGCGTCCATTCCTACTTTGAGCTGGCCTTTGCGACATTCGAGACCGACTTGTTTTGCGGTGTTTGAGCAGCACCAGGTTACGATGTTGAGAAGGGTCTCGTTCACGTCCATGTTTCTACGCATAGCCTCTGTCCATAGGATGCTGAGACCAAGACCGACCGAGCTGATTCCGCCCCAGGCTTCGAAGAAGTCGCCTTCTGCAGTTTTGGATGTGCAGCAGCCTTTGGCAGCCTTGGGCTGCGAGCCTGGTACGTGAGATGGCAGGAGTTTCAAATCCGGTGTGCAAGGCGAGTGGTCTGATACCACAGTCTTGATGATACTCTCCTCGTTGAGCATCTCGGCCCACAGACTGTCCTGGTTCGACTCTGATCTGATGGGAGGGCAGCATTTGTGTCTGGTGTCGCCATCTGGAATCTTCTCGGCTGCCAAGCTCAGATAATGGAAACACGTCTCGGCTGTGATTTTGACTCCACGTGCTACGGCGGCACGAAGCATGGGTATGGCCTCGGCAGCTGAAAGGTGTACGATATGTAAAGGCAGATTGGGTGCAAGGTGTGCCAGATCGAGGATCTCCAGGATCGCGCACACCTCGAATGACGAAGGCCGCGAGTCCAGGAAAGTTTGATATTTGTCCAGAGGGCCTGAGGGCTGGAGAGGAGGCAATGATGTTTGCACATCGTCTCCCACAGACTCTGTCACAGGAGGTATCATCTCGGCGTGGAACATGACTGTCGTCGGCTCGTCTGCCAGCTCTTCAAAGACCTTACGAATGTCGAGAGAAGACACTGCAGGAAATTCTTCGACACCACTGTCGATCAAAAAGCCTTTGAAGCCCCGCACACCAGCTTTGACAAGCGGCTTCAGCTCGTGGGCATTGCCAGGTATTACCCCGCCATAGAATCCAACATCGACCCAACATTTCCCTTGAGCAGCAGCCACCTTCTCTTTCAGGCCCTCCATCGTGGTTGTGGGTGGGATTGCGTTGAGTGGCATATCAACGACTGTTGTGACACCACCAAATGCTGCTGCACGAGTGCCAGTCCAGAAGCCTTCCCATTCTGTTCGACCGGGCTCATTGAGATGCACATGTGCGTCTACGAGACCAGGTAGGAGTACATGTGGGCTGTGGTCGGTGTAGGGTGTCCCAGGTGGAAAGTCTGAAACTGGGAGGACTTGATCGTATATGGTCACGATCTTGCCTGTGGAGGCCGATATCACGATTGTGGCTGGCGAGAGGCGGCCTTCAATCACTGCTCGGTTCGAAGCAATGACACTGATTCCAGATGCATCTGTAATGCCTGACAAGATTGGCGACCCTTCTATTGAGGATACTTCGAGCGGTGTATCATGTCCAGTTGCATGAGGGGCCATCTTGGCTGTGTCTGCTGTAATCGATCAAAGAGTTCTGGAAGTGCCGGTCTGCTTCAGAAACAATGAAATAATGCTCTGGCTTCTGGATAGCAATGATGGCGTTGCAGGCACAGTAGGAAAGGTGTGTAGTGCTTGTAGGAAACGCAAGAGTAGACGAGTCGACCAACCTATGCAAGTGAGAATCGGGAGAGGGGTGCACACTGCAGCAGATAAGAGTCCATGAGGGATTCCCCTAGACGGGGTATCTGCTCTTGCATGTGAGTGGCGCATTGTAGGGCGGTCTGAGTCCGATTCGGCATGGAAACAAAGCGCACTCTCCGGACAGGCGCAGACGACAATAGCCGCGGGTTTGGTAGTATACGAGAGTGGTCGAGGACAGGCGGAAAGCGTATTATTACTCGATGGAAACTGCAGAATAGGGCGCTAGTGCTTGTAGACGACGGCCATTGTGTGTTGGGTGCCGTCGCGGGCGGGAGATAAGGCCAATCCGCATTTAGGAATGGGACATGATAAGGCGGATGTGGTTGAAGTTGAAGGGCGCTAGCCCTGGCTGCAGGTCCTTGGCTGGGTTGGCCGCGGCCAACTTCTTCTTCACGGTCATCTCCGACCCATCTCCACGCCAGATATTATGCGCAACAGATTCGGTTTCCCGATCTTCTGGGTCGATTTCAATGTTGTTGAACTGCTGTCAAAATGTCCATGTTGTCGTGAGAAAGAGGCATGCTTACAGCTACAACAATGGAAAGAGGTGAGCGTGCACAATAGCTGCTGCCGGAGCGGTGGTGACGTCCTCCGTGTTCTCGACCTCAATGCGGCCGACGTTAATTTTGTTTTCATCGAGTAAGCATTACTCGATCGTTTGCTGACAAGGACGACTTGACTTTGCTTAACTTTTCTGCAAAGCGATTTCCACGAGGCCCTGCCGAAAGCTACCTTGCGGCTTGCTGCGCGAATCTGAGGTCTGGAGCAATCGGCATCCTGGGCGAATCTTGCTCATCAACAAGACGCCAGAACCCGAGCGAGAATTCCTTATTATGGAACTCCGCGAGGACATCACAGACACTGCAGCGGCATCACGATGTATACAGGAAGACTTTGCGGATGGCTCTCAGGATCCAGCACATTGAAACACATCCGTTGTGGCCGGCCGCCGTCAACTTGGAATAGGCGAGTGCCTACGTGGTTCGCCGGACTGGGTTGGAACGTAGGACTCGAGGCCTCCGGCAAAACTCGGCTGCAGTGCTGCAACATTCCGTCTCGTTGAGATGTATCTCATCTGCTACGCCTCGCCACAAGTGTGCTGACTCAGGTCAAGCTTTTGCAGGCTGCGAGAAGACACACCCACGAGGAGGTGAGCATATGACTTAATTTTGGTAGGTTTTGGTGGCATTGGATCATGGAATTTGCCCCAGTATCGCCTTCGTGCAAATATGCGGCCTTAAAATGCGGCTCCGGCCACCGTATCCATTCGTCGAGGCATTGGAACGCGAAACACAAGAGGATCTCTCGACGCATATGGCACGCGAGGCGAGCTACTGTTCGTTGAAGCCGGTCTTTCAAAGTTACTCGCCAGATGTTCGGCAGCAGGTTCGTGGTGAATTGTCATTCTGTAAAATTGACTCCTGGACCGCGAAGCAGCTACATTTCGTGCCTTTGCAGCAGCCCTTTCGAAGGTGGAGGAGGTGGCAGAATATGTTGCACTCAAGCTTCTGTGGAATGCGCGAATCCCGCGAGCAGAAGATCGTACTGTGATTGCAGCGGCATCCGGCACCATGTCGGGGATGTGGTACGAAACCATGCGACTTGCCATACAACACGCTCAGAGAAGTCATCGAAGAGATGGAGTTCACAGAACGCAAGGGCGAGTAGATTTCGATCAGAAGTGGAGTCGGAGTTCGCGAGACATGATCACGCGGACCCGACAGCTTGGGCGAGCAAACAACGACTCCATGCGCGTCTCCGAAAGCAACGAACTCTTCCACGCACTGCGCGCAGCACTCCAGAGACATGCTGCTGAATAACGAGGAATAGTGCCTCAACTCAGGCACAGGTGCGACCTGCCAGGCACGCTCGCGCACGATGGCGACACATGTGGTCTGCGGAGCGAGAGCTACAGCAGGCCATGAGGTACAACACAGCTCGACTTCCGGTTGCCTTTGCGTTCCACTGTGCACTGGCTGTGAAGCCCACGCATCTCATGAGGTGTTTCCAAGCTCATACATCATTGAGTCAACAGCATTAGCGCAGCACATTCGTCTCTTCGACTGCACCTGTTCTTCTCCTTGCTTGGAAAGTGGCGTCCGAGACTCTCGATCCGAGCATCTCCAGCACCGAATTGATGAAGGGCGTCTGCACTGTTAATCGTCTGGAATTCTGCACATCTTCTCATACCTGCTAGTCCTTTCCTACACTACAGCCCTGCAAACAGACCGTCTCCCAAGAACGGCTGCCGATTCCAAAGACAGTCCACATTCGATCATTCAACCTGTTCGGCATGCGCACAAATCCACAATTGTGCCTCCTATGGCTTATATGCCTGACTCGAGCGACATCACTTTACAATCATGAGATCAAAGAGCTGACTCCGAGAACGCCGTCAGCATTGCCAAAGAGACAAGACATTGGCTCGGCTCATTACCCTATCACTGGAGTGCAGAACGCTGGGACGCCACCAAGGCTCGAGATTCGGCAACTGCAACAGCGTCCTGATCTGTTCAACATCTTTTTGCTTGGACTTGCAAGATTCCACGTCACACCGCAAGATGACAAGCTTTCTTATTACCAGATGTGCGGTTCGTTCGAACATTGGTGAGAACACTTATCGATCCTGCTTAGCTGACAACCCTGCAGCAATTCACGGCCGTCCTTATGGAATGTGGGACAATGTGCCTCCAGCGAATGGCACTGAAGACAATGGCTATTGCGTCCATGTCTCCAACCTCTTACTGCCTTGGCATCGTCCATATCTTGCTCTGTTTGAGCAGCTGCTCTTCAATCACATGACAGCATGTGCTGAAGAATTTCCAGCAGGACCACTTCGTCAACGCTATGCGCGGGCTGCAACGCAGGTATCGCACACTACTAATATCTTGGAAACCAGGCTCACTTATTTGCTATAGGTTCGGTTACCTTATTGGGACTGGGCAGTGGCATCGCCAAACGGCAGTGTGTATCCGGACATTGTTCAGCAGCCTCGTGTGTCGGTCGTCAAGTCCGAAGGAACTACCACAATCGACAATCCGCTGTATTCTTACAAATTTCATCCTGTATCGTACAAAGACATGGAGTTCGATCCTGTAAGCAGCAATATCACAACGACCCACAACACAGACTGACAATTGTGTACAGTTTGCCTCATGGAATGATACCAAGCGATATCCGACAGCCTGGACTAGCAGGGCCAGAAGCCAGAACAACCTCATCGGGCCTATGCTTGACAACCAACTTGCCTCGTTTGCGAACCGAGTGTACAACCTGCTGACCTTCTACGATAATTTTACCCAATTTTCCAACGAGGCGTGGTACGGCAGGGAGCAGAATATCGATTCTATCGAAGCTCTGCACGATACCATTCATGCCATTACCGGGCAGCAGGGACACATGACTTACCTGGACTACTCTGCTTACGACCCTATCTTTTGGCTGCATCATGTCAATCTCGACCGTCTCTTCGCTATCTGGCAAATCTTACATCCGAACAGCTATGTAGAGCCGATGGCTGCTCTATCTTCGACATACACGATCGTAAAGGGTTCAATTCAGGATGCAGATTCTCGTAAGAAATGAATGCTATTCTCCCCTCGATCATGGATGCTAACTAGTATCTAAATAGCACTAGAGCCTTTCTCGAAGGACACAAACGGCACAAAATGGACTTCAAACACTGTCAAGGATACCAGAACCTTTGGCTATACCTACCCAGAGACTTCAAAGGGCGATCAAGCAAACGCGAGGGCTGCAGTAAACAGGCTCTACGGCAGCGGCTACAATGGTGGTGGCCTTATCGGCGTGCGAGACACACCTGTGACAGCCAGGAAAATGAGAGGGACTGCGGGCTTTCTCGTGGATGGCCGCCAACGACATTATGCGGCAAGTTTGCTCTCAGATAAGCACGCCCTCAATGGCTCCTACGCCATTCATGTCTTCGTTGGCGCTTTCGACGATTCTGATCCAGGCAGCTGGCCGACGTCACCGAATCTGGCTGGTACTCATGCTACGTTTGGCAGCTTGCGAGCAAACGGAGATGTCGCGCGGAAATCACTTGTCACAGGAGGGACTATTCCGCTAACGAACATTCTTGTCCAAAAGGTTAGCTCGGGTGATTTATTTTCGCTCGAAGAAGACAATGTTGTGCGTTATCTCGAGGAGAGTCTGCAGTGGAGGGTAGCGACAGTAAGTGGACACGCATGGTGTGCGCCTATTTTGCTTTTTGTTGACAGAGGAGACAGCTCGATGGCGAACCAGTGCCTGCCGGAGAAGTCTCTGACCTTGAGGTCGTTGTGACTTTGTCAGAAATCACTCCGGCAGCGAGTGATCAAGACGTCCCAATGAAGAAGAATTTCAAGAAGTTGACTCGAATCACAAAGGGCAAAGTGGGACGAAGTTGAATTTGTCTAAGAGAGAAGTTCAGACGGCGCGTGGTTCTTCGTGGACATGTTTAGCTGTTTTGAAGCCTCAGGCAGGAATACAGGCGACTTCACCATTCCGACTTCTATACATTCCATCCAATACTTCGCTTGTGAACATTGATCCATCGAGACCACTTTCGAGCATATGCGAACGCTCCACTTTCCTACTTGGTCAGTAGACTTTTCATTGACTGCAAACCGCGTGGCCGCACCCGCAGCTGCAAGGGCCGTCGGCACGTTCTCAATTGGTGCACTTTGAACCTAAAGTTGCTCTTCCCAGCCGCGAATTGTCAGCATTCTCAGCACTCTCAGCAGAAGAAACGGGCAGGTCTCATCGGATTTGGTGAGGTTGCGACGCAGCCCAGAACGGCCCCTCCTCGTCAGCTTGCTTCGGCGCGACACAGCCCACTTCAACCTTCTTGGGAGATCTTCGTTGCGCTTCGGCTGCTTTTGCGTGGTGAGAGCGAGGTTACGGGCGCCGAGCTGGCACTAAGGGCACACTACGAACAATGGCGTTTTCTCTTCAGCCTTGCTCTTTCCACAGACGTTTCGTCATCGCTGTTGACACCGGTCATCTTTGGACGAAGGTAGCGACAACTACAGCCAGGAGCTGAATTCATTTCCAGGAAGGGGAGAGACAGGGTACTTTGCAGAAGAACGATGGACTATTGAGTCCAGGAACGTGGTACTTGTTCTGGATTTGGAGCTGCAGCCACCAACACTATACTCCTCTTTGGTCGCTCTGCCAAGTGCGGGCAATCACTTCACAGAGGCTGCCGGAGGCACCTCACTTCATTCTCGCATGGGTCTGAGACTCTAGAGAAGACGACATTGCCTGGAGCAAACGCCTCAGCGAGGCTCGCGACTGGATTCGCTCACCCGCCACGACTCTTCATGCGAGATGCGCGCCGCGACGGCGCTGGCACTGGTGCTGCTCTCCACCTCAGCCGCAGCTAATGACAGCGAGTGCCGATATGGGCAAGTAGGCCAGTTTGTAGCTCTACTGGAGAACTATGCGCCAGCGCAAACCTATTGCTCGAACTTGGTGCCACCTCAACAACTCCACGCAACAATCACGACTACGATCACACAATGCCGACCGGACCCCACCACTGCTCCGCCTGCGAAGATCAAAGCAAGGCAAGAAGAAGACAACACACAAATTGACCACGAGACCGGACCCACTGCAGCACTACAACAGCTTCGGCGCTCCCACAGAATCGCCAACACTGTCTGCGCATGCATAGTCTCCACCACATCTGAACAACCCGTCATCGAAACAGCCTACGTCACCACATCATGCTCTTCGACCTCAACTTGCAACCCAAGAACTCTGACCTGTCAACCAAAGCGAAACTGCGCCAATCCCGCTCGCTGTGCGAGCTCAAGCTATTGCCTGGAGTCACCAATTTCCGGAGCCTGTTTCTGCCATCCAGACACAGACGACCCGACAGCGGGCTACTGCATGTCTGCAGGCCCCGGCTGCCCTGAAGTCTACGAAGACTGCTCTAGCAACTCGGACTGTGGAGGACCCGGGTCATCGAAAGTTTGCATTTATGCTTGTTGTAGAGAGCAACCATTTTGCGTGGATTTGGAGGATTATAGGACAGATTTGCCTTCTACGGCTGGGACATCGGCAGCGGATGGGGGCTCAGAAGAGGCAGGGAAGATGAAGAGAGATGGAGGGTGAAGTGTTGCTAGTGCTTTGCTAGTTCCTGTGGATATTGATCTGTGAATATCTTTTTGATGCATACTTGGCATGTGATATATGCCTCAGATTTCGACTTTCACGACCTGCTAATCAGTGCGAGGTCATATCGCGAACAATTCGATGCCGCAATTCAAGACAGACTTGGGTGTAGTGGTCTTCCTTCATGGTTTCCTGCCACTACCTTCGACGGGTACTGTGGGCGAGGATAGGGCATTCCGCGATTTTTCTAAAGAAACAATACACATTTCACAAAAAGCAAATGTTGGCTGACATAATTCCTTGAACCGAGCGCAGCCCTACAGTCGTAAAGTGAGACGCAGAGACCTTCCAGAGCGAGGCAGACACCAGACGCAACATGCTCATCATGCATGTGTCTCTCTACCGGAAGAACCGTATGTGGCCAGACGAGAAGAAGAGCTGGGACAATGCTTCTGAGGACAAATTCAGCTTGTCAGCCATGGCATATCCCGCATCGGCTTGCCTCCGGCCTGCCTTCAACGCAAGGCAATACGGGTCGCCCTGTGTGTCTTCTGGACTAACGGCCAGTGAACGTATGGCAAAGGCCTCACGCTAGTCGAGAAGTCGCCTCTTGTCACGGCTTTATATGCTGCTTTCGGCATGAATGATCACTATACTTGCAGCGATGTCTAGCATTCTCGATGAAGCCACACATGCGAATACCGCACAGAATCGAAGTAGTTTCTTAACAAGAAACAAACAATAATCCCTCCTAGGCCACGGAAGTCTGTCGGAGAAGGAAGCCAAAGGATCCGAAACGTGCTCTGCTGTTGAATATGCTTGCTCTTCATGGGAGGTTGCAAAGATACTCGAATGCGGCTGCGAAGTGTAGTGAAGTGCCCTATAAGACCGGTGGGTCTCCAGGATACCCCTGCTAACATCGCATACAGCTTGTGAAGATCATGTCTCTGATGCGTAAATAGAAGTTAGGTTCGTCAGATTTTGTAGATGTGAGGATTTCCTGTTACCCCGCGCTTGGTCTCAGACCTTGTGTTTGTGTCTAATGTATGCTGCGGTGGCGATGATGAGTTCTCATCGTGAAATACTGGATCGGTCGCGGAGCAATCGTTGAGCAATATGGTAGTGAATCTGCAAGTACAGTATGACGAAAATACCACGACCTGGTCGTCTGCCCTCATCTCATTCTGGACCATCCTTGGCAAATCCCAACCTTGCATGAATGAAATCGATTCATGTTGTGTTGCATGCTCACACCAACTGACTGACTCTGAGAACTCGAGTCGACTGCGTTTAATCAACAGCAAAAATTCGGCGGGGCAGCGGCAAGAATTAAACATCGTCGTCTTCGTTCTCGCATTTCCTTCAAAGTGCCCTCCAGCCAGTGGACGTTGTGCATGTGAAAACCCTCGCAGTCGTATACAACCAAACACAGCCCTACAGTATCCAATTCCTTATACAGAGACAAAGCCGTCGGCGTCAGGATGTCCCGATTGCACAAACATGGTGTCGCACAGTGTGGGGAATCTCGTACACGAAGTCAAATTTGACATGCCAGCAAAATGATTGGTTGCTTCGCATTCCTTCCGGACCAATTGTTCAGCCGATAGAGGGTGTCATTCACGTGCAAGTGGGGAAAAAAGGTAAAAGTGGCCAGGCACGCAACCGATGTACAAGACAAGACCTAGACGAGGGCTTGTGACGCTGCTTTCTACGCGTAATAATAAGAGACGCTGCTGCGAAAGCGAGGGACGTCTTGGTTCTTCTTCTTGACCTTGCGTGGTGTGTCCGTATATGTGACAAAGGGAAGCGCTTCGTCAAGTTCTTCCTCGTTCTTCTTTCGCCATTGTCACTGTCCAGTCAGTCCAGTTCAGCCGAAGACGCGGCGACCACCGCAAAGAAGCAACCATGTTCCTCGTCTACTACCTGTACGACCGCCTCTTCTGGCTCACCCTCATCTGCGCCGGCATCGCCTACACCACCTACGTCGTCCTCCCCGCGCACCACGGCTCGCCAGTTATCTGCAACGTCCTCACGTTCGCCGTGCTCGGCACATGGTTGACAAAATGCATTACACACTTCGACGAAGAGCGACGCATCCGCCGATTGGGTAAACATGCTGTTACCATTCGCACGCATACTCCGATGAACTTGGGCATGATCGCGCAAGCTCTGTATTATTTCAGCAAGCACCGCAATCACGAGTTTTGGTTGAAATTCTTCAAGAGGACGGAGGATAAGACCTATCCATACACCGTGGAGTCGGTGACGCTGGGAGGAAGAATCGTGTTCACGGCTGATGAAGAGAATGTCAAGGCGATCTTGGCGACACAATTTGCGGACTATGGGTGAGTGTGGTCGCGAGAATGCATCTTCGACCAGCGTGGCGAAGATCTTGTCTCAGGCGTCCTCGTGATCCCAGCTGACAAGTGAAAGTAAGGGCCAACAATTTCGCAAGGAATGGCGTGACTTTTTGGGACTGAGTAAGTGTTCTCTTCCCCGTTCTGCTTTCGTACTTTGCCATGCCTTGTCTTGGACAGCGACGACGAGGTTCTGCAAAACGGCTATATCTGCGCCACAAGGACAAGGTAGCATCGCAGGAATCCTGGGGGGCAAGCTTTGTGGCATACCCGGGGAAGACGATACCGGTCGTGGCTTGATCAGTTTCAGCAACGGTTGAGCTGCACGCTGCAAGATTGGATCGAGGGAAAAGTGGCGAAGGTACCATGAGATCCGGCTGCAGGGAGCATGCCATCCGGATTGCAGCCCGCCGGTAGCCATCTCCAACTGTTCGCTTCCAAGTTCGCGGTAATATGCTTTGCAGATGGCGCTCCTCAGTTCGCATTTGCAATGGGAAGGGACCTGGAAACACCCTGTCGATCGTACTTGCCTTTGTTGAACCAGGGTTATCAGGCTGACAATCTCGACCAGGCATCTTCACCACGGATGGTGACCTCTGGCACAATTCCAGACAATTGCTGCGCCCACAATTCATCAAGGACCGAGTTTCTGATCTCCACAAGTTTGAGCACCATGTTCAGAAGTTGCTGCCCATGCTGGCTGGAAGCTCCGATGGCGCGACAGTACGAGTAGACGATCTGGTTTTCCGTTACACGCTGGACGCTGCAACGGATTTCCTGTTTGGTGCCTCAGTTGAAAGTCTAGACAATGGAGAGACCGAATTCGCTCAAGCCTTCAACGATGTCCAGAATGTCCAGGCCATGATTGCCAGGTAAGTCTCAGATTCTGGCAAGCCATAGTGCAAGATATTGTGGCTGATCGTTTGACCTTGTAGAGCTGGCCCGATTCGAGGTCTTATTCCGAAGAAGAAGTTCCACGAAGGCCTCAGGATCCTCAATAAATTCACCGATCGGTATATCGACCAAGCACTCGCACTGCCACAGGAGGAGCTCGAAAAGAAGACCAAATCCGACGAAGGCTATACTTTCCTGCACGCCATTGCTGCATACACCCGAGACAGGCAAGTGTTGCGAGATCAGCTGGTAGCAGTCCTACTCGCTGGTCGTGACACCACGGCCGTTACCCTTTCATGGCTCTTTTACGAGCTGTCTCAGCAGCCGAAGATCGTAGCGAAGCTGCGTGAGGAGATCGTCGGTCGTGTCGGCGAACACAAAGTGCCCACATACGAGGATCTCAAGTCAATGCGTTATCTCAATCATGTCATCAACGAAACGCTGCGCCTGTACCCCGTTGTGCCATACAACGTTCGGGTGGCACTCCAGGACTGTACCTTACCTCGAGGTGGCGGGCCAGACGGCACAGAGCCAATTGGCATTACAAAGGACACCCCCATCGGCTATTCCACATTGATCATGCAGCGCCGCGCAGATATCTATCCTCCCGCATCAAGTGGCTTCCCGGATCATATGAAATTCGTGCCAGAACGATGGTAAGCAACAGCTTGCCTGTGTGTGAGACCTGTGTCATTGCTAACGTTTCGAAAGGGACAACTGGACTCCAAAATCTTGGTCGTATATTCCGTTCAACGGCGGCCCACGTATATGGTAAGTAGCAGCTTGCCCATATGTGAGACATGTGTCGTTGCTAACATTTTTTGAAGTATCGGCCAGCAGTTCGCTCTGACGGAACTGGCATATACCGTGGTGAGAATACTGCAATCCTTTGAAAAAGTCGAGAGCCGAATGAGCGAGCACCCGGGGCTAAAGACGGATATCGTGCTTGCACCTGCGGCTGGAGTCCATGTTGCATTCGTGAAGAGCCGAACGGCATAGTTGATAGCCTTTCTTGTGACGTGTCATCAATAAGACAACAGAATTGTTCGTTCATGTGCCTCGTTTGTTCCTTCTTTTGGACATTCCTGCCCCACCACGGCTCCTGTGGCTCCGTCAGTATGCAGGTCAACAACATTAGAACGACATTAGCTGCCGTCTTTGCAGATATCCTGTGATTCGTTGTCACGAAAACTGTCACTCAACAAGCAGCCAACAGCATTGCTGGAATCGTGAAAATGGCCCAACTGTCAGCCCGAAAAGTAAGATTCTGTCAAAGTGCATTGGTCGAGCTGGGAAAGTCGATGCCTTCCTAGAAAAGATCTGCAGCCTCCCAGGACCCGGCCTTCTTCTGCATTGCGGATGCAGGGTGCTGCAGTATAAGTGTTCACGGATGCTGTACGGTAGTAGGAGTAAATGCATAGGAAGGGCTTCCGCCTCACGGATTCCAGCGTCCAGCTACCGCAGATCGCATTGCAGAACGCAGCATGGGCGTTGCAGATGCGAGAATTGTCATAATCGAGGACCATGGTCGAGAGCACATCTTGCTCTCGCCTGCCCGTTGGGACGCAAAGGCTGTATTCGCAATAGCGAGCCTCTTTGCCGCGCTCCGTTCCGCTCTGGCCCTGCAGTGCTGTTTCAGCGGGGAGGGCCTACAAACGAGTTTACGATGATGGTGGGGAACTCCGGGAGGGTCAGGAACATAGCTCGAGCACAAACGCGGTCCACTGTTGTGTGATGAACGACCTAGCCTGAGGCCCGTTTCGTCAAGGCCACAGCTAGATGTTTAGCGTGGGCTGCCTCTGTTCGCTTGGCTGCCTGGCTGCAGGCAATCGGCGCTGATGGTGAAGCTGTAGAAGAAGCACCGCATGGGCTCTTTCTGGATGTCTCCTGTTTGTGCCGTCGCCGCCCAGATGGTACTAGCAGCAGGTCCCGAGGGGCGATCGCGGACGAAGTGAGACTGGCGTCGTAGCTCGAGCCCATAGACCAGGCCCGCGGTCGGCGCGCGTGAACCTCCCTCCTGGAACGCGCTGGATCGGGACAGACGTCAAGCGTGTCAAGATGGCGCAGAAGGGCTGCAGGTATGCGCAATTCCGCTCGCCGGGTTTGGTCGCTGTTGGAGGGGGGTATGATGGAGCGGATGGGGGTGTTCATCGCGGGATGCTCGCCGTTCGTCGCTGCTGTCCATCATCACTGCTCTTGACGGCCTTCGCCTTATCCTGTCCTCGTACGCAGATCGTCTAGAGCACGCGAGCTCAGTGTCCGGTGCTAGCATTGGGCGTCCGCGCTAGGAGGGACTGTGGGAACTTGGAAGGCGGCGGCCGGCTCACGCGTTTAAGTTTGGCCTTTCTGCGCTAAACTAGACCCAGTAGCGTTGGACCCGCGGTCGCGGCTACGCGCGCCCGGCTTGAGGTTCCGCATCCACAACAACGCCGCAAAAGCCAGGGCCGTTGAAGGCTCGTGAAGAGGAGCGACGAGCAAAAAAGAGGAGACGGCGACGGCGCTGTTATCTTGTGCCCACGTCCTCGGCAGCATCTTGTTGCTCAATTCACTGTATCCTGTCATATTGCTTCAACCCTCCCACACGCAAGTCCTGCAGCTGTTTTCGTGCTTTTGTCGCGTCTGCACGATTCTTCCATCCGCCGGCAGCTTGCACGCCAGCGCCGAGAAAAACACGACCCGCGCCTCAACTCCAGATTTGCGCGACCCGACCAGAGCCAGAGCCCCTCAAAACATCTTCACTTCCCCGTCCGCGCGAACCACACCAGTTCCTTGCACACCTTGGGCCCTGGAAATTGAGATCCGTCGCTCACCACAACAACGACGACGCCGACAACACAAACAGCCGCCATCACCTTCATTATCCCGCCACTCACTTGCCATTCGCAACCCAAGCCTCGACTTCTCATCTCGCCCGCACTCATTGTCGCCGCTGCTATTGCTTATGCCGACGACGTAAGACCGTGCTTTTCTGCCCGCCATGTCGACACCCAATCGCTCTTCGGGCTCTTCCGTCTCCTCCAATGGCTCGTCATATCAACTCATCCTGGATCACATCCTCACATATCCGGGCAGCTATGAGATTCCTCTGAAGACAATGTGTAAGTGGACTCGTCTCCAGCTGTATCTCATGACACACACTTACATGCTCTACCCACCTCTAGACAGCTTGAACTGCGCGCCCAAGAACGCGGCAAGCCCAAGCACCCCGACCAGCAATGGCACGTCGCCAAACCTCTCACAAGGATCCTTCACGCCAGATACTCAGTCAACCGCGTCGCTCACTGAAAGCCTCATGTCGCAGCTATCACAGCTGAGCAACCAGCAGCAAACGCTGCCTCCCTCTTTCATCACTGCCTTCGTCCAGAGGTGTTTTACTCCTCAGCTTCCCCATGTGGATTTCCCGCAGGCGCTCACTGGACTCGACTACCTCAAGGACCTGGAAACCCGCAGACGGCGAGAAGCCGCTTCTGCAATGAGTCGTCTTGGCATTGACCGCGATGCACTGGACCGAGACGTGGCATCGATCTCGCCCCGCAACCTACAGTGGGTCAGATCTCTCGAGGACAAGGAGAAGAAGATTGACACCCTTTACACGCAAGTCTGGATTGGCCTTCGTCGATGGATCTTGATCAATGAACTGTCGCTGCAACCCTTCCACAAGCACAACTGTGTGGCGATGCTGAACACCCTCTACCCCCCAGCTGGCATTACCGAGCAAGCACAACCAACGACGCTCTTGACGCCTGCTGTAGTCAAGTCCCAACGAGATGGTTTCTTCAAATATGTGCAAGCCGTTGAGAAGAGCGGCCCTCGCATCCTCACCAACCTGATGCAACAAGGCAAAGCAACTCACGACAACAACGGCTGGGAAGCTGTTGTCCGCAACCTCAGCGTGTACCTTCAGGTAGCCAACAGCATGATCAACGAGTGCATCCATGTTGGCGTCAAGGTCGCCTCTAACGTGCCCCGCACTCCAACAAAGCACGTTAGGAAAGCAGATTCCAGCGCGAGCTTCGACAGCATCCCCGAAACTGAGCAACGTGGCCGTAAGAAGGCCGACTCTGGCGTCAGCTTCGGCAGTGCTGCGAGCACGGAAAACCTGCGCAGACGACTCGACTCGACCACAAGTATCGGCGCTACTTCCGTCGCGGAGTCAAGTATCACGGGACGAGACTCGAATGCAACTCCTCCCTCACCCTCACACTCTGTACGACCGAAGACACCTTCGGGCGGCAACCGACGAGGAACCGGCATGGAGCGACTGGCGCGCGGACTCAAATCCATTGGCCGCAGCAGGACCGAGGCGACCGAGATGATCGCGGATTACGAGATACCCGCCGCCGCTCCTGCACAAGACAGGCCTCTTCTGAGAAAGATGCGCAGCCTGGGCGCACTCAGTGAGCGCAAGACATCTGGCCTTGGCAGCCGCCAACTTTCAGAGACTCCCGCCTTCGACGTCGACGCCATGCGCCGGGAACGAGCATTGATTGAAGCTCGAATGGCCCAAGGCAAGACCGGCAAGCTTGGAGGCAATGAAATATAACGGCACGCTCTCACCTTCACTTCTACATGGCTCGCCACCTTGTATTGTTCGACCCATTTTTCCTTTGACGACACTGTAACGATAACACGATGAGCATGCATTACACAGAGCCGGTCAGCTCTGGATTTCCTTTTCCGCAAAGTTCAACGCATAGCATACGGAGCAGTGGTACTGCTTGGAGTTGAGACCCTTCCTTTTGTTTGGGGTTGGGTGGAGCATTGGTCTCAAAGAGACCGGATTTCAAAATTAAGAAGAAGAACTGCAACGGCAGAAGAAGTGTCCTCGCGGACCAAAAAGAACAGGCAAAAGCGGGAAAACGGAAAAAAGGTTTACCGATTGATCACAGGATGATGATCCAGCATTGGGAAACAGTTGGAGCGCTCATGAACACTTGACGCGAGGAAAGCAGAAAATATGATCCATGAGATGGACACTTGAGAATTTTGGTAGTTGGTCGATTGACGAGGCATCGTCAACGTCAACGTCTTCTGATACGTAGCTTATCACGATTTTGCAAATCGAAGCATTGAACTACCACAAGCTCTCCTCTTCCTGTTCACAATAAACTCTCTTTCAATGGCATCGTCATCAATCATCATGACCTACACACCACAACAGTCAATACTCAACGTTCGCGGCTAATCTTCTCCAAGTTGACAAGTTGATTATTTGCCGGACAGATAATGTCAGACACCGTTAAAGGCTGCACAAAATCTATGTCTTGCCTATACCACTCTGCTACGATTGCTGATTTTGATTCAATTAGTAGTACAGTAAGAGTTGGCGATTTGAATCGTTTTGTTGTCCCGCGAACCCGGATGGATGGTCCCCTGTTCGCGGGAAGAGTGGGAGATGCATTTGTGGATTGCATGGTACGGTGATCTGAGTTGTGCGGAAAGGTACCACTGTACCAAGGACCGGAGGGTCGGATGGGGGAATGAAGCGGATTTTGGGGAATTGGAAGACAGAGTGATGGTTCATCTCTTTGCTTTATTTACTGCTGACGAAACATAACCTTCTTTCTGATCACAATACCTCGAAGCGAGGTGAGGTGAGGTGGTCAGCTGTCGCTGCTGTCAACTGAGTCGGGAGTTCTTCGGCTTTTGGCAGGTCAAAGCCTTGGCTGTTCCTGCTCTTCTTTCTGACCTGCAATACCACCACACACCACCAACAGCAGCAGCGCCAGCACCAGCAATGGAGCATGCCATCAGCTCATCTGCTATGAGCGGGTGACTGGAGGCTTGCCTTTGGACTGATATCGTTTGCAACACGCGCGGTGCTGCACACGCGACGAGCTTCGAATGAGAATGTCGCATGCAGGGCGCGCGCCTTTCTCGCGTCTCTGACTCCATCTCTGCCGCTTACAGTCATCTAAGTTAGTTCCCAACACCTTCACCTCTTCTTCCTTCCCGACCAAATTCAATCGGCAAGACATCAATTCAAAGTACTTCCTTCACTCCGCCTCCACCAACAACACCATCTCACAAGCAAAATACCAAGCGCTCCTTCGTATTCCCCAACCCGCATCCTTCGCCCATCAGCTGACTCGGCATACATCTACCCTGCGCTTGTCAGCGACCCGACAGTGTGGTTCTTCCAGCTCTCCACGCGAAACTCAATCTGAAGTTCTGCAGTGTCTTGCTGCAAAGGAAGGACGTTCCGTCACGACTCTCGCGCATAATCATCACAGCCGCGCCCCCGAAGAAGAAGGAGCCACTCATCACGTCTATCGCTTGTCGGGGAAGCTCGCATGCGAGTCGTCATCACAATTCTAGTGTTGATCTGATATTACTTGCTAGTTTTGGATATAGCTTGTCAGTCTCGATACGGCTTTTGACAGCTTTGCTCTGACGACGAGAAGAATTGCAACGATGCCGCGGCTGGAATTCGTGACCTTGGACGTTTTCACGAAGGAGAGATATGCGGGAAATCCGCTGGCTGTGGTGAAGGTGCCGGAGGGTGTTGAGGTCTCGACAGAGGTCATGCAAAAGATCGCGAGGTACGTACTGTGTACACTATGCATGGCAAAGTCTCGTTCTGGAAGCTGGCGTGATTCTTTGCGCGCAAGCTCGAAGAGGAGAAGATCTATATGTGGCGCTTGACTTCACTACCTCCTTCTCTATCACCAACGAGTTGATGTCTACTTTGTGCCGTTGCGGGCATGTTCGGTGCCTGCTGGTGCTCAGAGAATGGGGCGAGCCAGGATCATCACGACTTGAGGAGACGCACGTGGGGGTTCATTGACTGTGACGGACCAACTTGCCTTCCCCCACGAGTTGTGAAGACGTGCTTTCACAGCGCAATGACTTGATGAGTCTAATGCGTTGACAGGGAATTCAATCTGAGCGAAACGATCATCATTCACGATGCGAAGACAGGTGCAGATGGCCTGCCCGAATGGAGAGTCCGTATTTTCTTGACTTACGCCGAGATTCCTTTCGCCGGTACGTTCTTTCACGTGCGACAAATCTACCACGCGACGCGACGAGACTTTCATCTATCGCACGTGCATCCCTACCAGATCACCGCCTCCTCTAGAACTAGTAACACCTCCCATGCTGATCGGAGAATCCCCACATTAGGTCATCCTACAATCGGCGCCGCAGTCTACGCTCTGGGCAACCTGTCCGCCGACTCATCTTCTGTCTCGCGCAAAGGGCGATTATTGGCGAACGCCGGACCTATGGAACTCACGTACAATCCGTCTACAGGTGTGGCTACAGCAGGCATCGCTCACAATTTCCATGAGCATGTGCAGTACCCTTTCACAGTGGAAGAGGTACATGCTCTGCAACCTGCGCTGAAGACGGCCGTGAAGCTCTCGCAGCAGAACATTGCGATCGTCAGTCCTGTCAAGGGAATGAACTTCGTTGCAGTCGAATTGCCTGATCTGAAAGCACTTGCTGCAGTCAGCACATCTTTCAAGCCTACTCCAAAGCTGGATGATGACTGGAACGTTGGTTTCTCTGGGTCGTACTACTACGTCTACACATCGTCTCCTGCCAAATCATCTGATGGAATCGAGAAGATCACAGTGCAGTCTCGTATGATCGAAGGTCTATTCGAAGACCCTGCAACAGGTTCAGCGGGCTGTGGCTTTGCTTGCTATGCTGCACTAAAGAGAGCCAGCAGCAAAGTCACGCACTTCAGTATCACGCAAGGAGTGGAAATGGGTAGGAAATCTGACATCGAGGTCACCGTAACACTGACCGAGGATTTGAAAGCTATCGAGCACGTCGAACTTGGCGGTTCGGCTGTCAAGGTCATGGAAGGCTTTGTGGAGTATTGAAATTCGATGAGCCGATGGATGGAACGTGAACTATCTCGTCAACAGGTCCCGAGAACTGGCATCGTACTCGGCATGTCTCATCCACTCCATTTCATGAATACGCTGCCAGTCGCTACCACGCAGACATCAACAGAGCCACAGACAATGTCTCAAGACCTCCTGTATCTAGTCTCAAATAACACCTTCCAGACCAGAAACAAATCTCAAATCACGAAATCCCGCAAACAGCAGTGTTTGTATTACCCAAATTCGGTTCTCCCGAATCTAGCTTCACGTGGCGTCCCGCGTTCTAGATTGCACGTGCGCGCCACGTTGTCATGTCTCGGCGCAGCGACGCCCCATTAACACGCCGTGTTCTGTGGCTTGCTACTACTAGCACCGCCGTCGACAAATGTCTTAAAAGTCTACGCGAGCGGCACTGGTAGACGCGGCCGAGTTGGGACCCGTACGGCGTTTCCTCTCTGGCGGTTCTTTTTGTGTTCGATAGTTTATTGCGGCTTGGGGAGCTTGGACGGGAGTTTTGATTGGAATTCTGGGGTACCTTGAGTAATGTGCCGAACAGGAGGGGAAGGTGGCGGTGGAGGGGCGTTTTTGGGGAGGAAGGTGGGCGCGAGGGCGTTTGCTGCGATCGTGATCGGAGATGTTGAAGGAATTGATTATGGAAGAAAGTAATTGAAGGCTCGTAGGAGGATGATGGTAAGTTGAATTGCAGTCGCGGTCGACTTGTGCAGCTTTGGGCACTTGCTGTGCGAGGAGCAGCGACTTGCAGACGCAGTGGACTGATGGAGCTTCTGCTAATCAAGTTCAAATGTTTCGATGCGAAGCTCTCGGCGCGGGATCTGCTTTTCACGACTCTTCACGATATCAGATCTCGTATATGTTCTGTTGAGCACTGAGAATCTACTGAAATTTGCCAGAAATACAGCTTCCTCTGCAGAGCAAGAAATTTCTTAGCTCATGAGAATTTAGGGAGGCGTCTGGCATTGGACCGTCTCCAAGACAAATAATCGCACGCACCCAGCCTTATCTCTGCAAAACCCAGGAGTTCTCTGCTCTTAGCTTGGCAAAGAGAGGCAGTGCTGCCATAGCAAGCTGTCTGAGACAAAACTACGCGTACCTTCTGCCGGCAACCTCTGGAAGTTGTATACGTTCGGCAACACACCATTCAGAGTGCCTCATTCTCTTACCAATCGTCGATGCATGCTACTAGGAGGTGCTCATTTTCGTGCGGAACTTGATATTGGCCATTGTGGGTTGTCACTAGAGTCTTGAAGCCTGGTAAGGGCACGATCCCTTAACCTGACCTTCGTTTGGCCTCTCACGACTTCCAGTGGTTCCCC